CTACTGGACAGCTCTATTGCTATTGCTGTCATGCCTTTTCAGTTTTTCAGATGCTAGTGCTGGTGACGCCGACCCCAATTACAGGTATATCTTGCTTACTTTGTAATGTTAGAATTTATGTTTAAGCGAGATGAACTATGTTTTTGGTAGTAGTAGACTAGTAGCTCTGATGTTAGCAGCATTCGGCTCATGGACGATATGAATTGTGTGGCAATTTCGTATCAGGACATGCGTTGCAGAATGCGAGAGAAGCGGTTGTGTAGGACAAGTGTGCTTTCCTCAGTGCAATTCTTCATCCGTTGGTGGTCCATGGTACATTCAAGAACCTCTATATCTACAATGGCAAAAGTGGGGTTGTCAAGGTGATTGCCGTTATCACTGTATGGTTAACAGAGAGAAAGAACGGGAAACTCTCGGTCAAGTCCCGGTTAAGTATCATGGCAAATGGCCCTTCAAGCGTGTTCTTGGGATCCAGGTCAGACCTTTTTTTCACCTTAAAAACCACTTTTTTTACTTTCCAAAACTAGACGAAGCACGGAATTTGATTATAACTTCTTCTTCGTTGTTAGGAGCCTGCTTCTGTTGCTTTCTCTGTGCTCAACCTAGCGATGCATTTCCACGGTTGGCTTTCCTTCTTCATTACACTATACTACAAGTTGCCTCTGAAACAAGATAAGACTGCGTACTATGAATATGTCGGTTTGTGGCATATCTACGGTCTCCTCTCCATGAACTCTTGGTTCTGGAGTGCTGTTTTCCACAGTCGGTAATCATCTACACGTTACTTTATCATTCACAATCTACTTCGTTTACCACATGATTTTTTTGGTAAATCCGTCTCTATGGCTCTCCAGGGATGTTGACCTCACAGAGAGGTTGGACTACTCATCCGCAGTAGCTGTTCTCGGATTCTCACTCATCTTAGCCATCTTAAGAACCTTTGATGTTCGGGTCGAGGCTGCAAGAGTCATGGTATCCGCTCCGATACTAGCTTTCGTCACCACCCACATACTATACATTAACTTCTACAAACTCGACTATGGTACACTTCAAACTCTTTCCCCTATCTGAAACCAAGTCAATACTGTTTTCTATGCAATCTCGTTGAACTGAATGTTTTTTACAGGTTGGAACATGATTGTGTGTGTGACAATTGGAGTTGCTCAGCTTCTCCTATGGGCAAGATGGGCTGCTGTCTCTAGCCATCCTTCTAATTGGAAACTTTGGGTGGTTGTGTTAGCTGGAGGCTTAGGCATGCTTTTAGAGATATATGATTTTCCTCCATATGAAGGCTACTTCGATGCTCACTCGATCTGGCACGCCGTCACAATCCCTCTTACCATTCTCTGGTGGAGCTTTATTAGAGACGATGCTGAGTTCAGAACTTCCAGTCTTCTCAAGAAATCTAAGCCAAAGGTAAAGTGAGTCTGTTTGCTGAACCTCACATTTATTCGATTTGCACGATTTCTTCTCGACCATAAATTCACAAGCACTGGGGAAAAAACAGAAAGTGAAACTGGATTCAAACATCAAGAAGAATGCAGAGTGTTTTTGTTTAAAGTTAGCTGGTCTGTGGGTTTATTTAGTGACAGATACATAGAGGTTTTCTTCTGTTTTTTTTCTCAATGCTTTAACATGATCTCTTGAGTTTGTTTTGGCCTTCTTTGATCAATCGAGATTTTGATATCATTTGCTCAATCATAAACTCGTACCAAAAATCTTTTCGGAATTATACTTTTGTTAATATATTGAGACAAACCTTGTGATCTATATGACTGTTGTGTAAACAATAATTTGAATCTACAAAAGAAGTTGTGTTAACTCTTAAGCCCACCAATTTCGAGTTCTCTTTCACAAATCCGTAATTTGAGACACGACCTGCATACACAAGACATCTTATGAGAAATACACCAACAAAAGTATGTGTGTGTGTGAGATAGAGAGAGCTCAAGGATTTTGCCTGAGTAATCAAAGGTTTTGCACATTCTTCCCACTCTGTAGCCCATCGACCCGAAGAACCAGTCTCCATTGCACCCGCTTTAAGCGACATTAGTGCATCGCAGTTTCCAGGAAAACCCTTGAAGAGAACCTGTTTCAGAAAAACAGAACACAAGAACATTACTGGCTTTGTTGACTTGGTAAAAAAAGTGTATTTAAAAGAAAGACAAGAAGTTACGTACCAGTAATTGATCTGCTAATTCCGATGAAGATGAAAACAAGAGTCCGTTCGTCCCATCTTTAACGAGCTCTTGAATGCTTCACGAAAGTTTAAGGTTTTAAACGTTAATAGTTTTTGTTCATGAAAGTATTGAAAAGACGCTGATTACATACCATGAGTAGGAAACCGAGCAAACTGGGAGGCCACATCCAAACATATCAACAACCTAAAAAGCCAAACATGGGTGAAAAGTGTTGGAAGTCTTAACCTTGTTAGCACATATGAGCTCTTATTATAGTGGACTTACCTTCATGGGAAGGTCTAAACCTGATGAGGAAGTGTGTAAACAAACACCGAGATCTGCAGAGCCTAAAAGCAATGGGTAATCTTCAGCTGCGAGCCACATTGTACGGAATGCGACATGTTTGAGGTTTAATCGTTTGATTTTCTCTTCGTATTTCTCCTTTTCAGGACCTTTACCTTCATGGACAGTAAAGATAGCTAATGATCGAAAACATGACACAGCGAAATAGTATAATGTTTTAAACCAGCACGAAACCATCTTTACCTGTAATGATGAACAACAAATTGGGATAAATGTGCTGCTCTTCTGAAATTTCGGCTGTATCACTTCCTTTTGATCTTGCAGCAACTCGCCGATCATACATCACCGCGGCTTCCAATAGGATACCGAAATTTTCATCAGGGGTCCTGAAAAGTGCGAGTTCATTAACACGGAAGAATGATGCCACAGGAGTGAAAGTGAAGCAAAAGAATGATGATGTGTCCTCACCAGCTTGTACTGCTCACAACAAGAGCTGGTCTGTTTTGCTTCAGCGAGATGTCAGCATTAATATTGGTAGTAAAGAGGGTTTCATTAACCTGTTGATTCTCCAACTCTAAATTCGAATACAAAAATTTGGCATCAGAATGAATGGAGGAAGCTCAAAGGGAGAGCTAAAACATGGAGTTATTTATAAAAAGGAGATACCTCTACTAATGATATCATAGACACCAATTGGATGGCAAAGATCTTTCTTCACTCGGCAAAACAACTAAAGAAGTAACCAAACTTTCCATTACCTTCAATAACTCTAGCCAAAGTGAAAATGATTGAAAAGTTTAATCTAAAAAAGGGAAGAAAAGATCAGCTAACCTCGTGCCTTTCTTCAAGCAAAGCGGGGCGGAAAAACTCAGGAGGCTGATCATACAAAACTCTGGCTCTGTTTTTCAGTCCAGAACATTATTACATACAAAATCAGAATCACATAACGTTATTTACTTCAGAATCAAAACGTTATCTATGAGTACTTTCTTCTTACCTCACTCCCCAGTTCTGATCCAGTTCATGTTGCATTGCTTTTGTCACACATAGCGAACCCGTAGCCATCTTTCCATAATACTTTTCAAACCTATAGCATGCAACGAATAACATTTCACCCTTAAAGATAAAGAAGTTCCACAATTAGCTTAAGCCACAGGCTAATATACACATACCAGCGGTATAAGGTTACGAAGAGATTGTTTCTTCCCAAAGACAATGCCAACAATGTATATCCAAAATTATGCCAATCTACAACAAACGCTGCACGCCTCCATGAACTCGCCCACTTAACAGCAATGAGGGTTGGAACAGAAGGAGGATTCTGCAGAAAACAACTCTGTGTAACTTCTGCAAACTTCGCAAAGAAAAAAAAACTAGAAATTTCCAAAGTGAACCAAAAGAGATTTTTTTTACCTGGACCAAGAAAATGTCAGGTGCTGGTACTCTTACGAAAAGAAACCAGAGTAGCATTGTAAACTGTATAAATGCCTTGAGCAAGAGCGTGACAGGATAAAGTATCTTTGGCAACCGCTGAATGAATCTAGGCTGCGCCTGTTTTAGCCAAAAAATAAAAATAAACGAAACTGATGATCATGATGAATCTACAGATATCCAAACAGTTTATGGCAGAGGATTTGATTGTGGTATACCATTGTATGGATGTGGATCGATGGGTGCTTTAACACAGCTTCATGGGGTATAGAACCTATTCATATATTTCAAAGCATTTCAACAATGCATTGTGATTCATATTAACACAATAAATTAGGAATTGTTACCTCCATATGCAACAATGTCCACTTGAAATGATGCCTGCATTTTGGTGTGACAATCAGTGTATTGATCATATTGTTTGTTGTTGATAAACTAAGGATTTCGAAACGAACTCAATTCGATAGAAGAGTTGAGATAATTAACACTTGATCAAAATGCAACATTGAAAAGAAAAAAATTTGAGAGTGGACCTGACGAGCAAGAGAAAGAGCGTGATATTGCATCCGAGGACTTCGACCAAGGTCTCCAAGTACCACCACACAAGCTCTTCCTCTCTTCCCCATCGTATCTTCTTCCCTGAAATTTCATTACAAAGTTTACAATTAGCACTTTATCGAGCTCAGATCATGTGATATAAGCAGACTCTAATACTGATCCACGAGAAGCTAGAAATTAATACCTTCAATGTGATTTCAGAAAACAAGATCAAACACTAGATTAAACAAATCAAATCTTACTAGCTCTCCCAGATTCCGTCTAATGCTCCGGGCAGAAACTTTTTCCGATGAGGCGGAGGAGAAAGAGTTTGGGCCCGAGAAGGAATTAATTGGGCCATTGAGCTTTAAGCCCATAATGTTATAATTCTCTCAAGGAATTAAAACGTCACGTGTTTATCACGTGTACGTTAATATCTGGACGACGGAAGAAGAAGAAGAGGAGGCATTGATGTTCACGGCGAGGCCGCCACCGACGGCGATAATTCGTTCTTTAGTCGCATAGAAAGTCTCTGTTTTGCGATTGCTAATGAATTTAAAGGATGGAAACCAGTCAGGTAAGTTTTCAGTTTGAATCACAGAAATATGTAATGATATTATAGTTTGGCTTGTCAAAAATTCGTGATTCCTGATTTCTTTCGTTTCAGGAGAAGTTGCTCGTACTCTGGTCGAATTTTTGGAAGTAGCTATCACAATGGTTGTGTTCCTCAAAGGTTTTTACCCGTCTGGTGAGTAAAGCAGTTTTGGATTGTGTTTTAACTGGTTCTAGATTTTAACATTTCCAAATGAATTTGATCATATTGGTGGCTTGTGAAGCGGCATTTGAAAGGCGGAGATATATGAATGTGGTGGTGCAAAGAGCAAGGCATCCCGAGCTACGTGACTATATTCACTCTGCAACTTCTGGTCTTCTTCCTTTTATCGAAAAAGTTAGTTAATTTTGATCAAATGTTTGTGTGAAATCTGCAACTTTGATGCACTGAGCAAAAGAATAATTGTTTGTTGTTGTTTTTTCTGAAACAGGGTCTTGTTGAAAGAGTAGCAGTCATATTTTTCAGTGAGGATAGTGTTCCTGTGGAGAGGTTCGTCTTCAAACTCACGATTAACTCGTCTTGCGCTGCTTCAGTAGAAGAGGGTCAACTGGAATTCGCGCTTAGGTCTTTCTTAATCAAGCTCTCCGTCTCAAAATCCCTCGTCAAGCCTCTTCCTCGTAGTGAGTATATTTCTAGCTCCAAACATTTTACTTCCCTAGATGCCAGTACTACATTCTTTTATCTTATACCGATGTTTCTAAGTTTCAAAAGCTTTTTTGAAAACAGATTGTAGATGGGAGGTAACGACTTATGTGAGGTCGCTTCCTGAAGTGGGGTCAAGCAAAGAAGGAGAGGCTTGGATTCCAACAGACACAAAGCAATGGCAAAAGCCACCAGTTATAACGCCGGTCAAGTCTCTGAACAGCGAGCCACTCTGCTTACAGCTTTACTTGGAACACCCAAGCTTGTCTGAGCCACAACCTTGAATGATCTTGATCCTGCTACGAAATGGAGTCCATGAGACATAACACACGAGGTTCGGCTCAATTGGATCCAGTTTCTGAAGCTAAAGAGGCGTTTGAAACGTGTGGGAGGGCTCACTCAATCACCAGAAGCAGAAAACTTGTAAATTCAAGCAGTATGTAAAACATTTCGTGGTCTCGAGTAGGTCATTGTTATCACAAAAGCCGTGGGTTAAGTGAAAGCGTCTGTGATAATTCCTTATGAATGTTTTGATCAGCTGAGAGAATCATTTCTTTGCTTCTTTTTTTTTTCAACTTGCTTGGTAAAAGGCAACCGATTGATACATAACAAGATCTTGACCATTATTTAGTAATTATCTTCAACAAGTCGCTTCAAATCGATAAAAGGCACCCAGTCACAGAGAGTCTGTAGTCAGAATAACATAAGACTTTTGAAATCCAAACCAGAAAATACACAAATCATTCAACACTAGGAAAACTACAAAAGCCACAAGTCTCATTTGGTCACTGGCAAGACGCTTGCTGTTCTAAGAAGGAGGCCGAGACAGATAATATGGAGATGGAAGCAAGAGAACTAATAGTTTTACTATCTTATGCTTTGCGAGGTGGCGGTGAGCTGCTGCTGCTGCTGTTACTGCTGCTTCTTTTTCCTCTCAGTGGCCTGCACATTACCCAAAAACAACCCATTCTCTTTTTATTAGACTTTGAGAGCAACAACGTTTAAAGAATGTAAGTGTTTTGGTCTTTGTTTGATCACAATTTCATCAACTATAAGATCCCAGACAATCACAAATGCTATGCGTTGCACATACTACAGCACTAGCGTGACCAATCGCATGGAGAAAGATATCTAGGCAAATAAGTCCACGTTCCAAATGTTTATTGTATGTTTTTTGTCAGGAATAAGAGTGACCTAACCTTTCCTACGCATCACCTAATCACAGTGGAGCTATTTTTAAACTAACTACAGACTACGGTATTTCAAGTTTAACATAAGGACTAAAGTCTTTACCTCCTTGGACTGCGGCTCCTTGATATCTTCCTAGGACCCTGTAAGTAAACAAAAATGATAGAAAATCAAACACATGGCTCAAGAAGGCCTCAACGTTTTTATAGCTGTAAAGGGATCTGCAACAAAGCCCTTACCCTTCTGGGACTTGGAGAGCTAGAGTAAGAAGATGACCTCCCACGTCTCCCAGCTGGGCCTCGTCCCCTGCTTACAATCAAAGGAAAAATTACACTTAGTGATATTTGGCATCGAAGTCTATAGGAACTGGAATGTTACAGACCTCTATTTCAGGATAAGATAAAGCTAAAAATCTTGGCTCAAGAACATAAATTAAGCTAAGACTTGAGAGATATCATGGATCTTATATCACAACATGTACTATTTTAGTCATGCAACTGCAACACAATAAAATCTAGGAGATATCAAAGATATGCCTACCAAAAATTTAAGAGGAGTTAAAACATACCTGCGGGGTGATATGGACCTTGAGCGAGAGCGTCCAGGCCTCCGAATTGGGGATCGGCTACGCCTGCGGATTGGAGATCTTCTGGGAGGACTGCGTAGTCTCCTTGGTGGTGGTGACCTGAAAAACGCCCAACTCAAAATATATATAAACATGACACAATTTTCCAGATTTGATGTACTGAGTACCATAGCCTAGAAAGCAGTGATTTATCATCCAATCAAAATGGGCGTAACTCGTGAACATCATAGACTCACCTTCGTCTTGCGGGAGGAGGAGACCGTCTTCGAACAGGACTGCCACGGATTCTTCTAGGGGAGCCCCTGTTGACTTATAAAAGGTGAGCTACTGAATCAGAAAACCCTACAAAATACCAGATGGTGCCACAGCTAACCTTGGAGGAGATCTATATCGTCTTGGAGGGGGAGAAGATGGAGAACGGCCTCTAGATGGCGATGCTGGCCTGCGCCTAGGCGGTGTATCACCACGACGGCGGATAGGAGAGCCTGGCCTCCGGCGAGGGGAAGAATCAGGCAATCTCCTAGGTGATGCGCCTCTTCTAGGCAGAGGTGAACGCCTTCTTGGAGAAAGTGCTTTTTTCGGTGGAGGAGAAGCTACATGCATATTGATGATAATCACTAAAACATTACAAAGCACAAACTGCAAAATAACTACAAAAAAAAAAAAAAGAGACATACTCTCTCTTGGGCGCTTGGGCCCATCTTTCTCAATGTCAGCACCGGCATTATCAGATTTTGGAGCATCTCTTTTCGGTGCACTTGAGACAGGTTTAGGGGGTGGAGATACTTTCTGACGCGCTGGTAGTGTGAACTTAGCTTTGACAACATTTCCATCAATTTGGCCCTGTGTTAAACAAAAACAACAGGCATAAATCTCTCTGCCAGTATGTAAAGTAAGCATTTAGCGCATTTCATTTCCAGAAAGAAACATACACCATCCATAAACAGCTGCGCTTTCTCAGCATCAGCTCTTGCCTTGAACTCAACATAAGCAAATCCTTTGGGAACATTAACCTGTTAGAATTCAAAGTAATTATGAGCAGGTTGCTTAACAAGTAACGCCAGAAAAGAACAGAGAGTAGCGAAATAGCAACTTACAGCTCGATCCATAGCGATTTCAACATGTATAATTTCCCCAAAGTTGCCTAAAAATACATCAAAACAAGCCATTACTAACACATAGCATGAAGACTTAACATTTAGCCGTGCAAATCGGTCAACACAGAATAATCATAATGCTAGTGAGGATCAATAACCGTAATAACCTAAGTACTACTGATCATAGTCGAAATATGAAAGACCAATCAGCATACCAAATATTTCTTTCAGATGGCCTTCATTCACATTCCTGCTAAGAGAATCAATATGGAGAACAAGAGATTCTTGAATCGGTGAAGCTTTCCTGAAAGCATATTAGATCGTAAAGTCAGCAAAAGTGAGGATTTGATGAAAGCATAGACACTTGGACTTATAAGCAGATATACCAACACGATGAATAAATATTTACAAACATATTATTCAAAACATTACCACGATTTATCCAATGTTCTAATGTGCATTGTGCCAACTAAGACTCAGCTTTCAGCTCACAAACACATGAATATACATATTGACAAAGAGAGCTAATGTTTAAGCTAGAATACGGGTACAAGTGAAGAGATTACTTAGAAGGTGAAGAGGCTCCTTTCGATTGTGGAGGAGGAGAACGACCTCGCCTAGCTGGTCCAGAAGGACTGCAGAGTATAGATAAAAAGATTCACGTCACGATAAGAGATTACCCAGAAAAGTATGATAGATGCAACAGTCTCCATTCTTACAAATTATAAATTCTAGCTAAAGAAACTTGTTCAATAGACGAACCAAGATGAATGAAAGTCAGATTCGAGCTCAGCTCACTTCGTAATGAAAGCCACATTACCAATTCCAATTCGAAATTACGCGCAGCAATGGAAGGAATTGGAAAAGTTAGAAAGAAGCCCTAACCTTTTTCCACGAGGTGGAGGACTGCGACTCCCTGAACTGGCAGATGAAGAAGAAGAGACCGATCTAGAACGGGACCGGGAGCGCGAAACCGACCTCGACGGACTCGAACGAGATCTGGAGCTGGAACGAGATGAAGAACCAGACACGGAAGGGGAACGACGGCCACGACTTGGTTTCGCCATGAGCGATAACCGAGCAAAATCGCGACGCACAAGCGAAACTCAGCTAATAAACCCTAGCAGATAAAAGAAAAGATGAGACGCGAGAGTGTTTACTCTTTTTTAGTTTTTTCTCGCGGACTGTAATTTACAACCAAACAAAAAAAAAAAATCCGTGGCGGTTTTTTTTGTTATTTCCTGAGGTGGATGAGGAAGGGCTTTTAGGCTTTTAGCTATAAGGCCATGAATACTTTTTATGCCAAAATCATTTTGGGCTTCTTTATTAAACTTCGTTTTAACATCGGGCTGGCTCTTTATAAAACTTAAAATAGATTTGCATGTCATTCTTTGCACAACTCATCATCATAAAACATAACCACTCGTTGTAAAATGTTTTTATCGATATAACAATGATGTTAATATTGTTTATGGTTGCGCGCATACTGCATAGTGCATACACCATCTAAATGTTCTCAAATACAACTTTCTAGTAATCTGTTCCTTTTTCTAGTTAGATGAGTTCGTGTTTCACTTTAACACTACCCTTTTCAGATATGTAAATAAGAAGTTCGGCAACCAATAAAAGCGACCATTGGGGCCGATTTCTTGACTAAAGAGGTGGCAATATGAATATCGGCTTTTCACTTTACACGTTTCTTTTTGTTAACAGTTTACAAATGTCAATTTAGGTTCCGGGGTTTCATAGTGAGTAATTCATACTGTATGTCTTTGCTTGACAATATGTCTCTGCAGTCTCATCATAGTGTCAACTTTAATATGTACACATAATAGTCAGGAAAGTCAGGAAAAGGTGCTCTCGGGTTATATAATCTGAATAATTTCATTTTTATACTTCATTAAATTATTCTCAGTCATTTTATGTTTCTGGTCCAGTACTTTGAGATAATTATAAATTAAATCACGTTACTATACTTTATTTTCGATGTACATCATTATCCAGAGGGAAGTCTACTACTAACACACGATTTTGATGGTTTGTGTTGTGAACTTGTGATAAGATATGTGCGGAAAGGCTGCTGTATTATGGATTAATGACAAACGCAGAAAAACGAATAAATATGAAGTTTTAGTTTGAAGAAATCATTAGTAACCTTTTGTCAATAATAATTAAATTCAATTTGTTTTAACTTTATAAATTACAACAGATCGAATGTAACTTTAGATTTCATCAAAAACAAATTGAAATTATCCAGGAAATCAGTTTATGAATAAAAAAATATAAGGAAAAAAAGGGACAAAGGGAGAAGCGAGATTCAGATGGTAGTGCATGATGTAAAAATGATCATCATAAGATATCAGAGTTGGATTGTTCTATGGTTAACATCATCATCATAATCATCGCTCTCCTCTTTCAAAAGTTTAAAAGAAAATTTGAGAAAACAAAATTAAACCAAAAGAATCATTAAAAAGAAAAACAGATCTTGAATCTACACGAGAATGAATCGATGAAGAAAATTAATCTCAATAAATGGAGCTTTTCAGAATATTTAACATTGGAACTTGTAGAGCGGATGGCAACTTTGAAAGAAGTCTGTGTCGTCTATCAACAGGAGGGACGCTTAAATAGTGGAAAACTTTAGGGCTTCTGAGTTCTTAACTTGAAGAGTAGAAAACGCTACCGTTTGATCTTGTTTGAGCTTGTAATTAGTTAGGCCCAGTAGTATGTTAGAGCTCATTATATGTATTATTGGGCTCGTTTTAGGATGAACATGTACTAAAAAGTCCACATCTTTTGATTTTACAAAAAACTACTGTAATTTCCATCTTTTTAGTTTACAGAGATTTGTAAAGTCACCATCTCTATGATTCTGCATTTCTAAAGGTTCTCTCTTTCTTTATCCCACACACTCTCTCTCTCTCTCATTTCTTTTTGTTCCTTTCTCTTCTCAATATCTAGATTTAGTCTCATACTTTTTATATGGCTGCCACTAATGAGGTGCCACTTTTTATGAAGTCTTTCATCTCACAGAACTCGTCTGAATCATTGGTGAGAGTGTCTCTCTCTTCCTTCTTTTGATTCACTCTTTTTATAAGTAAAATGATGTGTGTAGTCTTCTGGTGGAGTTAATTACTTGTGGTTTTGAAGTAATAAACTGCTTTAGTTAATCTCTATTGAGTTAAGAACTTATGTCCTTTTAATTCTTCTTCTTCCTTTAGCTTCGAATTAGCACCCCAAAGCTTTCAGTTGCTTTTTCTGTATCAGATCCACTTTTAAGATATTTAACTTTATAAATTTATTTACTCTCGTGGTCATTTTACCAAAGTACTGAACTGTATATACAGCTAAAAGCCCGTAGATTCGAGAAGTTACTGAATCTCGCAAGATTTGGAGTGAACTTTACGTTTCTTGTCTAGCTAGCTGCTGAAACCAAACATTTGTTGTGACTTGCGACTGAAAATACACACGACTCGGATTTCAAGCCTTGTGTTTTGTGTTGCTGCTCTTGTGTTCCTGAGAGTTTGATTTTTTTATGTTTCATTTTCTAGGAGATTCCATTCTTCTTCAACGAATACTTGGCAGATCCATTGCCAAATAACGTGGAACTCCTAGGGCAGGGAAAGAGATCTTGGACGATTAGGTTGGAGAAAAGAGGAGAGACTATGTTTCTAACACTTGGCTGGGAAACTTTTGTAAGGGAAAACAATCTCGAAGACGGCAAGAGGTTGACCTTCTGTTATGACGGCGACCGATCCTTCATGGTTGTCGTATATGGTCATGGCGGGTGTAATGAATTTAGAGACCTCCCTCAAGTTGCAATAGATGTTGATGACTATGCAACATGTGAAGAAGAAGAAGAAGAAAAAGAAGAAGATTAGAAAAATATAGGTCTATAAATATATCATCCATGGATGGGGAAGCAAAATGTTGCATTAACTCAAAGTCGCAGTTTTTAAATTTGGATTTATGTAACCGAATGTTTAAATAGTGCATTACATTGAAGAGCGAAATATTTTTTTTTTTTACAAGATGGGGTGTAATTGTTACAGAATAAATGATGTGGCCTAAATTAAACAAAAATTAAAAGTTCCGAGGGTTTTAGTAAAACATTTCGACGGCTAGTGTTCTTCTCTTTATTTGGTCGGCGTTTACCGGCGGTGACTACTACAATCGTTCCCGTCGGAAAAAATAATGAAGAGCGCCAAGTATTCTTGCAACACGAGATCCGAGACACTAGAATGGATCACCGCCATCATTGATTTCCTTAAACCTTACTCTTTCCTAATCAATGCTCACGTTGTCAATTTCTTCAAGGTATTGCCAACTTCTTCTCCTGGTCGATTATCGTTAAACAATCTGAAAAATTCATCTTTGGTTTGCGTTGTGATTGTCAATCTGAGCTGATTGATTGGTCTTTTAAAAAAAGGATAAGCAATGGGAAGCTGTTGATCAGGAATGGATGAGCTGTTTAAGAGATGAAAAGCCTGAAAATATTCTTCTTATTCCCTCCGGTGGTGTCCAGGTAAAGTTCTCGACTTTTCTTCATGATTGAGAGATTTGAAACTAGATAAAAGTTTTACTTTTCTGGGTTATGCTTACTTTACACTTTTGGTCAGAGCTTTTTTTAGTTTAGCTCAAAAGTATTGAAATTGGATTTGATTGTTAGGATCACTGGCCAGCTTCACTCAAGGAATTCGTTCACACGCTGAGGTCTCTATCGTTTCCGAGAGAGCAAGCAGATTTACAAGCGGTATTGTATAATACTCTTCACTAGATTTTACATTCTTCTTCTAACTTTAAATGTCTTTGGGTTTTCTCCAATGTGTACTTCCTCTGGTAGTGTATGAATTCTGAATGGTGGATACCTGTTGTGCTGTATGAGGATGGTATTCTAGATTCTAGACTAAATGAAAAGCTTAATCATTTTCCACTGTTGGCAGATTCTCGGAGATGTGGATATGGCACCGCTTAGCACAGTTCTTTCACAGGGCATGAATCTAAAGAAAAAACATGAGGTATAGAGTCTTGTATAGAGACAATGTCTTTCAATGATGTATACTTTTTCTGGGACCTTCATTAGTATGAAAAGAGAATGTCTAATGGTTTGTAGCTGTTGAAGATGAACCTGAAAACTTCATTTGCCACCTCACATGTAAAGATAGAAAAATTAAGCTATGATTCGAACAATCTGTTAAATGTGTTATCATTTATCATGCAGGTTGAAGTTCTTTCCTCTGTTGTTAGCTCGGTTGCTAACAGTGTTGGAGCCCCTACTGTTGTTGATGTTGGTGCTGGCCAGGTATGTTCAATGCCCTTTCTCATGTTTACTATCAATCTTAAAATGCATCGCCTTTTCTTGCTTTTCTCTTCTGCACTGTTAACTTCTCTTTCTCATTGTTTAAAAAACTTTTTGACTGATAACTTTCGCTTTAATATCTTAGTTTGATGGCTTTGTAATATATAAAGCGTGTTTGTTGGCAAGTGTTTTGATCACTTGTGTCGCTTGTCAAAATATTATTTCAGGGTTATCTAGCGCAGGTTCTTTCTTTCCAGTATAAGCATTCAGTGGTTGCAATTGATTCTTCCTCTCACCATGGGAAGGTTACAGATGCACGTGCAGCACGTATCAGAAAGCATTTTGCAGCACAGACGCGTAAATCTGGGTAAGGGGTTTAGCACATTCCAAGATTATTTAAAACTTTTACAAAGTAGCAGATTTCTATTAGACTTGTTGATGCTACTTAACCTCTTCTCTGTTAGTTCAGGAAACAATTGCCCAGATGCTCCAGTGACGATTACATGCCGTGTACTATCCACCACAGAGATGTTGAAAGGCTTGACCAATCTTCATCTGGAGAAAAATGACTTGGATTCTAATGCGAGTACGCTGAGTAATTGTCCAAGGAGACCGCAATCATCAACTGATGCAAACAGACCTTGTTCACTTGTTCTTGCTGGCCTGCATGCATGTGGGGATCTATCTGTTACCATGCTAAGGTTAGTTTGAATGCCTGCTGCAACTGTTTCAACCACGATTTGTGTTATGTGCTGAACACAACATGCAACTTGCTTTCGTCAGGACTTTTATGGAGTGCAAAGAAGTTAAAGCAATAGTGAGCATTGGCTGCTGTTACAACCTATTATCTGAAAAAAGCAATGAGAATTCCTGTTCCCAGTGTGGTTTTCCGATGAGTATCGGTCTCAAATCCTTGGGCTTTCCGCTCGGTAAAAATGCTCGTGATCTTGGTTGTCAGGTAGTGCATTGTTGTATCTGTTTTGGATTGCATCATTGTTGTTTTGAATTGAATCATAATGTTTCTTCTCTGTAACCTAAAGGACTTTTCATGTGTTTCCTCAGAGTGCTGCGAGATGGAGCAGTTTAGGAGAAGATGCTGGCCTGCAGAATTTTGAGCTGCACTCTTTTCGAGCTGCTTTCCAAATGGTAAGATAGGCTAAATGATTTGGTGTTTAACGAATCTGAATTTATAGCGGTTCTCTGTAACAAGTAACAACATAATCACTCTTTGAAGGTTCTGTCAAAACATTATCCAGAGGTTTTGGCGACAAGTCCGTCCATTGGGCGCCAAGGGAAGGCTTTGCGTCGTCAGCAGCAAAGAAAATCCCTTGAAACACCAGCAATAGTAGATGCAATTAGGAAAGGTAAGAAATTTTGATGAACTTGAGTTTATATTAAGTGAGACCAAGATCAGTCTGCTTATGGTCTATAAGTTCACTGCAGAAACCGATGAGAAGAAACCCACGAGCAAGACAAGCTTGAATTCCGACGACGCTTGTTCTTCTTTCAAGAACTTTTGCGTGTCCGCATTTTCCCGGCTGAATCTAGAACATCCTCAAGATCTCGACCTAAGTGCCACATGGAATGAAGTTAATGCATTCACCGTAAGCGACTCTCTTTCTCTTAAATCCATCTTTGATCACATCAGTCAATCGGATTCTCATAGATTGATGGAAAAAATTATATGCAGGAGCTGATAGGGCCTTTTTGGTCTATTCGAGCTGCACTAGGACCGGTGCTTGAGACATTGATCTTGCTAGATAGACTTATGTTCCTCCAAGAACAAGGCGACTCCATTGAAGCTGTAATGGTTCCCATCTTTGATCCCACCATCTCACCTAGGAATGTTGCCATTATTGCTAAAAGGCTTTGACTCTAGATCTTAAGATATCTCTTATGATCCTTTTTGAAATTTTGGGCAGTGTGAAATATGATTCTTTCTGGGATTGATGTATTTGACTATTTCTTCGATGCCTTAATATTATTATCAAACTCCACTGAGCAGTGAAGAGAACTCACCTGAAGGGTTAATAACTCCCGCTTCATGTGAACACTGTCTCGTTTTGTCCTTTTCCATTCGTGTTCAACCACAAAATGTGAAAGTGTTCCTTTGACATTTCGACCAAATTTGATTAAAAAAAAACGATTCCTAACGGCCAACGCAATCTATTATCGAATTTAATGGATTCATCAAGTTTTTGCAATTTTTAATAAGCGATTCCATTTTGTTTTTGTTGTACATGTATTCACATTATAACTAGCTAAAAATAAAGCATAACTCATCTCATGTTTTTATGTCAAAACTTAACCAACCAATCAACCAAGAGTTGAAACAAAACTAGATTTCATGATTATCTTACAAGACTTTTGAGATGTTTTTTTTTTTGTTAAATAAGACTTTTGAGATGTGTTTGCACTTTTCTTTAAGAATATTACTCATTTGACATATTATAGTATTATAATTAGTTTGCCAATTTAATATACTTTTCGTACGGCCCAATATAATATACTTTTTGTGTTGAATACTTGAATCGTTGTTGTTAGGAATTTAATCTATGTTCAAATATCTGATTTAAGAGAATTAACAATAGAAGAAGAGAGAGAAGCATGTTGGATTTTTCTAACAAAACATGTTGAAAAATATCTATTTCAATCTTACATAATCAAGAAGAGTAATAATTGGTCTCTAAAATCTATTGCAACCAAAGTGGAAGACTGATGCCCATGTCTGAAGCACAAATAAAGTTAAAAATACGAAACTGTCAACAATATTATTGAAAAGTCAGTCTATTCATAAATTCACTAATGAATCCATCAATCCAGAGAGCATTTTACACATGAGAAAATTACAAGAAAAAAAAAGAAAAAAAATTAAAACAGTAGGAGTTGGTCTTCGTCGCCGTGAGGGCAACGAGAACGTACAAGATGTTGCTGACGTGTGCTTACGATTGACTCATTGACTTTTACCCGCCACCATAACGAGACCGTCTTCCTTATTCATTCATCATCCCTTTCTAGTCTTCCATTTCAACAAATCCGTTATCTGATATCACACACGCGGCTAGATAAGGAGAAAGACACAAACTTTGATCGCGTAAAGACCGAGGCTTTTTTATACCAACTTCATCCAAGTAGCAACCTTTTAACCTGCGATTCCTGAATCACTCTCTCTCTTTCTGTTTTTGGCTTCATCGTTGTTCCTAATTTAGGAGATTTCTGAGGTGGGTTTCTCTGCTCTCTTTCTTTCTTCCCGGTGAATTTCGTTTTGTCTGCGTCTGCTTCTGAATCTGGAGAAACCCAATTTCCAAGTTGACAGCTTTTTTTAGTACTTTTTATATTTTTGAGGCTTTTGGTCCCCACTATGATTCCATTGAGAAATTGAGTAGTAGTTGAAATCGATCTATGGCTGCTTTACTAATTAAAAGTCTCAAATCTCTGAATCGCTTCTCGTTTTCTTTGGTAAAACATTCTGATTGATAGCAGAAACAGGTCGCAGGTCTGTCTTTGCATTGATGGGTTGCTCCTGGTTCTCATGCCACAAGAGTGGACGAGAACTCTCAGAAGTTGATGGAGGTACACAAATAGGAGGATTGCTAATTTCTTTAGCTTGGAATGTTAAATCCTGTATAGTCCTATTACTGGCTTCCTCTAATTCAGTGCGCGTGTGTGTGTCTATATGCAAACAGAGATTGCAGCGATAGACAACGTAAAGATTTACAAATATAGAGAGATACGTCAGGCGACTGATGATTTCAATGCCGAGAATAAAATTGGAGAAGGAGGTTTTGGTTCTGTTTACAAGGTAATTGAGGAAACTCAGTTTCTTAATTCTTGTTTTCAAATTCTCTCTTTATTTTTGTAACTCTTTGTGTTGAAATTTTGTGATGAGTAGGGTCATCTTAAAGATGGAAAGGTCGCAGCCATCAAAATCCTTTCTGCTGAGTCAAGACAAGGTGTAAGAGAATTCTTGACTGAGATCAATGTGATATCAAAGATACAACATGACAATTTGGTTAAGTTATATGGATGCTGCGTGGAAGGGAATCACAGGATTCTTGTTTACAATTATCTCGAGAACAATAGCCTCGACAAGACGCTTCTTGGTGAGTCTCTTTTTTACTCTCTAAGTGGCAGTTTCTATGTGGGTTTTGTAATGTTATTTCTTAACGGGGATGTAAGTGTTTTGTTCAGCTGGGGGATACACTCGAAGTGGGATACAGTTTGATTGGAGTACTCGGGCCAATATCTGCGTTGGAGTTGCTAAAGGTCTTGCCTTTCTTCATGAAGAAGTACGGCCACACATCATTCATAGAGATATCAAAGCAAGCAACATCCTACTCGACAAGTACCTTTCCCCAAAGATCTCCGATTTTGGACTCGCTAGGCTTATGCCACCTAACTTGACTCATGTCAGCACTCGTGTAGCCGGTACAATGTGAGTTTATTAACATGAAGGTCTTATTTTTGTTTCCTTTTCCACTGAAAAATGAAGGTCCTGACATGTGTTCACATCTGCTTTGAGCAGTGGTTACCTAGCGCCAGAGTATGCGGTTAGGGGGCAATTGACGCGTAAAGCGGATATATACAGCTTTGGAGTCCTTCTTATGGAGATTGTCAGTGGAAGAAGTAACAAAAACACTCGTTTGCCTTCTGAATTTCAATATCTCCTTGAAAGAGTAAGTCTTGCCTTTTCTCTTGCTTGTGTGTTTATCTGAGCGAATCCGCGTGGTCACTTATACCTGAAACTCTACGCACTTGTTTTGAAAGATAACATTTTTCTGCTGCATTTCACAGGCTTGGGCACTTTATGAGCGGAATGAGATCGTGGATCTTGTTGATACAGGGTTAAACGGTGTCTTTGACGCAGAGGAAGCTTGCCGGTACTTAAAGATCGGTCTTTTGTGCACACAAGACAGTCCTAAGCTAAGGCCAACAATGTCCACAGTGGTGAGGTTGTTGACAGGGGAGAAGGATATAGACTACAGGAAAATATCAAGACCGGGTTTGATATCTGACTTCATGGACTTGAAAGTGAGAGGACAAGATGAAGCAAAGGCAGAGGAAGTGAATAGACAAAACTACACAAACCCGTCTTCTTCTTCTAATACCTCGTCTAGTGCCGGGACTAGAGATAACTCGAACGCTTATTCCTCAGGGGCTTCATCAGCTCATGCTGGTAATAATACATTCAGCAGTACCCTTTAGAAAATAAAATAAAGAAAGTTCCTTTGTTTTTGAGAAATTGTCTTTTTTTGTTTTTAAGATGTAAATGTGGGAATGTTTCCGTGTGTCTCATCTTTCTTGGATTGAAACAAAAGGGTTTCTGTTAGATTTTTGAATCGGTAGCGACTGCAGAGAAGAAGGTGGTTTCGGTTTCTGCCTCACTATTGTTAAAAATCGTCTTCAGTTGCAAACAATTTGAGTGTATGTATGTATGTATATATAAAAATATAAGGTTGAAGTTAAATCTGAATGATCTTATCAACCAAATTGATGTAACTAGTTTTGTTTTTTGAATTAGCTTTCCGAGTCTGATTTTCTTTATGTTGAGCTTCAGTTGCCTTGACCGAGTCTTAACCGGAAGGTTTAGACCAATTCCTGTCCGATTGATTCCCATCAGTACGGTACAAGCGACCGCAGTTGATCTGGTTCTGTTCAGCAGAGGGACCCACGAATTTAATGTTCACTTAATCCAGTTCCAAAACGATAATCCGCTAAAGTTAGAAAATATTTTAATGTTGCCTTCGTCTCTAATCTCTGTCTCTGTACGCCACTGTGTTTCTACTTCTCTCTCTCTCCTCTCACCACTCGAAGAACTTTTCTGAATCTTTTAGAAGTTTCATTTTTTCTTTTCGTGAGCTCTTTTTTGGGTTTCCTATTTCCCAAGCTTATCTTCACAGTAAACCATTTTACTTTCAACTAAAGGCTAAAGCTCATTTCTTTCCTTCATCTTCACTCTCTTCTTCTCTACTCTACAACACCAACCGGGGAAATGCTTGTCGGTGCACGGTGATGCGCTAAAGAAGCTATTTTGTTTTCTGGGTCTGCCTTGTTTCGCTCGACAATAGCGAGATTAGTCAAGTCTTTCGGATCCGATTTGAGGATATGTACTAGACTGAGTGTTCTCAGGTAATTTAGGGTTTTGTGTTTGTTTCATTGCCGGAAAGAGATTCTGTTTGTTTCGGATATTCCTGAAATTGCTTCTCTTTTTTTGTATTTAACTTCTTTGCTGGGGAAGCTTGCTTCTCCTAGTGTCTGGGGAAGACCAATTGAATTAACAATCAAACCTTTTTGTAATTTCAAATCAGATCAAAGCAATGGCCAAGTAGCTCTCCAGAACTGTTTTGAGGTTTGGAGTTAGAGTTTGATCTAGCAATGGAGGATATAGGATTGGTTAAGCAAGGTTGGAAATGGCTGCAGTCTCAGAAACATCTGTGCTCGTGGGTTTGCGCTGCAATGCGATGTTTTGGGGAGAAGACAGAAGCTCTTGTAGAGCGTCACTGGCCACTAGTGTGCAGTGGGTGTGGGAAGCTCTTAGGGTTACTTAGTCTATCGTTTGTTTACTGGAAAGACTGTATTTTGAGGGGTTTCCAGTCTAGTGCCAAATTTGGTTCAGCTGCTTTGCTACTGATCATGTGGAGTTGCTTCCTTAGCTTGACTTCAGTTTCATGTTTGGTTTATGTTCTGCTCGGTATGGTAAGGCCTTTACACCCCTATTTTTGAATATTCTTGATTTAACGGTTTTGAGTCTCACCTATTCTTGATTTTGCCATTGTAGGCAGCTGGTGGTGGTGTTGTCTTGTACTTAGGTTGCACTCCTGGGATCTTCATTGTAGGACTTTTTGGGATCTTGATTTTGTGGATGTACGCTAACTTTTGGATCACCGGAACACTGTTTATAGTTGGAGGCAAGTGTCAATATTTCTCTTTCCCTTAGTGATTAAAGTTACTGATACTTTACATAAGTGATGATTTTCTCTACTTGTTTCAAATCAGGTTATTTGTTCTCGTTGAACCACGCGCGGGTGGTGGTTCTTGTGGCGACGGTGTACGCAATGTACTGTGTGAAAGTCAGACTTGGATGGCCTGGGGTTGTTCTCTCGGTGAATCTTGCATTTTTGTCCAACGACATGTTTATTTGTCTTCTTCAGTGGTGTGATAGTGTTAGTGAGAAGACACAACCAGCAGAGGAGCCAAAGAAACGTGAAACTGTGATAGAGGAAGAGTTTCCAGGAGATTTCGAGTATTCTTCTTCTGTTCCTGTTGAAGAACCAGAGAAAAAGGTTCACGAGAATAAGTCGGCTAATAAGCCAGCGTCACCTTCAACTGTTGTTAGTAACTTGAAGGAGGATTCTAATGTTAAGGTAGTCAATATAGAGACAGATTCAGCTGATGAGATGAAAAGAATACTTCGTAGTTTGAATCACTACGAAGCGTTGGGGTTCCCTCGGCATATAAAGATCGATGCCGCGGTGCTTAAGAAAGAATATAGAAAGAAGGTGTGTTATTTTGGAAATTACTTTGTATGCTCTCTTGGTATGAGTTTTCTCTGATGGTTGGTGAGTTAAAAGTTCTTCTAATTCTGTTTTTAGGCAATGCTGGTTCATCCAGATAAGAATAGGGGAAGTCCTTTGGCAAGTGAATCATTCAAGAAACTTCAATGTGCTTATGAGGTAATTGCTGTCTGTATAGGCTACTTTTCAGCTTAAATGCTAATTTATTTTCTATTTTGAGTAACTAGACATGAAATGTTTAATGTGCAGGTTCTCTCTGATTCAGTTAAGAGGAGAGATTACGATGAGCAGTTAAAGAAAGAAGAATCTAGGACCAGGAGTGTCTGTCAGACATCTCATGCTTCTTCACATCAGGTTTGTTGATATAGTCTGTTGAGATTTCTGCTGCTTCATGTGTCTGTTCTGTTGTTTCCTTATAAAAACTGATGAACATGTTTTTTTTATTTCTTCAGAATGGCCCCGGTTACCGATCAGAAGAGTCAAGGCGCATACACTGTACGAAGTGTGGTAATTCACACATTTGGGTATGTACCAACAGGAGTAAGGCAAAGGCCAGATGGTGTCAGGTTAGCCAACTCACACTTCTCCTTAACAAGCATTTAGTACAAATTTTCTGCTGCATAATATCTATTTTGTCTAACCATTAAAATTGTAGGACTGTGGTCAATATCATCAAGCCAAAGATGGTGACGGATGGGTCGAACACAAAGGGACTCTGGTATTCGAGAAAGCTCATAAGGTTAGGCTTTCAGTTTCTTTGTTCCATTTTGTTTACTGGTATAATGATGAATTAACCGCTTTATATCTTGTTGTCCTGTAGATTGAGATACCACGAGCTTTTGTTTGCGCGGAGAGCAAGATCTTTGATGTCTCAGAATGGGCTATTTGTCAGGTTTGTGTTCTCATTTTTTACCAGTAACCAATGCGATAGCTCATGTGAAGAATATAAATATATGTATACTTTGTTTCAATTGAAGGGAATGGCGTGTAGACCAAACACACATAGACCAAGTTTCCATGTGAACATGGTTGGTTTGGAAAAGACAACGCAGAGATCAAACTCTAGTCGGTTCCCGTGGGATCTTGATGTGGAGATGATGGACGAGGACGAGGAAGAGTTTGAGTTGTGGCTACAGCAAGCTATGGCTTCTGGCCTCTTCTGTGAGACATCAAAGCGGAGGAAAAGCTGGAGTCCTTTCAAGTTGACCAAGAAACAATCGCGAAGAACATCAACCTGACCCAAGAAGAAAAACACATCAACAACAACGGCAAGATCATCCACAATGGTCAATGGCTCTCCAACAGTGGAAAATGAGCTAAGATGTGAACAAAGAGCCTAAAAGGAAACAACTTTTCAAGGTGGTAATGAAGAAGAAAAGGGACATGGAAGCTTGAAGCGAGAACGTCGATTGATCATTTTTGGATCCCTTCTCTGTAAATAACAACATCTGTGGATTTGTGAAATGTTAAGTGAAGTTATGGTTTCTCTCTGAGAAACCCGTAACCATTTGGTCGAAAATCTACAAACGGTTGACAATACTGTTAATTTCGTATTTCTTCTTGATACTACTTTATTACAACTAAAGATTCTGGAACAAAATTTTCGTTAGATCCAATCTGGTGGTATAATGCCGAAGTTTGATTTGTTTATTTCTGATATTTAACCGAAGCTGAATTTACCAAATTTTCCCTCCTCGGTTCGACTGTTTGTGTGTTGTCTGTCTGTGCTCAGTTACTTGAACTGACGAGACTCGAGAGAGATTTTACAATTCGCTCTCGGACATAATAAAGCTTCTCCTTCTCCGACAACTAAAACTCATTATTGATTAGCCGGTACGACTCGTCCGGAGGTGAGAAACCCTAGAAATTCTCCTTTAAGTATCACGTCTCTTTCTCTCCCGATGTTATACTCATTGTTTACATTTACGAATTTAGGGTTCTGGGACTTTGAAATTCAAATGGGTCTCGGTCGAAAAAACTGTGCGCTCATATAGCGATTATAGAGATATAATTGTTGTATAGAAGCGAAGAGGAGGAGAGAGTGAAATGAGTAGGCTATCGTTTCGACCTCGTCCATTGGACATACACAAGAAGCTTCCGATTTTGAAGTCTTTTAAAGACTTTGAAGATGAAGACAATCCTTCTTCCATCACTAGAAACTCTCAGTTGCTGCGTATAGAGGTTGACAACAATGAGGTGAAAAAAATGAAAACCATATTCTCTTTACATTCGTTTTGGATGTGAGGTTATAGAGTGATGATGATTTTAAAAGCTGCTCGCTTTTTCGGCATTGTCAGGTGCATCCTCCTCCTCAAGTGACTAGCAAGAGACTGGCTTCGGAGATACCAACGCCTCAGTTTCTTGTTGTGGATACATATGAAAGAGACTACTCTAGGACTTTTAATCAGCCTGCTTCCTATTTACGTGCTCGTGGAGGTTAATCTCTTTTCTCTAAATTTCTGTTTTGAGGATTGGTATCTTTTGTATGGAGACTGAGAATTCTGTTGGTGCAGCTCGAGCTGAGCTTGGAGAGTTTGTGGAGTATGATCTTGACAATGAAGATGATGACTGGCTTCACGAGTTTAATAAGGAGACAATGATTCTCTCACCTGAAATGTAAAGTATCAGACTTTTGTTAATTGTTTGTTCTTAGATTACATTCAAACTCTTATACATCTTTTATTTTCCTGTCATGTTGGTTAATTACTTGATACAGGCTTGAGAGCATTATTTTTAAGCTAGAGGTACTTGATCATAAGGCGCGTGAAAGAGCTGGTGTTATTGCTCCTACCCTTGGTTCGCCAGTTCTAGTGCTTTTGCAGTTTGATGCTGCTCTTGAGGTATATGCTTCTTTTATCTTCTTCTCTAGTTTGAATTGTATATTCGGTTATTGATGGTTATATTGCCTCCTCTAGAAGACTGTGTTCTTCGCAATGTTTATTTCTCTTGGAGCCTGTGCTATCTCTTGTTAACTTCTCGTGCGTATATACTCAGAGGACAATGCATTACATTTATATTGTTCTTATTATGCCATTTTCCATTCTTTCTACAGGCGCTGCAATCTTTGCCCATCAAATATGGAGTTTTCCAGGCCTTATACAGTTATTGGAAGAATAAGGTTTGACGTAGACCTAGTTGATGATAACTGAAGTTTTGTAGTGAGACGTTGTGTGTGGCTCTTTGGGCATAAGCTTATAACACTGACTAACTTACGTTTTGTTTTGTATTCTCTTAGCGTGAAAGATGGCAGAAGCCTATTTTGCGGCGTTTACAGGTGTGCCATCATTTGGACTGGTCTCAGAAATTTACTTGAAACAAATTAGTTTAATGTTTTGGTTTCTTGTTTGAAACAGCCTCCACCACCGGTCAATGATACCAATCCGTTCAATGTGTTTAGGCCTAGGGAGAAAGCTCATAGACTTCACACAAGAAGGGTATGCTCTCTTCTTGTCTGCATTGCAATTAATCAGTTTCCTTATTCTTACATGTGTTATGTGTGTGTATGGAAATAACAACTTACTGATAAGAGTTTGAACTCTCTTCAGATGCAGAGAAGAGAAAACAATGCTCAGTCATTTGAAAAGCTTCGACAGGTAATGAAAAGAACCTGAATCTGTTTTATGCTCAGAGAGACTTGATTCTTATTGTTCTGTTGTGGGATATGTTATTATCAGGTCAGGCGCAATCTTGAGCAAGCAAAGACCATCCTAGAAGCTCTAATTAAGGTGTTACCAATGGCGTTTAGATTTGTGACTTTATTTACATCTTAACATTAAGCATTCATTCTCCAAAGGTACTAGTAACTATGTTAACCTTTTGTAGAGAGAAGAGAAAAAGAGGGATTTCATGGCAAGTGAGATTAACCTTCAGAGAATCCAACTCAAATACAAGGTACTCACTCCTCTCAAACCTGCATTAGAAAGGCTTTTGCATTTTTCATCTCCTCCATGATTTTTCTTTTTCTTGGTTAGCATGAAACCGAACTCTTGGAAGATAGTTTGGCTCTGTCTGGGTTTCCAAGCGAAGATGAGTTTATGGACTCAGATGACCCAACCACCACCCAAACACACACAAGGCCTTCCTTTACACCTCACCCTCGTTTCACCGACTCAAATCTCGCTCGAGCTCAAGTCGGGAGCGTAAAGCAAGAAGCTAGAAGACACGGATGGCTCCACAAACTGGTAAATTTCTTTACACACTCTTTGTTGTTAGTTGTATGTAACTGAAACACTTGAGATGATAATTAGATAATTTACGTTAACTGTTTTTTGTTTGCTGTGTAGAATCGTAATGAGCCAGTAATGCTTTTTACAAAACCGTTGGTCCTCGATAAACTGGCTGCTGCGGGAATCATCCCTCCGGCGGATTCAAGAGGCGGAAGAGCTCGGTTCGGCGGGAGGATAGGCCGAGGCGGTCGGATTGTGTTTGATAGATGGAATCCTCTTATGCAAACCCACATTAACTGTGGCAACTCTTTCTACATAGCACCATAACTTCTCTCTCCGTGTGTACTTTAATCCTTCAACTAATTTTCATCTTCTTGTTCTTTGTAAAGAATTTTCCCTATTAGTCCTTACCAATGGACAATGCTGAAGAGTGTCAGCAAAAAACTGTTTGTGTGTTCTTTAGTTTTCCCGGTTTATTGAACAATCCCGGTAACCTGTAATCGTTTTTTAGCTGCAATTTAGGTCCGGTTAGTGACAACTGGTCTGGTCAGATATCAACTTTCTTAAAGCAATGGCCTGGTTTGATCCACGCCTTGAGAATTTGGAATGTGTGAAATTTTCATCGACTGTCGTCTCGTCCATACCAAATTAAACCAATTTACTTGAAGGTTGATTAAATCTGTGAAATCAAAGACATTGATCCAATTTTGTTGGCAAGGATTCTGCTTTCTGTTGGTCTTTCTCTTGTTCAATTCTTCTTTTGATTGATTAGCTTCTCTGTTGATCGGATTCGTTCTCGCTCATAAATAAACACAGCGAAGAAGAAAGAACTTACTTTGATACTCGGAGCTCCATCGATGGCTTCGTTGCTGGCTCGCAGGTCGTTCAATGCTCTCCGAGCTCGACATCTCGTATGAATCTCGTTGGCTTTCCAAATTTTCCATTTTTGTTCATATATAAATGCGGGATTTTTACTGGAGTTTTGTGTTTCGACGTTGTTGCTATTCGTTCCACTCTGCATCATTTTGTCTTGCGTTGTTGGGATTTAGAAATGATAATCAGGAACCAAACTGTTAAATTTCTGACTTAGGGGTGGAATTTTTGATTTTTGTGTCTTCCTTGAAGTCACTTCGGATTCTAAGATTTAGGGGTTTAGTGTTATAGTAGTGATTCTACATGTAGCTAGAGAGGGGAGAGATTCTCATCATTCAATCCCGCGAGGCTTCATTATGGGTCGCCGTAACGTTGTTAGCTAATAAATCTCTGCAAATACGAGTCTCTTAAATGAGAGCATTGTGATGTGCTATGGGTGTGCTATGTGATTCTTCTTGTATTTACGTCTGTCTTGTCTTTCGTTGATAGGTTTGTCCAGGGCAAGCTTTACAGGGACCTCATCTCTGTGGGCTACAGTCCCGTGCTATATCCTATGGCTCCAACAAAGGTTTATTCTCTTGCTCTTGTACTTTGTGTTTTCTTGGTTAATTAAGCATACATGTGACTAGTGGTTTGCCTCTGTAACATGCAGATGATGAAGAAGCTGAGCAACTTGCTAAGGAGATCTCCAAGGACTGGAATACTGGTAAGCTACTTGATCCAGACGCTTTCTTGTTATTTCCTTTTGTGAGTGTTAGAGATTCTTGACATCTGGTTACGTTTACAGTCTTTGAACGGAGCATGAACACCCTAGCTCTCACTGAAATGGTCCGGGGTTTGTCCTTAACCCTCAAGTACTTCTTTGATCCAAAAGTTACAGTGAGTGGCAGTACTCTTCCCAGACTCTCTGGTATCAGGTTGAAAGAAACATATTGTGACTCTGAAGTTGTATCCTGTGTGCAGATCAATTATCCTTTTGAGAAGGGTCCATTGAGCCCTCGCTTCCGTGGTGAACACGCCCTTCGAAGGTATCCTACTGGGGAAGAACGCTGCATTGCCTGCAAACTCTGTGAAGCTGTGAGTTTTAGAAGTTTATGTTACTCGAGAATTCGTAATCTCACAATTTACCTCAAAATGTGACAGTTTCTGGTCTTTACTTCATCAGGTATGTCCAGCTCAAGCAATCACAATAGAGGCAGAGGAGCGAGAAGATGGAAGCCGAAGAACCACTAGGTCAGTCACCACTTGAGTTCCCATTTATTAACCATGTGATTTCTTTTTGATACTGTCTCGTGTCTCTGGTTCTACACATTTCATTAGTGTAGTGATGATTTGGAGTTGTACACAGGTATGATATCGACATGACAAAGTGCATCTACTGTGGTTTTTGCCAAGAAGCTTGCCCTGTTGATGCAATCGTTGAAGGACCCAACTTTGAGTTTGCAACCGAGACTCACGAGGTAAACACTAGATAGAGAGACATATCATGTGTCCATGATCCTAAAGTTAAAGATGTGTATTATTCAATAAATGGCATCCTGATTCTTTTTCTTTTTTTTCAATCTTTGCAGGAACTTCTGTATGACAAAGAGAAGCTTCTTGAAAATGGAGATCGGTGGGAGACAGAGATTGCAGAGAATCTGAAGTCGGAGAGCCTATACCGCTAAATATTTTGATCCGAAAGTCTTGTAACTTATTTATACAGGAAGTGCTTTCGTTTGAATAAAGATGCTTCAGCAGTACTGTTACGATTTACTGTATTGCTTGTAAGTTCATACTGACGGTAAAACCGGTTTTGGTTCTGTTTCCGGTACTATGGTTCAATGGAGTTATTGTTTATACTCTCAGCGTCGGTACAACAACAAAAATTGCTACTATCCGAAGCAAAGAAATATACAGAGCAAGCCACAAAGTAAAAAATAGAAAACTACCAGGGGAAAACTGTAAATTAATAGAAATTTTAATCGTAGATAAATCGTTTCTCGATCCTCTTTCAGCTCTAGGTTTGGAAATCTCTTCCCATACGTGACATCGTTCGTTCACCTGACTTTCATTGCACCGTTGTTGCGTTTGGAGAATCGATCATCGTAAAATACTAGCAATTCGTGAGGTAGACTTTCTTTTTGTATTACAATTTCATGTTTTTTTTTGTTCAATTTAGATTTAGCTCGATACACTTTTGGTTTGGTGATGTTTCCGGTGGTGATGGTTTCGAAGTCAACAGAGATGGCTCAAGCATTCAAAAATCAACAGAGATGGCTTTTGTTTCTACTTCATGCACGGACCTGCTGTAAACAGCCAGGAGAAGTGTGCTCAGACCGAAACTGCGTTACTGTTCAGAGACTGTGGAGTCACATGAACAGTTGCGTTGAAACTCAGTGTGTGTATCCTCTCTGTCATCCCACAAAGGCATTGATTACCCACTACAAAAACTGCAAGGATCTTCGGTGCCCCGTCTGTGTGCCAGTGAAGACCTACCTTGAGCAACAAGCTAATATGCGTGCGCAGGCCTGTTTAGAAACCGAAAGCAGTCAAGTGAACAAAGCTCTAGTATCAAACGACTCCGTATCCCCTCATTGTCCTGATAGTTTAGATCTTGAGAAACTCCGAGAGTCCATGCAAACGCTTGTGTAAGCCTTCAATCTCCACACCATAGCATGTTCATCTTGCAATTGCATTGCTTGTCATTAATTGATCCCCCTATTGATCTTCCAAACTTTTCCAGTTTTAACATGTTACAGCAACAACACCAACCATATCCGGGTGATGATGCATTAAAGGCCAAGCATATGGAGGTTGCTAGACGCTTAGAGGAGGGTCTACTTAAAATGGCATTATCAAAGGTATCTCAAAACTTTTACTTGGTTTATTTACTGAGGAATTCCAACTAAACAAGATTGGCTCAAGCTTTATTGACATGTAATCTCTAGATCCAGGTTGTTGACTTGTTTCCCTCACTTTTGAAAAGATGTGACACTTTTTGTTTAACTTGAAAGGGCGATTACCTGAACCAGTCAACCCTTGAATCCCGCGTGACAAGCTTGATAAGAGGCAAGAAATCGAATAACTGCGATCAGAATCAGCAAAATGCTATTTCTTCTCCGCTTGGAACAATGATGTCTGTTGAGATAGGAGATCAGTTGGAGACAGAGATTGCAGATTTTCTGAAGTCCATGAGCCTTTACCGCTGAAGATGGTCTTTTTTCTTCACTTGTTTTGCAATTACTTCTGTTGCAAGTAAAGATGGGATCGTGTTAATTAAGCCACCGTTGCTTCAGCTTGTAAGATCTTCTTATATGGTCAAACGGATTTTGATTTGTTTCCGGTTATAGAGCCTTGGATTATTAGAATATTGTTGAATTTGAATTGGTTTTGTTACTCTTTGGGTCTCTGTAACCAAAAGAAAAGAAGGTTATTTATTATAGCGGTAAAAGAGAAAGAAAGCAAAACTACAAGGGTAAAGTGTGCAAATCATAAATCGATCGGACGGACAGGAACGTATCGATCTCCGTCACTTCTCGTTCGCTCTTGGTTTCCTCAATTACTTTGACAAGTTCCTTAATGATTCGTATTCAGACATAATAAAACATAAGGTAACTGTTATTAAATGTGTCTTTTCTTTTCTTACTATACTTTTGCAAAATCAAAACGAAAAAATCCCTAAATTGGAAAAAAGAAAAAACTTAATCAAAATCCCCAAATCGAGCGAGCGCCCAATAAATCCCCAAATTCGAAGAACTCCGACCCCGGAAAAAAACTCTCCGATTTCGGAATTTGTCGACAATTCGTTTCTTCGTCTTAAGTTTTATCCTGTAATCTCGTTCTGGGATTTCTCGACTCTCTCGTTTGATCCTAATTTTGTTTCCTCCCGACTCGTGTAAAGTTCACACGTGCGACATCGGCTGTTCACCGACGTTATTGCTCTGTTCTACTACGTTTCAGAGACTCGATCGTCGTATTCACTCGTAACGGCTCTGTGTCCGTGACCTTGTGAAAGAGAACTTTTTTTTTTTGGGCTCTGCTCTTTGCGGCTAAAGTTTGCTTCTCTCTGCATCAATTTCAAGGTTGGATTGAGTTCTAGGTTTTCATTTGGGGATGTTTCATTGTTTAAATTCACATTTTTTAACATACACTTGGTTGCTTTCTTATTGCTCCTCTTGCTGTCTGCTTTCGAAACTCATATCCAAAAAAAAATTGTTGTTTTTTTTTTCCAGCAATTGGCTTTACTTGCATTGATTACAGTCTCTGATTCTAGTTCATTTCGAGACTGTTTTGCAGGAAATTTCACGGTGCTTGGTGTATTGTACGTTGAAAGCGAGACCATCCACAGAATAGCTAAGAGCAGGAGATGAGCTTTCCATCTTCTGACTATTTGGGGACAGAAGAGTTATGCAGTGCCTGTTAGTGCTAGTAGTTGCAAGAAGAATCAGGAGAAGGCGACGAAGGTTTAAGAAATAACATGAATGTTCAGGCTCACATGTCGGGACAAGTTCCAAACCAAGGGACAATGCCGCAGAATAACGGGAACCCTCAAATGCAGAATTTAGTTGTTGCTTCAGCTGGTGCTGGAGCTGGTGTAGGGCCTTCACGTGGTCCCATGGACCATGACATTTTGAAACTTCGACAGTATATGCAAACCCTTGTGTAAGCCTTCAATCTCATTCAGCTACAGCCTTTTGCGTCTTCCTACTAGAAATGCTGGTTTTGTTTTGGCTGCATTGCTGTATATCTGCTTTGTTTCTTCAAACCTGATATTTTTTGTTTCTGTTCCTTGAGAATTTCCTGATATATACTTCATGGGGGACTAGTTTTGAACTGACGTTTCTTGATCTTCCATTCTTTGCAGCTTTAACATGTTACAGCAACGGCAACCATCTCCGGCTGATGCTGCATCGAAGGCAAAGTATATGGATGTTGCAAGACGCTTAGAGGAGGGGCTGTTTAAGATGGCTATCTCAAAGGTACCTCAAAAGATCTCTTTGACTTGTTGCCTCTAGAATCCAGCTTGTTGACTCATATCCTTACTTAAAAACTTTCCTTTCGTTTGTGACACTTCCCAACTTGTATATTACAGGAGGATTACGTGAATAGGTCAACCCTTGAGTCTCGAATTACAAGCCTAATAAAAGGTAGACAGGTGCCTAACTACAGTCAGCGAAGTGCGAATTCTTCTCCGGTTGGGACGATGATACCTACTCCAGGATTATCACACGCTGTGAGTAATCCTCATTCGATGGTCACATCTTCTGCTGATGCTGAAGTAGTTGGAAACAGCAACATCACAAGTACAGCTGTGAACACTGGAAACCTTCTAGCTGCTGGTGGCATGCATGGAGGTTTTTTTTCGTTAAAGTGATCGTAGATACTTTTCCTGGAAGTTTTCATCTCATGTTTCTCTGACACCTTAATAAATTTTTTTCAGGTGCTATGTCTAATGGATTCCAGCATTCATCTAGAAACTTTTCACTTGGTTCTGGAGGGAACATGGCATCCCTGGGCTCTCAAAGAAGTACTCCCCAGATGATTCCTACACCTGGGTTCGTTAACAGTAATACTAATAACAACAGTGGTGGATTTTCTGCTGAGCCCACGTTGGTACCTCAGTCTCAGCAGCAGCAACAAAGGCAGGATACTGGTAGTCAAAATAGTCACATGTTGTCCAACCAAATGAATGTTGGCCATAGACCCGACATGCAACCAAAGCCGGTTGATATGGCCAGTAACTGTGTAAATGGTGGTGTTGGAGTGAACGCAAAAAGTGTAGGCACAGGTAATTCTCCAAAAGTTATCGAGCAGGCTATTGATAACTTCCCGCAGTCAGGAAAGCAAGGTAACTTATCTTTTTTTTTGTCCTTATTATCTTATGTCTTATGTATGGTCATTTCTTGTTGTTACCAGACATAATATTTAAAGCATGTTTCATATTTCAGGGGAAGGTTATAGCACAACAAATCCTGACACCCTTGGATCTGGAAATTTGCATGGAGGTGTAACATCGGTTGGGATGATGAATAATGCTCAGAATATCAATACAACAAGTTTCCAACCTGTGTCCAGAGCTAACCCTTCAATGGTGAGCAGTCAGTCGATTTCATTTGCATGCAACAATGCACACCAATTATACATTTATCACTTTTAGTATTCGGACTTCCAATTTTTTTTCCTACACTATTTGCAGCCACATCAACAACAACAGTTTCAGCAAATCCCTAATCGATTTCAGCAACAGCCAAATCAGATTCAACAGCAGCAGCAGAAATTTCTCCAGCAAAGGAAATTGAAGCAGCAGACCCTGCAGCAACATAAATTAATAAGCAATGATGGTTTGGGAAAACCTCAGGTGGCTTCTGGCATGGTTACGAATGTTAAACATGAACCCGGACTGGAGGACCATAGTGGAGCTATGCAATCCCAAGCATCTGAACAATTCCAGCTTTCTCAGTTCCAGAATCAATATCAGAACACTGGAGAGGAGAGCTATACAGGCGCTCAGCATCTCTCAGGTACAAGTCAGAGTGATATATGCGCATCACTTCCTCAACAGAGCCCACAGATTCAGCAAGTGCTGCACCCGCAGAATATAGGTTCTGATTCTATCAACAGTATTAGCAATCTTGCTGTTGGAGTGAAGTCAGAATCCAATCCACTGGGTCAGTGGCATTCCCAGTCTCAGGAAAACACTCAAATGTCTAATGGTATGTCAAGTGAACAGCACATTCAGGAGGATTTCCGTCAAAGAATAACCGGAATGGATGAAGCTCAACCTAATAATTTGACTGAAGGGTCTGTTAGTGGTCAAAATCATTTTTCTACCATATCCGAATCCCATAGTCTGCAACATTCTATTGGGGCAGCATGTAGATTTGGAAACGTAAATCGCGATCCCAAGTTCCGAAATCAACAGAGATGGCTTCTGTTTCTACTTCATGCACGGACCTGCAAATCGCCAGGAGGGAGGTGTCCAGACCGAAATTGCGGCACTGTTCAAAAACTATGGAGTCACATGAACACTTGTGTTGAAACTCAATGTGTGTATCCTCGCTGTCATCCCACAAAGGCATTGATCACCCACTACAAAAACTGCAAGGATCTTCGGTGCCCCGTCTGTGTGCCAGTGAAGACCTACAATCAGCAACAAGCTAATGCGCGTGCGCAGGCCCGTTTAAGAAGCGAAAGCAGTGCAATGAGCGCAGTGAACAGAGCTGTGGTATCAAATGATTCACTATGCGCTACTGCTGGAGCGGTTTCTGTTTCCCCTCGTTGTGCTGATAATTTAGATAATTTGCAGCCTCCATCAAAACGGTTGAAGGTAGAGCAGTCTGTTCAACCAGTAGTCCCTGAAACTGAAAGTTGTAAAAGCTCCATTGTTTCCACAACAGAGACAGAGTTATCTCAGGATGCTGAGAGAAAGGATCATACGCACAGCGATGCACATGCAGCATTGAAGTCAGAGAACTTGGAAGTGAAAGAAGAGATTTCTGATATTTCTGTTCAAGCAGGATTCAGCATCAAAGAGATTAAACATGAAGCTTTTGAAAATGTTCCCAACCCTAGGCCTGTCAGTGAACCAGGTAAACATCATTTATCTGGTGCCTCGCCAAAGCAAGAGAACATAAAAATTGAGCAAGAACCAGAACGGCTGAAGAAAGAAGATCTTGTGGAGTCTCATGACGTTGCATCAAAATCTGGAAAACCAAAGATAAAGGGTGTTTCTTTAACTGAACTGTTCACTCCTGAACAAGTGAGAGAACATATTCGTGGTCTTCGTCAGTGGGTTGGCCAGGTTTGCATTTTGATTTACTTTAAAATTTTACAGTAAAGCAAGTTTTATTCATATAGATATATCTTTTTATTTACTCTTTGCCGCATTACTGTTGTTATTTGTTCAAGATGAATTTTTCTTGCTATCTAGAGGCGCAACTTAGTTGCTCCGTAAAATAGTTTTCAACAATTATCTCAAATTATGTAATCGCTGATGAATAATTTGTCATTTAATTTCTATCTGTCTGCAGAGTAAAGCCAAAGCAGAAAAGAATCAGGCCATGGGGAATTCAATGAATGAGAATTCCTGCCAGTTATGTGCGGTCGAGAAGCTTACATTCGAGCCACCACCTCTTTATTGTACTCCTTGTGGTGCTCGTATCAAGAGAAGTGCAATGTTCTATACTATTGGAGCTGGTGAAACTCGTCATTGCTTTTGTATTCCCTGTTATAATGAATCCCGAGGAGACACTATACTCGCTGAAGGGAAACCAATACTGAAGGCAACACTCGAGAAAAAGAAAAACGATGAAGAGACTGAAGAATGGGTAAGACTATCCACTCAATGAGTTTTATGGTCATGTGCCTCCTGCTTTGTAGGTTTTTCTGAGTTTGTCTATCGGGTCCCATGTTTTTTTGCAGTGGGTCCAATGTGATAAATGTGAGGCCTGGCAGCATCAGATATGTGGTCTATTTAATGGGCGGAGGAATGATGGGGGGCAAGCTGAGTACACCTGCCCAAATTGCTATATAATTGAGGTGGAGCGAAATGAGAGAAAGCCTTTGCCTCAGAGTGCTGTTCTTGGAGCGATAGACCTGCCAAAAACGATTCTCAGTGACCATTTAGAGCAACGTTTGTTTAAAAGGCTGGAGCAGGAAAGGACTGAGAGAGCCAGGTCTCAAGCAAAAAATTATGATGAGGTAATCTGGCGGTGGACTTGTACAAGGTTTAGGGTCTCATGTGATTTAACAATAGATTGATGTTTGCTGGTTTGTCACTTATCATTTTGCCTTTTTAATGACTGACAGATTCCAACTGCTGAATCCCTTGTGGTTAGAGTTGTTTCATCCGTGGACAAGAAGGTGGAAGTCAAATCCCGATTTCTTGAAATTTTTGCGAAGGATAATTTCCCTACAGAATTTCCGTACAAGTCCAAGGTAAGAATGATCCAAGCACACTACTATTGTATTTGCTTCATGTCCACATTCTCAGGATTCCTCTCTTCACATAATACATTTCGTTCTACCAGGTGGTTCTATTGTTCCAGAAGATCGAAGGTGTAGAAGTATGCTTGTTTGGGATGTACGTCCAAGAATTTGGATCTGAATGTTCATTACCTAATCAACGCCGTGTTTATCTCTCGTATTTGGATTCTGTAAAGTACTTTAGACCTGACATTAGAACTTCTAATGGAGAAGCTCTGCGCACTTTTGTTTACCAAGAAATTCTTGTAAGTCCTGTCCTGGTTTTGACCAAGATTTTTGTGGCCTTTTACATTTCACAGAGGATTCAAGTGTATACATTCATGCTTTTTTCAGATTGGTTACCTGGAATACTGCAAATTGCGTGGTTTCACAAGCTGTTATATATGGGCTTGTCCACCACTGAAGGGGGAGGACTATATCCTATATTGCCATCCAGAAATTCAGAAAACGCCAAAGTCTGATAAACTACGGGAGTGGTCAGTCCAATTACCTTTGGTGAATTTCTTCGTAATTTTTTTTCGTAGTGAAAAATCCTTTACATCCTCCATTTGCTCCTGGTCTGCACAGGTACTTAGCAATGTTGAGAAAAGCTGCAAAGGAAGGGATTGTAGCGGGAACTACAAATCTATATGACCATTTTTTCTTGCAAACTGGTGAATGTAGAGCTAAGGTTACAGCAGCTAGGCTCCCGTATTTTGATGGTGACTATTGGCCAGGTGCAGCAGAGGATATCATATCCCAAATGGGTCAAGAAGATGATGGTAGAAAGGGAAATAAGAAAGGGATACTCAAGAAACCCATTACAAAAAGGGCTCTAAAAGCATCTGGCCAGTCTGATATGGCTGGGAACACGTCCAAAGATCTGCTGCTAATGCATAAAGTAATTGTTTCTTTCTATGCACCTTTCCTTTCCTGCATGTCAGCGTCAGTAGTTCGGTTCTTTTATTTGGTTTTGTTGATATTATATTTCTTTTTTTTTTTAGCTTGGTGAGACCATTCATCCAATGAAGGAGGATTTTATCATGGTACACTTGCAGCATTGTTGCACGCATTGCTGTACACTGATGGTAACTGGAAATCGTTGGGTCTGCAGCCAATGCAAAGATTTCCAGTTATGTGATGGGTAAGAATTGTCCTTTCTCTTCTGCTAGTTAGTTTTTTACCTCTTTCTATAGCTTTTGTTATTGTCACTTGGTTTGTACAACTTGGAAGAGACTTATTGGTGAAACTATGCGTGCTTGAGTGCTGCAGTCTCTAATACGTTATTCGACCTTTCAGGTGCTATGAGGCGGAACAGAAACGAGAAGACAGGGGAAGGCATCCTGTGAATCAAAAGGATAAACATAATCTGTATCCGGTAAGTTGCATTGGCTTGTTTTGAGATTTGAGAAATAGGTCCTCTCCTTGAGCGTTTCTGTAGTTTATTGTATCTCACGAGATGGTGCTTTTTCTGATTTGTAGGTTGAGATCACCGATATACCTGCAGACACCAAGGATAAAGACGAGATACTTGAAAGTGAGTTTTTCGATACAAGGCAAGCGTTTCTGAGTCTTTGTCAAGGAAACCATTACCAGTATGATACACTGAGGCGGGCAAAGCATTCTTCCATGATGGTGCTTTATCATCTGCACAACCCAACTGCTCCTGCCTTTGTCACAACATGTAACGCATGCCACCTCGATATTGAAACTGGTCAAGGCTGGCGCTGTGAAGTTTGCCCAGACTACGATGTGTGCAATACTTGCTACAGTAGAGAGGCCTGTATGAATCATCCTCACAAGTTGACAAATCATCCTTCACTAGCTGATCAAAACGAACAGAACAAAGAAGCTAGGCAATTGCGGGTCTTGCAGGTATTGTAGTATTCGGTTTCTTTCTTCTGTTTATTTAGGCTTCTTTTGGTTTGAGGGAAGAGGGCCCTTATATACGTGTGATTTAGCTCCCAAAACTTCTCTGAAATAACGTTTTCATTGTTTAAAATTTGCAGCTCAGGAAAATGCTAGATCTTCTGGTGCATGCAACACTATGCCGTTCTACACAATGTCAATATCCCAATTGCCGCAAAGTGAAGGCGCTATTCCGACATGCTCTCAAGTGCAAAATACGCGCTTCAGGAGGATGTGTTCTATGCAAGAAAATGTGGTATCTCTTGCAACTCCACGCTCGGGCCTGCAAGGAATCCAACTGTGATGTACCTCGATGCGGGTAATCTCTTTGATTTCTGTCTTTGTTCAACATTCTGAAATTTGAATTTATTGCCTGGAGTCGACGGTTTTTCTCATGCCACGTTTCTCCATTCAGGGACCTAAAGGAACATCTGAGAAGGTTACAGCAGCAGTCAGACTCACGGCGCAGAGCAGCCGTCATGGAGATGATGAGACAAAGAGCTGCAGAAGTCGCTGGAACCTCTGGTTGATTAAAGCTTGTATATACTTATTTCATTTAGGATCTAAGCAGAAGTGGAAGTATCATCTTCTTCCGAAGGTTAAGAAGTATGTCTCGAATAGTGAAGAAGAAGAAGAAGAAGAAGAAGAAGAAGAAGTGAATACCACCAGATCTAGTGAAGACAGGCAAGAGGACCGGAAACAAACCCTACTATAGCGGTTTAACTTAGACGGATTCGTATTTAACACTCACAAGTCATGGAGTGATGATGATGATGATGATGATTAACTTGGGGAACAAGCTCTTGATTGACTCGAAGAGTTTCTCAAAACGAAGCAGAACCTTGGTAACTTATGCATTGGTCATGGTCAGGTCGCAAAAAGGAAGAAATCAAATTCCAAACTCTTTAGTTCAGTTGAGTAGCTTGATCTGGTTGGTGATTCTTTGATTATAGATACATAAGATGCTCTGTTTCTGCTTATTATCTTCTCTTCTTCTTCTTTATTTTTGGTAGTCTGGTGTATTTGTAAAAACGCCTTGTCCCTTTGGGGGTGTGGCGAGAATGTAATATATTATATCTAAGTAGTAACATAACTTCTCTAGGCAAGCAAGTTAAGATTAAAAGGGAGTGTCTACTGATGCTTCTCTTGACATTTTTGTGCACCTGTATTATTTTATTAATAACATTTTGTCATTTTCACATCGTTTTTTTAATGAGTGTTTTACATCTATAGGCACTTTTGTCTTTTTTTTTTTACACTTATAGGCACTTCTTAAGGGACTTTGATCTATTGTAAAAGACAAAATACTCTTTACTTCTCTTTTTTAATTACAACTTTATTTTTTACTTTACTCTTTATTTTTTATTTCCACCTTTCACAAATCAACAACTCCGCTTCACACTCCGTCGTTCACCACCGCCGCTGTTTCTCTCTCTGTTCTTGTTTCTGAATTTTGCCTCTCACTCCATTGTTTATAACCATAAAATCCTAAATCCCATCGCCGTTCAATTGTAAAGACGTTGCTATTCAATTTTCACGGTTCAGTTTCACCTTTTTCTGGATTTCTTTTCTTGAAATGAGGAGAAGATGAATATAGCTGATTTCAGATTCGCTGAAGTTCAGAGTAGATGAATCTGGGTTAACTCGCGATCATGTCCACATCTAGATGTCCACGCAATCTACTTGTGGTCTATTCAAGAATCTCAAATATTTTGGTACATGTGTACAGAAGATGTGGATGATGTGCATGACTCCGACAGACAACAATCCATGGATGAGATGTCGAACCACCCATGGTTACCTGCACGTAGAAACTAGCCAGTATAAAGTTGCCCATCCAAGGAGCATAAGAGGTGGGAGGCGTACATGCTGCAATGCCGGCGGTAGATAGTATCGTATCTGACAGCTGTGACACGAACATGAGCAGTGGTGGACCGAATGGTGTGGATGGGAACTGTGACTCTGATAGACAGCAGTCCATGGACGGCGAACTCCAACTACCTAAGGTTTGATGTTGTTGGAACAGTCTAGGCGATAAACAATAGCTCAACAAACACTCACCCGGTTGTTAATTATCTTTGTGTTCATAAAATCATGAACACGGAAACATGTCCACACACATATCTCATTTAAATTCCAAAAATTTAATTATCTAAACAAAGACGTTCAAATGGGTGCATCATGATGTGTACACGACTGCATGGACATGTAGATGTGGACAAGATCGCCTACAATTGTAATATGTGTATATATCAATGCATGGCCTACGATGTATTAGTCATATGTGTATGTATCCAACATTATTTGTTTTTATCTAGTACCACTTGTCCATTGGCCTACGATGTATTAGTCATATACACCGCCTCATCCTTCCGGGTAAATATTCATGCGTATCCATGCTGACCGATCCAGATGTATCCGATCATAAAGTCAAGCCTTTGTAACTACGTTGACCCATCCATGAAACTGAATCGAAACGTGACAAGCCGAGAAAAGAGTCTCCAACATCATTTTTTTGTGTCCACTATCAACCATCCATATATTGTTGACCCCGTTTCTTACGTATTAGTCATATATCTTGCCCATTCTTCCATGAAGGGAAAAATATTTAGGCGTGTGTGCACCGTATCCACGCTGACCAGTCCATGAAACTGAATCTAAATATGTCCTTCCGGAAAAAGAGTATACAACATCATTTGTTTGTGTCTACTGCCATCTGTCCATATGTTGTTGATTACATGTATCTCTAACATTTTAGTCATGTACACTGCCCATCCCTTCATGAAGGGGTAATCATCGAGGCATTTGTATTCCGTATCCACGCAAACCAGTCCATGTAACATAATCCATGTGTCCATCCGAGGGAAGAGTCTCCAACATCATTTGTTTCTGTTCGCTAGAACAGCGCTTCGGCGAACGAAAACCCAATTCATTTGTTGTTTCAAATTTCGATGGCACACCAGTTTTACAAAAATTGCAGAAGAAAAGCTTTTTTCAACTGAAGTAATGTTTCCAGATCTACCAGCTTCTCCAGATCCGTCAACTAATTTCTCCAGATACACCAATTTCTCTAGATCCATTGTATTACTTTTATTCTTAACCTCAATAGAGCAAGGTTACTTCAGCCTTATCTCATGGTTTGTTATTGGAGAAGAAAGGAAAGAGATGATGCCTTTACGTGTAAAATTCTCCTTTTTAATTATGTTTTGGCTAAGCTAGGTGAGCTTTATCACGACACGCTACAGATTCTTAATCTCTGTAATTTTTATGGAACTTTTTAGTTGGTTCAATTCAATATCATAGAGAAATATTCCCAGTTTGTTTTTCATTAAAACTGAAAGAAATAAAACAAAATAAAAAGAAGAGGAAAAGCGAGAGTGTACGTGGCTTGTTAATTGGCTCATAAGTCATATCACTGTCCGAAAACACACAAACCAGATTCTGTGGTCTTCATCTCTCTCTTCTTCTTCTTCTTCTTCTTCATCTGAAATGTCAAAATCCTCCGATCCAACCATTTCTTATTCTCGTATTCTATTTCTTTTTTTTCCCCCGAGTATTATATATTGAGTTCTCAAGTAACAAAAACGAAAATATCTCACTTTCGTTATCCGTTTCCAATTTTCGACCAAGAGACCAAGAGTCTTCTCAGTGACAGACTAGCATGCAAAAATCCATTTAAAAGTATCTGGATTTATAATTATCCAAATTATTTCCACGCGAAACATTTTTATTTTTAACTTTTTTTCAAAATTTGTGGCTTGAGCTCTGTTTTGTTGTAGAAGCAGAGAGAGCTTCACAAATGGTGAGTGGTATTGTTGGCAGTAACATGGCGGCGACTGATGCGAGGTTTCTAAGTTCGAATTTTGGCAACAGTTTCAGCATCAACACCAGAATCCACAGACGGAATTTCCACGATCGATCCCAAATCGCAATCCCTAGAGCTCAAGCTTCTTCTTCTCCACCACCTCCACCTTCTTCATCCTCCGACAAAAATCCCCGCGAAAAGAAGACCCGAAACAGGCCCGTAACCACAACTACGAAGGAAAGCGAAGAGACGACGGCAAAGAAACTCGAAGTAGCTCCTCCTCCGGCTCAATCTCCGTCTCCGCCGCAATTGAAATTAGACGATGTGAATCCCGTGGGACTAGGAAGGCGATCGCGGCAGCTCTTCGACGAGGTATGGCGGAAATTCTCCGGATTGGGTCAGATTTCGAGAACGACCCGACCCGACGAACAGGAAACTCTCGACAGTCTTTTCATTAGAGAAGGACCTATGTGCGAATTCGCAGTCCCCGGAGCTCAAAACGTCACCGTCTTAGTCGTCGGAGCCACAAGCCGAATCGGGCGTATCGTCGTCCGTAAACTCATGCTCCGTGGCTACACCGTCAAGGTTCGATTACATTCCAAAAATGCGAATATACATATTATAAGTACACCAAAAACAAGTCTCAAGATGAATATTTTAATATAAAGTCTGTTTTTGGTATACTCTTACACAAGACATTGAGGTTAATTATTGTTTTAGGCGCTGGTGAGGAAAACAGATGAGGAAGTGATAAGTATGTTGCCAAGATCAGTAGATATTGTGGTCGGAGATGTTGGAGAACCTTCAACGCTCAAATCCGCAGTGGAAAGCTGCAGCAAGATCATATATTGCGCCACTGCTCGGTCTACTATCACTGCAGACCTTGTCCGTGTTGATCATTTGGGTGTTTATAACCTCACCAAGGCTTTTCAGGTATAACCAAGAACCGTGGTCGATTTGGTTTCTTGTTTTGTTGAGTAGAGAGTAGTCACATTCTTGTTTTTGAGTATTTGTCCAGGATTACAATAACAGACTAGCGCAACTAAGAGCGGGTAAAAGCAGCAAAAGCAAGCTTCTGATTTCGAAATTCAAGTCGGCTGAGTCGCTTAACGGTTGGGAAGTTCGTCAAGGAACTTACTTTCAGGACACAACTGCTTCTAAATATGATGGTGGAATGGATGCTAAGTTCGAGTTCACCGAATCTGAGAGAGCTGAGTTTTCAGGTACGCAAGGAACAAGGCAATGTGAAAGTTTGTTCTTTTGAAGGAGTATGGTGGTTTAATCGGGTTTCAAATGCAGGTTATGTTTTCAGTCGAGGAGGATATGTTGAGTTGTCGAAGAAGCTTTCACTTCCACTAGGTTCCACTCTTGACAGGTATTGCGAGATTTCATTATGTATCAACCACACTTACTCGCAGCTTGTTCTGGAATCCATTTAGCCTTGGCTTAGTTTGTATGATTATGCTTTAATATGAATTAGGTATGAAGGCTTAGTTCTTTCTGTTGGTGGGAACGGAAGAGCCTATGTTGTAATACTTGAAGTTTAACAATATATTGTTTTTTTCTCTCTCTTTCAGAGAGCTGTTGATGGCCTTGCTGGTGCACAACAAGATCTAAGAAGCTTTAGCCTTATATTCGAGTACATCAAAGCTTTGCCTGTAAGTAGTCCAGCTTAATCCTGCTTTGCCAAATTTCATCGCATGAAAGAAAGATGAAACCGGAACTGTATCAACTTTCTGCTTTCTGTATGCAGGCGGGTCAAGAAACCGACTTTGTTTTGGTGTCATGTACTGGTTCAGGTGTAGAGCCCAACAGAAGGGAGCAAGTGCTAAAAGCTAAGAGAGTGAGTCTATTTTTTCTGAAACATAAATTTGTTACAACTCTTGAATCTTTCGAGGCTATGAATTGTCAGGGCGTTTTAGCCAGTAGGTTCCATGTTTTCACACCTCTCCCTCTCTCTCGCTGTCCGCTAATTTTGTTCAGGCTGGTGAAGATTCTTTGAGAAGATCAGGCCTTGGATACACCATCATTCGTCCCGGTCCCTTGAAAGTACTCTTCTTTGAGTTGTAGCCAATTTGTGTATGTATATATAGCTTGGTTATAATAAAAAAAATTCTGATACAGGAGGAGCCAGGTGGGCAACGAGCTCTGATATTTGATCAAGGAAACAGAATTTCTCAGGTTAGTTTTAACCGTAACGCAGAAACTCAAGTCATCATGCTCGCATATCGCAAACAGAATCTCTAAGCGAACTCACTAACACAAAAATGGAGCAATTTTTGTTTCATTTTTCAGGCTGGTGAAGATTCTTTGAGAAGATCAGGCCTTGGATACACCATCATTCGTCCCGGTCCCTTGAAAGTACTCTTCTTTGAGTTGTAGCCAATTTGTGTATGTATATATAGCTTGGTTATAATAAAAAAAATTCTGATACAGGAGGAGCCAGGTGGGCAACGAGCTCTGATATTTGATCAAGGAAACAGAATTTCTCAGGTTAGTTTTAACCGTAACGCAGAAACTCAAGTCATCATGCTCGCATATCGCAAACAGAATCTCTAAGCGAACTCACTAACACAAAAATGGAGCAATTTTTGTTTCATTTTTCAGGGCATCAGTTGCGCGGATGTGGCTGATATTTGTGTCAAGTCATTGCACGATTCAACCGCAAGAAACAAAAGCTTTGATGTGAGTTGCAGTTTATAAAATCAACTGAATAATATTCAATTCACAAGTCACAAGACTCACAACGTTGGATCATCTCTCACATTCTTCCGATTACTTTTGCAGGTTTGCCATGAATACGTCGCTGAGCAAGGAATAGAGCTCTACGAGCTGGTAAGAGTAAACAATGAGATTAGCTTACTCTATGACTTACTTCTTCTTCATATAATCTGACACACAGTTTCTCTCTCTCTCTCTCTTCAATCTCAGGTGGCTCATTTGCCAGACAAGGCGAACAACTATCTGACTCCTGCTTTATCTGTACTTGAGAAGAACACATGATATAAAGTTTGCCGGAATCCACAAGTGAAAGGAAAATCATCCATTCCATTTTGTCATTTGTATACTTGTATTCATCTCAACCTGTACTATACATTACCCATATATACATACGTACTTGTATAATTTGTACATACAACACTCTCTTTTTTTGCCCTTAATATCTCCATTAACACTGATTTCTTATATTCAACTTTGATTTCTTATAGTCCAAGGCCTACAACATACAAAAATGTGAAACTCTGTTTTCTATTACACAAACTCACTAGGGATTGACCCGCGCCCAGCACGGGGTGATGGTTTCCGAATTTGTATTTTTATTAAAAGATGTTTTTTGGTAATTTATTAAAAAATGTTTATTTAAATATCTCAAAATTTTATGCGACGGATTTTTAATCTTTGTTAGATTATTGCCTTCGTTTATTCGTTTATAATATGAAAATTAAGCATTTTAAATTATTTTTTAAAAAGGTAAATAGATTAAAGTCTTGAACATAGTCATATATTAAATATGATAGATTTAAGCGAGATATATGAAATTCAAATGACTACAGTATAATAAGTTAGTTTAAAGAACAAAAAAAAGTGAAAATAAAACATTATTCTTTACAAAAATTTATACTGTATTTTATAAAATAAGAAGTCTTAGCTGTGTGCACAGATTAGAACTATTTTTTTTTCTTTTAAAACTAAAACACGGATTAAAATCAATTTTTTTTTCTTTCTTTCAAAACTAAGACATGGATTAGAACTATTTTTTCTCTTTCTTTCAAAACTAAAACATGTTTTATTATAATTTCAAAACAATTCAACCAATAAAAAACAATATATATGATCTAAATTGTTAACAAAAATACAATTAACTTTATATTGAAGGTTGAAACAGATGGAATAATATTCAAATTTTTAATCAAAGTAAAAATTTATAAAAGAATTTTTTTATTCAATTTTATTATAGAATTTAATTAAAAACCATATTAAATAAAATAAAAATAATAATTTACTTTTAAATACCTAGGTTACACTAAATGAGATTATATACTAAACAACTTGATTATTTTGTTTTTAAAAATTCAAATCATAGCATATACAGAAAAAGCTTTAGATTTTCTTTATTAGTTTTTTATATTGTGATTCATATTATTTTATAAAATAAAGTTGAACAAAGATGATAGGGATATATAATGATTTTAAAAAAATTATTATGATAGAATTCAATTGAATTTCATATCTTCCTTATTTACTTATTTTCGTAATTGTCAATTAAGGAAATAATATAATAATAAATGGATGGTAAGCATAATATGCAATGACAAATTTGTAATTTCTCTAGTAAAACTTGTCTTAATTAGAAATTGGGCTGAGAATGAATATGGTGATGACACATCAGCAGTGGCACTCTTGTTAATAACACAATGGACAAAGGTTATTTAGTTAGTGTTTTCTCTTTTATATATTAGGGATTATACATAGTGAGCAGCAAGCATGTAAAGTGTACATCTTCACTACTTATTATAACGCAAACATGAAATTTCAAACTATCTTAGATTTTGCCTTGTTCATCTCAAATAATCTCGTACGCGTAACAAAAACCAAAACCCATCAAAGCTTTGAGAAAGGTTTGGCGAGAGAGCCGAAAAATGAAGACGTAGGTGACACATACGGCAACTTCCCGGCGAATTCGTCACCGGAGCTTTCTTTTGACTTTCTCTCATCTTCTTCCTCTCCTTTAATGGCTTCCTTCTCCGCATCGTCCACCATCTGCTCACAGTCACGCTATAACTCAGACAAACAAACAAAAAATTCTCATCTGGTGGTGAAGTAAAAGTTTTTAAAAACCTAACCTTTCCGGTGACGGCAGGAGAGAGAGACGGAAAAATGACAGCCAGATGGGTTTTAATCCGGTGCAACGCGTCTTTCGTCATCCCCTGCGCCGCTCCGGCGAAATCCTTAACCATGCCTTCCAAAAACTGTCTAGCGTTTTCCAGCGATTCCGACGGAACCGAAGCAGCCGCTAGTTTCTCAAGTACCCTATCCTTAACCGACGCAAGATTCTTCAACCCCAGCATCTTCCTCTCCTCTTCCTCTGAGATTTTCTTAGGACTAGTGGCGATTTTGATCGCGTGGTCAGGAGAATAAAGTAGACCCTGGCCCACGTTTTCGTCGGGTTTCGTAGCGATTTTGATCGCGTGGTGTGGAGAGTACAGCTTCCCCTGGCCCACACCGTCCGACGCTTCCACGCCGTCTGATTTCGTGGCGGAGATTCGCTGCTGATGATGATCCATCGGGTCTCCTCCCATTTGTTCTACACAATGTTGACAGTTAAAAGTAACTATCTTTTGGGTTTTTCTGTGTCGACACGAACAGAGCAAAGCCACTTAAAAATCTGTGGAAATTTTTATCCGGTAATTCTGTTTATTTGTTTCCCGGCAAAATGAACAGATGAGAAATTGTGTTCTCGTGACACGTACGCGTGCCACTTCATGACGTGGCAACACGTGGATTCCTTTGAACGTTAATTGAGCTAGTCATGACTACTAGATAGATAATGGGCTTTGTTCAGTTTGTGGAATTAAATGACAAAGGCCCATTATGTGGGTAATGGGTAACCGGATTTTTCTCGGACCCGACCCGACCCTGAATTGAAACAAAAGAGAAGGGGAAACACAGAGGCGGCTTTGGAAGAAGAAACAACAGTGGACTGAAGCAAAGAGAAAGGAAGAGAAGAGAGAAGAAAGATGAACAAGAAGGAGATCTTCAAGCTAGCAAAGGGTTTCAGAGGAAGAGCGAAGAATTGCATAAGAATTGCGAGGGAGAGAGTGGAGAAAGCTCTTCAGTACTCTTATAGAGATAGGCGGAATAAGAAACGTGAGATGAGAGGTCTCTGGATCGAGCGAATCAACGCCGGTTCTCGCCAGCACGGAGTACGTTTTTCCTTTCCTTCCCCAGATTTCGTTTAGGGTTTCTCCTGATTGCTTCCCGTAACTGCTAGTTGATTTGATTCAGTTTCCTTCTAGTTACGGGATTTATAAATTACAATTAGCTCAGAAATGAAGTTTTTTTAGATAGTGGTTGATTTAATTTGCAGTCTAGCTCAGTTTCCGTTAAGCCCCATGATCAAAGCTTTGGGATTTAGTGTTTTGTTATGTAAATTTGGGTGCTTGGTTCACATTTGTTTTGTTCTTAAGTTTCTCATTTTTATCAATTCTGTGAAGTTGTAGTCTTGTTTCCGTTGTCGGATCAAAACATGGAAATGAAAAAGTTTGGTTGAAATAGGTGAACTACGGTAACTTCATCCACGGACTGATGAAGGAGAACGTACAGCTGAACCGGAAAGTCCTCTCGGAGATATCTATGCACGAACCTTACAGCTTCAAAGCACTCGTCGATGTCTCCCGCAAGTCCTTCCCTGGAAACAAGAACGTCGTCCAAGCATCTCGGAAAGTAGACATGTCATCCATCAAGGCCTAGTTTTAGAACCAAGTTCGTTTCATATCTCTCTCTCTCTCTCTTCTTGTTCTCTTTCAATAAGAACACATACACATTTTTGTTATTTGTCTGAATCTCATGTACGCTTGATGACTACTTTCGAAATCTTGAGAGAATGTATTTCTTCTTCTTATTGGTTTTGAGTAAAGAAAAATTGAATTAATCACCTAAATAGCTATAGTCCTAAACCCCTAAGCGACGGAATAGTGTGTTTTCTTCACATCATTTGTTACGGAAGAAACAAATAGCGGAAGCGTGAATCAAAAGGAACAACGCCGCATTTGCTACTAGATGAGTCAAGAAAACCCCACCGTTGTCTTCGGTGAATACACTGCTCAACAAACGCAGCGTGGCGAGGAGGCAAGTGCCTTGAAATCCACAGAGCGACCTTGCTGTCATCAACAAAGTTCTTAGCGAAACAGTGAAGCATTTTGGGTACAATCAACTTCCCTTTAGGGCTCACTCCCACTGACGCCTGGATATAATCTTTCTGAGCTTCTTCAAGCTCCTCTTCTACGTTCTCGGCAGAGTATATCCTCACCTGCAAGCGAACTCTGTGAGAAATCTGTTCAACTAATCTGATGTGAATTCCAGGATGGATATGGAAAGGTTACCGCAGGCGATGAATGCATTCCGCAGCTGAGAGCGAAAGAGACAAGAGGTTCGTGTGTACTTAGCCCTGCCGGTCTCTGTTCTTCTGTTGCTTTCAGTTTGAGAATGGAGAGAAGCAGAGCCTGAACGTTTAGGTAAGAGGATTTAGAATAGTAGTTAGTGAAGAAATTGCAGAAACTATAGAGGTTTAAGCTGAGTTTAAGTACGATTTGAGGTCGGTGCAGAGGAGGGTTCATCTTTAGAGTCACGTATTCGATCGTTGCTGCATTGTATGAATGCCCACCAACTGTATAAGCAGCCTGAAATCAGAGACTTTCATTAACCTCTGTCCGAACCAAACCAAGAAGTGTTTTTAAGTAGTTTTGTGTGTGGAGATCAAACCTTTTGCATCAAAGAGAAGAGCTTTAAGTCGGTTTTTGGTACGCCATAAGCCAAGTATGCCTGAATCAGACAAATTTGGAAATTGTAAATTTGCATCTCTGAAATCAAAACTGAGGGAAATTTCAAAGACATTATTACATGCATGATCAAGGCATTGTAGATGTTGATCCAGAAGGCGAGCTTCTCGTTGTGGCTTAGTTCTGTGGGATTTACTCTTGCAAGTCTTTCGACGAGGTTTCTGTAATGATAAATACCACATAAGAGTTTTATCAAAGTTCCAAAGAACCATAACTGAATCTTAAACTGTGTGCTAATCAGTACCTGAATCTCCATAACTCCTCTGAAGCATAACCGAGCCGTTTCTCCTCAACAGACATGGAAGCCACTTCAGTAGCGGATCTGTAACTTCCTATATCAGCCCAGCAAAGCTTTCCTTGGACTCTATACGGATCAAACACGTTGCTGCTCTCTGTTGCTAAAACATCAGAATTCTTCTGAATGTCGATTCTTGGGCTCTGTACCCACTTGGAGATCCGCGAGTGTTCTGAAGGCGACCACCATGTTGATGTTGATGATGACGATGGATTCTTGCGGTGTAAGATTCCATTAGTCTCTTGTGAGGATTTGGAACCAGCAGATGTCTCTCCGAGGGATACAAATATGTTCCTCATGCATCTTATCATCTCCTTTGATAGCTCATTAGCGTTATCACAAGTTCGCAAAGACTTTGCCGGTTTGGTTTTAGGTTGTGCTTTGTGATCTTTGCGCCGTAACGTTTCGTTCTTTTCGGAAAATCTAGCCAATTCTGTAGCATTCTGGGGGAAACAATCTCTATAGTCAGGCTAATCGCAAGCACACAAAGATTAGATTAGACAAACATGAGCATTTGGTTAACATACAGGTGGAGACAGAGAATGCGTGAGGCTGTACTCGGCGAGCTTTCTCTCGTTTCGTTCTTGAATCAGCAAGAAATGAAGAGACATGATCTCTTGTTCGAGCTTAGAGACCGTAGCTTCCATAGCTACTATATTGGACAGAAGTTGTTGAACCTGCAAACGTGTTTCTTAGGATCATGCTTTTATCTATGAACGTTGCAAGTTTATAGAGCTTAAGAGATGATGTAAAAACATACGCTACGTGGAAGAGAAGATGTGTGAGACAGATCAATCTTGTGGCTTTGATCAGAAGCTTTCAGCAAAAGAGTGCGTAGTGTAGTCTCTTTTTGCAGTTGATCTTTTAATCGCTTCACCTGTTTTATACCAGAATTGAGGTCTGAGCTCTAACAAGTTCTTAGAGATTTCTCTAATATTTACACAAGAGGTGAGTGAAACTCACATCTTGCTCCAGTTCGAATCTGTAGAGGTGATGAAACTTGCTGTTCTTCGGGGAATCAAGAACATCTATCTCTCTAGTAACATTCTTTGGCTAGAGAAAACAGAGTCATAAGAAAGTGAGTTTAAGGAATAGTTAGGAGGAAATGAAAAGAATAGAAAAATTCATTGAGGTAACAGCTTGAGGAGCAAGTTACTGTTAAGTTCTTTCATCTGAATTATAACAAATCTGAACCTGCGAGAGATTAACGGCTTTGGTCTGAGAGAATCTTGACAAAGAGCTTCCACTGCATAACATAACAGTCAAGAATTAGGAAGAAACTGAGAGGAGGAAGAAGATGAATCAATATTCAGACAGGGACAATAAACTGATTAAAGGAATGAAAGATTACTGTTTAGATGCGAGCAGAGAGTCTCCAGACATTGTATTGTATGATCAATAAAATTGACGTTGTGTCGGTGTAATAACTCAGTCTGGATCTCTCCAGGCGGTTAATGACTCAACAAAATGAGATTAAAGCAAAGAAGAGAGAGAAGAGAAGAGAAGAGAGAGAGAGAGAGAGAGAGAGAGAGAGAGAGAGAGAGAGAGAGAGAGAAAGAGCTTGAGACATCTGTGAAGAAGAGTTGAATAGGATCGGGTCCAAAGAGAGAGTCAATAAATGCAGAGAGAGGTTTTAGCTATTTGTCACTTTCATCACAGCCCCATTGCACGAGTTGTTCTACCCAAAATAACAGAGTAAATATTAAAGCTTCAACCTTTTTCTTCCCAAGGAACTTTCAACCTTTCAAGTAATTTAAATTGATTGGTTAATTATTATTATTAGCCTTTTTCTGAAAAAAATGATAATGATATGTCTTTGATTGTTTGTTTTCACGTTATGGAAGTTGGAATATAAAAGGAGATTGCTTTTTTAAAAAGAGAGATGCAGAAGATATGATTGATGTTCAAGGCTTTAAAGCCAAATAACATAAATGAACAACAATAAATGTCGTTGCCGATTAAAGTTAAAAATATTCAAATAAAATAGAAAAAACAAAAATGGTAGCAAAGTTGAGGAATCTCCATTAAAGCACCTTCCCACTACATGTACGATAATCCATAACACAAATATACATTTGATATTTTTCATACTCTCATCACCTCCAATCGAAATAATTGCTCTGATTGGGAAACTGTTTCCAGAAATGTTGAGCCAAACAAATATTCTACATCCATTGAGTAGTATTATTTTGGTTGAAGTTTGCAAGACACTCGTAGATAAAAGGACGAGCGAGTTTATTGTCTACTTCTACATGAAATTAAATAGATAGAGATAAAAAAAATCTACTTTTTTGTCTCTGAATTTTATACTAATGTATTTTTTGTGAATATGTTTTTGTACGTTCATTTTGAAGGGTTTTTAAAAAGAGAGGTAACCAGAAATCTCTTCCTTAATATTTTAGCTTTATATTTGTTTTTTTTGTGGTTTGTGTAACTCCGAAATTAGATTCTCATCCAAAAATATAAACTTCAAATAACATCCATCAAATAAGAAACTAGCCAAAATAGAAAATTTTCTCGACTCATTACATTATCTATTTTTCTTCGTATCTATAATTTTTTTTTCTAATTTCCTCCAAATATTACATCCACTAAGGAAAAGTACGAAATTTTCTCCATTTGTGTTACTTTTTCCTTTCACAAAAAACCAAGAAGAAAAATAAGAAGACGAAGAAAGACAACAATGTGGCTACCGAAAGCAGAAGGGACAAGTAAAGGAACAAGGAGTGGTTCTGTGGCTGTTGCAATTGACAAAGACAAAACAAGCCAAAATGCTCTCAAATGGACAATGGAGAATCTTTCTGCTCGTGGCCAAACTCTTGCTCTTATTCATGTCGTTCCCAAATCTCAATATTCTCCAGGTTACATTACACATCTTCTCATATTCCATTAGGGCTTTCTTTAAAATTTCATCATCGTTTGCTCAAAGATTCTTGCGCAAAGTTCGACTTTATAGGTTTTTGCTCTCTGGGAAATGCAGACATTGAAGAGGGAGTATCACATAAGCAGCAAATGGAGAAGCAAACGAAAGATCTCTTCGTATCCTTCCATTGTTACTGCAGCCGCAAAGAGGTAATAACATCTGAATTGAAGGCTTACCAAAACCGGTTTAATATTTTGGTTGAATCAAACTTTTTTGTTTGAATTTCTGCAGATCAATTGTTTGGACGTTTTGCTTGAAGACGTAGACAAAGTCAAAGCAATTGTCGAATATGTTACAGTTTCTGCGATCGAAAATCTAGTCCTTGGTGCTCCATCAAGGAGTAGCTTTATGAGGTAATCAAATTGGTTAGGGTTTCAGACTGATTGATTTGATAGATTGCTTGCGAAGGAAGATAACTAATATTAGGGCTTCCTTTTTCAAAATTTCGATCCTCAACAGAAGATTCAAAACGGATTTACCAACAAGTGTATCAAAGGCAGCTCCAGATTTCTGCAATGTTTTCGTCATTTCCAAAGGAAAAATCTCCTCCGTACGAAACGCATCGCGTCCTGCTCCTTACCATCCATCAGTTCTTAACGAATTCGCCAATCAAGAAACTATGGCCTCTGAGAAAAAACATAAAACACGTGAGTTTTAACCTTTGAGAGGGAATGTTACTTGCGTTTGAAGCAACTCAAGCACATTCGTTAACTCTTCTTTCACCTTTCTTGTTTTCAGCAGCTAACACACAGGCATTGCCTAGAGGGAGAAGATCCGTTGATTCAGATGTTACAAGGTATTATATTGTCTGATTACTAAACGAAAAAGTCGAAGTCTGTAAAGTTTCTTGAGTGTGATTTGCTTAACAATTTCGGAATCTTGGTTTCAAATATTGTTAGGTTTCCGAAACCGCCACAAGGACATATGAAACTAATGGGGGATTTCTCAGATTCAGAGTCCGAATTCTCATTCATAAGTGCTTCACAACACGAATCCGACATGTCGTTTATCAGCTCCGGGAGGCCAAGTGTAGATCGATCTTCTTTCAGCCACGATTTACCGGAATCAGCAAGAACCTCAAGAATGTCAACGAGTTCAGAGCAGAGCATTGGCTCAAATAGATTAGGAATCAAGTTTACGGATTTGAGTTATCTCAATGGCTCTTCTTCGGTTTCTGATGACAGTGGAAGAACTTCTTCCTATTCATCTCAGAGCTTGGTAAAAGTTAAAACTCAAAAATCATAAAAATTACTCATATATAACACTTGCTGCTTACACATTCAATGGAAATGTTTGTGTTTTGTTGCAGGATGATGTTGAAGCACAAATGAGGAGACTGAGATTAGAGCTGAAACAAACAATGGATATGTATAGCTCAGCTTGCAGAGAAGCTTTAACAGCAAGGCACGAGGCGTCGGAGCTACAAAAGCTGAGATCAGAAGAGGAAAGAAGAATGGAAGAGCTAAAGATGACAGAGGAAACAGCAATGTCAATGGTGGAAAAGGAGAGAGCTAAAGCCAAAACAGCCGTGGAAGCTGCGGAAGCTGCAAACAGGCTTGCAGAAGTGGAAGCAAAGAAAAGGGTTACCGCGGAGATGAAGGCACTGAAAGAAAGCGATTCCTTCTCTCGACATAGCATCGTCCGATACAGAAAGTACAGCGTTCAAGAGATTGAAGAAGGTACAGCGAATTTCGCAGAATCAAGAAAAGTTGGAGAAGGAGGTTATGGTCCTGTCTTTAGAGGTCATCTTGATCACACAAGTGTTGCTGTTAAGGTTTTACGCCCTGACGCTGCTCAAGGAAGATCACAGTTTCACAAAGAGGTAAAAACTTGCTAACCTAACCCAGCCTCTCAATTAACTTGTGTTGCAAGAAAGGTTATTAAATTTTGAAACTTGATGATTTGTTTTTTGTTTGGACACGTTAGGTTGAAGTACTAAGCTGCATAAGGCATCCAAACATGGTGCTTCTGTTAGGAGCTTGTCCAGAATATGGTATTCTCGTCTACGAGTACATGGCCAGAGGAAGCTTAGACGACCGTCTTTTCAGACGTGGAAACACGCCGCCGATTTCGTGGCAACTACGTTTCAGGATCGCTGCTGAGATCGCTACGGGTCTCCTCTTCTTACACCAGACCAAACCAGAACCAATTGTGCACAGAGACTTGAAACCGGCAAATGTACTTCTCGACCACAATTACGTCAGCAAGATCAGTGACGTGGGGCTCGCGAGGCTCGTCCCCGCGGTTGCAGAGAACGTGACTCAGTACCGAGTCACGTCAGCTGCAGGAACGTTCTGTTACATCGACCCTGAGTATCAACAAACCGGAATGTTGGGTGTGAAGTCGGATGTTTACTCACTAGGAATCATGCTTCTGCAGCTTTTGACGGCGAAACAGCCGATGGGTTTAGCTTACTACGTGGAACAAGCGATCGAAGAAGGAACGTTGAAAGATATGCTTGATCCCGCGGTACCGGATTGGCCAGTAGAGGAAGCTTTGTCACTGGCGAAGTTATCGCTACAATGTGCAGAGCTGAGAAGAAAAGATAGGCCTGATCTTGGTAAAGAGATCATGCCTGAGCTTAATAGGCTTAGAGAGATTGGTGAAGAGAGTCTTGAGTCTGTGTATTATGCTGGACAAGGACGGTCTTCGCATCCTAGTCAAGTTTGTTATTCATCGGTAAGAGTAATTTTTGAAGACATTCTTATCAGATTAGATGTCTTTATTATTCTCTATGATGTGTTTGATATTTTTGTATGTCTTTGTGTTTGGGGATTGTAGGACGGTAGGAGTGTTCCGTTAATGTCGAATACAGGAGCTTCTATATCAAACCCATAGTTTTTGAGGAATCTGGTAAGATAATGACTCTTAAGTTTTATTTCTGAATCTTGTTTAGATAAAACTCAAAATTGACATTTGGATTTGTAGGAGAGAAACTTGAGTAGAAGAAGAAGCCAATAGCAATTTGTTCAAGAAAGAAAAAGATTGCTTGTTTGAGCTGAAGCAGGAATGTGTCTTTGATTTAGAAGCCAACAAAAAAAGTGTTGTATTTTCTAGTAATGAAACAATATGTGTATATATTTGTACATAAATTTTTCAATGCACATTCTGTCGGTGAAAATATGAAATATATACTTATTTAAAGATTAATCTTTTCACAGTGAAGCAACATGTTCGTCGACACGTAATTCACAGTAAAAACAACGTGGGAACGTTCTAACGTTGACAACAAACAAAAACTTTTTTTATTGAGTGTTTAAAAGGAGAAGTATTTCTCCAAAGTTGAAAAAGATTTTGTCTGTGTGAGAAGTGTAACAATGGGACAAGGTAAAGAAATTAAGACGAGACCAGATCCTCAAATTGAGATTCAGGTTTTATGTTACCTTGTCTGTTTTCATTTTAAAGGCTGGTTTTAAGATTCTATTGCTCTGTTTCTTGATGACCCACTCGTTTTGATAATCAGGAAAGAGGAGAAATATTCTTCTTTTATAGGCCAAAGGTTAACAAAGAAGAAGTTCACAGTGTGGACGATGTTCAAAGGCTATACATAGTGATGCGTCCAGAGTCTGGTGAGAATCCCGTTGAGGAGAAACAAGACCCTCTCTCTGGTAAAGAAGGTTCCGATAAAGATTCCGGTGACGGAGACAAGAACAGTAGCTCCTCCGACGCCAAGAGAGAAGTTGAAGGAGGACATGGCGTTGAGGTAACAATACACTTACGGATTAATTAATCTCTTACTTAACGAAAGATTTCTTATAAGTTAATCTCCAGTTGTTTTCAAATTTTTATTTGTGTAGAAAGTGAACATAGAGAAACAGTTTCTCTTACGATTCATTGTGATGGGTAAGAAAACTCTTCCCGATCCGAGCAAGAAATCGCAACCTTTTTGGGGATTCGTGGAGATGGTGACGACGAGTGTGGAAGATGTTAAAACTGCTCTCAAAGGAGAGGAGTACGAGACGAAGACTCGAGGACATAGGCACAAGCCGGCGGCGAGAGCTGTCGGAGAAGGAATATACCGAATTCTCCGACATAAACCAAGTCCGACAAGAAAACACCATACACATCTTGTTTATAAGCTCGAATTCCCATCAGGATCGCAGACCAGAGAACACGAGCCACAAGAGTCGATGAACATTGAACCGGAAGGCTCCTTCTTGATCCAGATACGAAACCCGGAGCAAAGAGGAGGAGGAAGAGGGTTTGGTGGGCTGAAGAGAAAGAGAAAAGCCCAGTTTCCAGCCCATCTTCAGGCCCATTTAGGTCATACTCGGTTTGGGGCAGCTGACCCGCCCGATTTCCTGAATTACGAAGGATGCGAGTTTTTACTGATCTCGGCGTCTGATGACATAGAGGAAGAGTTAGGGATGGAGTTGGAGCCTGACGGTGATGGCGATGAGTCCACTTGCGATCTTTTAAAGACTTTTGGTGACGATGTTGAAGCTACTCCGCTACTTCGGGGTACATGGGACTGATCTGATCAGTCGATGTTCACTAATATTTCAAGTTAGATGATGATAACTGATGCAGTAAACTAGTAATGTTTAAAGCATGGACGACTATAGGAATATAAACTTTGTAGGACTTTGTGTTTGTTACTTTTAGTAAAATGGTGATGTGTTCTCACGGTAAACTTTTTGTATTAAATCTACCTAACCTGTATTTTTGGTTCTGGTAAAAATGATGAATTTTTCCTAGTTTCAAACTCCGAAACAATGTGATCACGTAGACCTAACATACGTTATTAGCCAAATAATTAAAAAGCAAAGATTCACACGTAAAGCAACGTGTGTGTAAACTATTGGTTAAAATGTAAATGTCATCGACTCTTAAAACCAGAAAAAATGTCATTGACTCATGGGTAAGTGCTTCGTATCATTAAAATCTAAACAAAACTAACCTCATTTATTCAAGATGACACGAACCAAAAAGGCAAAATTCAATGTAACCATGAGGCATGAATTCATAACCTATCTACTCACCTGTATGATGCAAAATTCAATGTAACATTGACAATAATCTGGTCTAATGACGTTCAATAACGTTGGAATGGTTAGATTATCATTTAACAACAGCAACAAAATGATTACTAATTTCACACTATTCGTCAGCCCAAGCCCAACAGACGGTCCACTGCGACTATATTACGAAAAGTTAAAACATTTATTTTGCCTAGAATCAAATTATATTATCTTCCATCCCCATTTCCATCTCAAACCCAGGAGCTGTGTACTTCAAAAATCAGTCAGATAAGCGAATCAAATTCAGTTTGTGTCTCCGGAGAAGAAGAAGAGGATGAAGCAACCAGCAATACCGAACGCGGCGGAGGAAACCAAAGCAGAACAAAACCAGTCCGGAGTGAAGCAGAAATCGAAGAAATTCCCAACAGCAACGGAGCTAATCTCTCACTACCAGAAAAGAGGGCTCGAACCAGCCGAAGCATCGGTTAAGGTCATCGAAGACCTACAAAATGCCCTGGTCCGAGTCGTTTCGTCCTCGAAGAACGCCTCCAGTAAGGATAAGCTTGTAACCGACGCGAGGAAAATCGACGCCATTAACGGAAGGCTTGCTGTCGTCGACGCCAAGTTGGAGACGAAACCTGGATACGTTGAGACTTTTGTGTTAGGGTTAGCTTCTGGTGCGGCGCTTAACGGAGTTAACGCCGTCTGGCCTCATGTTACCAAAGGCATTGGCCAGGTTTGGTCCGCCGTTAAGAGCGGTACAGATCCGTCATCGGCCTCTTGAAATGTTAGATAGGAATATCATCCAAATGATTTGGTTTCTTATGAGTTTTTTCTTCCCGGTATTGTATTAGCGAAATTGAATATCAGTGAGTCAGTGACTTCAGTTCAGTTTTACTACTGTTCGAAAAAGAAAAAAATATTACTTTTATCAAAAGAAAAATAATTATATACAGAACAAGAACAAAGTGAACTCCAAGCAAACAACTTTACAGCCAAAATTTTGCAATTGCAGTTACCAAATTTTCAAAAAACATAGGCTATTCATTATAGGTTAGCCAAAATTTTCTCCCAAGTGCTATTTTTTTTAGTAAATGAGAGAACCTATGATGATGCCAGAGGAATGTATAAAACGTACCCAGAAAACTGGCAATTAGCAACCGGTTCACGATTGTGGGAAATAACATTTGTGAAATCAGTGTTTTCTTGTTATCTTTGTTTACTGTTGTTCTTGGTGGAATCTGCAAATAAGGAGAGTGAATTCAAAGGTTTCAGCGTTCAGAAACAAGAGCATTCGAGGCAAAACATCAATAATCAAGAGATCAGGAGTGAAATGAAATATTACCTTTGATCGCTTTAGGCGGTCTTGGGTGACTGCTTGCAGCTGAGCTTGGGGACCGAGGTCGCTTTGGAGGCTTGGGCTTATGTGAAGGGATCAGAGACGAATTTAGAATGGCAGCAACAGCTTCACGCTGCTGTTTCCGTTTGGATATCATATCTTCAACACCTCCTTGATTAGAAGCATTGCCTTTGTTTATTTGTCTCTCTCTCTGTTCACTTTCATCTGTGGGACTCGCCCTCTTGTTACTGTCAAGCTTAAATTTCTTAGATTTCTTCAACGCCTTTGGATCTTCGTTCTTCGAAGTATCTACATCTGTATTCTCCGGATTACTGCTTTTCTCTGTACCTTTCATTTTTCCTCTCTTCTCTTCGCTCCGTTTAGGATTCACTTCAGATGTTACTTTCTCGCTGCTCGGAGCTACTTTTTCCCTTTGAGAAGACGCTTCTTCTTTGGTTTTTCTTCTGCTGTGCTTGCTATCTGATCCTTTAGATGAGAGAGCCGCATCATCTCCATCAGATTTCCTCATTTTTCTATCAGAGGATGTCTCTGTTCTCTGTTCTTTGCGGCGCGAATGCTGTTTCTCAGGCTCAGGAAGATTCTCAAAATGCTTTTGTTCTGCGTTTTTCTCGCCAAACATGAAGTTGTACGGTCTCCTAACTGGTATGATGACATCTCTTTCCTTTGCATCTTTCACAAGTGCACCCCAGTTATGGTCTCTCTGCAAGGTTCGCGTGTTACCCAAAACCCAAAGGGAGAGTCTGGCTCTTGTGAGAGCAACATTCATCCGTCTAACATCAGCAACGAAACCAATCCGACTTTGATTGCTCCCCTCAGGACCAGAATGAGTAGCTCTTACAGTGGATAACACTAATATGTCAACCTCTCTGCCTTGAAAGCCATCCACAGTATTCAGTTCCATATCTGCTGCTACTTGAGCTCCAAATGCGCTAGAGAAACGAGAACGCAAAACCGCAAGCTGACGTTTGTAGGGAGTAATAATGCCAATCCTTCCAGCGACAAATTCAGAAGGGTATCTGCAAGCAACCAGCCAGCCAGCCAAGATAGTAATATTAGATAAATTTTTAAAACGTGTGTGAAAAGAGAGCTTAAGATGATTAAAGACCTCTTTTTGAAAAATCTAAGCAGTTGAACAGCAGCTTCAGCTTCTTGTTCATTGCAGACAGAGCTAGAATCCCCACTTCGATTCTCTTGGCCATCAACAATATCATAGAAAACATATGGTCCAAGGTAATGGCTCTCGTGAAACGGGGCTGATTTGCTTGACATGTCGACACCGTTTAGCAACTTATTGTCGTAGAAGTGCAAAGACGGGAATCGAGAAATCTCTGGATGCATCCTATACTGTTAATAGCAGAAAAGTGTAAGGCAAATTTCCAGTTTAAAACAAACTTCATATCATTTAAACAAAACAAAGAGAAAATAATGTGAAGGAAGAACTTCCAAATTAAAACTGAGGGCCCAGAAAATGAAACAATCAACATACCTGCTGGGTAAGCATAAGGATAGGGTACCCAGCCCTTTGTAAGCGTTCAAACATGCTGCATTCATATAAGAATTTACTTGCAATGTTGGATAGAACAGTTGCTGGAAGCTGCTTTGGATCTCCAACCTTCAATATTACGCAAGGTTATTAAATGAAACTGAAATTTCATAGAATATTATGTCACGCAAGTGAAGGATTCTCACCATTATGCATTTTGTTCCTCTTGACCTTAACAGCTGTAGAGGAATCAAAGTAGCTGGCTCCAGAGCCTGTAAAGCCAAAAGAGCAAAGTAAACATCAGTTGTGAAGAGATCATCTAATCATCTATGTAAATCAGTGAAGCATATAGAATATTCACCTGAGCTGCTTCGTCTATCACTACGGCGTCGAATAAATTATCTTCAGATGGATTGCCAAACTTATGGGATGACAAAGATTCAGCACACACATTGTACAAGTCTCCTCCACACCCGCTTAAAGTCGTAACGACTATCTGAGCTTCCTTCAGAATTGACTTCCGCAACTTATTTTTCAATTGTCTGATTTCATTGTTAGCTTTTCTCTCTTGAGCTTGAACAGCACTAAGATCTTTGTAAATTTTTCTCTTCTGCTCATATAGCCTCCGCAATCTTATTCCTAGCTCTGCATCAGACATTGGCTTGCCATCATCATCTTTGTTGAGGTTTTTGTTCCCCAGCTTATCTTTGGCATCCAAACTTTCCTGGTTTAAGTTTGCACGCTTAGCTTCAAAATGGGTGATTTGATCAACAACCTTTTCTAAGTTACAGCGCAGTAACGCAGAAGAATCTGCAGCTTTATTGTTCTTCGCTTTGTTTATCCGCATTTTCTCCTCTGCTAAACGTTGATCGACAAGGGTATCGAGAAAGAAGGGCATTGAATTGGCATGAACAGTTTTCGCATTTCCAACTCTCACAAGATACGGTTTGAACATCTTCCCATCCCTGCCATAAATGCCTAAACTCGATATACGTGAAACTAATTCATCAACTGCAGCATTTGACTGAGCGCAGATCAGTACCCTTCCCCTACCAATCTTTTCTCCCATCTTTTTATTTGTTTCCCCGTCATCATCTAGCTGCTTAGCCAGAGCTGCCTCTTGCCATACCCTTGCAATTGCTACATTCGGATTCATTCTCTGCCTAGAAGTTGTAGAAGAACTATGAACGTGCTCAGAATTTCCATTATCACCTGTTTTACGTGACACTGATGCAAGCAAACCACTAATAATAGCAACAATAGTGCGAGTCTTGCCAGTTCCTATCAAGAAAACAAATCTTGTTTAATATTCAATCAAAGGTCAACAACTAGTATGTTAATCATTCTACCCGAGCAAAAGATTATAGTAGGTCATTAGTGACAAGGAAAGAAAATGACTAACCTGGAGGACCTTGAATAAGTGAAATGTCAAAATCTTTTGGCATATTGGATGAACCAATGGCAACACTAATAGCCTGAAGTTGGCTTTCATTGAAAGATGATTTGAGTATTTGCTGTAGAGAATTTGGTAGCGAACGCAGATCTGATCTTTTAATTTCAGAATCATAGTTAGAGTCACTCATAGGACTTAAGATCACAGGTAAAACGGGAATATCCTTGATGGATGACAAAGCTTGAAACTCTCGAATTTGGGATGTAATGTTTAGAATGCGACTTGCATGCCACTGGCTACGATCCAAGAGATTCCTTCTAGCTTGATTTAGTCGTGAAGATCCATTCTGAAGATACAAGCGAACATTCAAAATACTGGACCGTTTTTTATCATCCCATTCCCGTCCTTCCACCTAAGAAAGAGAAAGGTCAGTGAAGATCAGAATGAAGTCTGAGAAATTAAGTGAAAAAGAACAAGCCAACAAAGGTCAAATCTTTGTCCTGATTACTGTCTCACTATAAAGTATTTTACCCAACAACTAGGTTCAAGTATTAGCACATCAGGAATAACCCTTTACTCATAGTAAACCTAACTAAATCAATTTGTACTGAAGCTTCAAACTAGGTTCCTGCCTATACCAAATCTGCTACTAGAGCACCTTAATGGATTTTAAGCATATGCTTTCCAGATTCTAGTTTATCACGCACAAGCAAGCAAAGCAAAATACAACATACCTTTCCCATCATATTAACACCGACGCTACTGTTTTCTGGATACTCTTTTGTGAACAAAATCAAGTCATTTTCTGAGAAACTTTTCGAGTTGGGGTCATCATTTTCGTCTTGCATAAACCGAACAAAGTGAAAATCATCAACCCTTTCAATTGATAAAACCGACAGAACACCATAATATATCTCCTCCACTGACGATATCTCCTGGAAGGAACTTTGTAACTGTGCTTTAAACTCTTCTAGAACCAAGGGCTGGAAAATCTGTATATACTGCTCAGGTGAGCCAAACCGCACTGGAACTTCCTTAAACTTTCCGACATTCTGATTCTCATCTTTATTTGTCGACGACAATCCCACTATTGCGTAGTAGTCCATTTGCAAAATCTTTCTAAACCAATCTTCAAGCCGTGGTGGCCTGAATCTTTTGAATCCGGCTTCTTGCCTCTGCCACCGGTCAGATCTCTTATTTACAGGCGCACAAAGTTGAATGATTTGTCGTTTGGGGACAATGGGCCCTGGTTTCGCCAGGGGTAATGACTGTGGTTTCAGATGTTTAAGTGCCAAGTCCAGTGGATCAGCCTCCGTCTCATTAACTACCTTTCTTAAATCCACACCTTTTTTGTTGGAAATCGCAGCTTTTTGGGACTCTTTTGAAGTTCCACGCGAGATGACTTCATCAGTAGCATTCTTTAAGTCGGCTCTGTTTTCAGATGAAAGAGGATCTCTCACCTTCTGTCTGTTTTCTGCTTCCCTACTCATACTGCCAACCTTGCTTGGTTCAGCGTTAGTGGAAGGAAGGTTCCTAACAATATTGCTGGAGCTTACTGAAACATCTTTTTCTGAGAGAACTGCCGCTGAAAACTTTGAAGTATCAATGCTAGAAGTACGAACTTTGCTTGGTTCAGCGTTTGTGGTGGGAAGGTTCCTAACAATATTGCTGGAGCTTACTGAAACATCTTTCTCTGAGAGAACTGCCTCCGGAAACTTTGAAGTATCAACACTATAAGTACTCTTCTTCAGAGAGGACACCTGTGGGATGCTTTTAATAGGTGGAAGAGTTTTATTAATATCAAGTTGATGAGACTTATGCAGACTAGGTAAATTCTTCAATGATCCCTTCTCAGTCTCATCTTCTGTTAGATCCACCATATTATCTGGTGTTTTACCAACAACATCAACAGGTTTGAGAATCTGGTACTCATTTGCCTTGGGAACAAGCCGTGATATTTGTTCTGCTAATTGCTCGATGTCAAGATCATCTGATTTAAGAAGAGACAGAGCATGATTAATTCTATCACCAGAGAAAATAATTCTAAATTTCCAATTTGAAACTATTTACAATCAGGAGAATCACTTACCAGAAGATAAAATACGTCTTATAGCCTGGACCGCCGATGAACAAGCGGTACTTTTTGATCCTTGTAAGATGTCCAGCAAAGCCCCTAATGCTCGTCTCCAATACGCAACAACAACTTTAAGTTGTGACCTTCCCCAATCAATGAGATCAGGAAGCCATTTAAGATCGGATGCATCTTTCAAAGCTCCTCTAATATCACAGGAATCTTCACGGCTTAGTCTAAGTTTTCCCAGAACGACAGGAATAATCTCAAGCAAACGTACACATGTCATCTGCCACATAAAATAGATAGGAAGATAAGCAAAAAGCCATAACTCTTTCAAAACACATACGGCTCAAAGATAGACATCCCAAGACCGTAGAATGAAGCACAAGCAATAGAAATATAACAAATTTCCACTAGATTATAGTGTAATACCTGGGAAACACTTTGATGGATGAAAGCCTTTCCCTCAGCTAAGCACTTCCTTATCGCACCCCAGGTAACTTCTGCAAGTGAGTAGAGAAAATTCAGCAACTCCGGGGTGGCACTCAAGGAATTTCTGTTGCCAATCATTGGAGGAGCATTAAAGTCAGGTTGCCTCAAAAATCCCCCTGCAGAACTCTTCACCCCATCACTAATGGCCACATCTTCTTCCTTAAGCAACTTGAATAATAAAAAGAAAAAATGGTGCAGGATCTGAAAGCTTTGTAGAACAGTGCTCAAATGGACCTGCCAAAATCAGCAAAAACAGATATGAGAACAGTCGCAAGTCAGAGATTTACCTCCCAGGAGAAAAATGTAGAAACTCCTGAAAGTAAGTGAACCTCGCAAAAATAGTTTGTGAAATGCACAACGTAGACTTTCAGTTGCTAAAGTGGCAAAGGGTGGACGTTTGTACCCTTAGCAAAGATAGACGCTAAGAATAACACTATGTACGGAGCAGAAAAATGCGGATTATTACTGAACTTGCTTTCCGTGAAAAGTTCAAACTTGATAGTTAATGGAAAACGATCAAAAAGAAGCCCCAATGTTCATAGTGGGAAATTAATTTTTCAAGCCCACACAAACTCGAGCTCATGATTAATCAACCTTGACAGTATATCCTCCTATATGTTGAAGGAAATTTAACTGCTGCCTACCTGCTGTAAAACTTGTCTAGCTCCAGAAAAAACAAATCGTAGGTGTGAACTTTGAGAGCAGAGAAACTTCAGCCCACAAGACAGACCTCTGGTATTTGAAACGTGTTCCAGCATAGACTTTCCAAACTGCCTTATAATCTGTCAACAAAAACAACACTAGCAACATTACTCAACTTTACACGCAGATGAATTTGTGGGTTTAAATATAGAGTATTCATCTCTTGAGATGGTACCCAGCAATCATTAGGTCGTTACGTACATCATCCGGGTCTGAAAGAGAAAGGATGAAGGTTTCGCCCATCCCTGGCACCCAGGTCCACTGTTTTCGACATTCTTCACCCATTTGGACCAAAAAACAAGTGGTCAATCTACAAAATCAAAACCCAAAAGCCTCACTATTACAAATCGTAATAGAGATTTAGCGGCTTTCCGACCACACCAGTGAAATGAAGAAGTACCTCTTCAATGTTCGTATCAACGTAGGACACATCTTTGATACTGTCACAGAGTTTTTGGACTCTTTTCCTGGCCCCCCATCATCAGATCCCGTCGCTAACTTCCATCCAAGCGTGTCTTTGATTTCAACAGCAGAAGATGAAAGCCAAGTTTCGATATCAACCGTCAGTTCATCACTCTTTTCAGATTCCACCAAACAAAAACGCGACCGAGACCAAAATACTGCTTGGGATAGTGATATTGGAAGGTTTAGTAGATTTGTATTTGTAAGAGTAGTAATCCACAGCATCGGAATGCACATCCACTCTTTGCACTCCCCAAGAGTAATTTTGCTCTGCTGGGTAAAGTCAATCCACGGATGATCACTTACATCTTCGACAGCATGGGAAAAGGGAAGATTACTGTCATCATCGTCATATTTCACTTCATTGCCCATATATTTACCAGTATTATTACGTAGCTGCGAAGCTAGTAGGGCCGTTGCATCAGATACAAGGATAACTTGGACAAGATCAATAGCAGGTTGTCGCAATGAAATATGAAGTGAAGAATCTTTAAACGACGACACAAGAGATGGGCCCCTGTCAAATCAGTTGACTTTCATGAATTGTCTATGAGAAAACGTAGTATCCTTACCAACATAGAACTATAATACATAAATATATATAGATACGAAACAAGAATCGCCATACTTACCACATGTGTGCACACTCAAAGGGAGGGCAAGGTGGGTTCATCTTGTAACCTCTGAGGACAATAAGAAGAGCAATCTGGAGATAAATTCAAACATTGGTGAAGATGAAAAAAGATATTAAACTCCAGTATAAAAAAGGAAACACATGTGTGTTAGTAAGAAAGAAGTAGAACTACCTTGTGGCCAATTCTTCTTGCTAAAACGCTGAAGTTACTGCTAACTGGGACCTGATGAAGGAGAAAGTAGAGAAAGTGTCTACGTTGCTTTTCATGCTCACCATCTCGCAAAGCCTCAAGGGACTGGACAAACAAGATATGCATGATATGGCAGAGTAAGTAAAATGAAGTCAAAGAGCCCAAAATACATGAAATCATGTCAATCTCATTAGAGAAATCACATATTCAAGAGAAACTGATTTAAGCTTGCCTGTAGTAATGGCTGGAAAAGATCAAATATGGCTTTGTGGATCTTCTCAGCTCGTGTATGGAAACACTGACCCAACAATGTGTTACGCATCACACTTGGGGACAAGGTAGCCCTAAGCCAGAGCTTACAACCTTTGAGACAACATACGAGAACGTGTCAGCTAACATAATATAGAGCTTCAGGATAGACTGAGTACTTTGCAAAACGACAATACCATACCAAGTGTCTTAAACAGCTCTTTCAGGCAATTAACAGCCAGCGAAAATTCAGGTGAATCACCGCTTATATGATTCAACACTGTATCAACAAAATCGGGGTAAGGCTCTAATATACCCTCTTCAAAAGCAGGGCCTTCTAAGAACTCAAGCCTATAAGAACCAGAATATTCATGAATCAGCAAAATTAGCAAAACATTATAAGAAAGGAACCATAAGAGGAGATTTAGTCACTAACTCTTACAATGATGTCATCCCAAGCCATATTGATGAGCGGTCTAAATAAATCCTTGGCCTTGGTTCCTGAGATGCAGAAGGCAGACCCTCCATCTCCAGAATTCCAATGAACTTCTTGAGCAATGGCTGGAGGCGCTCCAACTGGGTTGCTGACCTGCCATGACAGCAGATAGTATCACATACATGATAGCTATCAAAGTTTCGCAAGCACTAAAGACAGTCCTGAGAACAGAGTTAGCTATGGATTCACTTAGCCTATGTACTAAAAGAAGGAAAGATACCTCAACTTTCCCATGGCCCTCGCCAAGCGATAACCAATTACGCGCACCCTTCTATTGAGGAAAAGGAGTGCATACACACCCTACAAAGGATGGAATACGAAAAATATACCAAGTCAGAGATGTTTAGTTTTGTAGGAAACACAAGAAGCTATCCACAGGAAATGACCATACCGGAAATTCTTGATTTTCAGCAAATGCTAGCTCGTGAATGTTGTCAATTGACTCAATGAATTTCTCAAACTCAGTGCATAAGGACATATCGTCAAAGAAGAACGGAAACATCAAAACCTGACATCAAAACAAAGGCTCACAGTCATTAGATGCCAATCCCAGGATGCAAAAAAATTGGCATGGCCAGGGCTCAAACTGAACAGAAAAATACAAATCAAATCATCAAAGAAAATAATAATCTAGTAATTATCCGAGTAAAAGTCACAAAATCTCAGAAAACATATACTACAGTACCTCATACATTACACTAACAACTTCTGCATGATGAGAATTTGGATCATATGTTCCGTTTTCTACTCTCGAGTTGATCTCTTGCAAGTGCCTAGTCACCCTTTCTTCATCAATTTTTCGCAGCACAGCAAGTAGTGGACCAACAGAAGAGCACTCATACTCTTTTTCATACATCTCTTGAGTCTGATGGTGCTGGCAAATGCATTGGGCACAAAGCCGCATTTCTTCAGAGATCCTCTTCCACAAGACCTTGAGAGGTGAATCATTTCTATCATCTGTGAAGAAATTGTAGAATGTCTCCAGAAGAGGTCCCATTACATCCCCATACCCACAGCAAATATGAGTATCCCTCGGCAGAGATATCAATAAAGTGAATGCATCTGTAAACCTAAACAATATGGAGAAAATTGTCAGCTTTCACTTGAAAATTAGCTGATTTCGGATTTCAATCAATTTAAAAATGAACTATCAGAGCAAGCGAAGGATATAGAAGGAACCATTGTTCTTTGCGCTGGTTAAGGCGTCGTACTGTAGAGGGATCACAACCGTCATTATCCCCTTCGTCTTCCTCGATTCTCCTCCACCGGCTCAAGAGCTCTCCACTTGAGGAAACTTTACTCGACATTTCTTACCCTCTCAATTTAAACAACGGCGGAAAAAATCGAACAGAAGGCGTAGTCAAAATTTAAGTTCCGGCGACGGGAATTAGCGTTTCCGACGTACAGAGGAAGAAGAACCAAATTGAAATTCTTTACTCGAATTTTGTCTCCTCGGCACTACTTTGATTTCGAGAGGAGGACCAATTTGAAAGCCCTTATTTTGTCGCCATTTCCTTAAGAGGGAAATTAAAAAGCGAGCGTAAGAAATTAGAAGACGACATCGTTTTATATGTGCCAAAGATTAGAGCTATTGGGCCTTCTCTATATGGGCTTCTTAGGCGGGAAACCCACCGATCTGATTTGCGCCAAAAAAAACAAGAAAAGAAAATAAAAACAGAAAATAAATTCTCCACTTTGTCGTTCTCCCGTTCTCTGCAAACTCCTCTTTCGATTTCAGGTGATTCACTGATTTGATTTAGTTAGGGTTTTGAGTTTTAAAGTAATGCTTCTGCTTCGATTTTTGTGATTCTGGATTTCAATTGCTTTCCTCCGTGTGGGAATTAGGCAGAGTATGATTCGCAGCTATGGATTCTCTGTTGATTGTTAGGGTATACACTATAGATCTACTATGGCTCCTTAGCGACACATCTGGATTTTGTATTGAAAGCTTGAATTGTGTTCGAGGCTTAGGTCTAGGATCTTTGATTGATTCACGGGTAAAAGAAATAAGGGTTAGCAGATTGATCCGAGCATGCTAGCGAGGAGATTTGCTTTTATTCTTAGCTAAATCTAAAAAAAAATTGTTGTGTGGTATTTTGTTCTTACAGAACAATGAACAATCTGCCTCAAAGTCTGTCTGTTAATGATTCCCCATATTGGAAAAGTTTCAAACTTGATTAATGGTTTTCAATTTGCAGTTAATGTTTAGTTCATGGTTTGTGATACTGTGTTTCTTAATGTCAGCTAAGAGATGTCAGCATACGACAATGTTATTGGTGGGAAGCTAAAGCTAAAAGGGAAGGCTCTAGATGTGAAAGCAGGTGGAGTAAAGAAGAAGAAGAAACAAAAGAAACACGAAGAACAAGCTCTCAAAATCACCGAACATGATCTCGTAGAAGGTATATAATGACCGCTTAGTTTCATTACCATTGACTAAGCTGTTTCTTAACATTCATGATCAGAGAAGAAAATCATTATGTTGTAAATTGACTATATTTAATATGAATGCAGGAGAAAGCGCAGAAGCGTTGGGTAAATTGATCGAAGGAGATGACAGAGAAGAAGAAGAAGAAGCGGATAGGGGTGAAAAGGCGAGGGAGGATTCGCTAGCGCAGCCCGACGATGACCTCTTGACGCCTGCAGAGAGACGGTACATAGAGCAGAAGCAGAGGTTGGATGTGCAGAAGCTAGCTAAGGAAGCAAACAAGTCTCACCGTAACAGGATTGAGGACTTCAATCAGTATCTGGCTAACATGAGTGAGCACTACGATATCCCTAAAGTCGGACCTGGTTAATGTAATTCTTCTTCGCTACCTTTGTTGTACTCTGCTTATCGCTACCTTTGTTTACTCTGCTTATCAATTTGGCTTAGTTAAATAACTACTGTTGGATTCTTGTTATCTTCCTGTAACTTTTCAATTATGTGATCTTCACTCTCTTAACGCCATGGACACATTTTCTTTGAGTAGATCTTCTGCATTTCTCAATTTCTAAAAGTTAATCCCAAACACATATGGTACAAATTAACGGAATGATCATATCAGAAGTAAATGATGATCCTCGAGAGTATCTATTATTGACTTTTGAGTACACAAAACTATATTTCTTTTTCGTCTGTGCCAACAAAAAATTTGAAATGTTGAGGAGAGAGAAATCAAATATGTTACAGAGGCAACACAACAACCACTTTTGTTTTTTGGATTCATGGACTCATCATCATCCCATTGTGATGATGTGGTCGAATACTTTCAAATCTCCAGAAACTGCATGCTTATCGAGTTTCATCCTCCAAAGCGCGGAATCCAGAAGTCAGATCGTCATACAGCTTCTGGAATTTGGCTACAAGTGTATCCTCACCCTCAGCTGGATCTTCAAACTTCTGAGACCTGTGTTAATCATAATACCATAAACTTTTTAAGTATGGAACTCGATTTCTTTTCTAAACCAACCTACAATCCAACTACAGTGCAGAGTAATGTGATAACAAATCTCACAGAGACAACAGGTTCATCAAACTAGAATGATTCCATGAAAAAAATGGAGATTTGCTTACACTAAACGGTAAAAAAGATCTCCCAAGCGATGTTTAATGAGTGTGTAAGAAATCTTTTGACCATCCATTCCAGCTGCTCTCTCAACAGCCTGTGTTATAGTTCACAAATATATCAAATTTTCAAAAAAAACAGAAACACAAAATTTTGATAGTTCATGATGATCAATACCTGATTGGCCAAGTTGTAGAAATGAATAATGTTACGCATCATCCACACAGATTTGTAGAAAGGACAGAATTTGTCGTAGCTGTCCCATTCATTCAGAAGTAAACAGTTATTACCTTGTCAAGATAGATCATCTAGACAAAAAAAAAAGTGTAAAACAGAGTCAAAATCTTACGCTGTGAACGCATTTTGAGCAAGGTAGTCTTCTCTCAATAGCTTAGCTGTTTCCAAAGTGATTTTATCACCTTCAGCTAGCGCATCTTTTCCTACAAGCTGCAAATAAGCCATAGTCTACTTAATTTCTTCTTATAACACCCTCAAAATGGACTGGAGCACTATGAGGTAAGAGCTCAGTGTTACTAATATAATATAACGACATGTGACATGTACCTGGACAATTTCATTAAGATCATCTTCCCTCTGCAACACCTCTCTGGCCTTTGTCCTGATGTTGATGAAATCTGGATCAAACTTTTCGTAGAAAGATTCCAATGCCTGAAAACCCAAGAAAACTTTTTACGTTTACATAAACTTGGAAAAAAATAAGTCAAGGCTTGAAGAATACTCAACAAATGTAAGCATACCGTAGAATACTTGGAGTAGGAAATCAGCCAATTAACAGAAGGGAAATGTTTTCTCTGGGCAAGCTTTTTGTCCAAACCCCAAAAGACCTGAAGCAAAACGGCAAAATAATAGTGTAAATACTAGTTTACATGTAGTAGGAGAAACGAAATAGCCACAAACCATAATCTACCTGAACAATGCTAAGTGTTGCAGAAGTCACAGGATCTGAGAAGTCACCACCAGGTGGAGAAACAGCACCGACGATTGTGACACTTCCATTACGTTCTGGTCCACCAAGACATTTTACTTTACCAGCACGTTCATAGAAAGACGCTAGACGCGCTGCTAGATAGGCAGGATATCCACTATCAGCAGGCATTTCAGCCTACAAAAACAAAGTCAATCAGACGCAAAATAGACTGAGAATATAAAGTAGCAAGTTGAAGAAACTAAAACGGAGAAGCATTATTACCAGACGTCCAGAAATTTCTCTCAATGCTTCTGCCCAACGGGAGGTTGAGTCTGCCATCATACTAACATTGTATCCCATATCTCTAAAATATTCGGCAATAGTGATTCCTGGAGTTCACATTACAATATGCTTCAGTAGAGTCATGATTGAAACCACTGTTTGTGCAGAAGGGTCATTTAGAAATAAGTTACTGAGATTTATCCTCGACTGTGACAGTTTACCTGTGTAAATAGAGGCTTCACGAGCAGCCACAGGCATGTTGGAGGTGTTGGCTACAAGTGTGGTACGCTTCATGACAGATTCCTCACGGCCATCAGGCAAAGTCATTGTCAATTGTGGGAAATCCATAAGTACCTAAAACATGAGAAACCGTTAAGTCAGAATTCTGATGTTTATGAAAGAGTCAAATTCAAAAGAATGGTAAAAGGATATACCTCAGCCATTTCATTTCCTCGCTCTCCACAACCAACATAAACAACAGCATCAGAGTTGGAGTACTGCAGACAAAGAACAAAAATCAGCCAAGACAATTCAGAAATATCCGTAGTTAGCTGGACCAAAACTATAAATGTTGTTCCCACACCCTACCTTGGAAAGAGCCTGACTGATAACAGTTTTACCACAGCCAAAAGCACCAGGAATCGCACATGTTCCACCAAGAACCGACGGGAAAAGAGCATCAAGGACACGCTGACATGTCACACACACACACACACAAAATTAACAACAAAGTACATCGCAAATTAGTCTAACTACTGCAAATAAGAACAAATGGAGCAATCACCTGTCCTGTAAGTAGAGGAGTATCAGCAGCGAGCTTTGATGCAACGGGCCTAGGTGTACGTACAGGCCAGCTCTGCAATATTAACAAGCAAATGTTAGTATATGTTGAATGGAATATTTGAACGTTTCAAATTAAGAATGTATACAAAACCTGAAGCATGGTGTAGGATTTTTTCACCCCCTGGAATTCAAGCTCTAACACAGTATCCTGGAAAATGAAAAGTACTGTAAAAAAACAGTGAAAAATATCTCCAACATGTGACAGATATGAAGATAGAACATTCGGTTATGTACAATTGTTAGAAAGCTGAATACAAACCTTATAAGGGAATAATTGACCAGGAGCTTGGGGGCAGAGATAAGTTGAATTTTAATCAGGAGGAAAGAGCTAAACATGTATCTAAAGTAGTGTTCTCAGAAGACTGAGCTGATGTATCAAATTGTTAAATTTAAATACTATAACAAACTACGGCACAAATCAAAATATGTAATAAAATGCTAGTATAATAAATATGAATTGTAATGCCACTGAACTATACGATGACTATAGTTCACTTCATCCACATACCAAGTTACAGTACTGCCCTCGACCACTAGAACAAGCCGGAGGTGATCCAAATCGAGGGTTGTGATATCTACTGTTCTGGAGATGAGTAGGGACTGAGGTGATTAAAGAAGAAGGTAGCCACCAGTATAGAAAGGTGTTAGTTCGATCAATGGGAACGGTTGAACGTTGGTATGAAGGCAGCGGCATACCACGGGGTATCTCGCTTGTGGTCCAACAGCTAGTGATTGAGCTGGCCAATCTTTGTCAAGAGCTGGAACAGACACCCCACGAGGGATGTACACATCACCAGATATTCTCGCAATAGTCTTCAAAGGCCTCTGTCATATTAACAGAATGATAATGAGACGCTCGGATCTCTAACTTATAACGTTATTTCCAGTCTAAACTTCTTAAATTTTCAAAACTGAACCTGAATTCCATCGAAGATGTTTCCCAATATCCCTGGTCCAAGCTCCACTGACAGTGGCTGTAAAAAACCAAGCAGAAATATGAATTAACTGCAACTGAACTATCTCTAAGACAAAATAAAAAAAACAACGTAAAGACACTACAAACCTTGTGTGTTCGAAGAACAGGATCGTTAACCGTCAATCCAGCAGTTTCTTCATAAACTGATTTTAGTAAACGAAAGCCATATATCAGTTAAGAGATCCAAAGTCTAGGAGACAACAATCTTAAATGTATCTATCTAGACATGAGTTAAAACAAGTTAAGCCAATAAAGAGAAGAGAGAAAATCAACCTTGGATTGTGGCGGAATCTCCTTCCAGCCGAATAATCTCACCAATCAAGTTATCATGCCCGACACGCACTAACTCATACATAGCCGCACCAGCCATTCCATCCGCAACAACAACAGGACCTGAAACCTACATTATGATATACATATGTCATACCACTCTGACTTCACCCGGGTAGAAAAAAATGTCAAACAAGTGACAATCGACAGATCATACCTTGCGAACGTAACCATACTCGCTCTCCTTCTCGGAATCCTCAAAGGTGGTGAGTTTTCCTCCGTAAAACGCCGGCATTTTTTAATTCTTTCACGCGATCAGGTAGACGAACACTCAAATCCGATCACGATTAGCACACTTGACGAAATTCAACTCCTGAAATACGAGATCCGATCAAACAGACGACAAGAAAACGTCAAAAGCTCAAATGAATTATAGGAATCGATGAACAATCTAAATGTTAGTTGAATTATCAAAAAGAAAGAAAGAACGAGAGATTGTAACCTGAGAACGAAGACGAAGAAGAGTAGCACGACTGAAGGACCGAATGCACGTATACAAATGACAGAGTTGTACAAGTTGGATCTAAAATTACAGAGTCAAGGTAACATAAAATCTTTGTACTCGCATTCACATCAGTCACGAGCAACACGTGTCATGTAATAAAAGTTGGGAGGAAAAATATATCGCGTTGTTGGTTTTTTGTCCCACATCGGTGACTAGAGATACGCTTGTTCTTGCACGATTTATATAAATACTACGTCGGGTGGAACTTCCAACTCATACCTTTCTCGGCCTTTTGGCTAAGATCAAGTGTAGTATCTGTTCTTATCAGTTTAATATCTGATATGTGGGCCATCAGCTCACACGATATTAACTCTGTTTTTTAAGGGAGAAGACCCGTTAAGATACCTTGCTATCTGGGCTTTCACGAGTCGCCCATGCGTTGCACTATTGCACGGGTCTGGCTCAACCCGCCAATTCCAGTTAAATTTAACCATCTGATTTTGAATTTGTTCGGTTCTATACCGAACCAAATCCACTAATAACAGAACCAGATTGACAATTGGGTTACGGTCTTATTGAACCATCTACATTGACTATGTCAGTTTCTAATTAACCAAAGTCAAACCGAAACTCGTCGCTGCCTTCAATGAATGTCGGAAAATTCTGAGAAAAGAGAAGAGATGGGGGAAATGGGGAAGGCGATAGGATTGCTGATAAGCGGGACGCTTGTGTATCACCATTGCGCTAATCGCAACGCGACTCTTCTCTCCCTCTTCTCCGATGTTCTCATCGTTCTCTTATCCTCCCTCGCCATTCTCGGCCTTCTTTTTCGTCAACTCAATGTCTCGTATGATTCTTAATTTTCTCCCAAAAATATGAGATGTTTCTGCAATTCTTGTTATTTCGAGTATATAGGGAATTTCTTACTTCTCTGATTTGCGGATCGAAGGCGATTTGGCTGTTTGATCTATTCGATTTGAAACCGAGTGCTTTTTTTTTTTTTTTTTTTTTTGGTTTTCATCATAACGAATTAGAGTATGAAGCTCAATGTTTTGTAGCTATTGATCATAATAACCATGAGTTTTGGGGTTCTCATCATTCGATTAGTTTCATTCCTCTTCTGTGATCAATGCATTAAGTCATCGACCCTATATGTGTAATTGATTTGATGACACACTGTTTGAAAGACAGTTGCATTCTTGAGGTCACAAGATCTATAAAGTAAACAATTTTTGTATGAAGGGTACCTGTTGATCCATTGGAGTGGCAAATATCACAAGACACAGCCAGTAGCATTGTAGCGCGCTTAGCTAATACTGTTGGAGCAGCTGAGTCAGTTCTGCGGGTTGCTGCAACAGGACATGACAAGAGGCTGTTCGTTAAGGCATGTGCATTCTTGTTTCTTCATTGTTTACATTTCATTAGAAGAGTTAGTTTTCTTATAGATCATCCAGGGCCCTGAATGGCATTTACTGATGGATACAAAGATGTTTAAGACCACTGACTAAGATTCCAGAAAAGCCTGTCAATAGTGCTTTTACTTTGTGGTAGTGGAAATTCTAAACTGAATTTTGTGTTGTCTTGGGCTGTTTCTGTCTTTCAGGTTGTGATCTGTCTTTACTTCTTGGCAGCCTTAGGACGAATCATTTCGGGTGTTACCATTGCTTATGCAGGTAAAAATATTATCGTTTGCTCTTAGCCATAATATAACGACGAAGAGAAGAGAAGTACAAAGTGGAATGATGCTTTGGATATTAATTTTGGATACTATTCTTCTTCTTCTTCTTCCTGGTATCAAAAGTATGCAAACGGATCTGCAAATGCTGTTTCTGACTCTCTTATTTCTTCTGTCTGAAACAGGACTGTGTTTGTTCTGTCTCTCCATGCTCTGTCAGAGTTCTAAACGAAGAAACGGAGAGCTTTTGGAACGAGAAACACCTTCAGAGTTGTGATACTCAACTGTCTAAATTTGGTTTCTTCCTTCTTTTTTTTCCACTTGTTTCATAGCTTTGAATAGTTACATTTCTTTACACCACTCGTAGAATGAGTAGTGAAAGTTGTAATAATTCTTGCATTTCCTAAATGTAGAGATGTAATTCGTAAGTTAAATATGATTTTCTCAGTCTTAAATCAATGCAAATCAGAATTGTAGTATGGTAGAAATGATGCAAGAAGCTAACATGTTGTTGATGTGACGGTTAAAACGTCTCTAGTCAGTTTAGCAAAACCGGAGTGTACGATTTCGAAAAGAACCAAACCGGTTCCGGTATAGCCACCCTTGCTGGCTTGCTGCCTCCGCCGCAAGCAGGGTTTAGTTAGATTGCTCATTTCATCTCACCCAACCAAAAACCCTTCGCCGTTTCTTCCTTCTCACTGACCTTGCCGGCGATTTTCCATTTTAAAGTCACAAAACTTTCTCGTCGATCTAAATTTGATTTCCCAATAAAATTCTCAATCTCCCGAGAAAATTCCTTTCATGGTTAGGATCTTGGCGTCGCGGGTAAGATGCTATGGAGATGCAATTGGGTAAAGCAGAGAAGGAAAATCCTTAACGCACTCAGTTTCTCTTCGATTCACGGTCACTCTGAAAACACCTCTGGCTCTCGTGGATTTGCTCCGAAGCCGCTCACGCACGATACAGTCTACTCTCGTTTACTTAAATCCCCTCCCGATCTAAAAACCTTGAATTTCTTCTTCTGGTGCGCGAAGCAGAACAATTACTTCCACGATGCTCGTGCATTCGATCATATGGTTGCCGTTGTAGAGAAACTAACTCGCCAATACATAACCATCGATCGAATCATAGACGGATTGAGACTCTCCGGTTGCGCAATCAAGCCTCGAGTTTTACTGCTACTACTGGAAATCTTCTGGCGTGGTCATTTATACGCAAAGGCTATCGAGGTTTACAATGGCATGAACCGATTTGGGTATGTGCCCAACACTCGTGCCATGAATATGATGATGGATGTTCTATTCAAAGGACATCTCGTTCATCGAGCTATGGAAGTCTTTGAAGGAATCCGTGTTCGGAATTTCTTCACTTTTGACATTGCGTTGAGTCATTTGTGCAGTATAGAAGATTTGGTTAAGGTTAAGATAGTTTTGAAGATGATGATTAGAGAAGGCTTTTATCCCAACAGTGAGAGATTTGGGCAGATTCTTGGAGCGTTCTGTAGAAAAGGGTTTGTCACTGAAGGGTTTCAAGTTGTTGGATTGATGATTTGTAGTGGAGTCTCTGTATCTGTTAACGTCTGGAGCATGTTGGTTAATGGGTTTTTTAAATCAGGAGAGCCACAAAAGGCGGTTGATTTGTTTAACAAGATGGTTCAGATTGGTGGTGGCTCCTCGCCGAATCTTGTCACGTATACTAGTTTGATCAAAGGGTTTATGGATTTTGGAATGGTTGATGAAGCGTTTAGTGTGTTGACCACAGTGCAAGCGAAAGGCTTAGCTCCAGATATTGTTCTTTGCAATGTGATGATACACACATTCACAAAGCTAGGGAGATTTGAAGACGCTCGTAACGTTTTCATCAGTTTGAAGAAGAGGAAGCTTGTTGCGGATAAGTATACTTTTGCTACGATACTGTCTAGTCTGTGTTTGTCTAGAGATTTCGATCTCCTTACTGGGATCACAGATGGTGTAGAGATAGAGTTAGATCTGGTGACTGGAAACTCGCTGATAAACTGTTTGTGCAAGATCGGTAACGCATCTCACGCGTTGAGGTTGTTTTGCTACATGTGTAACAACGATTTAGCTGTGAATTGTTACACGCGTACAGGATATCTTACTGCGCTTTGCCGTGGAGGGGGGCCTGAAGTTGCGGTTAACATGTATGAAGGAATGATCAGGGACAAGATATGTCTCGATGCTCATGTTCATACTGCGATGATCGACGGTCTTGTAGAGGTCGGTAGGTACAATACAGCGATTCGTTTGTTTAATCGATGCGTTAGGGAGAAGTATCCGTTAGATGTTGTGTCGTATACGGTGGCGATTAAGGGGCTTGTGCGTGGTAAGAGGATGGATGAGGCTTGTTGTTTGTTGTCGAAAATGAGAGAAGATGGGGTTATGCCTAATGGGAGGACGTATAGGACTGTTATCTCTGGTTTGTGCAAGGAGAGAGAGAAGGAGAAAGTGAAGAAGGTTTTGTGGGAATGCGTTGATGAGGGAGTTGAGTTGGATCCTGATACTAAGTTTAAAGTGTATAGTCTCTTGTATCCGTATCGGAGAGATTTTTCTGAGTTTAGATCGGTTTTTGAGAAATGGAGGGAGAGTGTTGATGATTCTGATTCTTGCGATGAATTATCTGTTTCTGCTGGTTAGAGAGTTTTGAGGGAAACTGTACAAATGGCGCTGTAATTCTTGTGTTTTATAGAAATGATATACCTAATTTCAAGTCTTTTTTTTCACTTGCTATTGAAATATTTTTGTTATTCTAGTATAAAAACTTGTGTTCAATCAAGATAAATCAATTAGAATTGAATCGGAACTGTACAAATGGTGATGTATTCTTGACTTTTTTTCTTCTTTTTCTGCAACTTTTACCATCAAAATGCATTAATACATGATGGTTCCAGTCTAAGAGAGTGCTGTTTCTGTTGAGCATTGTATGATTTAAGATTTAATCATTTGTGGCGCCATTTGTTTGCTGTACTATTTTTAGTGCTATGTATTTGATATTACAACACTCAAAACTTTTTTGAAAATAAACCTGCTATATAATTGAAAGAGTTAGGAAACATACATATATACAACAGCTTTTAAAAGGGTAAAGATTACATTTGAACAAAGGGAAATGCTACAAGCCTAGAACAGCTACTCTTATTCGATTTTACACATTTCAGGATTAGTAAAAAGAAACCTGGTCGTCTACATGGCGTCTCCTTCGCACTTGGTTCGGTCATCAGATTGTCCTGCCGGCTCGTGTTCTTGGCAATCTACAGCTCCAAAAGAGCCTGCAAGCAAACTTCAACCTTTCTTCTATCAGAAGAAACCCAACTAGATGAAAAGACCTTAAGAGCTTCCTACTCTATTCACAGATAGATACAGAAAATGGTGCTGAATGTGATCATTCAATAAAGGTCATAGCTTTAGCTTTGAGCAACAACTCACCCAAAGAGGCGACGAGTAGTGTGGTTTTACCCTTCCTCATCCTCAGAGTGAGACTCGGTCTTTGAAGTCGTCTCCCTCTTGGTCTCTATCAATTGAGGTTGTACACCTAAACCCACGGAACCAAAACAATACGTTAATTCAAGACCACACAGCTACAAAGGACCCTGTTCCACCACAATGCTTTTACCTATTAGATTCTCTAATTTACATATTTTGATCTCCCAATTCAGAAACTGTAACAACATCAAGTCAATTTAACTAAATCTGCCACTAGACTGATCATCTGATTGCTCTTCCTTTGATCAATCTCATAAAGCAACCTTTTTGAACTCTATCAAATTCAAATCCAATTTAGCCAAAGATGATCGAAAAGCTCAAGTTTCCAATCGCATTTGGATCTCTTCAGATAAGGTACAAATTCGCAAAATTGGACTTTTCAAAAACCAGATCAATCGCATTTTCATCTAAAAACGACAATACGATCAAACCAAATACAAACCTTTAAGGAAATAATCAGAGGAAGGCCATCCGCGAGACGAATTGGTGGAGAGCGATTCTTCGTGGGTTAACGGATTCGCCAGCTTCGCAACGATCTGAGCTATCCCATGAGTTTGAGATCCAGATCCAGGAGGCGGGACCCAATACGAAGCACCGGGAACAAACGGGAGCCAATCAGGTGCTGCTCGGCGGACAAATATCCGGTGAACGGCGTCTTCGAGCTTCTGAATCAACGGATCCGAAGGCGATTGAGAGGCGGCGGTATCGATTTCGTACAGGTCGCCGCCGTGGCTAGCCCGACGACCGGAGGATTGGGATCGGAAGGATAAGAGGTGCGATGAAGGGAGGAGAGAGGCTACAGCTCCGGTGAATCGGCCTTTAGAGAGAGAAAGTGAAACAGAGAGAGAACGAGCCATCTAGAGAGGAAGAGATTGGTTTTTGTTCCAACGCTGTAATTAGGAATCAGGATAAGACGAGTTTTTGGTTTGGAGGATAAACTGAAACTGCATTTTCCATTCTTATCGTGAAATTTTTGGGTTATTTTATTACCTACGATCTTCTTTTTTCCTCTTTTGGTTAATTATCTTGTTTCTTTTTTCAGGAATTATAATTTTTAAGGCATTGTTTTATTACTTTCTGCCGACTTCTTATTTACTTCAAGAAATATCTGTCTTATTAAAAAAAGTGGGCCACCATGGAAACTAGGAAGCTCATTGTTACATTTTATCCTGTGGGCGTACAAGTAAATATATATATTTATAAGTGCTGCTATAATTTTACATTTTTCAAAAGTCGATATGATTTCAACTTTATAGAATTTACCGTTTACCACGTAGCTTAAAAACAGAAATGAATCAGATTCACTGAATTTTGTTTTTTCGTGACAATGCTCGTTCATTAACAAAAGTTGGTTCTTTTTATGGATTTAGCAGGTAACTGAAATAATGTCGATCATTAGTCTTTGTTTTTAGTTGGATAAAGTTCACAAGCATATAAAGCAAACAGATATTTTTGGCTCAAACAATGAAACAATAGATATTTTGCGCATTGTTGGCAACAAAGAAAAAGGAAGAAAAATATATACTAAGATATTTGGGTCAATGGTTTAGGTAAGAACTATAAAAACCATTATGGATTCTGAATATCTCAAAAATATCTAGTTGGGTGATACAGCAAAAACACAAAAACATTACAGTAAAACCTCTATAAAACAATAATGTTGGGACTTTGAAAATTTATTATCTTATCGAGTTATTGTTTTATCGATAAAATAATAATTATTATTATAAAAATATTCTATAAAAAACAAGAAACTTTATAGAAATATATGTAAGTAGGTACACGTAAGGAATCAATTGTGGCTTCGAAAACTCTTCACAACTTTTGGCCCCATAAATTGTTGATGCAATAAGAAAAATTCGAGATGAGCTCCAACGAGAATCCAACTTTCATAAAAGACAAACTACATTGGAGTCATATTTTACTAAATTGCCTTAGATATATATGCCTTAGTTTTATAATTATTGTCTTAGCCTATTGTTGGGACTATATTTTTACATAGGAGTTTCAAAAATATTATTGTCTTATCATCTTATCGCATTATGCTATTTTTTACATTGGCCCGAGTTGGGACCGGAGAAATTTATTATCTTATAGTGTTTATTGTTTTATCGAGTATTGTTTTATAGAGGTTCTACTGTATTAAATCTCAACTATTTATTCATTAATTAACTTGCTTAAATAGTACAATCAGAGATATTTTGTATCCGCAAAAGAAAAAAAGGTAGAAACAGGCAAACAGCAATAAGACACGTGACGTGATCGTTGTATAGAGAAAAATCCATGTGATGCAGCAGCCGAAGCATGAGATGGTGATACTCCTCCGAAACTCTGTCGTTTCGATACCAATAGACAACGTGTTCAAAGTTCCTCAGAACCCTCCGGCTGTTTCTGCGTCGTCTCTTTCCCGGAAACGCTCCTCTTCACCTTTTCTTTCACCGCTTCCGCCGTATCACGCGCCACCTCCCCCGCTGATCTGGCAGCTTCCTCCACCGTGTCTTTACTATGCTCGAAGCTCCTTGTGACCGCCTCTTTCATCTTTCCTGCTGCTCCCATCGAAGGATCATCCTTTCCTCTAAAACTACACACAAAACGAGAGACAAAGTGTTAAAAAGCATTCGAACTTCGTCACTTTGATAATTCTCCCATTTTCGATGAACAGCTGCTACCAATTGAGTATATATATGCTTACTCTATGTTTGGAGGGAAAAAGCGAGCGTGACCACGACCTAAACTCTCTTTGAGTTTCCCCCAGTAGTTATTACCGGACTGTTTGATTTTAGATAGCCAAACCGTCGTCGTTTTACCTTCTGGCTGCACGGCTTCTTGAAAATCAGCTTCACTGGAAACATTCACCGAGAATGCGAAGAGGGAGAAGACGATGGAAAATATGCATAGTAGCTGAAAAACTTGCGCAGGCTTTAATTTTCCGGCCATGTTGTTTTCGTTTTGAGGATTTTGTGTTCTGTCTCTATGCTTTTAAATAATGCGGTAAGAGATCAAACTTGTGGATGACAAAGATCATTGAGGTTATTGTTGGGGCATTCGAGTCGGCCAGTAAAACGTTGTGGGGACACCCCACGTGTCTAACGCGTGAACCTGAAAACGACAAAATGACGAACGTGAAGTATGTGTCTCATGGAACATTAAGACACTGACACGTGGTGTAAAACTTTCAGACTGTTACGTTTTCTATGTCAGACTTTTAGACCTCACCGGTTTATCTATTACGGATTCCGGTTTTCACCTGACCGATTTGATTTCTTTTGGAAAACTATGGTCACGACCCAAAAAGACCCGGTAAAACTCTGTTTTGGTTCGGTACAACGACCGTCGTAGACTCGTAATCATTAGATCCGTGACAAGTGATAACTCGTCTGATAGACAACTATTTCTTTTTTCCAAATTCGAAAATCAAGAGGCTCTTTGTTTTTAACATCTCGTATATACTGTGTTGATTATTTATAGGTTGACAACAAGAAAATAAATTGTGTTGATTTTGATTGATTAAAAAATGTCAAATGACGAGACCTAAACATACCTTTTATTTGATTAGATAAATGACTTTCTTCAACAGAGCACCAGGACAAGTAACCACGTATTTGTGGTTATTTATTCCCATCTATTTTTATATTCCAAAATTGTAATCTACATTTTATCAGGTTATTTCGTAATGAAAAATATTTATCTCTAATGTATATTTCTTAGGTTGTTTCGTTTCCATAAACGTATTACTCTTCCCATTAAAAGGAGAAATTGCAGAATGGTCAACTCAAAGATTCTTGTGGTGCAACTTACTAGGCTCGAACTGTGGCTCTACTCTTTACTACATTTCTGGTCTCAAGGAAAAACATGCTTCTTCTTTTCTCGTTCTTTCTAAGCTATTTCCATTGATCTCTTCTTTATATGGTTTGGTGGAAGTGGGTGGTTACAAAATGACTAACACTTTCCCTCCTTAAGGCTCTTGTGATGTCTTCCTTAATACCTTTTTGGACTTTATAAATTATAATTGTGGACTTGTGTGGTTCCTCTATGATTCCTATGCAACTCTTATTAACTCGATTCAAGAAAATCCTTCAACAAACAAAAGAAATGTTTTTTCGTATTGCTTCAATCATTATGAATGAGTCATTATTAGCTATTACGTGTCTTTCGCGCGTCAAGGTTTCGCATAATGCATACTAATGAATGAAATCACATGTTCTGAAAAATTGCTCATAAATTTATATACATACATACACTGTATATGTATATATATATATATATATATATACACTAAATAATTTAAGTGTTAGTTAAATTCAAATCATAAGATACATCATATAGTCCAAAGCTTGATTTACGTTGTAATAGATTGACTAACCAATCGATGTGACCTATCATTATTTCGAATTTACTTTGCTTGAAAGAAAAGCTTCTATGATATTTAACCAAATCGACAAAATTAAACAAACCAATAACACGTCGGGACTGAGGAAAGCTCCATTTGATTCGGACGTACCAAATATTTGCTATATATATACATACAGTTTTTTTGGCCGACTTACCAACGAAAACGAAACATGGACAAATCCAATCACCAACCTGATATTAGCAATGCTTATTGTAGCACACATTAATGATTGAAATTAAGTGAGAGAAAATAACAAAAAAATCAACAAAAATGTAACTACTGCTGAACAGACTCAACTTGGATTAGCCAGAACGTTGCTAATAAATTTGTAATTTTTCGAATAGAAAGACCAACTAATTTCACAAGGATTAGGTGGAAAGACATGGACATGTTACATAGTATATAATACACTTATGAAATGATTAAAATCTTTTAAATGATTATAAAATACAGATTTGTAATGTCGACGATCGACATAGAAAACATTATTTTCGAATTTAAATCTTACGATTTCCATTTTTTGTTTTTGTTTTCTCTTGCCAGAAAAAAAAAACAGAGTGCTTCTTCTTCCTTCTTCTCTCAGTTTGGTGGACAATAAAAAAAAACTTAGCCCTTTTAGAGAGAGAGAGAGAGGAAAGGGAAGAGGAGAGAGAGAGACTGAGACAGCTCATCAGTTGTTGCGGTTCAAAGAGAAATCGAGATCGAGATCCACACGACGGAGAAGAAGAAGAGCTCAACGGAGATGAGATCTCGACTTACTCAGTTTTGCTTCCGTTTCGTCTTCTACTGTCAGTCCCAGAATAGCAACTACTTTTCCTGATAGGTTTCTCGGCGTGGCTACATTTTTTCTCGGAAACTTACACTCTAATCAGGTACGAATCGACTAATTTGTCTCTTTCCATTTTTCATCGATTCGAAATTTCTTCTGTGATCGTTTTTTTTTTGCCATTTTGGGGGTTTATCCTGTTTTCCATTTCCGATTTCTTCCAATTTCTTCTTTATTTTTGTGCTATTTTGGGGTTTTGTTGGAAAAATGGCGATCTAGATTTCCGAATTTCGTCTCTTAATTGATTTTGGATGTCGATGGAAACTACTTGGTTTCATGTGATATGGCGTTGAATTTTCAAATGACAAAGTCCACCGATTTGTCTTCCTCGTCAGGCACTCGATTTGTTTTTGATTTTTGTGATGGATCTTATGTTTAATGACTTCACGAGACGACTTTGGAGAAACGTTGTTGACTGCAACTAGTCATACCTGATTAACGGAAAAATCGCTGATAGAAAACTTAGGGATCTGAGCCTATAGTTTTAGTGGTCCACTTAAAGTAGTGTACAATTGGCTAATCAAATTTCTGATGAACCCAGTTCTAGCGGCTAGCTTTGTCTGCATAGGGTCTTTGCCCATTGTTTCCGACTTGTCACAATCTCAACCTGACGACGACTTTTTCCTTCATTATTATAATGTGGCTATATGTCTATACATGTGAAGCAGTATGCATTTTGGGGTTACCTCTCACTCTCTTCTCTTTGTTGTTTCTGTAGGATTTCAAATTCTTACGTTTTTGGTGCTCATTGCTGGTTTTCTTTCAAGTAACCAAAATGGGTTCGAGATACCCATCTCACCAGCTTGGCAATGGGCTGTTCGTGTCTGGTCGGCCTGAGCAACCAAAAGAAAGGCCTCCAACGATGAGCTCAGTAGCAATGCCTTACACAGGTGGAGATATCAAGAAATCAGGAGAGCTTGGGAAGATGTTTGAAATCCCTACGGATGGGACTAAGTCTAGGAAGTCTGGTCCCATACCTGGTGCTCCTTCAAGGTCTGGCTCATTTGCAGGGACTGGGCAATCAGGTCCAGGCGCTCCTATTGCCGCTGGTCGTATGTCTGGGTCTTTAGCTTCTGCTGGGTCGGTTTCAATGAAGAAAACGAATTCTGGACCGTTATCTAAGCACGGAGAGCCTTTAAAGAAATCATCTGGCCCACAATCTAAGCAAAATTCTGGTCCTATTCCTGTTCTTCCAACTACAGGACTCATAACCTCTGGGCCTATTACGTCAGGGCCTTTGAATTCATCTGGAGCTCCAAGAAAGGTTTCTGGTCCTCTAGACTCGTCTGGTTCGATGAAGCCACATACGCCTTCTGTTGTCCACAACCAGGCGGTGACTACTCTTGGTCCCGAGGATGACTTTTCCTGCCTGAAGAGCTTCCCAAAGTCTGTGATGTGGCTGGTTGTTCTTATATTTGTAATGGGGTTCCTTGCCGGAGGATTCATTCTTGGTGCTGTTCACAACCCAATTCTCCTCATCGTTGTCGCAATCTTGTTTACAGTTGTTGCCGCGCTTTTTCTTTGGAATATTTGTTGGGGCAGACGTGGTATCACAGACTTCGTTGCTCGCTATCCTGATGCTGATCTTAGAACTGCCAAAAATGGTCAATACGTGAAGGTCACTGGGGTAAGTAGGCATTGGTCTCTCAGTTGACTAAATAGTTGTGAAATGACATGTCTTGGAAGGATAGCATTAGATGTTGGAAATGCATCTATAGTCATGGTTTGCTAAGTGTATGACCTTGATTCTCTTTTGATTATTTTGAAGGTGGTTACTTGTGGTAATGTGCCGCTTGAGTCATCGTTTCACAGAGTTCCCAGATGTGTATACACATCCACATGCCTACATGAGTATCGTGGATGGGGTTCAAAGCCAGCCAATTCATCACATCGTTGCTTCACGTGGGGACTGAGATCATCAGAGGTTAGTGCTTCCACAGTACTTTCATTCTCACAGAAGAAGTGTTACATTATCTTCTTCAACCCCATGAAACACTTCCTTAAGTTGTACCATCATGTTGCAGAGACATGTGGTGGACTTTTACATATCGGATTTCCAATCTGGGCTGAGAGCCTTGGTGAAAACCGGAAACGGTGCGAAGGTAACACCTCTTGTAGATGAATCTGTTGTCATCGATTTTAAGCAAGGAAGTGAGCAAGTGTCTCCAGATTTTGTTCGGTGGTTAAGGCAGAAGAATCTATCTAGCGATGATCGAATAATGCGGCTCAAAGAAGGGTAACGAACAATAACTTTCATAAACCACTCCTTAAGTATTTTAACTAATAGAAGCTTCAATTCTAAATCTCTCTGCTGGGTTTCAATAATCAGGTATATAAAAGAAGGAAGCACAGTGAGTGTGATTGGAGTGGTGCAGAGAAACGACAATGTGTTAATGATAGTACCATCACCTGAGCCACTTGCAGCTGGTTGGCAATGGAGGAGATGCACGTTCCCAACAAGTCTTGAAGGAATCGTATTGAGATGTGAAGACTCATCAAACGTTGATGCAATACCGGTTTAAGTCGTTATCATCATCATCAAAATCAGAGTTTGGGTTCCCTTTCTGGTGGGGTGGTTGGTTTGGTTGTAATTCTTTTTCTTCTTTTCATTATCCTCTTAATTTTTTCTTTTGGTTCTCCGAGTTATTACGGTTAGAATGATGGTGATGGTGGTGGTGGTGGGTGTGGCTTCATATTCCTAAGATGAGCTAATTGTTTTCTTCTCCTTTGCCTTTTGGTTTGTATAGCTTTTTAAGTCAATTCTTTAATCGATAGAACTCGTGTCTTATTCTCAAGGTGTTATGTTATGTTTAAATCTTTCCTTTTGTGAGATCAAAACCCACTTTGGTGTTCTTGTGAAACCTAATTGTTTTATATGTAATGTTCGAACTTTTTGGTGTAATCCTAATCATTCTTGATCAGGAGCGACACAAGCAGAAGCTTGTACTCCGGGGAAGAAATATGCAAAAGAATAATATCTCTAGATATCAATTGGTGCCATAATAAATGAAAATGCACTGATTTTATTAGAAAGACATTTGAGTCGAGAAACAAGTCTTTTACAGACAAAACATAAAACTAAACTACAAAATCTTCTTTTGAATCAGAAAGAAGGCCATTTGAAAAGAGTTTCTTTCCCAAACTAATGGGATAACTTAAAACACCAGCAAAGGCGAAATTAACGTAATCAACATAACAATCTATTTTGTTTGTTTGTGCGTTTGTTTCTCAACGCATGAAAGGGACTAACCAACGCATCTCTGCTCCATTTCCATTAGCCAAATAATATATCTTCTTCCAGTTTTCTTCTGAGAATACTTCACGCCGAACTAGTCTTTGCCTGCAACGATACCATTTTCAAATGTTTGTGTAATCAATACTCTCTTTAGGTCTATTTATGTACTCAAGTAGATAAACTCAATGATGAACCAAAAAGATGAAATAAAAACGGGTCTAAGAGTTATGATCAGTAGAGGACTAAGGAGCTCTCTCAGAAACATAAAAATGGTTTCATGTAACTTACCGAAGGTAGTAATAGCAAACAGCTTCTGCTTCATCTAAACTATAACGAGGGAAATCCAGACGAGCATCAGCAGGAACATCTGGCAAGTCTTTACGTAGCTTTCCTACTGCTGTTGAATGTGAGAATGCACCCACCATCATATCATCATGCATCATGCTTCTGAAAGCATTCACCTGCCAAAACAATTGTGTGAATTTGGGATTTTCTTGATTCCTGTATCAGATAGAATTTGGAAGAGAGACTCACTGTTGTAAGCTCTCTGGCATGTACAGGTCGGCAAGAACGTGGTGTTACGGGCTCCTCAAACTCACTGAATGTAAACCAACTGTTATACTGAAAGATAGCAACAACATTAGTGAAAAAACAAGACAACTCTAACATTATAAAAGATTTTAAAAGAGCATTTTGAGAACTAACTTGATCAATTGCGATCAACACTGGTACATCTTTGACGAGTGAGAGTTCTTTCCTAAGCCGCACCACCACATTAACAGATGCATGAGTGCTCTTAATACCCATTTGCACAAGGTCATACAGAGTTGAATCCTCGGGAATCGGCATACTATCTGCTCCTTTCAAGTATCCTACACCCGCACCCTCTCCAAGCACGATGGGATCAAAGATTTTGCAGCGTAACTCTTTTAACCGGGATTCATTGAACTTGACAAAATCCTATACAAAAGTTAAGTTTATTAGAAAATGCTCTTTAACTAGAAGGCTATCCATTCCCAAAAGAGGAGGTAATGCGAAATCTTGCCTTGAGAATGTTCTCAGCTTGTAGAGGAGTATCCCAAAATCCAGTATGCGGATTCTTATAGAAGTATCCTCCATGAGTCCAGTCACGGCCTTTCGGTGCGTATAAAACTAGCCAGCCTTCATCACGTGCCCAGTGAACAAGCATCGCCAGAGCAATACTCTTTCCACATTTAACAGGACCATCCAAGACAATCTGCTTCTTAAGTTTGACACCTTTTCACAACAAAGCAGGCAATGATTATATAACCTATGGTGTAACAAAATCCAGGACAAGGCCAAATGAAAAATGAAAAAACAAAGAACACACCTTTACTCTCACTTGGCCACATGGGAGGATCAGCAATGCGTCTGAAGTTATCTCTGAGAGCTAAGTAACTTTTCCTCACAAGCAAAGCAGGTCTAAATGATTCTCTAAACTCATCTTCAATTCCTGAAACCAATCCCTCCGGCAAAACCGCTTTCAGTGCTGCCTCACTACCATTCCCACACATTATACATAACATCAACACACAATGATGGATGCAAATGTCCAGAAATATTTAACAGAAGAACAGAGATGATAAGGGAAAAGAGAATTTGAGGTACTCGAATTTGAAGTAGGAGCCGATATCCTTGTTAGATAGCTGCGAAATGGTAGTATCTTTGGGAGTGAAGAGAGGTCGTCCATTAGGACCTACATCTAGAGACGGAACCTTCTCATCATCAGCTAGCCTCTTGGCGCGAGCCGCCTCGAGATCATCTCCACCGGAAGCACCAAACTCTCCGTCTTCGGCTCCGGCGGCACCTGGATCGCCGCCTTTGGTTTTGGATTTTTTTCCGTCAGCTTTCTTCGTCTTGGTATTAGCAGATTTCGTGCTCTTAGAAGAAGAGAAGCAGCGATTAACATGATCTAAGCTCGGGAGAAGTGTTCCCGCGGCGGCTGAAGTCTGCGCCGGGAAATGACAGACGGTGTCGTTTAGAATCCAAGACCTCCGATTGAATTTGAGATTCCCGGCAGCGATTCTCACTGCAGACTTCCACATTTCGATTGTTCGTCGCTCTCACTTTCACCGGCGTCAAGGTTTTAGGGAGGGATTTGATTAGAGTGCAAATCTGACGAACCCAGCGAAAGGGCTGAAGCAGCGAGGAAGTAAGTGGCAAACTTGTAAATTTCGACATGATCACTGTAGTGTTACTATGCCCATCTAACTAGTGGGCCTAATGTTACATTTGGCCCATTACATAAAATGATGATGTTATGTAAACATTTATTTTCTTTTAAACGTCACCTAATCAAATTAACTCGGTAAAGACTTTAATAAATCAGACCAATAGCATGTCACATCCGATAAAACCGGGGCCAATAGCATAAAGATATTTGTCGTATTTTGTCAAATTTAATATAGTTTCTTAAATTAAAAAAAATGTATTGTCTGGAAGAAAAAAGAAGGAAAAGGAAAGCAAGAGAGATGGCGATCCAACGTTGAAGATAATAAGAAACAAGAAACGGACATTTTGTTTTCTCCCATCTTTTTTAATATCCTCTCATGGCGGATAACGCGAGAACTGTCCAAATGCTATTGTTTTTCTTCACTTCTCCTCTCTAACATTTCCTCCTTTCTTCTTCGTTTTCGGATTCAGTTATTATGGCTATGGCCTCTGCTTCTGGTTCTGCTCTTTGCTTCACTGATGCTTCTACTTCTCGCGCCATCAGACGCGAGTTTGGAGCTTTATGTGTTGCTCCTAGGAAAGCTACGTTTGGATTTGTCGATAAATCTCTTATGAATCTCAACCGATTAAGGTCTTTTTCTTTAGTTACAAATTGGTATTTAGTTGATCTAATGTCAAATGATCTTATTTCGAGGCACTTTTGTTTGAGCTGATCTTGTTCTGTTTTTGTGTGTCGGAATTTTGTATGTCCAATTAATTCTGCAATTTCTGTCTGGATCAGATTATCCGGTTTGAAGCCTCGAGCATCAAATGCTACTGCTGTGGAGGTATGAAATTGAAAAGGATAGAATTACACAAGAATACTAATAATTGAGAAAGATTAGAGTTTGATTGGTTTATGATTTTGCAGAGTGGAAAGCAAGATGGAAGCGCGGCTGATTCTGATAAAGTACCAACTCCAGTGGTGATAATCGACCAAGATTCTGACCCTGATGCTACCGTTCTCGAAGTTACATTTGGAGATCGTCTTGGAGCTCTACTTGACACTGTAAATGACATGTTCTTCTTCCCTCACTTTAAGTTTGATCCTGCTTGTTGATAATCACGCCTTCCTTTCTTGTCTGATCAATTTTGGTTCCAGATGAATGCGCTCAAAAACTTGGGACTGAATGTCGTAAAGGCAAATGTTTACCTTGATTCTTCGGGCAAACACAACAAATTCGCCATTACTAGAGCGTATGTCTTTTCATATCTTCATAGTTTAATGTTACTTTGAATCAAGTCAGAGAGTTTTGACTTTGGATTGAACTGTATTGTTGTTCTGAAACAGGGATAATGGAAGAAAAGTAGAAGACCCTGAATTGCTCGAGGCCATTCGTCTCACAGTCATAAACAATCTGCTTGAGTTTCATCCTGTAAACCACTACTTGCATCCTAATATCTGAATTTTCCTATCTTGCATAATTTCTCAATCATTGCCTGTGGAATTATTTTGGATCAGGAATCAAGTTCTCAATTGGCAATGGGAGCAGCTTTTGGTGTTCTTCCCCCAACTGAACAGGTTGATGTGGACATAGCAACTCATGTAAACATTGCAGATGATGGACAAGACCGCAGGTAAACAAAAAAACCATACCTTATCTCAGCTTTTTGAACCATGTTAGTTTTATTTTATAATATATGATCTGATGATCCATAACCATTGTTGAGGATGCAGTTTACTCTACATAGAAACAGCGGATAGGCCTGGACTATTAGTCGAGCTGGTCAAGATCATTACAGATATCAGCGTCGCCGTCGAATCTGGAGAATTCGACACCGAGGTTACTACAATTTATCAAGTTTTGAATTTTCTGAATATATGATCGCTCCTTTCTCTCATGTAGCTTCTTGTTGTTTGTTTGTATGTTAAAACAAAAAAAAGGGTTTGTTGGCTAAGGTAAAGTTCCACGTAAGCTACAGAAACAAAGCCCTAATCAAGCCTCTCCAGCAGGTAAAAGTTACAGAAATCAGAAAAAAATCCTAACTTCTTAATTTGGCTGTTTAACGAGTAAAATCAAAATTTGTTTGTAGGTTCTTGTTAATAGTCTGAGGTACTTCTTGAGGCGTCCAGCAACTGACGAGTCAAGTTTCTGAATTTTTACAAATTTGAATTTTCACTCCATATGATTACCTTTACTACCTTTTTTGTTTGTTTCACATATGACCAAAATAAGCTGCTTCATTTTAGTGGCCTTCTCATACGTCTGTAATAGTAACATTCCCTACTCATATATCAAATTTACCTTTCATTCAATACCTGTGAATTTCTGATAATCTATAGTGCTACAAAGATTCAGCGAATTATTAACACAAACAAAGATCAAGCAAGCACATTGGAAGAAAGTTAGTTTGCAAATAAGGATAAACGAGTCTTAAATCCCCTCCTAGTTATACAGATTCAGAGAGTACATATCTTTTTTCCCTGTTTTAGAAAAAAAAAGGATTCAGATAAAACCTTGAGATAGAGTTTCACCATATATAATGTTATTTAAATGACAGTGATCGATCTTTCTCCGTTTGCAATCTTCTTTCAAGCACCACTTGCATATAGACGAGTCCATTCTTTGGCTGCATATATGTTCAAATCGCTATCAGATTACCACCAAATTAGAGAGGAGGAAAAACGAATTTGTTTTAGATCATATTTTATCACCTGTCTCCACAGCTTCTGCTTCATTACTCTTCCAATGCTTAGCTATGTTCTCAGACAGCGGATCATCTGGGTTTGGTGCACTTAGGAGAGCCTGAATACTGTTTTTACAGGGTATTGGAGAATCAATAAGTGTAAGGAACTAGTATTAATTGCTATAATGTTTTTGGTCTAGTAGAGAGAGAGAATATACAGAAAATTCATACCTCAAGAGCACAGTTCGTATTTGCAGTGCAGGACTCCACTTGTCTTTCAGAATGTCAAGGCAGATTCTTCCAAGCTATATACACAACAAAAGAATACAAAACATGATTCAGAATGATAGATGATGCACACGATTTTGATCAAGTAAATATGCTTTAAGTTAAGGAGAATAAAAAAGAAGGAAAGATTTCTTAACAGACCTTGTCGATGTTAGGATGGTATATCTTGGTGAGAAACCTAACCTGTATTACAAATTATATAATCAAATAAGACCCCCAAACTCTACATCAATGTAAGAACTTTGTACCTTTTCTAACGTTATATATGAATATACATTTGAAGTAGTCGAAACTAACCAGAATAACCAATCTCATCAAACCTATTTCAGTCTAAAACCCCAATATTAAGAGTACATGCAATGTTGGGGTTTTACTCTTAAGTTACACTAATTTCACTCATAAGTTACCACGGAATGTCGGAAGCTAGATTATCAGAAATGTGAAATGAAAAGAGTAGATAAACTCACAAATATCGAAGCAACTTACCTTTGGAGCTGCCATAGGATATTCTTCAGGCAAAAAGAGCTCCAACTTAAAAACTCCTCCTACGAGTTGAGAATGAAACAAAAATGATTGGTAAACATCCATTAATAGAAGTTTGATGATATATAAAACAGCAGACTTGGTTATGAAAGAAGCAATACTGAGCTTAGCATTGTATAACTAGAGCACAGTGGAAAAAACGAAACGTGTGGATCAATGAAAACAAGGGTACGTTATAGACTCATCGTTATTCACACCACCATAATCCAAAAACCAACGATATAATAAAAGATCAATAGAAAGCCTCGACCATAAACGAACATCTTCGTCTAAGACAAAGCAAAATGTTCACCGCTAGCAGAAGAGGTCGACGAAATCGGTAAATAGCATGCACTGGTGAAGTTGATATACACATTTACAGATATGAATCAACAACTAGTCTATAGCGGTTCCAGTCTTCGAGAAGAACAAGGAAGAAGAAATGAATGAAAACAATTTCTTATACCTTCATAAGGAGATTGTGTAGGACCAAGAATCATAACATTGAAATAGCGCATATTTTCCTCCGATGGAGAAGCGCTTATCCCAGGAGCTGCAAACAGACGATCGATTGAAATTCATGTTTTCAGAAATATAGCGAAAAACCATCACAATCAACTGTTTCAGCTAAAATATACTTAAAAACTCAAAGAAGGATAGAATGAATTGATGAGTTTTACCTGGTTCACTAAGTAGACGTTGAGTTTCCTATCAGATCGGAGAATGAAAAAAAGTCAGATCATAAGTTGCAGAAAAAGTAGAGAGGATAAGATCGAACAAGCTATCAAAATTCTCTCAGTTCCGATGAGCTAAAAGCCGGTGGTTGCATGTTCCGATTTCAGATTAAAAGCCCCAAAAGAGGGAACCAAGAGAGATATTGAGATCGGATGGTTTTGCAAAGGATCGGAAAACGCACCTTGATGATTCTTCGCGGAAGATTACTATTCGCCATTCTCGCGCGCTATTGGATTCGATAGATCTCAGAGTATTTAGGGTTTTTGAGAGAGAACACGAAGCTAACAAAGGGACGCACGGTGATAATCGAGGAGCCTTCGTCGTCTCGTTTCGTGGCCCTTGATGCTTTTAATCCTCTTTTTGACCTTTTTTTTTTTTTTGCAAAATAAAAAGACATTTTTATTTGAGAAAACCAATACAATTTCAATTTTTTATTTATATAAAGTCAACTTCCAGTTCCATGCTTAGCGATTAAGAGGGCATATGTAAATGAGTATGTTGAACATTGAAGATTAGTAATTTTGCTTCGATCATTTCAGAAAAACCTTGATTTACGAACATTTTTGTTAAATAATCTTATTCTCAAGTGCCCGTCATTTGTTCTCTTTTTGCCTTTATACGACGCGTTGGTCGAACGCCAACATAAAGATCCCCATACTCTTCTCTCATTTTACCCTTCTCTTTTCAATGATCTAAATTGGAATCGCAAAATCAAAAGAAGAATAAGAAAGATCAAACTTTACCTAATAATGCAAAAGTGTCAATATCATAACATGATCTTTCCTTTACGTTCTTTCCAGCCATTTGGAGATTTACTACCAAGTCTATTTCCATTACAAACCGTGAATCTGAAGTTAAAGCCCATACTAATCAGTTGCTACATCCAAAACTGGTCAACAAACTGAGCTAAAGCTACGAGTCTACAGAGTTTAAAGGGGGTTTGAGATCATTTTGGGACTCTTTTATGTATGACGTATTTGCCGAACACATTTTTCTCCTGCCACTTGTAAGGGATGAAGAACGATCTATACTTAGCTGGCGATAGCTCTCTGTCCAAATAAGGCAACACCGCGATCGCCTGAAAAAAAGAAAGGCCGGAAAGGAAAAACGATTGAAAAAGAGGAAGTGAAAATGTAAGATAGATTCTGTTTCATAAAGATGGTTGCATTCTTATACCTCCCATGTCGATAAGTCGTTGCCTCTATACACATACGGTCTGCTAAGCTGCAACTCAACGAGGAATGTGCACGTTTCAATATCCTTTACCTGAAACAAAAAAGCAAAAGAATTGATGGATGTAAATTAAACGATGCTCTGAGTTTTATGATTAGAGAATTTTTGAAGCGAAGTGGGAGTTTTACAAATTGTTGATCAGATGCTTGGTTCTTGTTGTTGAAGTATGGAGGTGATGCTGCAGTGCCTCCAAGTGTACTGTTGAATGGGAATGGAAGAAGACCTCGGAATCCATCATCTATCCACCGTACTTCGCTAATGTAGCTGGGCACGAAAAACGATGACGGGTATCGATGCCATTCGCTTCCCACACACAGAACAGAACCTGCCATGCCAATTAAACCAACCAAGAACTCATTAGTATTCAGACTTTTTCTTTTGAAAATTCTTATTCTAGAAGTAAGAGTGAGATGTGATCTTCACTCTTATTTGCATTGTAGTGATCATAGAGTTCTGTTTATACCTGGTCCTTCATCATCATAGTGGTCCAATAGTTTGTAGACCTCTAACGGTGCGGAATAGCCATTAATCAGAGAAAATGTGCGAGAATGTGAAGCACATAAGATCAGACCAAGAATCACAGGTCGGAGGTATTTGGTTATCTGCATATTAAAAACAAAATGTGAGAATCATACACGCTACAGTTCTTTTCAATGTGAGAATGAGACATTGTGCGTTGGAACTTACTGTCACCATCAAACTTTCACGTGAGCTATACTTTTCCCGGAACAGCTCAGGGATGTTCTCAATGACAGCAGAAGCAGAAACACATATAAGAGGGTATATAGGATAAAGGAACCTGCAGCAATTGATTGACAGTAAAATACTGGAATATGGTAAAAGTATCATAAAATCGGTTTCCATGAGATCGAGAAGCATTCCAGTAACTGGTCCAAACACTATAAGATGAAAGATTGAGAAGATCACCTTTCTTCTTTGTGGGGCTGAAGTGACATGAACGCCAGCCAAATATACATGGGCGAAATCACAACCAGCAAGCCACGGTCATACTTTCTTCTGATAACAGGGTATATTGCGATAAACAATAATGCCAAAACGAAACAGAAGTTGAAGTTGTTAAACCCATTTCTTATGTAAAACAACGGTCCTTCCGTCCCGTAGAGATGGCTTTCTCCACCCCCTAAGACATTGTATATCAAGAGATTCAAAACTGAAGACGTCCATCTCTTGTAATAGTAGTAATCCACAAGTAGTGAGAGTCCCTGGAAAAATGCTAAAACTATTTAGAAGAGAAAACAGTAACTTGAAATGATAAGCAATAATAACTCCCATAAACCACACAAACAAAGCACCTATGATTAGTGTTAACTTACAAGGAGCAAAACAGATGTGACAGCGCCAGAGATAAATGCTTGCTTGAATCTCTTAACCAGAGAGTATATAACCACAGGTAAAAAGGCAAGGATAGAAAATGGCCAGCCAAGAATCACTCCGATAACCGAAACTGCAACAGCCATGGCATACTTCTCGAAAAGTAATAACCCAGAGGCGAGACTCATGGCATACATAGAGAATGAACTGGGGAGGAAACCTAGCCAATTTCAGGGAAACATGAATTAACAAGAAATCGGAATAGCTTATACCAGCACTTGAAAGTCATATCTAAAGATTGAAAGAATAACTTGGAAAGCCTTATAATATTTGCATATTAAGTACCACAAAGGTGAACTAAATAGAATACTCACTGGTACTAGCAAAGAAGCAGCCACTGGTTAAGCAGAGCATTGCAACTGCGTACGTAGCAAGGCGTTTCCCGTACTTTCTGGAGAGGGCAACAACCAGGACAGTGTCTGAAACTGCAGAAACCAGCCCGAGAAAGAGCCTCACCGCATAGAAAACTTTAACCTATCCACAAGACACACAAAAGTGGATAAGAGATATGCAGCTACATACCATATAAGAATATACATCAGAAAATCAGCAATGCTTACCTTGTCATCACCAAACCACCAAGCAGCAGGCCGTCCAGCCAATTCGTGGAATAGAATGTATAAGTAGGAGCGAAGAGCAAAGTTGGAACTGCAGAACAAACAAAATTAATTAATCTCATGCTTATGATTTCATATAAAACTCAAAACTACAATCATCTTTGTACATGAAAACACACACAGATTCATCAACCAAGCAGACGAGTAGAAGAAATTAAGCTATACGAAGTCAAAACCATCAGATACTAACAAGCAAGGAGAAATCAGCAAACAAATTAAGAACGATTGCATCGAAATCGAATTTCCGCTTAATCACATTCCAACTTCACATTTCTGATTTGAAATTCAAACAAAAAGTTCAGAGCATTTGAGCTAACATCGTTCCTCTGACTAACTGCGACTATCACTAAAGCGCATTATACAGTAAATGTATCGCGAAACCAGTAACCTGTATTCCCAGGTCTGAAATCCCGACTTGTAGAGAAGATAATGGAGTGGCTCCCAGTAATTGAACACTTCGTCGCAGTCGTGAACGATGTTAGAAGTCGCGCTCATGTAACGAAGATAACATAACGCCAAAAACGGCAGGAACCAACTGAGACCACGATCCTCCGCATCCCCGCCGCCAGATCGGCCGGGCTTATCGGTCTTCGAGTAGGACTTCGTGGAAGATGAAGAAGAATCAGATAGAAGTGGGCGCCTCTGGCGCGTCGTCGTTAGATCCATCGAGCTTTGAGGATTTTCAGTTGGAAAATGGTCGAAGTGCAGATTGCAGCAGAGAACCTCCTTCTCGGCGAAGCAACGAAAAGTATCTCGTGGACCCGTTATGGATCTAGATAGCCCATTAAGATTCAAGTTGTTTTTAGACCATAAATAGTAATTTAATCAACATAAATTCAACTTTTATTTTAGCTGGATCACTTTTGGTTTTGGATTGAATTCAGTCTAGAAACTCTTTTTCAACAGAAAACATCTCACATTTTTATCAGAAACCTTTGACTTGAGAAAACTAGACGTATAGATTTAGTGGATGAGTCGATTTATCTTTGAAAGTGGATGTCGAATTTCCGTAAAGAGTTTCTTTTATACTTAAAAAAAAAAAAATTGGTTATAGTTAACAATTATTTTATAAAAATACGTGATTACTAATGCTGTTAACATTAAAAATACGTGATTACTAATGCTGTTCTGGTAAAAAATGTTTGTTAATTCTTGAAATTTGGGATTTGTTTATTTGAAAAGCTGCATAGATAAGCTTAGTCATCACATCAAGCCAGCAACATTGAACTTAGGTTTACAAGGATATATTTCGACTTATTGATAATTGACATATAGAAACCGTCGATATTGATCAAATATTAAAAGTTTTGAGTTTTGATATAAGCCAGTTTCTTAGAATCCGACACTTTGACTAAAGTCCCAAGCTCATAAACAACCCAGCACTTAAAGCTACTCTTATCGTAAAAATACCCCAAACATTTACAGTCTTTATTACACGAACAACGACACTTACTCTCTCCAACAGCAAGACCAACGTTGTACTTAGTCATGAAATGATCCACACCTCCAAGTCTATAGTAATGAAAAGTCTTGGGATCACAACTCTTCACCTTCTTGGCTCTACAAGCTCTACTCCAACCGAATAAGCCCATATCAGACGGACATGCCACACACTGATTATCCTCACAAATCCCAAACTCTCCGCATTTGGACGGTAACCAACACTCGCTGTTTCCGCGGTTAAAGAGCTCAAAGGTTACTTCCCAAGCAAGAAAACTGACCTTGAAATCAAAAGTGTAGATCCTAAGATTCCCATCAGCGTCGAGCCTGAGAAAACTTCGCGACGCGTTGAACCTAGGCCTTGCGAGAAAATGCTTATAAGGAAACTCGGGCCTAAGCCCAGGCGTGTCTAGCCCTAACTGGGTCGTGCTCCCTTGGTCTTTAGCTGCGTAAAGGGTCGTGGTTGGAATAAACCTGCCTTCGATAACGTAATACACAACGGACTTGTTGTTGCTCCTAGGGATTAAATGGCTTAGAACGAGTCGGTCAGGCTCTAAGACTAGAGTTTTAGATCCGTCGCGGCTTACGAGCTTGTTCGGTCCATCGAGTCTAAGAGACTGACCAACCAAAAGCGTATCCGCTGGGAAATCAAAGCTCTGCCACACTGGCCATCCTCCATCATCAAACAAGACAAGATTACCATTTTCGTACATCGTTAAGCCAATAACGCCTTTACTTTCTGTTTTTGTCTGCCAGACGATTTTGCCATCTGGTTGGGCCAGGACGAGGTTCCCTTCAGGTCCTAACGAAAGAGAAGCCTCTTCGCGGACAGGGTTTTTTGGGTTAGCCTGCCAGACCCAACGGATGATGGAATCGGAGCTTCCCGTTCCCATCCCGATGGCGAGTGTGAATGCGTTTGGCGTGGTGTTAAAGAAACATAAACGGAAGTGGTTACGGATGACACCTAAATCTCTGTAACTTGCGCCATACTCCACCGTGGATTCTCCGAAGGCGCCGTTGTTTAGGAACCGGAATTGCTCGGACGGAGGAACTTGTGGTTGGACGAGGAAAATGAGAAGAAAAAGAGAAACAAGAGTGAGAAGAATATGTGATGCTAATGCCATTTTTGATTTTTTTTAAAAGGTTTTGGGATAGAACTAACTAGAAACGATGGGAATTTTTAATTTATAACGAAATATTTAGTACATGAATCAAAGAAGTCAAAACGGCTTAATTTAGTCAAATCTCAATGTTACGACAATTTGGATGCTTCGTGTAATTTCGTAAGCCGTACTATACGACGTCCCACATGAGTCATGTGGTTCGGGATAAGCTAGATTATCTAATAGTTTACTTACACTTTTGCGTCACAGACACTCTACTTTAGATTGCGGAGATAGACAAATTAAATTACAGGGTGTACAACATACACAAGGGTTGACCTGCGTTTAGATTTTAAAATGGTGTGGAACATTTTAATGGGCCTTGTGTCAATAATGGTCAATGCCCCTACTAGGGATTAGTGATTGCAGGTTGCAGCTTTGCAAGATTACTGAATAAGTGTTTAACTGATTGTTAGTTGTTAGTTTGTTACTTTGCTAGGAACACTTATCAAGGATCTTAAGACTCCTTTCATTAGTTGTTAGTTTGTTTGCATGTTGAAAATTTGTTCTGGTCAAAAATCACTACAAAAGAAGAGTGTGTATTAGATCACTTAAAAAGTAAGTATCAATTAATATAATGATACTAATTTGAATCGTTTAAATAAGAAATGATAGAAAATATATGGTTTAACGGCCAAGAAGCAGCCACTGGTTAAGCAGAGCATTGGTTACTATCAATCATAAGTTAACAGATTAAAAAAAAAAAATTGATTATAGAAACTATTATTTTATGAAAAATACGTGATTACAAATGCTGTTTGGCATGTTGATGATTTGTTCTGGTCAAAATGTTGGTTAATTCTTGAAATATGGGATTTGTTTATTTGAAAAGTTGGATATATAGGCTTAGTCACAGCAAGTCAGCAACATTGAACTTAGGTTTACAAGAATATATTTCGACTTATTTGATAATTGACATATGTTAACCGTCGATATTGATCAAATATTAGGGTGTTCCACCGGAATTGATCCGGAATTTCTGTATCAGACCGGTGGTTTAAGGAAAATAACCAAAATTTCAGCCGTTAATAAACCGGGTCATTCAAGTCAAAATTAGAATTCAAATATTGAATATTTCTTTGAATTAGTGCTAATTTGACTAATTTTGATCTTATAAATATATTCTTCATACATTTTATAGATAAAAAAACATATTTGTGTTTGTTTAAATTTTGAGTCACTCAATGCTAAATAACACATTTTTCAAAAACTGTTCTAGTACTCTATTAATATATGGTTAATATCTTCTTCATGCATTTTATATGGTAAATTTTATAAATACAAAAACGAATTAAGGATTGAGTTCTAAGACGTACCAATGTTATAAAGTCACATTTGTACGATTTCACATGCTGATAATGAAATTAACGTGGATTAAAAGTTTCAAAACAAATCTATAGTAATTATGTTAATTTACCAAGATTATATGTAGACTAATGCATGATAATGACTCATTGAACTATCAAAATTTGGCTTGGGTTTTGTAAGTTTTGAAGTACATGTTTACCAATTCATGAAATGTTTTTTCAACAGTTTTAATCATGCATGTTTATCTCTAGAAGGACAACTATAAAATGGAAAAAGTAACAATTTTATGCAAATAACAAGAAAAATGTACACAAATAGTAAGAAAAATGTAAGCAAATAGTAAGAAAAATGTAAGCAAATATATAATTCTTGGGGTAAAATGCAAACATTTATATGACTGTATAGCTATACTTTATCCATGGTGTGCAATTGTATTCTTATAAATGTCACGTTACATAAAACAATATTTTTAATTTGACACATATTTCTGCCCATAGTCATGTGGAAAACCCATTTTATCCAATCTTTTACCTTGTGTAGTTAGCTTGTAACCCTTCATTGGTAAAGAAGAGCAAAGCATGTGAAACTTACCTTGTGGTTAGCAACATCAGTCAGTCGGCAAATCGATGTTCAGGAAACAATTTTTTGGGTGAGTCTTGTTCTTGATCGCACTAAGAAGCCTGTTGATGATAGGCAAGCAAGCTTGAGCTTTGAGGTTTAAGCATTCAAGGTACCTAAGAGGAAAGCATATGGTTATAAATTAAAATTGGAGAACCAACAATATAAGTATCATGAGAATGAGGTATGTGTATACTACTTATGCTTGTGATGATGAATATCAAGAGAATAAATTCCTTTTAAGTAAATTGAAGAGTATTAATACTCCGATAGACAACACGCATACACATAGAATATCAAATCTGATATTTGTCCAACGTATACATTATTAAGGATAAATATTCCACATCGGAAATTGGAAGGGATCTCAAGTAGTATATAAGGGATGTGGGCTTCTCCACTTATTGTCAATTGGTTTTGAGTTGGAAGCCCATGTAACTTAACATGGTATCAGAGCCCCGATCCATATATTCCAATCCGATCCGACCCATAGTTGGTCCAATCATCGACTATGCCCAAAATTGGTGCTGGCAATCCAAGCCCGAACATACCGAGATCGATGGCCAAAAGCCATCATCTCGAGGAGGCATATTAGGGATAAATATCCCACATCAAAAGTTAGAAGGGATCTCAAGTAGTATATAAGGGATGTGGGTCTCTCCACTTATTGCCAATTGGTTTTGAGTTTGAAGCCCATGTAACTTAACATACATATCAATGTTTATTATTTTTCTACTTTCTTTATTCTTCATTCTGGTTTCTCCTAAATCTCAGCTGAATTGTAAGCTAATTAATTTAAGGTTCACAATTTGCAAAAGGAGTCGCCCTGTGGTGTATATACATCTCATCGTAACCATATAAGTTTTTTAATTCAAGTAAGCATGTCTACAAGACTACAATGCACAGTAGACCACTAAAATGTGAGAACATTGATTGCATTTAACGACATTACAAAGTACGAACTAATTCACTTGCAAGTTAGTTAATTTGATTTTAGTAACAAACAAAACAGCGAAAATAAATTGAAGCAGTAGATACAGAAAATAAGTTGAGTTGATTTTAAGAGACTGAAAACTAAGAGGAATCGAAGGGTGGTGTGAATAATTTACCGATTGTAAATCCTCTCTCAAAATCGATATATAAATAAATTCATACATATACTGATATACATCATACAAGAGCCGGTCAGTCATATATTAAAAGAGTAATTAAATTTATTAATCATGTGCGTAGACAGGAACCAAGTAGAAGATAGTGGCGAGTATATAAGCAAACAAGCAATCCTCTGACTGAAGCTCAAAAATTCGATTAAATGGATTATATAACAAAGCTTTGATTAATAATCAGACCAAACCATTCAAAACGCTCAAACCAAAAATTACAATTTCTCTGAGAAGAAGCCATCAATCAGCACAAGAAAACAAAGACAAGGGCATATTATGTTCGAGAGCGAGCAACAACTTCACACGTATTAGACCGTCTTGGCAATGCAATGAGCTGAGCGAGGATCACAGAATCTTGTTCCTTGATATGATCTAAACAGAGAGTAAGTTTCCTGAGGACTGTTGAATTCTGTAAGAAAAAACTTCCAAGTTTCTCCATATTCGCCAAGTGTTTTGCTTTTACCTCAACAAACTCAAGCGACGACAAGACACAGTGAGGCACGTACAAGAAATCTCTTCCGTAACTACCAATTCTAAACCCCATGAAAAGAGATTTTAGATTTGGACAGCTCTCAAGTAAGACTAACAAACTTTCCCAGGATCCAAACTTCATGCCCTTGACGCTCAATGTAGAAAGGTTATGAAACCGGCGTAGTGATTCCGATTTCGAGAACCTACGAATGACCTACAAAGAATACATGTTACAACTTTTCATATTCGATAGAAAGAGAAAAAAAAAACTAAAGTTAGAGAGAATCAAGATAGATAGTTTTTACCTCAAGTATATCAACAGAGATGGTCAAATTTCTGACACAAGAGATCAGTGTAAGAAAATTAGGAAAGCTTTCACCAAAGTTAGTCAAATCATCAAGATCCAACGTAACAATGGAGCTCAAATCATCTATAATGATCCTTGCAATAAAATGACGCTTCAGCTTTAGATACTTGAGCCCTGGGGTTTGCATTAGAACTTGTGTCCTCGGATACTCGTTTTCTTCATGTGTGGTCAGAGAGAAGCTCAACAGAGACTGAGATGAGACTTTTGGTATATACATCTTGTCCATAGTTAGGGTTTCTAAAGCAGGGCAAGCTGAGATCAGCATCTCCAAACCTAGTTTGTCATTGTTAAAAAACCCGATTTATCGTAGATCCATAGTTTTAAGACAAGGCAAAGAAACTGACTCGGGCGGTTTATGCAACCATGCGCGATTGAGTTTCAATGAGACCAAACTCTCACATGATGTATAAATGGTTGGAGGTATCTCAACCAATTCGCATCTTCTGTTACTCTCAACATCTAAACGTTGGATTTTCTGCTTAAACACAGTGTTTAACGTCGGCTTGACATAATTATAACCAATGCACCGATGATATCGTAGCTTAACTATTTGTAAGCGCAAGCCACTGTTCAAATCCATAAACCTATTGAAAAACTCGTATTTAGCAAAACCATCGATCTCCAAATCCAACCCAGGCACGTCTTGCCAGAGATTTCTCCATCTGCGACATACAAGGCTAGTCCTGACAACATCCTCCGTGGGAAGATGGAAAAGTATCTCACAAAGCAAACAATCTGGTAACTGGTTAATCATATCTTCCTCTCTGACTCTATAATATCACCAATTGTGATTAAATAAGAACGAATGAGTATATATAGTAAGAAGCCATGGTGATTTCATCCAGAGTTGGAAAAGGAAAGGTCTAGACTCAAATCATCACGAAAGAGTATTGAACAAGGAATCACTTGGCTGATCATGTATTCACGTTAATGCGACCGGCTATATATAAGGTCAGTTCAGAAGGCTAGGTCTTATCTCATATATTCTCCTAAAAATAGGAAAAAGGTTAGCTCTTAACTTTTTAAGAGGATCGAAGATAAGGATCCTGTTTACCTTTTTATCTCCCAAAAAAGGAATTTCCTTAGTCGAGTGAGCAATTTGGTTTCTATTCAGTTTTTGATTTTCGGTTTAGCTCTTTTAAGAATTAAAAAAATGGTTATTTTGTTCAATAATGACGTTAACTAAAATGAATTAAAAATTGAGAAAGGAACAATCTGCCACTGATAAGCCTACTACAATAAGTAGGAACCTGGTCAGAGTTCATTGGGCAGAACAGAAATTAAAACCCGAGTTTTTTCTGCCTTCAAGATTATTAGATAGAGAGACAGCTGTTGTTGAGGATCTCACATTACAAACAACACACAAAGCGATCCGGAAAAGCTCAAATAATTTCCACTGGATTACTGTTAATTAACTAATGGCCGGAAACAAACCTTTATTTCTCTCTAGACCACTGGATTATATAACACATGATTTAAGAGATAGCCTCGTACGCTGGCTCAATTATTCCATGACAACTTGACACTTTGTAGAGCTTCTTGGTATCGCCTTGATTTCGTTGATGATGTTACAGAAACTCATACTTAGTGTCAGTTTCTTGAGAGTTGCACCATTCTCTACAAAATACTTGGCTAATTTCATCTTACTCGAAGTTCCAGTGAGCGGTGTCCCTTCCTCATGTATCTTTACCACATATGGTGTCTTCAGGTGAACAAACTCGAGCGTTGACATAAAACATTGTGGCACAGATGAAAGGTCAACTTGCTCTGTCTCTGGAAGGCAGTCAAATTCCTAACAATATACAAGGGAAGTTTGAGTTTTCTATTATCATGAAACTTCAAAATGATTTACATGAGAGCTTGAGAAAAAAAGAAAAAAAAAAAAAACTCACCAGGACGACATAGTGTAGATTTGGGCAGCTCTCGAGAAAGGTTGGCAACATTTCCCAGGAAGTTTCCATGAAGTAAGCATGCAAGCGAGTCAGGTTAGAGAATTGAGGTAGTAGCGGTTCCATTTCCAAGTAATCATGAATAATCTGTGCATATGAGGAAAAAAAAAAAAAAAAAAAAACATGGCGTCACTCATGAGACAATGTGATAAGGAAATTTGGTATTGAATCAACTTGTATATAAATTATATTACACTTAGAGTCTCAGCAGAGATGATCATGTCGCTGACTGTAGATAACCCTGCGAGAAACTTCCCAAGCATAGCTCTCTTGGAGGAATCACCAGGGTCCAATGAATCACAATATTCCACATTAAAGATGACATCAATGTCTACCTTCGCACAAGGACCGATACTGTGTATCACGAAGCTGTCAGATTGGTGATCGCTGAGAGTCATACACTCAAGCCTTGGAGCATCGATTGCAACAACCTGATCTTCACTTTCATAACGCTCAGCCTCTATTCTGAAGCTCTTTAGCGATCCGGAGCGAACACATACAGCTTCAAGAGAGTCGTTAGGATCACGGATTATGGTTAACTCTTCGAGAACAGGACAGCTTGATATCAGAGTCTCCAGAGTCGAGTCAGCGTCGTATTTGACCATCTCCAGATGCATGATCTTGACACAAGGCAACGAGACTGATTCTTCGGGATGATCCAAGGCCGTGCAGTAGAGATTTAAGCTGACTAAACTCTCGCATGAATAGAGAGATTGAGGCATCTTAACCAATTTTTCATCATCATCAACCTCGTTACGAACATTAAGATGACAGATTCTACGCCTAACCACAGCATTGATCCAAGACTTGAAACGAGCATCATCATGCTCATAAACCTCATAGATCAGCTTGAATCTATTCAAGTGTTGCTCATTGCCAGATCCGAGAAACCTATCTACGAAACTCAGGAAAACGGCATCGTCTTGGAACTTATTTGAATCCATGTCCAATGCAGGGACATGTAACCAGAGGTTTCTCCATCGTTTCGATAAACCGCTGGTGGAAACTGATTCCTTCGTGGTGAGGTCAGAGAGTATCTGACATAGCAACGAATCAGGTAAATTGCTTATCTTATCAGAGTTCATTTGTTTCTTCTCTTTGACAGATGATTCACCATCCATGTCTAATGCCTAGAATCCTGAATTTCAGAGATATAAGTCTGAGATTATTCTCGCAAATACGATCGCAAAGTTTGCAAAAAGTCAATGAGCTACTGAAATTACCTTGAAATGAAGTCTTTTTTCCGCAAGAGATACTGGCGAGAGAGAGGAAGAACAAGATGAAGCCACCGTCAACTGGCCGGGGCTGTATCGGTAATATCACAGAGATCTTCCCTTCGACAAAAATGTAAGATGCTTATGGATATTTACTACAGCCATCCACGTGCACATTACATCAACGGACTAGATGTAAGCTTATTATCACAGGCTGTCACCCCCCGTGACGTTAGCAATTACGCCATTTTTGCTGAGAGTTATTTCAAATCTCAGTTTACACCTTCACACCGCGTCTCTCTTTCTCTCTCTCTCTCCTTGAGATTAATCGCTGAGGAGAAGCAACCACCTGAGACGGCGGAGATGGCAGGGTACAGAGTGGAAGACGACTACGATTATCTCTTCAAAGTTGTTCTTATTGGCGATTCCGGAGTCGGAAAATCGAATCTCCTTTCCAGATTCACCAAAAACGAGTTTAATCTCGAGTCTAAATCCACCATTGGCGTCGAGTTCGCCACGCGGACCTTAAAAGTCGATGGTAAGGTCGTCAAAGCTCAGATTTGGGACACTGCTGGTCAAGAGAGGTTCGTTTTTCGTCTTCCATGTCTCTCCATTTCGTTTTTCGGTTTTAAATTTGTCGATTTGTGTATGTGAATCGGCCGTCAAGCTAGATCTCGCTCGATGAACGTATTGCACTATTAGTTTCTTCATAATTTTCTGGGTTAATTAGTCTTGAATACATCAGAAACAAGAGTCACTGTCCCAGAGATCACTCTAACAGTCAAAGCTCATTTGCACAGATCTATCTTTTGATCCGTTTGTCTGGCATAATTTGAGCTCATGAAACTACCTTTGAATTGAACCTATCAACCCAATCTGCGTGTTTTTTTATTATCATCATTTGGTAATCAGAATTGAACCTTTATAAAGAGATGAATTCTCATATACTCTAGGTCTCTGATTCATTTACTGGCTTCCTCTATGCTTGTTTTTTTTTAACATTTTTTTGCTTTAGGAGTAGTGGATATGTTCAGCAGTATTTCTACTAGAGAGACTCTCTGTCGTTGACTATTAATACTCAAACATTGCTCTTCTGAAAACGGTCTTCTGAGGTTGACTGCATTTGACCACCATTGAAGGATATAATGTGGAGTTGCTTGATAATGTAGATTAAAAAATAGCCCTTCTTCTGAAAACAAGTCTATGGCTTTGTCTCAAATACGACTATGATTGTTGAATTGAGTCTCTTTCTGGTGTATTGTTAGAATGTAAGCAAAGAACTTGCTCTCTTGATTAGTAGTAGACTTGTTCCATTGAAACGATTGTTTTACTGCCTTCTTTGACCCGGCAATTAAATTTATCCCTATTTTTGGCTAAATTGTTGGATATCGATTCGGTATGCTCATCCTTGATAAAAACATATCATGACATTTCTTGTACTCATTATGGTACGATCTACATTGGCCTTGAGATTGGGATAAGAAAAGTTAAAATCATATAGGAATTTTCATTCTATGACAAATGATGATAAAGCCTATCACTTTATCATCACCTTTGCTTGAATTTGTCATTGATTCTCGGCACAATTTTAAGACTCTTAGTTTGATTCTCGTCGCAGGTACCGTGCCATCACCAGTGCATACTACCGTGGAGCCGTGGGTGCACTCCTAGTATACGACGTAACCCGACGTGCAACATTTGAGAACGTAGACCGGTGGTTGAAGGAGCTCAAGAACCACACAGACCCAAACATCGTGGTGATGCTCGTTGGTAACAAATCTGACCTGCGCCATTTACTAGCTGTTCCGACAGAAGATGGAAAATCCTACGCTGAGCAAGAGTCGCTTTGCTTCATGGAAACATCTGCCCTTGAAGCCACCAACGTCGAGGACGCCTTTGCAGAGGTTTTAACGCAGATTTACCGCATCACAAGCAAGAAGCAAGTCGAAGCTGGTGAAGATGCCAACGGTTCTGTCCCAAAAGGAGAGAAGATCGAAGTTAAAAACGATGTCTCTGCTCTCAAGAAACTCGGCTGCTGCTCAAATTAAAGACTTTCTTTTTATCAATCTGTTGAAAGAGAATTATAACACCATGGTCCATTGTTCGGTTCTGTTCTTGTTTTGTAACAATATCGACATTTATATGAGTTTTAGACTATACATTATATAATGCTTCTTAACTTTATCTCGATTATTGTTGATCAAATCAGTTTCAGACTATATAACGCAAGTGTTTTCAGAGTAACAGTCTCAGTCTTGTTTAAAGCACCAGACATCAGTGATAAACTGATTCAATCTTTGTCCAAACGTCTTGGTAGAGAACGACTCGACGACATGGTTCCTAGCTTCAGTACCCATCCTGTCAGCTAACTCAGAATTTCCGATGAATTTAGCCATTGCCTTGCTGAAATCTTCTGGAGTCGGTTCACATAGATAACCGGTTACTCCACTCTTCACTGTTTCCACAGGACCACCGCTATTGCACGCGATCACGGGTTTGTAAGCTGCCATTGCCTCTAATGGAACAATCCCAAAATGCTCATCCTGCAAAATCAAACTTTCCGGTTTGGTTTCTCGAAACAGACAACAGATTCTCGTTGGCCATGAGAATGAATGAGATCAATAATATGGTTTTTACCGTTGGTGTGTAGAGAACACACAAGCAATTTGAGAGAAGTTCGTTTCTTTCGGGTGTTGAACAAGATGCGATAAAATTTACTCGATCAGACACGCCTTGCTTCTTAGCTAAACTTTTGAGATCCTCCAGATATTCTACATTCTCCCTCAATCTTTCATCATAACCCCCTGGAAGACGAGTTTTCTTAAAGCAACGAACCGAGTGAAATTTTTACAGAGAGAGGGGAATAGTAAAACTTGCCTGCAACAGTGAGGGTAATGTCATCTAGATCCTCTTTATCTTTGCATAGTATTGCAAAAGCTGAAACAGCCAACTCTATGTTCTTCTTCCTCTCAAACCGGTTTATGGAGAGAAAATTCAACCTACATCAAAAGTCGTTAATTCAATTCTTTAACTGAAAATTTGAAGTTTCAGGGATTATACAATTACTTATAAGCAAGGGGTTTATCGAACTGATTCACGTTGACTGCTGGATAGAGAACATCCGGACGAACTCCTCGGGCATTAAGACGTTTAAATGTATTGGCAAATGTTGATTCCGTGAATTTACTGTTTACAAGAATCAAATCTGCCATTCCTATAAAACCAAACAAGTAATACATAAGAACAGCGAATTCAAATAGAGAAAAAGAGTTAAAGAGTGGTGAAGACTGAAACCTGTGGTTTCTTCTTCGATAAAGTCGATTGGTTTGCGATACATTCGCCTGAGCGGACTAGTGTGTTGAGCTAGCAAAAGATCAGGGAAATGGCAATAGAAAACAACCTGTGAGACCACAAAATGTGATTACGCTACAAATAAATCAAGTGATCTTGAGATTCTCTACTTAGATTTATAACCATCAGTAGTGAGTAAGTACCTTTGTTGGTCTTTTGTGTTTCAGCAACGGGATAACAACAGAGACCTGGTCCGCTAATATAACATCAAACGATGACCATCCCAAAATCACACAGAGAGCCACAAACAAACATCTCAGATACGCACACACGGCATGAAGCCGGTAGAAAATATGCCGTGGCAAGAACGAACCATACACCGTCACTCCAAAGATACCTGAATACTAAATTCAGTTAGATATGGATCATGAAACTTGAACCCTCTAGGAAATGTAACTGAAAACATGTCTACAGTCTAGAACAAAGATCCGAATCTGTCTAGGCTTATCACAATGAGCGTAACACAACAATGGTGGAGAATCAAAAATCTAAATGCAGAGTTTCTTCTAACATCATCTTACGCACCAGAATAAATAAGATTTAATTTGAAGTTTCCTCTTGCTCACCGGAGAGAGTTTCCTCAAAGCATCTGGATTTATCGTGGTGAGAAGTAAAGACATGAACTTTATGACCGTGAGAAGCTAGCTCAACCGCTGCATCCACAATCAACCTTTCAGCTCCACCTACAAAAGTGTTTTTTTTTCGATAGCAGATCAGAGATTCATAATCCATTGAAATGGTTTCTCAATTACGCGAACTCGGCCAATTTTTTTGGATCAAATCAAATTGGACTGAATTATAAGCGGGAAAGTGAGTAATCTGATGAATGTAGTGGGTACCTATTCCAAGATCTGGATGAATTATAGCGATATTCATCTTCGATCGTCGTTTTTCCTCCATTTTTGAATCTGATTTCTCTGTTTTTGTATCTTCAAAAATCAAAACCGAAACTTCAGAACCGGGTCGGGTTGTCGGGTTAGGTCTCATTTTGCTTACACAACCAAAAAACGACAACGTTTTTGAGCAAACTCTTTAGAGAAGAAAGAGCAAAGAAGAGAGAGGGAGAGGAAGAAGAAGATAGATAAAAGCGATTAGGAGAAATGATGGAGGAAGGTCCACCGGCTCCCAAGGTTCTCCGAATGTTCTTCTTCGTCGGCGCCGGATGTAAGTCATAGCTTTATGCTTCATTTGTTAGTTTCTGTATCCGAAAACTTCGATTGTCGTTAGTTTGATCGATTGAAATACAACAATTTTTTGCCATGAGTAATCTCGCAGTTTTATGTACTTTCGCGATCAATAAATGGCGTGAGATGGAGAGAAACTCAATCCTGAAACAGGAGGAGAAGAATCAACAAGGAGATGGAGGTTTATTGCATCAGATTCCTGCAGATTCGGTTCAGAAAGCCATGAAATGATAACTTCTCTCTTTTTTATTTTTGTAAGCTTATCTGTATTGTTTCGATCCAGATGCAAAACATGTTGCAATTCTAGTCTCGTTGACCTAAATTTTGGACCCAATTTCTGCATTTTGTTAAACCCTAGAGTGCCAAAAACAACACTAATCGTGAAATTCGCGTTTAGACTGCAAAATTGCGATTAAAATATTTAAACCGGTACTAAACCAAATCCGATCCGATTCGATTCGAAACCAGAACCTGCCCAATCCTACCCAACTGGAAAAAAAGAAAAACTGTTTCTACAACGATTCGAACCAAGGGCCGCTGGATCGTATCACTACTCGCTACCACTGGACTACCTAGGAATTTACCGTATACTGTTACAACAGTATGTATTTACTTGTTTCCGTCGAATTAAATATTTGCTCAAATTTTCCTTACTGTTTGCTTATATTTTTTGCAGTATTTGCTTATATTTTTTTTTGTTATTTGCATATTGTTAACGCTCACAAAAATTATTTAATAAAATGATTCGGAAGTGCTAGTTGCTTAATAGCTTATTTTTATAATTACTTAGACAATGTAAGTAAAAAATTATTATTATTATTATCATAATTTCTTAGACAATGTAAGTCAAAAACAAAATTATTATCGAGCGTGGTTTTATTCATTATCATGATACTTATATTGTTTGCCCTCCAATTTTACAATGATATATTTTTCTCAGGTATCTTGAATGCTTAAATGTCAAAGCTCAAGCTTGCTTGCCTATCATCAACGGGATTCTCATTGCGATGAAGAACAAGACTCACCCAAAAAACTGCGAACATCGATTTGCGGACTGATGTCGCTAACCACAAGGTAAGTCTTATGAAAACTTTTTAACTACATTTTTTCTAAGTTTCACATGTCTTGGTCTTCTTTACCAAATGAAGGGATACAAGCTAACCACCCAAGGTAAAAGCTTGGGTAAAATGGTTCTCTACATAACTATAGGCAGAAATATATGTCAAATGATTTTATGTAAAGTAATATTTATAAGAATACAATTGCATGCCATGGACAAAATATCATATACACAATAATCAGACATGATGTTTGCATTTTACCCCAAGAATTATATATTTTCTCAAAATTTTCTTATTATTTGCTTATATTTCTTCTGTTATTTGCATAAAAATGTTACTCCTTCCGTTTTTTTTTTTTTTTGTCAACACTTCTTCCATTTTATATTAATTGTTGTTGTAGAGATAAATCATGATTAAAACTGTTGAAAAGACATTTCATGAATTGGTAAACATGTACTTCAAAACTTACAAAACCCAAAGCCAAATTTTAATAGTTCAATGAGTCATTATCATGCATCAGTCTACATATAATCTTCGTAAATTAACATTATTATGGAATTGTTTTGAAACTTTTAATCCACGTTAATTTCACTATCAACATGTGAATCGTACAAATGTGACTTTATAACATTGGTGCATCTTAGAACTCAACCCTTAATTCGTTTTTGTATTTATAAAACTTCCTATATAAAATGTATGAAGAATATATTAACCATATATTAGTAGAGTACTAAAACAGTTCTTGAAAAATGTGTTATTTAGCATTGAGTGAATCAGAATTTAAACAACCACAAATATGTTTTTTTCTCTGTAAAATGCATGAAGAATATATTTATAAGAGAAAAAATAGTTAGATTAACACTAATTCAAAGAGATATTCAATATTTAAATTCTAATTTTGACTTGAACGACGACCCGGTTTATTAATGACCCCTGAGATTTCGGTTATTTTCCTTAAACCACCGGTCTGATACAGAATTTCCGAATTAATTCCGGTTGAACACGTGTAAGCTTGTTTCTCACTCGTGCCTCCATTGTATGTAATGTATGTGTGTGTAAATCATCTTTCCTTCTCTCTATTTCTCAATTCTCTCTCAGTCAGCGTTTTTTCTAATCAATCCTGTTTCCTTGGATTAGATTCGAATCTGAATCACAAATCTCCGAGATCTACTTTCCTTCCGGCGTCAGTGTATTTCGTTTCCCCGACGGTAAGTGATGTTTCACGTGGAAGAAGGAAGCAGTGCAGACGGCGGGTCTGAGATAACCGGAGATGATTCGACGACGTCATTGTCGCGATGGAGTTAAGAATGATTACGATGATGATTTTGACGATGAAATACGACGACGAGGTGTATGACGAGCATCAACACGCGGAAATGGATTTGATAAGCAACTAACTGGGCCTCGTTCTGTTAGTATTGGGCCTCTTATACTATCTGCGTTTTAACATTTCCTCTGGTTTGATCATGAAAAGAGCGGCTGACATAACAAAGACGCATACCAAGATTAAAGAATTTCAAACGTAGAAGCATTCTTATTTTCCGATTTTGTCTTAAACATATTCAAACCAACGATAAAAGTGAGAAGTAAAAACAGAGTTTACACGCGACAGGGTCACGTTGGAGACGGTTTCTTGGGAAACAAGATATCACTTCTCTTTAGATTCTCATAGCATCGAGGTAAGATTTCCCGTAGAGTTCACGGGAGAACAAGCCTTTCAAGTAGTCTTTCGTTTTCAGGCTTCTGAAATTTGCACCTTTTCTTTGCTTTTCAACGAGGCTTTTCGCCGGAGCAACTTCTTTATTCAGTCCAGGATTATGAAACGTCGCAATAGACAACCTCTCTTTCTCCGCGTTCACCACCGCGCGATGCTCCATGCTTCTGTATGTCCCGTTCGTTACGATCTACATTACCAACACCCATGAGTCCATGACCATCATCAAGACATTTCTCACATACGTACAAATTAATGTTGTGGTGGAACCCTAGTCTAATTGCAAATGTGGACATTCATCAACAACATCTCTATATATCACATGATATGTTCTTTCTCGCGCTATCTCTTCATATAATATACGGCTTATACCTCCAAGACGTCTCCAACATTGACAATGAAAGCATTTGGGAGAGGTTTGACAAAAAACCACGTGCCATCTTTCTTGATTTGGAGACCTTCAACTTCAGTCACCTGCAATAGTATGGTGAGTCCGACCGCATCAGAATGCGGAGTTAGACCGACAACCTTATCTGGTTGTGGACACGGCGGGTAGTAATTCATCCTCATACTCTGGAACATATCATCACCAAATGTTTCTTCTATTTCCTCTGTTTTGATCAGCAGGGTTTTCGCCATTTTGGCTATCAAGTTCTTAGCTATATTCTTCACTTCAGCGGAATACATCTCCAATGTATCTCTGAAGAACAGAAACTATAATTTAATTAAACACAGAAATATTTTGTGGGGATTAATGCTAACGCTTTTAGATGCATGCAAAACCTAAAAGGAAGAGGTAGCTTGGGGAACAAGTGAGGCTTGCGTAAATGAACAGGTTGCACGATAACGAAGAACAAATCTGCCCAGTCGAGTTTCTGATCTTCTGAAAGCACAAAAGCTTGTCCGAAACCTTCCATCTCATTTGGGTTCTGCCAAAACTTTTTCTTTTCTTCCATGGGAAGGTTGAAGAAATCTTGAATCTCCGACTTCAGTCTGTCCAAGAAACTTGGGTCTATTCCATGGTTTACAAGCTGTATACATCACAACGTAAGACAAATTAATTTTTCAAAACATGTGTTATTTTGTAAGCTCCACGTGAGGTCTATAACTATAACATAAAATATTTAATCATTTGTGGGTTATTGTAAAACAAACAGTGTATAGTTTGAGACTTTGCCTGGAAAAATCCACATTCTTTGCAAGCCAAGTCGAGTTTCTCAACCTCAGAGTCAGAGTCGATGGCGATAGAAGAAGACAACCGCTCCATGTCGATGATTGGGATCTCAGTTATCAGACTAGAATCATCGGCGACTTCAATTTTGTCTTGATCAGATCGAACATACCTGGGAGGAACAGTGATCATCTTCTCCTTCACCATCTCTTGAACAGAAGGAACTATGATCGAGCTCCACTGGGTGTCTCCTTTGGCTTCCATGGCGGTTTTCTTTCTTGGATAAAACAGAAAAATGTTTGATGTAGATAAAGCTGAAAGCCAAATCTACTTGATTTATGGAAGACTGCTTTTGGTTTTATATGAGCATATGCTTGTAAGGAAGTATTATCAAGCGGTTCACGTCGATCAAGGAAAATTAATACTTATGTCGTATATCTGCAGTTTAAAGTCGTATATATACATATATGAATGGTATTAGCCTATAAGTACAATCTCGTTAGTTTGTTTTTGTTGAGATAATTAATGAGTTGACGAGTATTTTCATAATATAGACGTATATTTTCACTCTCTTGGTATGATTTTTTAGAAATTCCACCAATGTATTCATTGCCAGTTAGCTGTTGAATCCAATCAACTAGGATTTTCCTTTGAAAATTGACATCAGAGCCTGATTCAGTCTGATTCATCATTTTCTTCCTTTCTTGTTGTAATTAGCATTTGGAGTCGTATAGGTTACCATAATCAGCTGACTAGTGGAAAAGACCGAAAAGCCTCTAGGCGGTGCGTGAGAGTGAGTCTCAAACATCACAACGCGGTAAGAAAGTCTGTCACCACGTTGAGCACCACTCATTAGTCAGTCATTACGCCATGATGTCTTCATGTGCAAATATTCAGTTTTGGTTTGTATTAAGTATTTCTTTATTCATTCTTTCACTTATTCTATCTTTCCTCAACGTACAAATCGGATCCTTTTGGTTTGTATTAACTATTAAGTGTTTCTTATTTTCACATTTTATGCAAGTTAAAAAGAAAATGATATTTTTATATTTTACGTAGACAGTTAACTCTTCAAAATTTTCTATATTTTTTTTATTTTAAGTAAATCTTAGCAAAAGAAAATCATATTAGAATTCTAAAAACAAAAATTAGTCTTAATAAGTGAAACTTCTAAAAGGTAAGGAATATTAAAGTTGCAAAGTTACTGTCCAACCAATCCTATTTTGTAATTTTTACCGTGAATCAGTTGAGGCGTCGAAGTCGCCGTCGTGGTTAAAATCTCCAAAGCGTTTACCTTTTGTCAAGAAAAAAAAAAGGTCCAAAGCGTTTCACACCAAAATCGACGAAACGCGCGGCCAACACGCACCTTCTGTGCACCAACCAGCTAAACGTTAAGGGTATATTTGTCAATCGCAGTTCTCTTCTTAATTATATATTCATTTCTTCCTTCGATCGATCCCTTCCTCTCCAAGAGCCTCGCTGCTCGAGTCTCTTTCTTTCCTTTCGAAGACCTTTGAATATATTCATTCTTTTGGTCTCACACTCCAAATTTTCAGGGCTTTCGTCATTTCATTATCCTTGAGAAGTTCACTGGTAAGCTTCGAGTTTCCGAAAATCTCGCTATTCTCGTTTGCATTTTTTATTTTCCGCGATTGTTGCATAATCATTTTGCTTCACTGCTATTTTTGTTCTTTCTTCTTGTATTGTTTTAGGCTTCGAGCTTGCTTTGTAGTTGATTTCGTGGATATTTCTTCACTTCCCGATACACGATCAATTTTCAGAATCGAGATTTATCGTTTTTGTTTCTAAAGTCTGCTTGTTCTGGCGCTATATATCCTCTGATCTGGATCTCCGATTTGAGCATCAGAATAAGAAGCTGATTTTATGAGTTGACTACTTCATGTGTGTCCATGATACATTTCAATTTAGTTTTACTTAGATCTGGCGATTTGAGACTCAAATCTCGAGCTTGCTGTGTATTCTACCTGCAGATCGGATTCTTCGTGGATTTATCGAGATTCTGTGTGTGAACACTGTTTGTTTGATAATCTGTACTAAATTTTGTTCAAATCCAGGAAAATCTCGTCGTCTCATGGCGTCATACACTCCGAAGAACATTCTAATCACCGGAGCAGCCGGTTTCATCGCTTCACATGTCGCCAACAGGCTCATCCGGAGCTATCCGGATTACAAAATCGTCGTGCTCGACAAGCTCGACTACTGCTCCAACCTCAAGAATCTCAATCCGTCGAAACAGTCCCCGAATTTCAAGTTCGTCAAGGGCGATATCGCCAGTGCGGATCTGGTCAACTATCTCCTCATCACCGAAGGCATCGACACCATCATGCACTTCGCCGCGCAGACTCACGTCGACAACTCGTTCGGCAACAGTTTCGAGTTCACCAAGAACAACATTTACGGGACTCATGTGCTCCTCGAGGCCTGCAAAGTCACTGGACAGATCAGAAGGTTCATCCATGTGAGCACAGATGAGGTCTACGGGGAGACTGATGAGGATGCGGTTGTTGGTAACCATGAGGCTTCTCAGCTTCTCCCAACGAATCCTTACTCTGCAACGAAAGCTGGAGCTGAGATGCTTGTTATGGCGTATGGTAGGTCGTATGGGCTTCCCGTTATAACCACACGTGGGAACAATGTGTATGGACCTAACCAGTTTCCTGAGAAGCTGATTCCTAAGTTCCTCTTGCTGGCGATGAGAGGGAAAGTCCTTCCCATTCATGGAGATGGCACGAATGTTCGTAGTTACCTTTACTGCGAAGATGTTGCTGAGGCGTTTGAGGTTATTCTTCATAAAGGAGAAGTTGGACATGTTTACAACATTGGTACCAAGAAAGAGAGGAGAGTGAACGATGTTGCGCAAGACATCTGCAAACTCTTGAACAAGGACCCTGAGGCAAACATCAAGTTTGTGGAGAACAGGCCTTTTAACGACCAGAGGTACTTCCTCGATGACGAGAAGCTTAAGATCTTGGGGTGGTCAGAGAGGACCACATGGGAAGAAGGTTTGAAGAAGACGATGGAGTGGTACACGCAGAATCCGGATTGGTGGGGCGATGTTTCTGGAGCGTTGCTTCCTCACCCGAGGATGCTGGTGATGCCTGGTGGGAGACACACTGATGGGTCTGAAGAGAGCTCTGGAGCAGTCTCTTTATCTGGAAACTCGAGTCAGAGCCAGATGGTGGTTCCGACTCCTAGAAGCAATGGCTACACTCAAAACCCTTCGCTGAAATTCTTGATATACGGTAAAACAGGATGGATTGGGGGATTGCTTGGACAGATTTGTGAGAAGCAGGGGATTGCTTTTGAGTATGGGAAAGGGAGGCTTGAGGATAGATCATCCCTCTTGCAAGATATTCTGAATGTTAAGCCTAGCCATGTCTTCAATGCTGCTGGTGTGACAGGAAGACCCAATGTGGACTGGTGCGAGTCTCACAAAACAGAGACAATCCGTGCCAATGTAGCAGGCACTTTGACTCTGGCTGATGTCTGCAGAGAGCATAGCCTCCTGTTGATGAACTTTGCTACTGGTTGTATATTCGAATACAATGAAAGCCATCCGCTAGGTTCAGGCATTGGCTTTAAAGAAGAAGACACACCAAACTTCACTGGCTCATTCTACTCGAAAACCAAAGCCATGGTAACATTTTTTTCATGACTTCATCTACACCATAAGGTTTCATGTTTGCGTAGGTATGCTTATCTTGTTAAAATGGTGTTGTTGGGATCCATCGTAGGTCGAGGAGCTGCTTAAGGAGTTTGATAACGTGTGCACTCTAAGGGTTAGGATGCCGATTTCCTCTGATCTAAACAACCCGAGAAACTTCATCACCAAGATTTCCCGGTACAGCAAAGTAGTGAACATCCCAAACAGCATGACCGTGCTGGACGAGCTTCTTCCAATCTCGATAGAGATGGCGAAAAGAAACCTGAGAGGGATTTGGAACTTCACCAACCCTGGTGTTGTGAGTCACAATGAGGTCCTGGAGATGTACAGAGACTACATCGACTCAGACTTCAAATGGGCAAACTTCACACTAGAGGAACAAGCTAAGGTCATCGTTGCTCCTAGAAGCAATAACGAGATGGATGCATCTAAGCTCAAGAAAGAGTTCCCTGAGTTACTCTCAATCAAGGAGTCTCTGATCAAATATGCCTTCGAGCCAAACAAGAGAACTTGAGGTAGTGTAACTTATCTCAGTTTTGTTTAAACCTGTTTGTGATTAGTTTCTCCCTCAGAGTCTTAAACCAAAAGCAAACTAGCTTTGCCTTTAGATTTATCCTTTAAGCCGTATATCTAATTTGGATTCTTATATGTTTTTGTTTTGTTGGTATTGTGTTCTTGTTCCACATTTGATAGATAAAAACTAGATTTCTATATTATTTGATTTTTCTGATAATATTACAATTTCAAGACCTAATAAGGTTACGGTTTTAGCCAAGATTCATATTGACAGATCCCAATTAAAGCAATGATAAATTGCTGATGGTAGAAAAATTTCTACCTTTATTTCTTCTTTATAAAGAAAAGACTGGGAACCATTCGGTTCCTACAAATGCTGAAATAACTAAGAAAATGGGAGAGCCACTAAGAGTCATGCTCCTACATTTCAGAGCAGTGGTCTCCTCTTATTTTAAACAAATGATCAAACAAAAGATTTAAATAAAACGATTCAGTCAACATACTTCAGAGTTTGGCTTCCTGGTCTTCCCGCCATTGGAGTGTTTCAAATTTGCGTTTGCATCGCTATTAGAAAATGAGCCAGTCGTTCTTGTCATTGCATCTCCAACTGAGAGCATGTGGAGAAAATCCACAACATCGTGAGATGAGTCAATGACATAGCGAGCTTTTGTGCGAGCTTGTCCAATAGATGCAGAGAAATAATTCTCTTTCTTGAGGTCAAGAGCGTTCAATGAAACCTTCCTCTTCTTCTTTAGGGACTTCGACCTAGTTTCAAGAGGTAACTTGGACGGCAAGGTTTCTGATTCGAAGAATGTGTAAATGTCTTCGTCCTGTAGCATACATATTGGCCCGTTTGCATCAAAAAGCCAAGAAATGTAAAATCCAAGTTCTGATTAGTATTAGTTACATAATAATATATGCTTTACCTTCTCCAACAAGTAACCACTGCAAAAGACAAAATCAATCGGTGTACTCATTGATTTTTTATGCAATAATTCTCCCAAAATACGACTAATTGCTGTCCCCTAAGAAACAAAGAGAAAACCCACAAGACTTCAGAACCAATTTGAATAAAACATAAGGAGGAATTAATATAAGAAGGCAAGAAGCATTTCTTTTACCTTAGTCACACCCATGGCATGGACTTCAACAGAATTATTTCCCCGAACAACATCAACTGATGCATTCGAGATTGGTCCTGACCATAAGTGTTGCAACATGTCTCTTGCTTGTGCTCTCCCAAATTCAGCATCTACCAAAAAATACAACAAAAACAGGGGAGATTTTGACAAATGGTCAGACAAATGTTTGGAAGCAAAAGGGGCCAAATAAGCTATAGATGATATGTCCAATATTCACCTGCATATTCGTAATTCCATACAAGTGAAGTCTCGCTTGCCTCGAAGAACGATCTTGGGGTTCGATCAGTGAAGTACTTGAAAACATTCTACATAATTACAAAGTAATTAACACAAGATCTTAATTTAAAAAATTATAAAACTTGCTTTATTATTATTATTTTTTTTAAGAAAGTAAACTACTAACCTTTGCACCATCGACCCAATCGAGGTTCATTTTTTCAGGGACATTTGTAACCCATTCTCCAGTGGTAAGCCTTAAGAACATTCCATTTTCCGCAGCCAACCATATTTTATACTCTCCAAAGTTCTGAATTATTAAGTTACCAAATCAGTGAGAAAGTAGATATACAAATGTGTGATAATAATCAAAGATGAAAAAGAGAGACATTAGCAATACTTTATCTAATATGTCTCTGCCGCTTCTACTCAATACAACTACTGTTGTTTTTGGATCATTGCACAATGCTTTCAGTGATCCCTTTAGCTTTGGGTTTAGTTTAAGATCCGTTTCCTTCGTTTGATTATTCATTGGCTCAGTGAGTGCTCCACAGAAACCCTGAATAGATATTTCACAGTTAATATAAATACATAGTATTAGAATAAAATCTCCCAAAAATCTAGCTTAGAGTATTTACCAATATTATCAGCCTATTGTTAGACTGCAAATATCGTTGTATCGCATCTTGTTGTGGAAGCTCATGTGGGATTTTCCTAATTTGCATCTCGGATTCATGGAAAGCCTCGTTGAGTTCACTGCATAGAGATAAAGAAAAAAAATTGGCAAAAATAAGCTCTTAACTAAGAACCCTTATGTTTTGAAGAAGATAAAATGTTCCTTCTTATTTACCTCAAGAAATCAAGTCCCCATTTTGTCGCAGAATGAGTTTTCACATACTCAAAATTAACTCTATGTCTTTTTTCCCTTTCTTCAGCTGACATATTTAGAGCTTCTTTAATGGCAGAAGAAACTTCTGTGACATTCCAAGGATTCACAAGAAGAGCACCAGCACCAAGAGACTGTCCAGCGCCTGCGAACTGTATAAATTCCATGCAAAATCAGTAACTTTTTTAGAGTCAATATTAGCATTGAAACTTGAAAGTGCAATTATCTATATCACCTCACTGAGAATAAGGACCCCTCTTTTGGCCTCTTGGCAAGCAACAAATTCATGACTAACAAGATTCAGTCCATCTCTCAAAGATGTTACAAGCATTACATCTAAAGAATACATAAAATAAATTAAACTCATCAAACAAGTTTTATAAATAACTAAAACCAAATCAATAGCCAACACGTGTAGTGCAAGAAAATAGTTGCCTGCAATGGCGTAAAGGGCACATAAGTAATTGGAGGGAACAGAACAATCCTGACAGAGAAAAAAAATGAGAGAAACTTATCAAGAAAATATTAAATCACGAAATCTTGAATAGATAGAGAAAGCAAACAAACAAACAAACCAGGTGGTGAATTGGAAGAGAAGAAACAGAACCAAAACGACCGTTAATGCGCCCAACGAGCTGATGAACTTGGTTTTTGACTTTTCGATCTGTAAATAAATACACAATCGCAGAAATTAAACTGATGATCATTCTTATAGAAATTTATAAGCATAATAGAATACACAAGCCTTTTTTACATTCAGAGACACCATTTCTTGTTGGCACTGCAATTTGCACTAGCACAACTTTATCCCTCAAATTTGGATTTTCTTCCAGAAATTTCTCAAATCCAAGATACTTTTGTGGAATCCCTTTGATCATATCAAGACGATCAACACCTAATATCACCTGTTAACACCAAAAAGCATTATGTTAAAATCTTTTGTTAGTATCAAAAGAAAAAAATTAAGAAGAATTAATACCTTTTTGCCAGCAAATCTCTCTTTAAGCTCACTCATTTGTTGTATGACTTCAGGGAGCTTACATGTACTAAGAAATCGCTCGGGATCTATTCCCATGGGTAACTGGAAAAACAAAAAATATAAAACCGAGAGGTTAATTATATTTACAATGTGGTGATTTATTATAAGTTATAGAGAAAATTTGAATATGAAGTCATACAACAGTTACTCGAGTGACTCTACCTTGAACCACAACTCCTTCATGTGTTCCTTCAACTCCAAGAATTCGAGTGCATGTACTCACAAAATGTCTTGCGAAATCATATGTGTGGAAACTGAAATAAAATAAAATAAATTTAAACTATTTTGATCCAAATCAAATGATTCCTAACCATGTATGACACTGTTAAAGTTTGAATTTACCCAAGTAAATCAGCTTTAAGAACCGAACGAAGAAGCTCTGACCGCGATGGTAGTGTTTTGTAGACCTCGGAGGAAGGAAATGGTGAATGGAGAAACCATCCAACTTTGATATTATTGTTATATTCTTTAAGATATTGAGGAAGAAACATGAGATGATAATCTTGGCACCAAATAATATCTCCTTCTACATAGTTGTCTATTATGACATCAAGAAACATTCGGTTTGCTTTCTTGTATGCATCATATTGTGTTTGGAAAGTTTTGTCTGTGTCATTATCATCTTCTTGTGGAAGTCCCATGTGATGAAGAATTGGCCACAAAATACCATTGCTATAGCCATGGTAATATTGATCAAAAACCTCATTCAGGAACACTGGGATACACTTCTGCAAGTGGAAAGAACAAACCAATAAAAACGCAGAAAGAGTGATCATCGGATATGTGTAGAGTTCGTGAGTTCTGAACTCAACACTGGTCAGTTTTTTTCTCTCCTACTCTTATACGTTTTCATTTCAAAATTAATCGACAGCGAAAAGAATGATTAGTTACTCTTTTCTACGAGATTAAATTAACGTAAGATTCCTAACCGCTATAAAATTAAGATCATATTCGTACCATTTCAGCTAAAGATTTAGAGAATGCATGTTTTTCAACTTCATCGTACACATCAAATCCAGGCCATCCAATCCATTTTGTATCATACTGAGCTGTCACACCACCTTCAACAGATCACAGCCAATATTCAACATTATTATCAAAATGTATACACTTATTATTTTTAAATTTTTTATGTGTTTCATGGCTTACCTAGAAGATTAAATTTGCCACCAGGACTCATTTCCAGAGACCAAGAATTTTCTCCGGTCCTCTTTGCAGAAACCGGAAGCCGGTTTGCCACCACAAGTAGTCTTGGCCTTTCACCACATGCATCATCATAAGACATCATCTTCGTTCAAGACTCCTAAAGCACTTGTCACTTGTCAGACTAATGAATGACCTGCACGATTTGTTTTCAAAGTAAATGAGGCTGAATAAATATCATGTAAGGACGCAATTCGTATATTTTAAACTAAATATAATGTCGAAAAACAGAGAAAGTTACACATTTTTGTGTAATTAATAAACTATTATGGTAATATAATTTTGTTAGTTTTATTTTAACTAATAATAACTTACTAATTATGTGTCAGCGTTTATTCTTTTCTTTTTTGGCAAAATATAAAACAAGTAGTGTGGCAAATTAATTGCGAAGTAAAAGATTCTTCATGTATAGATATATGGTTCGATGATTAACTGAAAAATGTAAAATACAATAGTTTAAAACTAGAGAATTTTTAAAATAGTTTAAAGATATCTAAATGTTTTTCAAGCAAACAAGAAGACTATAAACACTTTTATTTGATAAAAGCTGGTCAGACTAATTGAACACATGTAAAAAACAATGATATAAAGAGTAGGTAAAAGAAATACTCTTTCCATTTCTTAAAGATAAATTTTATAGTTTTTCTTTAAAAAATTAAGAAAAAGGTTTGAGTTTTAATCCTAAATCATAAATATATAGATTTTTGCACTTAAATAATTTTTTATAACCGTAAACCAATAGAAACCAAGAAACATAGTTATTATCAATAACTGTTGTTTGAAATCTGAAAAATGAATAAAAAACAACAAATGTATCTTAATAAAACAAAAAATGGCTAGAAAATTCATCTTTATTAGATGGAGGGAGTATATTTGCTAAACAAACAAGAAAAGATGTATACACTTCTAAGTTTAATAAAAAAAAAACTGATATAATCGGATTTGCAAAACCGTGACCAAAAATAAATAAATTCTGATTTGCAAAACTGGTATACAAAAATTGTAATGTATAAATTTGTTTACCAGAAACTTTTAACAATGAGATAGAGAGCGTGAGAAGATATTGTTTTTGTTTTCCTGTAAATTTATAGGAAGTCTAAGATTCAATTTGTGGGGGTGGAATATCTTATCATGTACACATGTCATTAGAAGTTTTTAATTACCTTCAAACCTAATGTATCTTGGGAGTTTTCTTCTCAAAATGTCATGAAATCTAATATGTACATGTTTATCTTTTTATATTTTGGATTTCATTAATATCTTAGACATATTTGGAAAAGAACTTCAACTATATAATGGTGGTATATACTTCTCCAAATAAAAAAATTTGAAAAGTTGGAAACTGATTTGAATTTCTATAGATTTAATACATTTTTAATATAAATTTAGAGAAATTCTGAATTATATTTTAAAAAGTTTTTTCATAATCTCATACTCACATTTCCAACAAACCGCTCATTAATCGTTTGGCACTAAATTTTCAAAAACTTGTCTTTTTTTTGACAACACATGTCTTTTTAACTTATAAGAAAAACATATGTCTGTTTCATTTACAAAGTTTTCTCTTACCATCTATCTCCAACAATTAGATTACTAACATGTGCCTTTTACTATATGGCTTTATTCAATAAATATTAGACTCTCTAGACCATTTAATGTTTGTCTTCTTTAGATGTATGTCAAATAATATATAAAATTTTCATACACGTACATAATTCGAACCACTCCCTCTGTTCTACAATATAATCTATTTTGATTTTTTTTCACATAAATTTAAAAATATTTAAATATGTAAATTGTAATATTTTACCAATCGTAATTCAAATATGGTTTGATATAAGACACTCGCGTGTGTAGGTCTAGGTTAGAATATTAATCAGAGTTTTATGGTTTGCTTCCTATGTGTGCGCTGATGCAATTTTTTGTAATTAATATTTAACTTTGTATCATACTAAATATATGTATTATTTGCTCATAATAATATTACATACGAAAGACTTAAGGTTTACAAAACAATTAAATCCAAGACCTATGTTTTTGTTTTCTTACACATTGACTTATCTCCAATTGGCAATTGCCAGTTTCTTTCTTCCGACAGAATTAATAGAGGGTTTTAAACTTTCAAAGTTGCGTTGGCATTGCCAGTCCGGTTTATTTCGGTATCAGAAAATGAGTTGATTGTTTTTGTCGTTGCATCCACAAGCTTGTGAAGCAAATCCAGAACATCGTAAGATGAGTCAATGACATAGCGAGCTTGCCCAATGGCTGCAGAGAAGTAATTATCTACCTTCTAACTGAATTTTATTGACAGATCCCAATTAAAGCAATGATAAATTGCTGATGGTAGAAAAATATCTACCTTTATTTCTTTTGTTTTTTCTTTATAAAGAAATGCTGAAATAACAAAGAAATTGGGAAAGCCACTAAGAGTCATGCTCCTACATTTCAGAGCAGTGGTCTCCTCTTATTGTACACAAATGATCAAACAAAAGACTTAATCAAAACGATTCAGTTAACATACTACACAGTTTGGCTCCTTGGTCTTCCCGCCATTGGAGTGTTGCAAATTTGCGTTTGCATCGCTATCAGAAAATGAGCCAGTCGTTCTTGTCATTGCAACTCCAACTGTGAGCATGTGGAGAAAATCCACAACATCGTGAGATGAGTCAATGACATAGCGAGCATCTGTGCGAGCTTGTCCAATAGATGCAGAGAAGTAATTATCTTCCTTGAGGTCAAAAACGTTCAATAAAACCTTCCTCTTCTGCTTTAGGGAGTGATTATTTGCAGAAGACTTCGACCTAGTTTCAAGAGGTAACTTGGACGGCAAGGTTTCTGATTCGAAGAATGTGTAAATGTCTTCGTCCTGTAACATATATATTGACCCGTTTGCATCAAAAAGCCAAGAAGTAGAAAATCCAAGTTCTGATTAGTATTGGTTACATAATAATATAAGCTTTACCTTCTCCAACAAGTAACCACTGCAAAAGACAAAATCAATCGGTGTACTCATTGGTTTTTTATGTAATAATTCTCCCAAAATACGACTAATTGCTGTCCCCTAAGAAACAAAGAAAAAACCCATAAGACTTGAGAACCAATTTGGATAAAAAAAACATAAGGAGAATTTAATATAACAAGGCAAGAAGCACTTATTTTACCTTAGTCAAACCCATGGCATGGACTTCAACAGAATTATTTCCCCGAACAACATCAACTGATGCATTCGAGATTGGTCCTGACCATAAGTATTGCAACATATCTCTTGCTTGTGCTCTCCCAAATTCAGCATCTACAAAAAAATACAACAAAAAAGGGGAGATTTTAACAAATGGTCAGACAAATGTTTGGAAGCAAAAGGGGGCCTAATAAGCTATAGATGATATGTCCAATATTCACCTGCATATTCGTAATTCCATACAAGCGAAGTCTCGCTTGCCTCTAAGAACGATCTTGGGGTTCGATCAGTGAAGTACTTGAAAACATTCTACATAATTACAAAGTAATTAACACAAGATCTTAATTTAAAAAATTATAAAACTTGCTTTATTATTATTATTTTTTTAAGAAAGTAAACTACTAACCTTTGCACCATCGACCCAATCGAGGTTCATGTTTTCAGGGACATTTGTAACCCATTCTCCAGTGGTATGCCTTAAGAACATTCCATTTTCCGCAGCCAACCATATTTTATACTCTCCAAAGTTCTGAATTATTAAGTTACCAAATCAGTGAGAAAGTAGATATACAAATGTGTGATAATAATCAAAGATGAAAAAGAGAGACATTAGCAATACTTTATCTAATATGTCTCTGCCGCTTCTACTCAATACAACTACTGTTGTTTTTGGATCATTGCACAATGCTTTCAGTGTTCCTTTTAGCTCCGGGTTTAGTTTAAGATCCGTTTCCTTCGTTTCTTTATTCATTGGCTCAGTGAGTGTTCCACAGAAACCCTGAAAAGATCATTAAAAAATCGGTAACCACAAGATATAAGTATAACATAAAATCTTCAAGCCAGCTCAATTACCAAGATTATCAGTCTATTGTTAGACTTCGAATAACGTTGTATCACATCTTGTTGTGGAAGCTGATGTGGGGTTTTCCCAATTTGCATCTCGGATTCAGTGACAGTCTCATTGAGTTCCCTGCATAGAGTTAAGGAAAATCTTGACATAATATAAGCTCTCACTTAAGAGGGTTAATATTTTGAAGAAAATTAAAGGTCTTTTCTTCTTTCAATATACCTCATGAAATCATCTCCCCATTTTTTAGCAGAATAAGTTTTCACGTACTGAAAATTTACTCTATGTCTTGTTTCCCTTTCTTCAACTGACATATTTAGAGCTTCTTTAATGGCAGAAGAAACTTCTGTAACATCCCAAGGATTCACAAGAAGAGCACCGGCACCGAGAGACTGTCCAGCACCTGCAAACTGTATTAAAAATTATCATTTAAAGTCAATAAACCTTAAACATAATAAATCGTTCCAGATTGAATTAATGTTAACAATAACTTTTCATTTAGTCACTTTTGTTTACCTCGCTGAGAACAAGAACTCCTTTTTTGGCCTCTTGGCAAGCAATAAATTCATAACTAACAAGATTCATGCCATCTCTCAAAGATGTTACAAGCATGACATCTAAGAAAAAAAAAGAGAAAACAAAAATTAAAACTCACTAAATAAGCTATATAAAGAACTGTAACCAAATCGATGATCATCACATGTAGTGAAGGAAATTAATTACCTGCAATCGCGTAAAGTGCACATAAGTAATTAAAGTCAACAGAACAATCCTAACAGAAAAAATGAGAGAACACTTTATCAAGAAACTATGAAGAAAGTACGTAATTCATGAGAGCATGAATAGATATAGAAAACAAACAAACCAGGTGATGAATTGGAAGGGAAGTGACAGAACCAAAGCGACCGTTAATGCGTCCAACGAGTCCATGAGCTTGGTTTTTGAGCTTTCGATCTGTAAATAAAATACAAAAAACAATCTCATCAGAAAACTGGTGATCAGTATTATCAAATTAAAAAGCATAATAGAATCTGACTAAAAACTATATATATAAAAAAAGAATTTACATTCGGGGACACCATTCCTTGTTGGCACAGCAATTTGCACTAGCACAACTTTATCGCGCCAATTCGGATTTTCTTCTAAAAATTTCTCAAATCCAAGAAACTTCTGTGGAATCCCTTTGATCATATCAAGACGATCAACACCTAATATCACCTGTCAACAACAACAAATATTTCTAAAAATATTTTCTTAGCATCAAATTAAAGGTTGTGAGAAGAATGCGTTACCTTTTTGCCAGCAAATCTCTCTTTAAGCTCATTCATTTGCTGTCTGACTTCAGGGAGCTTACATGTTCTTATAAACCGATCAGGATCTATTCCAAGAGGGAACTTAATATCCACAATCACACAAAAAAAAAAAAACAAAGAGATTAATTAGTTTTATGATGTGGTTAATTTAATTAAGGGTGTTGAAAATTTGAATATGAAGTCATACAACAGCTACTCGAGTGACTCTGCCATGATCCACAACTCCTTCCTGTGTTCCTTCAACTCCAAGAATTCGCGTGCATGTACTCACAAAATGTCTTGCGAAATCATACGTGTGGAAACTGAAAATAAATAAAGAATTTTTAAACTATGTTGATCCAAATCAATAAATTCCTAACCATGTATGACATTAGAGTATAAATGTACCCAAGTAAATCAGATGTAAGAACCGAACGAAGAAGCTCTGATCGCGAGGGCAATGTTTTGTAGACCTCGGAGGAAGGAAATGGTGAATGGAGAAACCATCCAACTTTGATCTTATTGTTATATTCTTTAAGATATTGAGGAAGAAACATGAGATGATAATCATGGCACCAAACAATATCTCCTTCTTCATAGTTATCTATTATGACATCAAGAAACATTCGATTTGCTCTCTTGTATGCATCATATTGTGTTTGGAAAGTTTTGTTTGTGTCATTATCATCTTCTTGTGGAAGTCCCATGTGATGAAGAATTGGCCACAAAATACCATTGCAATAACCATTGTAGTATTGATCAAAAACCTCATTAAGGAACACAGGGATGCACTTCTGCGAGTAGAAAGAACATAACAAAAAAATAATAATAATAAGTGAGAGAGTGATCATTAGATCTGTAAAAAAAATCATGAGTTTTCATTTCAAAAGAAGATTGACCAGGTTTTTTTTTCTTGCAAATAGAAATGTTTCTGTATTTCATTTAAAAGCAATTGTTATTGAGCAGAAACTTCAATTGTTAGTCTTTTTTTTTTCTTTTTTTTTTTTTTTTTTTTTTGGGAACTGTGAAATCTCTAACAAATATTTCGATGTAAACTGATAAGTTTCAAATCCGTACCATCTCAGCTAGAGCTTTAGAGAGTGCTCTTTTCTCAACTTCATCATAAACATCAACTCCAGGCCATCCAACCCATTTGGTATCAAATTGAGCTGCCACACCTTCAAGAGATCACACCAATAAAACATCATTATCAAACTGTTTATGTATATCTGCCTTTTATTATATACATAAATGTGTGATAAGTTACCTAGAAGACCACTGACTAAACCACCAGGACTCATTTCCAGAGACCAAGAATTTTCTCCGGTCCTCTTTGCAGAAACCGGAAGCCGGTTTGCCACCACAAGTAGTCTTGGCCTTTCACCACATGCTTCATCATAAGCCATCTTGCAAAATTTGTATCAAACTAATTAACGACCTACACAATTTTTGTGGAACAAAATAGTAACTTATAAGTTATGAGACAAACTTTTGATCTACAAACAAAGCGATAATTATGAAAACATAATAAATAAAATTATAATTCAGTTTCATTCTGTTAAAATAAACAAGAAAACATATAAACACTATTTTGATTTGATAAAATAGGATATTGTCAGACTACTTGAATAAATTATAAAAAAAATAATAATAACATAAAATTAGGTGATTTTAAAAATTTATACTAATAAATTTTTGTTTTGCTAATTAAAAACATGATAATTTCTAAACTGTTTTTCATAGGTCGGAATTGTAAAACTGTAATGGTTTACAGTATTCCAATGTATGTATTTCGTTTACCAGAAAATTCCCAACAATGCGCTGGAGGTTTAAGAAGATTGTTCTTTTCCTTTATATTTTTTCCCTGATTTTCGAGATGAATGTTCTTGTCTTCCTGCAAATTTATAGGAAGTCTGAGTTTAACTTTTGGTAATATCTTCTAGATATATGGTCTAACCTTTTCTTGTATACTTGTCAGTAGAAGATATGAATACATTTCAATCTTTTTTATATGCTGACGTTTTTCTTTTTATGTTTTGCTTTTCAGTAATGTCTTATATATATTTGGATAGAACTTTAATCTAGTGGTAATCAATACGTGTCTAAATAAAAAATGTGAATATTAGAATCTCATTACATAATTTGGCACTTCTTTTTCTCATATACTAATATATCCAACAATTAGCTCATTAAGACATTAACACGCGTGTCTATATTTTAATACATTATGTGACACCATTTAGCTCAGTAAAAGATTTGAAAGTGACATTTTCTTGTTGATACATGTATGTATTTCTTTTAGTTTTTCAAATCCATGGTTCCACTACCAAACAACCTAGATCTCACCCCGGGTTAGAAAAAACAAAACACATAAAAATAAATCTAGTAGTTATAAACAAAAAAATTCGTGAAAAAGTTGCTACACTATTTCTAACTTAACTACGTACTTTTTCAAATATATAACTAATTAGGTAAATCTTTTAACACGAATGCATTCATTGTTTAACTTTTATTCTTTTTTGTTTGTCAAACTAAAAATGTGTAGTAAACACACCTAGCTGATGCTTTAACTTCTTTTCTTAAAAAATAATAATTATTCAATAGGTAAAAAATAAATACTTATCAAAAAGAAATAGTAATATTGTAAAACCAATCCATAAATTAAATAAAAGCAATAAACTATTGATGAAATCTAGTTTATTAATTTATTTGAGATATTGTGATTTTGTTTCTATAGTTTTCCTATAAAGGTTCTTAATCTACTTTTAATTAAGGGTCCCTTTTTTTTGTTTTTTGACATCAATTAAGGGTCCCTTTAATAAACTACTTAAATTATTGATAAAAATCTAGCATCGTAATAGTGATTGTTAATGTATTTCTTATTTATCAAAAATAAATAAATAAGGTATTTCTATCATGTTTCACTTGGGTCCAACGGTCCAACCCGAAGAAACTTCACATTGTAGCCCAATGAGAAAACACTCTACTTCGTGGCCCAAAAGGCTTCTTAAAACCCTCTGCAGACTTTTTCTTGACTGAACAAAACAGTTGGTTCACCGGAGAAACAGCCATTTTTTCCGACTCAATTTCTCTATCTCCGTCTGTTGGTTCTTGTCAGAAGATGGAATTGGACCCAGATGATGTTTTCAGAGATGAAGACGAGGACCCAGATAGCGAGTTCTTCCAGGTTTTGACCTTGATTTTTTCTTCTGGGAGTTTTAGAGAAAGCTAAAACGAAACCCTAATTGATATTGATTACTGAGTGTTTTCGCAGGAAAAAGAAGCCTCCAAAGAATTTGTAGTCTATCTGATTGACGCAGCTCCCAAAATGTTCAGCTCTACTTGCCCCTCTGTGAGTGTAGCAATAAAATCAATTTTTGTGTCTGATTATTTGAAAATTTGTACTTGATGTATTAACTTTGGTATCATACTGATGTCAACAGGAAGATGACAAACAAGAAAGTCATTTTCACATTGCTGTTAGTTGCATTGCTCAGTCACTCAAGGCTCATATTATCAATCGCTCAAATGATGAAATAGCAATATGCTTCTTTAACACTGTAAGTTTCTTGATGAGATGAGACGTCTTGTTATTGTTTTCTTTCTCTCTGTTTTCTTCACTTATTTGTTTTCTTCAATGTTTTTGTCACTTGCAGCGTGAAAAGAAGAATCTTCAGGACCTAAATGGTGTCTATGTCTTTAATGTTCCAGAAAGAGAGTGTATTGACCGTCCATCAGCGAGGCTGATACAAGAATTCGATCTCATTGAAGGTAAGTGCATGAGTTTGTTTGGTTGTATGTATGTCTTTACGCTCACATATAGTTTCTAAGGGGAAATGTAAAGTATCTATTTTGGGTGCAGAGTCATTTGCAAAGGATATTGGCAGTCAAAATGGTATAGTCTCAGATTCACGAGAGAATTCCCTTTACAGTGCTCTTTGGGTTGCACAAGCACTACTGCGCAAAGGGTAACAATCTAGTTTAGTTTATTGACTTGGTGCCAAGTTGGTGATATGCTTTACCATTTGGTCTGTAATCTGATCCATATTTTTTGGTAATATTGTGGTACAAAAACATATCTAGATCTACGAAGACAGCAGATAAGCGCATGTTTCTATTCACCAATGAGGATGATCCTTTTGGGAGTATGAGGATTTCTGTAAAAGAGGATATGACGAGGACTACGTTGCAGAGAGCTAAGGTAGTTTAGTTCCAAACCTTACTTAGATATGATTTACAATGAAACAATATTCAAAGGAGCTTAGAAAGATTAATGGACTTAACATTCTATGGTTTTTGGTGATTCCTTAAGGATGCACAAGACCTTGGCATTTCAATCGAGCTTCTTCCCATCAGTCAGCCTGATAAGCAATTCAATGTATCTCTTTTCTACAAGGTTAGTCTCTTAACCATCTAATTCTTGAGCTGGCCTGATAAACCTAGTTGCTTTATATAAATTTTATCTAAGTTTATATTTCGATGTTTTTCTTGTCAATTTATCTCCAGGACTTAATTGGATTAAACAGTGATGAACTTACGGAGTTCATGCCATCAGTTGGACAGAAGTATGTTTTTTCATTCTTTATATGTCTTCGTCTTTCCGTTGCTTATAGCATCATAATACTACACTCAGACATACAGTGATCGTATTTTTATAGAAGTTTCAAGACTTCAGAAGCACCATTTTGTGACTTGTCACTTTATTCTGAATTTGGCTTTATAGGGATTCACGCAATTAGTTGTACCTTTTTTGCTGAAGTATATCTATTGTCAGGTTAGAGGACATGAAGGACCAACTGAAGAAGCGTGTACTTGCTAAGAGAATAGCAAAAAGAATTACGTTTGTGATATGTGATGGTCTGTCCATTGAATTGAATGGTTATGCTTTACTCCGCCCAGCTATTCCTGGCACTATAACCTGGCTTGACTCTACTACCAATCTTCCTGTGAAGGTAATTTGACAGCTATTGTTCGTTTTTCATGATACAAGAATTTTCCTTGAATGTTTGGTAACTATATGTTTTGGGTTTTAAACACCATATTTGGGCTTTTATGCAGGTGGAAAGATCATATATATGTACGGACACTGGAGCTATAATGCAGGAACCTATACAACGGATTCAGCCTTACATAAAGTATGCCTCTGGATAGCACCCTGATTTGTTTCTGGTTTTCTCCACCCTGATTTTTTGTACCTCCACTCTTTCTTGTCTAGTAGGAGTTGCCTTAAATTTTTCATTCTCCTTTCTAGTCAGGATATCAAGTTTACAACGGAAGAGCTGTCACAAATAAAAAGAATCTCAACTGGACACTTAAGGCTGCTGGGGTTCAAGCCACTTAGTTGCCTCAAAGATTATCACAATTTGAAGCCTTCTACATTTCTCTATCCTAGTGATAAGGTTACCCACGTCTCTCTCACTTATTTGGTGGTTATTCATAAAAATTTTGGAACTTAGAAGGGAAAATAACTTTTATTTTTGTGCTGACATTGTTTTTTCTTTTTTGGTTCTCTGAAATATAGAGCCTTCATGACCCTATAGAGCTACATCACGTTTTTTTCTTTTTTTTTTCTAGCCGTACTAATTACTAGTGATTTTACATTTTACTGAGAAGGTCTGAAGAAAGTGACTTGAGTTGCATGTTTTTTACACACTGATCTTGTAACACTGTTGTGTATCGTGGGAAGTCTTAACTTTTGATAGCTGAATGATGCAGGAAGTTATTGGGAGCACTCGTGCATTCATCGCCTTGCATAGATCCATGCTACAGCTTGGACGGTGAGCACACTTCTACAATGTCGACGTCCAATATACAGTACTTACTGGATATGGACAGTTGTTTCACTCTAGCACTTGTTGTGATATATTAAACCTATAATCATTGTCCTCTTATGTTGCAGTTTTGCTGTTGCCTTTTATGGCAGCACTACACCTCCGAGATTGGTTGCACTTATTGCTCAGGTGAGAGCAAACTACTATGAGACCTTTCATCCACATAACTATATATCTTATTGATTTTGAGCTTTGTTTCCTTTTTGATGTGTGCCTTTGTTAAACGACCTACTCAAATGTCATTCTAAAAACCCAAACAGGATGAAATCGAGAGTGATGGTGGTCAAGTTGAGCCACCAGGGATGAACATGATATATCTTCCATATTCTAATGATATTAGAGATGTCGAAGAGGTAAGAAAGAAAACCTTTGGAAAGTTATGTAGTTCCAACATTATTCATTGACGTTAAATTTTGACTAGTTGGTGGATATTTGGTCAGTTGCATTCAAACCCTGGTGTAGCTGCTCCTCGAGCATCAGAAGATCAGCTTAAAAAGGCATCAGCTCTAATGCGACGTCTTGAGTTAAAAGACTTTTCGGTTTGCCAGTTTGCTAATCCCGGTATGTTACTCTATTAGTCTTGATTCAGTTAGTTGTTCTGAACTGCTGATTTTGAAAATGAAGCCTCTCTTTGTTGCAGCTTTACAGAGACACTATGCGATGTTGCAAGCCATTGCACTGGATGAAAACGACATTGGTGAAACTAGAGACGAGACTCTTCCTGACGAAGAAGGAATGAAAAGGTTAAAAATCTCTTCTGTTTATAATTCTAGACATAGTCAAGTAAAAGAAAGGGTTTGGATTCTTATAGAATGAGCCCTTCTTATTGCAGACCTGTAGTTGTAAAAGCAATAGAAGAGTTTAAGAAGTCGGTCTACGGTGATGACTCTGATGAAGAAAGTGACTCAGGGCCAAAGGAAAAATCAAGAAAGCGAAAAGCCGGTACTTCAGACGAAGGAAGCTATGACTATATCGAGCTAGCAAAATCCGGAAAGGTGAAAGACTAACATTCTAAGCACTGGTTTATATATGAATCTCCTTTAGCTCTCTGCCAATGATTTCATCGTTTTGTTTCATTCCTTGTTATCTGCATAAAACAAATCACGTTGTGTGTTCTGTTTTCTTTGTTTAGCTAAAGGACTTGACGGTGGTTGAACTGAAGACATATTTGACTGCCAAGAATCTTCCGGTCAGCGGGAAGAAAGAAGTTCTGATCAGTCGGATTCTGACTCACATTGGTATATAACCTAACCGTGACTTATAAGTTATAACTCCGGCTAGAGAAGCAACCTTTATGTTTTCAGGCACTAAAAAGCTTGTCGGTTTTGAACCGGACCGGTTAACTTCCGGTTTATTGTTCATCGTTTTCCCTCGTTTTGGATTTGAAGTGTAATGGTGTCTTACCAATCGCTAAGGAATTTATGATATACATCTAAATTAAGTGCAGATCTTGTATTTATAAATTCCTTGAGTTCTTTATTACTACAAAAATGAGCTTATATGTGAATCTTGAGCAACAAGATAGAAGGAAAGTACAAACATACAAATTAAATCATTGTTAAGATTATAGCATTTGATATGAGAGCGTCATTCACTTATATTTGATTCCTTACATAAAGATTCACTTATGTAAGTAAGGAGTGAAATTTATGGACCTTTGTAATATCCATTTCACTCCTTGCATACGCAGTCTCACACATCACAAATCCAAAACAAGAAAAACTTAACCAAGTTAAACACATGATTCATGATTCCTTGGAAAACAAGCGAGCTTTTTTCTCTTCATACTTTTATTTGGTTCTGATCAAGTTTGAAGGATCCCTGAGAACGTATTTAGGCAATTCATACTTCGACCCTGCAAAAAGTAACATGTCAACTACTAAACCAAAACAAAATTATATATATTTTGATTTTTGATTTTACCTTTCTCGTCGTAACAAATGGTGAGGTCAGTGTTCTGAACAATCACACCTGCACTCTCAATTATGGTTTGCGCAAGCAACAAATCCTCCTCTTCTGCTGCTGCTCTTAACGCATCCCATACCTCTGTTTACATAATATGTTGAGATTTAAAAATGAAACTTTTTACATAAATAGAGAGAGAACTGTGAAAACTTTGGTCGGATTTAGTAAATGTGACCATCACCTTTCTTGCCTCCATAGTGAGGAGCTGTGTCCCAAAACTCCTCTCTCATCTGTGTGAGCTCAGCTCTTGATATCGGTTGAGGATGTTTCCATGACTTTGGCCTTCGAATCTTTTCCTTTCTCCCTACAAAACACAATCACATCACACACCACAGCGATAAATCAAATGTCATCTACGAAACCATCCTAAACAAATCTTCAAAGTTCATCTAAGAACAATCAAAGAAGATGATGAAATTAGGTCTGATCAGTAATAATTTATTGACAATAATCTTATCTTTTGTGTACCTTCTGTCAAGGTTCTCGAACTAGAGCAACCCATTATTTGTCTTCCTTGGTAGACGATAACTAACAACAAACATAACAAATCCACAGAGGAGAGACAGAGATGGAGAAGAGAGAGAGATTAAAGCTTTAAACGATTTGTAGACACGTCGAAGAGAAAGAGAGAGATATTTTGATTATGCAGATGAGAGACAATGCTTTGCGTTATCTCGTGAATCACAGGGTTTCTTTTTCCCCTCCATAATGTTAGGTCTGTTCAAAGTGAGATACTCGTGAGTCACAAAGGTGTGGTAGTTTGGAATTTCATCATCTTCATCTACCTACTTATGGTTAAAGATAAGACCATACGAATGATATACCATTTTTATTGAATAATTCATACTATATATATAACATTTGACAGCCGATTTATAAAGCTTAAATCTTTGAGAACGTTTTCTCGATAAACTTCTTATGCATCTAAACTAGTTATTTTTGTGTGGTATTTAGTTTATTACGTACTGCGAATGAGGAAAAAAATAAAGTCAATGTTTTAGAAATCATGAATGTTTATCTCTAGAAAGGACAACTAGTATGAAACAGAGAAAGTAACAATTTTATGCAAATAACAAGAAAAATATAAGCAAATAGTATGGAAACTTTGAGCAAATAATAAGTAAAATTTGAGCAGATATTTAATTTTTGGGGTAAAATGTAAACATTTTGTTGGAGTTGTGTATATGACTGTATATCCATGGTGTGCAATTGTATTCTTATAAATTTTATTTTACATAAAATCATACATATATTATTGGAAATAAAATAAGGGAAAAGAGCTTCCGATAAGCCCAAATCAGTGCAATCCGCAAGTGCTCCATCAATGTCCATTGGTTTTCAGTGAGTGGTCTGCTCCATATTATACCAATCGTGGTTATATGATATGGATGCAGAAGCCACGTCATATAGGAAAGTTTCACGAACACCAGCGACGGTTCCAGAATATACGCTCAAATGAAAATCAACATGCCAATTAAGTGCTAATTTGATAAATAATAATTTGAAGTGATATTAAATGATTTTTGTGAGCGTTAACAATTTTATAAAAATAACAAGAAAATATAAGCAAATAGTAAGGAAGATTTTGAGCAAATAATTAATTCTTGGGTAAATTGTAACATTTGAGCAAATATGATATATATATATATGATCACATCAACTAGAAAGATATAATGAAATGAATAAAACCACGCTCATATATATATATATATGATAATAATTTTGTTTTTTACTTACATTGTTTAAGAAATTATGATAATAATAATAATAATAATTTTTTTTTACTTACATTTAGTTAAAACATGATACTAATTTTTACTAATTTTGTTTTTTTTTACTTACATTGTCTAAGAAATTATAAAAATAAGCATTTTATCAAGCGAATAGCACTTCAGAATTATTTTATTAAATGGTAATTGTTCCACCACAACATTAAATTGTACGTGGTTGTAAAATGTTTTAATGATGGGCATGGGTGTTGATAATGTAGATCAAAACGAAAGACTACTTGAAAGGCTTGTGCTATCTTGTTTCCCAAGAAACCGTCTCCAACTTGTCTTGTCCCCGTTGTCATATGTGTATACTATGTTTTTACCCCTCTTTTTGGCGTTGGCCTATATATGTTAAGAGAAAAATTCGGAAAATAAGAATGCTTCTAAGTATGATACTATTGGTGTGTATCTTTGTTTCTTATTGTTAGTATGTTCGAAGAACTGACCTAAGAATAGTAGATAGAGAAAGACAAAAGAAGTCTTGACTAATATTAATATATCAAGTCGGCAGAAAAGCTGAAATTTCAAATTTGTTTTGAAAAATTAGGGACTATTGATATGGAAATAGATCACAAATTGGCACAAGGATTTCTCTACAAAGAAATATATTACTAGAAATTCTTTAAGTGTAACTTACAAGTATTGCTTAAACGAATTGACAACCACAATCTATCCACGATTTGATTGCTCTAGTAACACTCTGTTCTCAGATCTATCCACGATCTTCGAACCTCTCAAGCCCTAACCCTTTGTCCTAGCTCTCTTACAAGATGATCTAAACCCAAAGTCTAAAGCTCTCAATATTTGTGATAGCCGCTTCCAAGCAGCCAAGGTCCTCTATTTATCCTCAATAGACGAACCGCCAAACCCTACAAGGTTTGTCTTGGTGATTACTCCAAATCTCCAAGGAATATTTCCTTTCCTTATTTTTCTCTAAGAATAGGAAATATCCCTTTTGTCTTGATAATTCCAAATCTCCTCATCCAGCTCAGCTACCGCCTCTTCTGGATTCGTCCTTAACCGCTACAAGCTCGCATCCAGCTCAGCATCAATCCTTTAGCTCCGTTAAGCTCCGCTTAGCTCCGCTACATGTCCGTCCATACGTCCTGATGCACTTCCTGACTGATTCACGATCTGCGTCAAACCAGTTGCATCTTCAATCTCCCCCTTTTTAGCTTTGTGTCTTACAAGCACCTGTAAAACTCAAATCCACAATGCACATACCAGAGATAACCAGAAAACAGGGATGTTCTGAATACTTCATCATTAGACATTCAAAATATTCAAATCATTCAGAACATGAGAGTTATGAGTTTAAACATCCAAAAACAAAAGAGTTAGAAACAAAGCAAAAACTCTCAACTCCCCCAGAATTCTAGAACCGAAAACTACTTAAAACAGAGCAAAAACAACAAAAGCTTTGCTCCCCCACAATTCTAGCATAAGTCCTAGTTTTCGTCCCCTGGTTCATCCTGTTCTCCCCCTGCTTGTGAGACCACACAAGTTAAAAACACAAGATGAAAATCATATGGAACAAGATTGTGCAGAGATCAACTTACCTTGTAGGTTGGCGAGAAGACCTTGGACCACTTCAGTGAAGGTATGGAGAGTGTAGACCATGTCACCTAGTGCCTGAATCGCAGCTGCCGGCTGAAGTGGAGGAGTAGGAAAGCGAACAGAGCCAAGATCCACTGTTATAAAGCCCTCTGATGTAGACTCTGTCGCAGGCGCTGTTGAAGGACGAACTCGAGATGCAGAGGCCTTGGATTCCTTCTTCTTTTTGTCCTCTTCTCGCTTCAGATATTCTTTGCCAGACCTTTTGTCCTTGTGATAATGCAGAGGTCGACAGATGGAGTCTCCAGCAATCAAAGGAAGAGGATCTTGCATCTGAAGAACACCATAGATGATACGCGGGAAAACAAGCCAGCGAGACTCATTGACTTGAAACCTGGTCATGCTCATCACCTGATCATATATAAGCTGACCAAAGTGAACTCTAATTCCCTTGTATAGCTTGTAGATGAGCTTGGCTCTCTCCTCTGACACATGGTTCCTGTGGGTTGAGGGAATCCAGTTGTGTGAAGCCATAATCACCAGAGCAGCAAAACAAGGAGTCAGACCCAGCGTATAGATCTCAGACCACTCGGCCTTATCATTAGTAGTGAAAAGCCGAGTCAACTCCCTTAAGCTGACGGAATCCGCGTCAGCTTCCTGCTTCATCTCTTCTTCATTCAGTGGTGATAGATGGAGGAACTCATTGATGACCGCCGGAGAGAAAATGTATTCCTGATCTCGAATCAGAAGCTTCACGCTCTCATCTCTAGTCTCTGGTAAAGCCGCAATTGAAAAACCAGGGGCTATTGATATGGAAATAGATCACAAATTGGCACAAGGGATTTCTCTACAAAGAAATATATTACTAGAAATTCTTTAAGTGTAACTTACAAGTATTGCTTAAACGAATTGACAACCACAATCTATCCACGATTTGATTGCTCTAGTAACACTCTGTTCTCAGATCTATCCACGATCTTCGAACCTCTCAAGCCCTAACCCTTTGTCCTAGCTCTCTTACAAGATGATCTAAACCCAAAGTCTAAAGCTCTCAATATTTGTGATAGCCGCTTACAAGCAGCCAAGGTCCTCTATTTATCCTCAATAGACGAACCGCCAAACCCTACAAGGTTGTGTCTTGGTGATTACTCCAAATCTCCAAAGGAATATTTCCTTTCCTTATTTTTCTCTAAGAATAGGAAATATCCCTTTTGTCTTGATAATTCCAAATCTCCTCATCCAGCTCAGCTACCGCCTCTTCTGGATTCGTCCTTAACCGCTACAAGCTCGCATCCAGCTCAGCATCAATCCTTTAGCTCCGTTAAGCTCCACTTAGCTCCACTACATGTCCGTCCATACGTCCTGATGCACTTTTTGACTGATTCACGATCTGCGTCAAACCAGTTGCATCTTCATGTTTATGGGTCAATATGCGTCATCAGTCGTCGTAGCTATTGAAAAGAAAACCCATTCATTGTAGTTACCCATATAGTCTTCCATAAATCAAATAATATTCTTCAAACTGCAAGATACTACAACACTTTCTTTCGTTTTCTTTTTTTTTCCTACAAGAAAAAAGCCGCCATGGAATCCAAAGGAGCAGCTCAGTGGAGCTCAATTATAGTTCCTTCTGTTCAAGAGATGGTTCAGGAGAAGATTATCACGACTGTTCCTCCCAGATATGTTCGGTCTGATCAAGACAAAACTGAAGTCACCGATGGTACTGGTCTCATAACCGAGATCCCAATCATCGACATGAAGCGGTTATGTTCTTCAACCGCCATGGACTCCGATGTTGAAAAACTTGACTTTGCTTGCAAAGAGTGGGGATTTTTCCAGGTCAAGTCTGAAATCTCTACTATTTTACAAATCAACCCATCATCTTTCTTTATTAACATATTAGACTCCATATGTGGCTTACACTTATTTTTTTTCTTTACTTGCATATCAAACCCAAAATGGAGCATAACACTTTTTGTTTCAAGATTTCTCATTGTGGCTATGTCTTTATTGCTCATATTCAGCTTGTAAACCATGGAATAGACTCAAGTTTCTTGGAAAAAACAAAGTCGGAGATTCAAGGTTTCTTCAACCTTCCCATGGAAGAAAAGAAGAAGTTTTGGCAGCTACCGAATGAGATGGAAGGTTTCGGACAAGCTTTTGTGGTTTCAGAAGATCAGAAACTCGATTGGGCAGATTTGTTCTTCCATACAGTGCAACCTGTTGAGTTACGCAGGCCTCACTTGTTCCCCAAGCTACCTCTTCCCTTTAGGTCTTTTTTGGTTCTAACTCAACATTTCTTTACTATTTTCACAAACTATTTCTCTGCATAAATATTGGTTTTCCGTTTCTTCAGAGATAGATTGGAGAGGTATTCTGCTGAAGTGCAGAGCGTAGCTAAAACCTTAATAGCGAAAATGGCAAGAGCCCTAGAGATCAAACCAGAGGAAATGTTAAAGTTGTTTGATGATGTTGATTCAATCCAAAGTATGAGGATGAATTACTACCCGCCGTGTCCACAACCGGACAAAGTTATCGGTCTAACTCCACATTCCGATGCGGTCGGACTCACCATACTTTTGCAGGTGAATGAAGTTGAAGGTCTCCAAATCAAGAAAGATGGGAAATGGGTTCCTGTTATACCTCTCCCAAATGCTTTCATTGTCAACATTGGAGACGTCTTAGAGGTAAACTAATATCAAATGGCATATGGTAATAGATATTCGTAAATGGGTTTAATGATTGGTTTTATGTAGATTATAACGAATGGCACGTACAGAAGCATAGAGCACCGAGGAGTTGTGAATTCAGAGAAAGAGAGGCTCTCTATTGCAACGTTTCACAACCCGGGAATGTATAAAGAAGTTGGTCCTGCGAAAAGCCTCGTTCATAGACAAAAGGTTGCAAAATTCAAAAGGATGACCATGAAAGAGTACATGGATGGCTTGTTCTCTCGTGAACTTGACGGCAAAGCTTATCTCGATGCTTTTAGAATCTAAAAGAAATAATGCCTTGTGGCACAAGTGACTATGTCATATATTTATCTACTCTGTTTCTCCTCTGTTTTTTTTTTATTTATTTCTGCAATAAAACAATCTCCGTAGTCTTATCTTCCTTCTATTACTACTTGCTTCAAATCTGTTAAAGAAAATAATTCTCCAGTGGAATTGATTCTACGTGTTGCTTGAATAAGACAACAAGGTTGTACATTTTGGTTTGAATATGTTCTAGACAAAGTCGGAAAATAAGAATGCTTCTATGTTTGATATTCTTGGATCTTGGTATGCGTCATTGTTTCTTTATGTCAGCCGCTTATTTACTTTGACAGGGTCAGTGTTGACTTGACACATAACATCACCTAGTCTCTAACTAGTAGACAGCGAAAAAGACAAAACAAAAACATATTTAGAAAATTTTAAATTTGTTTATGGGACAATATGCGTAATCATTCTTCGTACGTAATCATTCATCGTAGCTGTTGAAAAGACAACCCCACATTCTTTGTAGTTACCCATATAATTAGTCTTCCAAAAACCAAATAGCCTTCTAATTACAATCTCTACAACACATTTTTGGTCCAAGAAAGAAGCCGCTATGGAATCCAAAGGAGCAGCTAAGTGGAGCTCAATTATAGTGCCTTCTGTTCAAGAGATGGTTAAGGAGAAGATGATCACGACCGTTCCTCCCAGATATGTTCGGTCTGATCAAGACAAAACCGAAGTAACCGATGGTTCTAGTCTCATAACCGAGATCCCAATCATCGACATGAAGCTATTATGTTCTTCAACCGCCATGGACTCCGAGGTTGAAAAACTTGACTTTGCTTGCAAAGAGTGGGGATTTTTCCAGGTAAAGTCTCAAACTTTGCTATTTTACTAATCAACCCATCGTCTTTCTTTGTGCATATTAGGCCTCATATTGGTGTTTTTCCGAAGCACAAGTCTCATAATTCTATTATTTGTGGCGATAACTAAAAGCTCGTTTCTTACAAAACAGCCCTTATTTTTATTTCATTTTAGCATACTAAACCAAAAATGGAGCAAAACGCATTTTGTTTGTAGATTTCTCATTGTGGTTATGTTTTATGGTCATCTATACAGCTTGTAAACCATGGAATAGACCCAAGTTTCTTGGACAAAACAAAGTCGGAGATTCAAGGTTTCTTCAACCTTCCCATGGAAGAAAAGAAGAAGTTCTGGCAGCTACCAGATGAGATTGAAGGTTTTGGACAAGCTTTTGTGGTTTCAGAAGATCAGAAACTCGATTGGGCAGACATGTACTTCCATACAGTGCAACCTATTGAATTACGCAGGCCTCACTTGTTCCCCAAGCTACCTCTTTCCTTTAGGTTTTTTTTTTTTTGGTTATAACTCAACATTTCTTAACTAGTTCCATGCACATATTATTTCTCTGTATAAATATTGGTTTTCCGTTTCTTCAGAGATACAATGGAGAGGTATTCTGCTGAAGTGCATAACGTAGCTAAGATCTTAATAGCGAAAATGGCAAGAGCCCTAGAGATCAAACCAGAGGAAATGTTAAAGTTGTTTGATGATGTTGATTCAGTCCAAAGTATGAGGATGAATTACTACCCGCCGTGTCCACAACCGGATAAAGTTATCGGTCTAACTCCGCATTCCGATGCGGTTGGACTCACCATACTCTTGCAGGTGAATGAAGTTGAAGGTCTCCAAATCAAGAAAGATGGGAAATGGGTTCCTGTTTCGCCTCTCCCAAATTCTTTCATTGTCAATATTGGAGACATCTTAGAGGTAAAATAATTATAACAAATTCATATTTAGATAATCGTAAATGGTTTTAATGATTGGTTTTATGTAGATCATAACGAATGGGACGTACAGAAGCATAGAGCACCGAGGAGTTGTGAATTCAGAGAAAGAGAGGCTCTCTATTGCAACGTTTCACTTCCCGGGAATGTATAAAGAAGTTGGTCCCGCGAAAAGCCTCGTTCAAAGACAAAAGGTTGCAAAATTCAAAAGGCTGATCATGAAAGAGTACATGGATGGCTTTTACTCTCGTGAGCTTGACGGAAAATCTTATCTCGATGCTTTGAGAATCTAAAAGAAGTAATGCCTTGTGGTCCAAGTGATTATGTCACATATATATCTACTCTGTTTTTCCTCTGTTTTCTTGATTTCTGCGATAAACAATCTCCAAAACTCTCCATTGGAAAATACTTCTACGTGTTGCTTGAATAAGACAATAATGTTGTACATTTTTACGTTAACTTAAGAAACCTCAGGGTAAGACATCATTCCACTTAATGTATTAACATCTAATCTCTAGCTTAATCCTGTGGTCGTAGGTCCATTACAATTTTAGTTGATCTTAATCTTGGCTGCGAGAGTTCAGGCTTCACCCTTCTCGGACCATTGGTCCCATAGTTTGGCCATAAAATCAAATCCTTGATAGTTACACCAACATGACCGAAACAGTCCTATATATCCAGACTACAAAAAGAACTTAACAGAAAATATGCGCATCCAAAAATAGTGATCACAATTTACAAGACAATTATTAAGCTTGCACGCGTTCGTTTCTTAAAGTTGTTTTTTTTTTTTTTTTTTGTTAAATAATGTTAACGTTCGTTGTTGCTCAAAGCTTTATCTAATGATATTATGATAGTGATCACATGCTTCAGACACACTCTGTTTACTTATAAGTCGAGGGTATATGGCAAAATTTTCGACTCCTAAATTGAGTAAACTTTTGTTTTGTTAGCGTGCGCTGTGAGAAAATGCATCTCAACACGATTTGTTTAAATAACGTGAGAGACATACACTCCACTTAACGTAATACCAACTCTTGCTAAATCTTGTGGCTAACATCAACTCTTAAAAAAACCGTGACGGATGAAGATTTTTCTTTAACATGTTTCTCCCTTAAAATGCATAAAGAAACAAAGAAAAATCTAAAAAACAGAGCTAAACTTTATTTTTCGGTTGTTAGCATATATACAGTTTAAATAATTATAAATAGATTTAACATTTTTTTTTAATTAATAAAGTTGTTGACAAAATTAATAATTTTATAACTTTATTTGAGGTCAATTAGCTTGCACGTCGGGTCTGGCTCGACTTATATATACAAATACCATATGAAGCCAACTAACCAAGTATATAAAAATTGAGCTCTGCAATGGAAAAGAGTGTCTATGAAGTATGTAGAGTCATCCAGATACTTATGGTTATATTTTTATGTCTTTCATACTCCTTTGTTCCATTAGACTGTACAACAACAACAACAAATATCGATTATGAATCGGCTTTGGGAGACCCCGGGATGAAAAATGATAGCTTAAGGGTGGCTATAGAAGCTTGGAACCAATGCAACGAGGTTGGTGAAGAAGCTATGAACATGGGAAGCCCTCGAATGGCAGATTGCTTTGATCTCGATTACTCTAGCGTGCCCGGTAAAATCACATTGTTGTTATCTTCTTATGCAATTATGCGTTTGCGTTTGCGTTTACGTGAAAAAAAAAAGATATTTCACTTTTTCAAGAAAATATTTTGCAAATTGCAAACATAAGATGCCAATGAAAAAAATATTCTTGTCCATCAAAACGTTCGCATAACAAACACAAACGAGATCTTAAACCTCAAGTTGATACGGTTTTATTGTGTTCTTTGGACATTTTTTAGCGAAGATAATCCATAAAGTGGACGAAAAAGACAACAAACTCGGGGTACGCAACGGAACATACGGAGGGATAAATGCTGGAGACAATGAAGATATCTATGCTGCACAAAAGGAAATATACTTAGGAAACAAATGTCAAGTCATGGACAGTCCAAATCCATGGCAGTTTTGGATGATAATGCTAAAGAACGGTAACACGGATACTTTAGCTGCGATTTGTCCGGAGAACGGTAAAAAAGCGAAACCTTTTCCTCAGACTGGTAGGTTTCCTTGTTTTGGGAAAGGATGTATGAATATGCCATCGATGCATCATGAATACACAAGAATTGTCGATCAAGAAGAACATATGATGAGTGGGAGTTTTTATGGGACTTGGGATTTGGATAGTGACGGTAAAGGAGATTCCGGTTTGGTTGGTAATAATTCGTATTATGAGGTGAAATGGGAGAAGAAGGTTGGAGGAAATGAGAGTTGGGTTTTTCATCATTTGTTGAAGACTTCTTCTAAGTATCCATGGTTGATGCTTTATCTACGAGCTGATGCTTCTAGAGGTTTCTCTGGTGGTTATCATTATGATACTAGAGGGATGATGAAGATGGTAAGTTTCTAATCCTGTTTTCTCATCAAATTCGGTTCGATATTTTCTGTTCATTTTTTTGTGTGGGTTTAATTGGGCTTTTAGTTATTTGAACTTGAAATATTTACTCTTTGGTTAACGTTTTGAAAAATGCTCTGTTTCATACGCACTTTATAAGGTTTTTGGTTCAATTTCTTTGGTTTCCATAAGATTTTAATTTATTTTGGTGTCTGATTTTTAGAAAAAAAAAAAAAAAAAAAAAAAAAAAAAAAAATCAAAACCGTAACTGCTTTTAGTTACTCTTTGGTTCGGTTTGTTGTGATTAGCTTTTCAGTTTGGATCAGATAAACCGGAACGCCGAACCAGTTTTACTCTGTTTCAGACAAGAAAACGCACATTTGCACCTTTTTCAGCGTTTTGTGACTAAAATTAATCTGTTTTGTAATCTTTCTAGACGCTGAAATCGCCGAATTTCAAAGTTACATTCAAGCTAGAGGTTCTAAAAGGAGGCGGATCAGGTAGCCAATTCTATCTAATGGACATGGGAAGCTGCTGGAAAAACGACGGCAGAGACTGCGACGGCGACGTCACCACCGACGTCACAAGGTACAGCGAGATGATAATCAACCCGGAGGCAACCCCGTTTGCAACCGTAACCGCCTAGGCGCTTGCCCGCCGCAACACACGTTTCCAAACGGAACTAAGATTCACAGGACGGACAAGGAGAAGTTCCCTTACGAAGCGTATCACTATTACTGCGTTCCGGGAAACGCGCGTTTCGCGGAGTCTCCATACGAGGTTTGCGATCCGTACAGTAATCCACAACCGCAGGAGATTCTGCAGATCTTGCCTCATCCTGTGTGGGAAGAGTTTGGGTATCCGACAAAGAAAGGACAAGGTTGGATCGGAGATCCAAGAAGTTGGGAACTTGATGTCGGAAAACTCTCTCAATCACTCTACTTTTACCAGGTACTGTGTAATCTATACGTCTGCGTATACGTATGACGTATCTACAATATTACGTTTTGTTTTCTTCCTTTTTTCGTTAATTCCGAACACAATAACTTTGCAGGATCCAAAGACGAAACCAGTGGAAAGACATTGGTCGTCAATAGATTTAGGAACTGAAATATATATGAGCAAGGATCAAATTGCAGAATGGACTGTAACTGATTTCAACATTGTTATACCAACGACCGTTATGTAAATGTAAATACGCTCTAATAGAAGACAGATATCAACGATAAATTCCTCAAGAATTTATATAAACCGACTGGTTTATAAAAACAGAAACCCGGCAGAGACTATTTTTATAAACCGACTGGTTTAATACCATCTGTAGTGTAAATGAACCAAATAACAGAAACGAATAGGTAATTAATTATTGGACCTTTTTCTAATTATAATCGAACCGAATTTATATCAAAAATAAAAGGAAGTATAGAACCAATCAAATTACAACAAAAGTTCTCAGGTTTTTTTTGTTTGGTTCCGTTTATAAACCGAAAAATGAAGAACAAAAAAAGGGAAATAATGGTAGTCAACGAACTAAGGCTAGTCAACAGAATTAAGAATCGTCATTGGATATCTTTAGTCTAGTTAGGTGGTCTTGATGCAGTAGATTATTCTGCTGATCTTCCCTATAGACTGAAGAAACCACCGGAAGACGGCACCAACCGTTAATTAACAGGCGTCAAAAGCCGAGAGGAAAAATTCTCCGAGAGAGTTTTTCGTTTCAGTTTCTCTTTAAAGCTATCGATTGCGTTTGTTTGGGTAACGGGAAAAGCGAGAGAAATCAAATCGTAAAGGTTGTTCCTTTTTCCTTTTTCCTTCGTTTGTTTTGTCTGTGTTTTCGTCTTCTGGGTTTTTTAAGGGTTTCGCTCGCAAAGTCGAGAGGTGGTTATAATGGCGGGTGATTGTGCAATCGACACCGAGAAATACTCTCTGTTGGAGGATTTCAATGTCGATGTCGAAGTGGAAAACCAAAAGTTTGAGACTTTCTCTCTTTGCTTTTGGGTTTATCTCTTAGATTCCACCACATACCCTTCTACAATCATCAGACAGGTGAGTCTCGATTACTAAAAGCTAGCTTCTCTGAAATGTTCATCTGCTGGATTCATGTCTTTAACTTGTATAGTCTTCTCACTTGTTTGGAATTGGGGATAAAGGTTGGAACTTTTGAAATTTCAAGTACAGCTTTTTTGACTGCTCATTTCGGTGGTTGTTGTTTATATAACGATTTTGTTGTCGATCGTCGGTTTATTGAATCAACAGGTTCGTGGATGATTCTGTGATTAAGTGGCTTTTCATTTTCAGGTTCACTCCGGCATGTGTGTTAGTGCACCTTTCCTTGTCCTTGATGAAAACAAGAAGCTGATGCTTTTGCCATTGACGCTCCTTCACGAGGAAGCTCCTGATCCTGTCAACACTTCTTCTTGGACTGAAGTTCCTAATGTTTCTACAAAAGCTCACTTTCCTCTTCAAAAATGGGTTCATGTTGGTTGTGAGGTAAATAAGACCTCTGCAAGACTCTTTTTGTAATCAATCAGTTATCTCTTTTCTCGTTGGATTTACTGATTTCTGTCATTTCCTAGGTTTCTAGAAACTATATGCGCCTTTATATTTGTGGAGAGCTTGTAGGAGAACAAGTCTTGACTTCTTTGAAGAGCAATGACACTAAATTAGATTGTGCACGAAAGCTTTCGCTATTTAGTGTTGGTGGAGATGGTTATAGCGTTCAGGGTTTCATCCACTGTGCAGACGTTTTGGCCCCTAGTGTCCCTGTAAACAATCATTACACTGAGGTACTCTTTTCTAAGCCTTCTTCCTCTTGAAAAGAGACTCTTGTCTTGTGAGACCTTATGTCGTTTAATATCTTTGCCACAGGATCCACCTCTATGGTTATCTGTTGACAAATCATCCTCTTCTGGAATTGAATTAGATGAAGATGGTGTCTGGAATATCATTGGCGGAAAGGTCAGAATCTTACTCCTAACTGTGTATGCTTTTGATGTCTCATTTGTTCAGTTAAGTGAAGATCTTGCTTTCTAACAGGCATCTTGCCGGGAGAGTTTTTGTTTAGATGTTGTTTTATCCAATGCTACTGGACAGCCTGTGCACAAGGACGTGAAGGTTTGTTCATTCTCTTATGCTTTCTCTGAAATTGTTCAGCTTTGGAGACATTTCTGATTATGCATTATTGGTTTTTGATCTGTTAGGTTGCGGCTTCTCTACTATATGCTGATAGTGGGACGCCTGTGGAGAAGATGAAGGACTCGGAGTTTCCCCTTTTGGTAAGCCATGAAGGAGTTGAATTCTCAGCGGAAGATAAACCGTGCAGCTTATTGAACGGATGTGCTTCCTTCAACTTCAAAATATCTCAGGTAGTGATTGTAATTCTTGGCCATTGGAAGTGGCGCAAATCAATTCGCATTTTGTTTATGACTGTCTTGTTTTGTTAAGCTTTCTTCCAAGAGGGACCAGAGGTTGTTCTGCATCAAATTCGAGATACCGAATAAGGCTTCTTATCCGTTCTTCGAAGCTGTTACCAATCAAATCCGTTGCATTTCAAGGAGCAGTGATTCTGTTACCCCTGAAAGGTCGAACCAGGTTAACCATCCTTTGAATGGAGTGCCAGAAGTTGCATCAAGTAACGGAACTTCTTCGGATATTGTACATCCGTGTGCAAAGAGGATCAGATTAGGAGAAGAAAGGATTCCTGAGAAGGAGGTAATCCACTTTCTCTGATATACTTTTATTTTTGTATTCATATCCATATCGAACTTACTATTGTTCTCCATTGTTGTTTTTCTCTGAGTTAGTTCGAGAATGGGAATGGTACGAGTATGGAATGGAGCCATCAGAACCACGAAGAAGAAGAAGATGAAGAAGAAGAAAACTCTTCAACTGATACAGAGAACACCGAAGTCAGAGACTCGACTTTCAAAAGATATACAATCTCAGACTCGGCGATTTTCAAATACTGCCTTGGAAACTTAACGGAGAGGTCTCTTCTTCTGAAGGAAATCTCAAACAATGCATCGGATGAAGAGATTTCGGAATTTTCAGATCAAGTTTCTCTCTATTCAGGCTGCTCCCATCACGGGTAAACTCTATATAACTAAACTCACTCCTGCCTCAAATACGTAAATTGTGAGAATAAATTTATGCTCTTGCAATTTTCCAGCTATCAAATCAAAATGGCAAGAAAACTGATAGCAGAAGGAACAAATGCGTGGATTCTGATCTCTAGGAACTATCAACGTGTTCATTGGGATAATGTGGTGATTGAGATTGAAGAACACTTCATGAGGATAGCTAAATGCAGCAGTAGATCTCTCACTCACCAGGTCTTGACTCTTCCTCTTCTCATATTTTGCTTGAACTTTGTGTCCATCTTATCGGAGTTAAGGATGGAGATTCAGATAGTATTGTGATTTGTGATTCAGGATTTTGAGCTTCTAAGGAGGATATGTGGATGCTATGAGTACATAACTCAAGAGAATTTCGAGAAAATGTGGTGCTGGTTGTTCCCTGTTGCTTCTGCTATATCCAGGGGGCTGATTAATGGAATGTGGAGGTCTTGTTCGCCTAAATGGATCGAAGGGTTTGTGACTAAAGAAGAGGCGGAGCATTCGCTTCAAGGTCAAGAAGCAGGCACATTCATTCTCAGGTTTCCTACTTCAAGAATCTGGCCACATCCTGATTCTGGATCCTTGGTTGTGACTTATGTCGGCCATGATTTCCTTATTCATCACCGATTACTCACAATCGATCACATGTGCGAGTAAGTAAATCTCTTTCTGTCTCTCTCTCTCTCGTTCTAAATCTCACTCTGTAGTGACACATTTGTTTTTGCTTTTAGTTCCAGTGAGAGGTATACAGATGCGAAACCGTTGCAAGATATGATTTTGGCTGAACCTGAGCTATCTCGGCTTGGAAGGTGAGACAGAGAGAGAGAGAGAGAAGAAAGGTTTTTAGCTTTTGTTGAAGCAAAGAGTGATCAACTTCAACATCTTAAATTTGTTTGTTGCATTTTGCAGGATCAAAAGAAGCATTTGAATGTCAAACAGACTCAAGAAGATGAGCAAGCATCGCTTTGTTATTGAGGTCTCTTTATACTTTTGCTAATATACAGATTTGCTGAGTCTCTATTACTGACACTAACTTCTGTAAAGCTTTTTAGTGATTTTTAAATTAGTGGAAATGAAATTTTTAAAAGTTTGATTTGCCTTTATAAAAAAAATTTGGAATCAAGTTAAAATAGTCTCCGACAAGAAAGGAGTCATGGGATTTGCTTCTTCAGCTTCGTTTTATATTTGTGTGGCCCATTTCACCATTACGTGATCCATACTCCCTAATTGTTAATGGTTACAAGTACAAGTAAAACCTAATTATTGTACTAGTTTAATAAAATTGAGATCTACAATAATGATGTTAAAATCCTAAATAAAAAAAAAGGATATTCTCTAATCTCAAAATATTTGATACGAGCTGGATGATGACCAACCCCTAAGTAACACGTGCACGCATATCAGCTTGTGATTTGATGCTCTCTTTTTTTTCATTTTTAATTGTATGTTATTTTTTTCCCTCTGTATTTGTATTGAATAAAAAACGGACACAAATCTGAAATCTTTCTCGTCCTCGAAAGTCCAAAGGTCGAGTTTTTAAGAGACTTGCTTTCTTATGTGGTTTTGTCTCGTCCACCCATAGAAAATCAATAAGAAAATTCACTTATATCATCACCCACTTAATATTTCTTTGTATTTTTGTTTTCCTTCTTTTTCCCAGAATTTTTCAATCACTCAAATCTCTCGTCAGCGGAAAAAACTCAACTTTCGACACTTACTCTGTCTCCGTGTTCAAATCGAAGATTCTCTCTTTCGACTCCGCTTAATATAACCGACTTTTTTTTTTGCTTTTCGTTCTCGTCCTTTCTGGAGTTTCTGGGTTCTGTCTGAGAAATGATGATGTCATGTCGGAATATAGACTTGGGTACGAGTGTTCTTGATCTGATGCCATGCGGGTGTTCTTCTACCTCTTCTCCGACAACTCGTCGAATCTTGTTTGGGAATTGTTCGAAGACTGTTTGTGGGATTGGTGGCAGAAGCTATGGTGGAAATCTAGTGTTTCTCCGGCGAGATTCGGGGATTTGCAGAGCGATCCCGGCCAAACCCAAGGAGCCTACTCTTATCACTGGTATGATGTTCTTGTCATAACAATCTAATTTTGGTAGTGGACTTGATTGAAATTCTAGGATTTATTGAGGTTTAGTTTGGTTAAGTATTCGAATGATTGGTGTTGACTTTTTTTTCTGTACATGATAACTCAATTATGTCATCATAATAAGAAATTGTTTTTTTGGACATATAACAGTAAAGTTTTGAGCTGAGCTTCATTTTATGTTTGCTATGTTTATAGACTGTGAAGTTTTGAGGTTTTTTTCTAATTTTTGCTTTGGAAAAAGAAACCTCTAGCTTTAGCTTTGGCTGAGGACAAGAGTCTTATAACTCTACTCTTAACCAGACAATTCATAGACGAGTAAAAAGCTTACAAATTGAAGTACTTGCTTCGGTTTGAATCTAATAATGGTGATTGTGTGTAGGTCTTGGTCAAGATAAGACAGTGATGATCAATTTGAGGCAAGAGTCACGAAAGCCAAAGCCGCCAATATCTTTGGAAAATCTTTTTGAGGTAGTGGCTGATGATCTGCAGAGGTTGAACGACAATCTTTTAGCGGTTAGTAGTAGTCTCTCTTCAACATTTCATTTTGGTTCTCCCAAACAGAGCTCTGCTTCTGATGCAATGCCTCTTCTTTTATAGATTGTTGGTGCAGAAAATCCGGTTTTGATATCTGCAGCTGAGCAAATTTTCGGTGCTGGTGGTAAGAGGATGAGACCTGGTTTGGTGTTCCTTGTGTCACGAGCCACTGCTGAATTAGCTGGCCTCAAGTAATCTATACAACTTCACATTACTTTTTACATCTTTGAACCTATATAAACCTTTAGCAATAAAAATGATGGTTTCTAGTTGATCTTTGGTGCAGGGAACTTACTGTAGAACATAGGCGTTTAGCTGAGATCATTGAGATGATTCACACTGCAAGTTTGATACATGACGATGTGTTAGACGAAAGTGATATGCGAAGAGGTGAGACCAAATTCTTTATTGATTTTGGAATTTACATTTTCTCTGCAAACGTTTTTAAAGCTTTGATGTTTGTGTTTGTTAGGGAAGGAAACGGTTCATGAGCTTTTCGGAACAAGAGTAGCTGTGTTAGCTGGTGATTTCATGTTTGCTCAAGCCTCATGGTACTTAGCAAATCTTGAAAACCTTGAAGTCATTAAGCTCATTAGTCAGGTAAATATTCCTTTTTTCTTTACTGAGATTAGAAGAAGCTACACAGCTCTGAATCTTGATTTCTGTTTTCTCAGGTGATCAAAGATTTTGCAAGCGGTGAGATAAAGCAGGCATCGAGTTTATTCGACTGTGACGTCAAACTCGAAGACTACTTGCTCAAGAGCTACTACAAAACAGCTTCATTAGTAGCTGCAAGCACCAAAGGAGCTGCAATCTTCAGCAAAGTCGGAACCGAAGTAGCAGAGCAAATGTATCAGTTCGGGAAGAATCTTGGTTTATCTTTCCAAGTAGTTGATGACATTTTGGACTTCACTCAATCCTCAGAGCAATTAGGGAAGCCTGCGGCTAATGACTTGGCCAAAGGGAACATAACCGCTCCAGTGATCTTCGCGCTAGAGAATGAGCCGAGGCTAAGAGAGATCATTGAGTCTGAGTTTTGTGAGCCTGGATCGCTTGAAGAAGCTATTGAAATGGTTAGAACTCGCGGTGGGATCAAGAGAGCTCAAGAATTGGCCAAGGAGAAAGCTGATCATGCGTTGAAGAATCTAAATTGTCTTCCTAGGAGTGGTTTCAGGTCGGCTCTTGAAGATATGGTCATGTTTAATCTTGAAAGGATTGATTAGTTTCTCAAAACAGTATTTGCCAGAGGAAATTGTAACACTCTTTATTTTTTTGGAAGTTCAAACACACAAATTTTTATATTTTTTTTACTGTATGTCATAAAGTAATAATAAATATAGTTTCTTCTTGCTGCTTTCTATTGAAAAGTACTCAGTCACTCTACTATTTTTACTGTATGTCATAAAGGAATAATAATACCGATAGACAAGAAAAACGAAATATCTTCTGCTTATAAGAATACAATTGCTAAAAAAAAAAGTTCTTGATGTACTATTTGATGTGTGTCTCCAACCATGTAGATTCCTTTTTATCTTGTTTGATTCGTTGCCTCTTATACTATACTAGATAAGTAGATATGGTTAAAGCATGTTACCTAATTATTTTGTCGAGGTTCAACAAAAATATGATAAACAAATTGAACACGTGACATTTTCTTTTAACATAGACAACAGAAATTGATCGTATGGTTTTTTTGTAGGGAAGTAGAAATTAGACAAACAAGAAAACAGACCTCTGTTTTAATTAAGTTTTGCTGCTGCTATGAAAATGAAAGAAATAAAAAAATATTTTGAAATTTCTAGATTTGAATTTTTTTTCTTATATACAAAAACCTCCAAATAAAAATTTCTTGACCGGACTCAAACTGCATTTACTACACCTTTCGAGGTTCTGTTTTGTTGATGAACAAAAAAAAAAGGAATAACCTAAACTTTACGAATGATCAAATGAGCTCCATGTTGTGGAAATGTAGTTGCAGCTGGGAAAGGAGCATGAGTATATGACGGAGACAGCTCTACACTGAACCGTTGAAGAACCGTTGCCACAAAGAGCTTAGCTTGCAACATCGAGAAGTTTTGACCGATACAAGTCCTAGGGCCCGCGCTAAATGGCAAGAAAGCGAGTCTTCCTTTGGTTGCGCTCGCGACACCATTAACAAATCTCTCGGGTTTAAACAGCTTCACATCGTCTCCCCAAAGATCAGGATCATGGTGCACCAAGAGCATTGGTATTGTGATTACAACTCCTTCGGGTAACGTGAACCTCTCTAGCTTCACTTCTTGTTTTGTTATCCGACATGTGAAGTAAGCTGGCGAATAGAGTCTTAGAACTTCATGGAGGATCATTGTTACCTGTAATAATGATAATGACCCAATTTAATTACAAGAAAATAAATTAAATAAACAAAACGTTTTTTTCTGTTATAATAATGTTTTGAATTTGAAAATGTATACTTACGACTTTGAGGTGGCTTAAGCCATCGAAATCTGGCTCGTTGTCTCCAAAGGCCTGAGAGATCTCGTGTCTTGCTTTGTTTTGCCAGTCTTGGTGTTGGCTTAGAGCAACGAGTGTCCAAACAAACAATGAAGAAGTTACGTTTTGACCAGCTAGATAGAAAGCCTTACAGTCATCTATCAGATCATCGAGACTTAGACCGGTGTCTGGTCCTTCTTCTTTGATTTGTTTTGTGTTTGAAGCCAACATGGAACACAACAAGTCGCTGTTCTTGTCGCTACCTCGTCCACTTTTTATCTCCTTCTCTTTTGTCTCAATCATAGCTTTAAACATAGCCCTCATGTCCCTTTCGGTTTCTCTCAACCTCTTGTTGAACTTTGTTGGTAAAAATCTGCAAAATACAAATCCAAAAATAACATGAAAATTTATTCATCAAATTAAAATTAGATTTTCAAAAAATCCCATTTTCATACTTTGATCCAGGAATGTAGACGGATCGAATAGCTTGGAGACCAAGATCAATCTGTTCTTGTTGGATTTCGAAGATTTTGATGCCATCTTTGTAGGAATCACCAAAAGAAGCACGAGCGAGCATGTTTCTAGTCAAGTCATGACAGTAAGTCCATGCATCAAGTTCCACTGTTCCTTTTGCTGAAGCTAGTTTCTCCCATTCTTCTAACATGTCTTTGCAACTCGAGTTGAATGCTGGAAGTATGCTCTGTCCATTTTACACAATTATGAAATGTTATTTCATTTCAGATACCATATTTAATTTCACAACATAGAATCAGAGTGGTTGGTCTATGAACACAAACAAAAAAGCTTACATTTTTAGAAATATTGATTTTAGACATTTATCTACTGATAAATTTTGTTTTGTTTTTTTTGTTAAAAATGATGAATGCTAATGAATTGATTAATTGCCGAAAAGAAGTTGATACTTTATTAATCCCAAAAATAAAAAGCTGATATAGTAGAAATTCTTGATTTGAAATATGATTTCCTCTTTTTGTAATGCATGTTTTTGGCTTTTTCTGTTCTTTCGATTTTAGACTTTTATAGTTGGTGGCGTGGCGTGGCTTCTAGTTCTTTGCCGATTTTTTTCTCTGTTAGCTCATTTTTCTATAAATAACATTTTTTTTAGTTTCCTCCGGGAAGATTTAATCTTTTTAGTATGATAAATTTTATTTTATTTTTCTTGAAAGGAATGAAGAGAAATCTTTAAAAATTAGTTAACATATGAGTTTTTTAATTATTATTGAAATCTTGCAGCAAGCAAGCAATTGAAGACGTTACTCATCTGACTTTCTTTTTCGGAAAAAGGTAAAAAGAGAATGAAACTGATCAAGATCTAAAGAATGAGACGAAAATGACGTCCATCAAGTTCACATTATGTCAGAGTTGAAAATTAAATATAAAAAACAAAAAATAGTTATTATAGTCAAAATGAGCAGTGTATGTTCATTAATTTACCAAAACTCAAAATAAATGAAAAATACCTTCAAATTGTCAATACGAAAAGCAGGATTAAGAATGCTTCGATGTTTTGACCATTTTGGACCTTCGTGGTTGAGAAGACCACTGAGGAAAACATGATTATGTGACCCAATCTTTGGTTTTGGAAAGAGTTCGTGTCTTGACATTATCTCCCGCAGTGTCTCTGGATCCATTACGATCACGTTCGGGTACGGTCCGTACCATGTGAAACATTTCTTCCCTATTAAACAATATCAATTAACTATTACCAATTGTTAAGTATAAATTTAACTAATCCGCATATGAAACAAAACACGTAAAAGAATGATATATTGGACAAAAGCATTTTGATATGATGTGCGCTAATAGTGTTTTTTCTATATTTTTAATGTGAACTTGATTTAGATTATAACGAGAAAACGATATCAGATTTAGATCTTAATTAAGCAATTGTGTAATCTATAACACAGTTGACTCTTTTAAGCCCCTACTCCAAATCTCTCTGTTCATATGTACCTTGAATATAATAAAAGTTCAAGTGAAGAAGATGATCAACTCCCAAAAACAAATTTAGAAATGTTTTCTTGTATGAATCTAAACACAAGATCAAGTCGATTTGGTTTCACATTTTCTTTAAGTTTAAACAAAGTAAGAAAAGACTTGGGAATTATATCGAGTTTGATGGATCATACCATGTTTTTGGACAGTGTGATGGAAAAAAGGCATCATACGAGGGAGAAAATCGGCGGTGAGAGGGAGAGGAAGAGAGTGAGCAACTTGATCCATCTGATTACTCTCTCTCATATCTCCCATCAAAATTCTGTAAGAATTCCCAGAAAATCCTTGTTTCTTCAGATACTTCTCCAGTCTCTTTGGCCTTAGCCAAACCCAATTCACAGCCCTCCATACCCAATTTAGTATCAAGATCAAGAATCCGATCAAGAACACTTTTCTTACTGTTATGATCTCCATCATTTTGATCTTTGATCTACGAAGAAGAGAGGAAGAAGGTAAGAAAGAAAGAGAGGAGACAAAACTCTAATGGTGATGCTTATAATTTCATCAGTTGACTATATATGTTGGAGGCAGCTGTATATCTATATATTTGCGTGAATAGATATACTGTATAATAAAAATGTGATAAAACTTGTTTATAATACATGTCGAGAGAAGATATATGTAATAAATCGCTGTATGTGCAACTGGCAATGAATTTATAACAACAAGTTCTTTGGTGTATATTTCCAAAAATTAAATTTTGTCTTCCTTTCCTTACGCTACATGCATGTGGCTTTATTGCATGAGTATTAAGTGTATTTTTCTCCATTTTTTAAATATACTCTATGATACTTCCAATATTTACGTTTCTTCTCCAATTTTTTTTGTTTGCGTCTGTTTATCGTAATTATCTACAGTAGAGAAAGGAGAGTTTTCACGCAATTCTCACCTTTTCATTATTTTGTCCCATTTCGTTGAAATTTAGGTAGATAATACCAAATTAATCTTAAAATTTATGGAAGTGAAACTTAAAAAAGTAATTAGTAACCAATGATACTGAATCATTAGTGTTTAGTTAACTTAATCGCAGACAATAAATATGGAACCAGGTGGCGTTGTTCTTTGGAGACGATGAATAGCAATGTCAACTCTCTTACGAAACGCATGTGATAAACTATATTAATATATACGAGATAATGTTCGTCCAACCATATCAATTAATTTTAATTTAAATAATATAATGCAATTACGCGTAGACTAGGGTCATTATCATTTACTAAACTCCACGTATGACAAAGTAGACCTAACGGCTATGGGCGTTGTTGGTTAATTAAAATACTTATAGCGTAAGCTTATTTGATTAGCTAGTGAAGTTATGTATTGTTTTGTTCTATAAATAAAAGATAGACTAAACTTGGAGAGGGTAACAAATTATTGTCGCCAAGCTAAAAACCTAATTTACTTTACTTATCAGAAGTTTCCATAAATAATCATACCCAAAAAAAGTATCCATAAAGAAGTCTACTACCTGATTTTTTTCTATGATAGTCAAGGTTTATGGAAATAAATTGCATTATTCAACCAATGTGTGCGATTAAATGGCGTCACACATATTGTATATATACATAATCTATTACCACACATTTTAGTTACGAATTTCAACATTGTAACAAGATTTTTTTGAATAAACCAACTAAAAGTCGAGCCATAGTCACCTCCGACTTTTCTGTGTGTACGGGTGGGACGTTTCTTTATGTGTTATAGTCTGAAATTCCCCAAATATGTGTCGTTTCTACAGAAAAAAATGGGATTTTGTTGTATTAGTTCAGACAGAATATAATAAATATTCTTTAAATACAACTACAGAAGGTGTGTATATATTGTTGCAAAAAGAAAAGTTGGTTAGAGAAAAGAAAGTATTCCTAAAAGTTCTTGACTTTGTAATTACGGTGTGAACCAAAATATATTGACTTTTTTTTATCAAAAACGAAAACACAGAAGTATTATAAAGAAGCATTTTAAAAATAAAAAATTTCACAATTGTGAAAAAAAAAAGTTTTGTAAATCAATTTAAAAGATTAGAAACATCGTAATTACAAAGAGCCTAACAAGAATACTTCGACGACAACAAGAAAAAACAAAAAGGTTTACAAGTACACACCAGTTTTCGTGTTATAGATTTACGAATCAAATAATAAAATATATACGTTATAACAATAAATTAAGTAAGCCTTATAATTTGTGCTTTTTAAAGCAGTCTCATTTTTTTTCCTAAGAGTAATACTATACTTAACAATCGTAATTAATGCGGAGCCTATGGTTTCGAGACAACCAACTCATTAGACATTACTCATGTTTACAGGCTAAATCGTTATACTATTTCTACAGTATCAAAACGACAGAGTAGGACACAGCAAACTCGAAAGAGTCCAAAAGGAAGAAGATGTGAGATCACGTGAGACTGCGATGGTTAAAAACAAAAAGAAGCACGTGAGAGAGGAATAAAACTTCACAGATATAATGGGCTTTGTTATACAAATAAATAGGCCGCTCTTATATAAAAAGCCCAATTGAGTTTGATCAGATACTCTCCGCTTCGACGTCGGCGATTTGCAGCTGAAATCCGATAACCTCCTCAAATTGTTTGATTTTTGTTCAATCTCTTATAGTTTTGAAAATTCGCAGAGTTTCGGATCTGTTTCTTCACCATGGACGAGTATCAAGAGATGGAGAGATTCGGTATGGAAAACGACTACGAAGGTGGTCGATGGGTGAATGGCGAGTTCGTATACGAAAAGAGGAAGGAGAAGCGTAAACAAACCAAAGACGACGCTATTTATGGAAGCTTCATCGAGAGCGATTCGGATTCCGATGGTTCTAGCGGCGGCGGTCGGAGGAAGAGGCGTAAGGATCGGGATTCCGGAGTGAAAGCCGATTTGACCAAGCCCGTCAATTTTGTTTCTACAGGTACTGTTATGCCAAATCAAGAGACTGATATAGATTCTAGAAAACACAATGGTGAAAAAGGTAGTGATAAAATCGAAGACGGTGACATGATTGATGAGGATAGTGAAGTTAGAGGTGGATTGGGTATTGGAAGCTCGGGTTTAGGTTTAGGGTTAGGGTTTAATTCGTCTGCTTATAACGAGGAGGACAATCTCTTACCGGGTGCTTTGGGAAAGAAGATATTTGAGGGGGCAAAGATGAGAGGAAAGGCCAAGATGGAGAAGAGAGGTCAAGGGGGTGGTGCAAAGGGAAGAAAGAAGGATGCTTTAGGTGGTGATATAGGGAAGTTTGAGCAGGCTACCAAAGGAATTGGTATGAAGCTGCTTGAAAAGATGGGGTACAAAGGAGGTGGGCTTGGGAAGAACCAGCAAGGTATTGTAGCTCCCATTGAAGCACAGTTGAGGCCGAAGAATATGGGTATGGGGTACAATAATTTCGAGGAGGTAAAGTTGCCTGATTTCAATAAGGTAGAGGAGAAAAAGACTGCTGCGGTCAGTGTCCGTGAGAATGATCAGAGCCATGGTGATAGAGGAGGGAGAAATCTTTGGAAGAAGAAAAAGGTGACGAAGAAAATTTATGTCACTGCAGAGGAGTTGTTGGAGAAGAAGCAGGAAGAGGGTTTTGGTGGTCGGCAGACCATTATTGACATGCGAGGACCACAGGTTCGGATTGTGACAAATTTGGAAAATTTAGATGCAGAGGAGAAAGCAAGGGGAGCAGATGTTCCAATGCCGGAGTTACAACACAACTTGCAGCTGATTGTTGATCTGGTCGAACATGATATTCAGAAGATTGACAGAGACTTGAGGAACGAGAGAGAATCAGCCTTGAGCTTGCAGCAGGATAAAGAGATGCTTATAAAGGAGGAAGAGAGACAGAAAAGTCACTTAGATAGCATGGAATATATCGCAGATGAAATAAGTCAAATTGAGCTGGAGAATACATCTGGGAGTTTGACACTTGATTCACTTGCTAATCGTTTCGGGGACCTACAAACAAGCTATCCTGATGATTACAAGCTTTGTAACTTGTCCACCATTGCTTGCTCACTGGCCTTGCCTCTCTTTATCAGGATGTTCCAGGGCTGGGACCCTCTTAGGGATGCAGCGCATGGTCTCAAGGCTATGCATTTTTGGAGAAAGCTTTTGGAAGTCGAGGATAATCAGAATATATGGGAAACCTCAACTCCTTATAGCCAACTAGTCTCGGAGGTAGTGTTACCTGCTGTGCGAATAGCGGGCATCAATACCTGGGAACCTAGAGACCCTGAGCCGATGCTTAGATTTTTAGAGACTTGGGAAAATTTGCTGCCTTCATCTGTCTTGCATACGATTTTGGACACAGTGGTGCTGCCAAAGTTGTCAACTGCTGTAGAATATTGGGACCCACGAAGGGAGCTTGTTGCCATCCACGTTTGGGTGCATCCTTGGTTGCCAATACTTGGTCAGAAGTTGGAGTTTCTGTATCAGATCATTCAGACGAAATTGAGTAATGTTCTCCATGCTTGGCACCCTAGTGATCCATCCGCCTACACTATCCTTTCTCCATGGAAAACTGTTTTCGATGCTACAAGCTGGGAACTACTTATGCGTCGTTACATAGTTCCCAAGCTTCAGCTGGCTTTGCAAGAGTTTCAGGTAAATCCGGCAAACCAGAATTTAGACCGGTTTGATTGGGTTATGAAGTGGGCATCTGCAGTACCCATACATCTAATGGCTGACTTGATGGAGAGGCTCTTCTTCCCTAAATGGCTGGATGTATTGTACCATTGGTTACTTTCTAAACCGAGGTTCGAAGAGATCCACGAATGGTACAACGGTTGGAAAAGTTTATTCCCGCAAGAACTTTCAGCAAACGAGAGGATCCGAATCCAGTTAAAGCGTGGTTTAGATATGTTGATGGAAGCTCTTGATGGAGTTGAACTGTCTCAGCCAAGGGCAAGGGCTCACGAGCATAGACAGTTCGAGTCGGCACAGGCTCAAGCACAAGCTCATGCTCAGGCTAAGGCTAAGGCTCAGATGGATAGCAGTGAGGTGATGAGTTTGAAAGAAGTCTTGGAAGTATTTGCGCAAGAGAAGGAGTTGCTGTTCAAACCTAAACCGAATAGAATGCACAATGGTCTTCAGATATATGGGTTTGGGAATGTGAGTGTGATTATAGACTCGGTGAATCAGAAACTGTTGGCTCAGAAAGATGGAGGCTGGTTCCTTGTAACTCCTGATGACCTATTGAGGATGCACAACAATGCAACTGCTTCTGGTCGAAAACGATAGATTAGACAATGCAACTGTTTGTGACAAAAAAAAAATGGTAGATTACATTTCCATTATATAAGGTTCTGATGTATAAACCCATCTTCAATTTTATCACATTTTGTTCCTTTTCTTCAAATCTCATAGCTTTGATTTATTTTTTGGATAACAAAAAGTCAAATATCATTTTGTGAAGTTTACACCCTTTTTTTGTTCCTTTTTTCTTTTCTTCATAGAGTACGTTGAAGAAGCAAGTAGATAATACAACAACACATGATGTTTATCGAAACCTATACAAACGTTTTGAGAGTAACCCACAAGATTGACTGATCCATCAATCACCAATCCCAATCTTCTGCTCCTTTAGATACACCCAGAATCACAGCGATTGTTACAAGAATAGCCTGAAAGTGTTTAAACATAAATCAATCACTTTGATCCGTGTCAAATCTGAAAGACATGTGAGAGTATTGAATAAATTTACAGCGATGGTGCAAGCAATGTATCCTGGTTTCTCCCTGTGGTCAATTTTCCCAACTATCATGATGAACACTCCGAGATACCAAGGGAGTGCTCCAAGCAAAAACCCAATTATGAACCTTCAAGAATATAAAAACACAAACTCTATGAGATACCGAACATTGTTAAAAAAAAAGCAAGTGTAGATAGTATCGCAGCCATGTGAAGAGAGAGGAACTTACAGGAACCATCCAAAACCACATCCACAGCAAGGAAGACGGCGTTCTCTCACAATCACAGGTCTTCCTTCAGCAACACCACCATAGACTGAAAATGTAAAACAATAAGAAATGGTAAACATAAGAACGAATGAACAGACATTGACACAACTTACAGACCCGCAATGGATATTCAACCTCATGTATCATTCATTTCAAACTTCAAAGTATGAAAAACGAAGCTAGATTTTCACATAGAGATCCGTTCCCTAACAAGCAATAACGAAAAAAGGGTTTCCATTCAATATAAAGCTCCTAATGAAGTGACTGTAACAACAGTTTGATCTCAACTCCACCGAGGAAACAATCAAATTCAAAGTCACCACAAAGAGAAATCCTTTAAAAGGGTCGCTCTTGCGAAAGAAAACATGATCCTTGTGATCAAATTGGAATCTTATAAAGATAAATTCCCTATCTAACATACCCAGGAAGAGAATTAGAATCCATGATCGTCGTCAGTTTTACAAAAATTCAAACCTGAATTCCCAAATCTGAATCAGCATATCGAATTCAGAAAGAGAAGCTACCTGGAACAGTTTGATATCCATGGGGGTAATAAGGAGCGGAGGAATCGTAAACCCCAGGCGGCGCCGAAGGTTGAGGAAATCCAGTGACCGGAGCTGAAACCGGAGCTGAATTCTGCGGCGGCGGGTAATTGGAAACACCTTGAAAGGTACCGTATTGATGATGCTGGGTACCTGCTTCTTCATCAAATCCTTTGCTTTTATCTCCTTCTCCCTGACCCATCTTTCTTCCTTTTCGTCTCGATCGCTCTTTCTAACTCGGATCGAATTGGAAAATTTGCACCGCGTTGAACTATATGGAACGAACGAAAAGACGACTCTTTTTGTCTTTCTTAATCAGTTTTATTATTTGCCTACAGATCCGAGATAACGTGTATTTTCTAATTTGGACCCCAGAACTATTATTATATACATTTACAACCAACGACCGACTACAATGTTTGACTAAGTGTGTTTTTGTTTTATAATTAAGAAACATGTGGTGGGTTAGAAGTTAGAACTTATAAATATTAATTTTCGTTCATGGAAGCTTCAAGTTCGTGGCAAGGGTTATGAAATTAACTAATGTTCTTAATCATTAAAGCTTCACATCGTTTTCTTTTCCATCCAAAACGATTTAACAACAGCTTCAATAATTTCCCTTTTTATAAACTTGGTTAAATGAAAAAAATAATACTAAAAAAAAGATAAATTTCAGAAATCTGCCACCGTTCGTTTTCTTTGTTTTTTTCTTTCTTTCTTTATTTAAGTGTTTTGTCAAGTATTGTCAACTATCATCTTAGTTGTTAAGGCTTTATTATTACTTCTTTTATGAGTGGAATTTGTTTCCTCTTCTTTTATTTCCAAGTTTAAGTGGAGCCTTTAATTCCCAGCCTCCAAAGAAAGACCTTGAAAAATCATTTGTATTAGGAAAAAAATACTAAAAAAATATAGATCCACAAGTTTATAGACCTCCATTTGATTTATGTTGCACAAAACATGTATGAAAAACTGGATTATATGTTTAGATTGTATTATCTCTCTCATGATACAAATAATAAGCCACAAAAAAATATCTGGATTCTTATGAATGAGATGAGAGACTCTCAAATTCTTAATATATGGAATTAACCATTTACAAGTAAGAAGAATCAAAGAAAATTTGCAAAACATGAGAAGATCTGTGTAATCTTTGACAAACAAAAATTTAGGAGAAGTGTGTAATGAAAATAGTAACCAACCTTTCTTCAACAAGCACAAATATCATCATGAGAGCAATCTTGGCAACAATCATCATCATCAATGGAGTCGGAGAATTCTTGGTCACTCAAGATTGTAATGATCATAACCTTCTCGTCTGGTTTAGCTTCTTCCGGTACGATAAGATTCTTCTTGAGGTCACTCAAATCTTGGTTTGTCTCTGTCATGAAGAAGCTATGAAGAATGGAGCAGCAAGTGAAACAGGAAAACACTAAATTGATTGCAAACAAGGCGATGCAGAGGATCACGACGACATACGTGTAAGCATCCATTCTTTTTGGAAGCTGATCATGATGGTTGGTTTACAGAAATCAAAATGAAGAAAATCAAAATTATTCACTTTTCAAGAAAAAGGTAAAACCAATATATGTGTGTATATTGTTGATTGATTCTTTGGTCCCCTCAACAGATATAAGAAGAAAGCTTAAATCTGAATGTTTTGTGTGTGTTTGCATCTCCTTATATAAGCAGAAAACTAGAAAGATAAATAAAGAAAACAATTTTAATTTTCTGGGTCTGCGGTGGAGAAGATTTTTCAACAGATAAAGGTGGTAAACATGACAAAAGCATTTGTCTCTTTCCTTTATTTTTCTACCAAATCTTGTTGGTTTCACAGGGAAAAAACAAAGATAGTTTAAATTGTCAGAATCTTTTTTTATACATTTAGCAGATTTCTAAACTCTAAAGAACTTCAAGGCTTCAAGCACATGTATCAGAAAGGAACAAAGAAGGACATCATCTTCTATTGTGTGTTTCAGATGAATTGTGGTTTACTGTTTATCCTAATAGTAATTTGGTTTCATATGCACAGTTAACATTATTCAATATGTGGCTTGAGTGTGGATAATGATCAGTTAAGAGACTTTTTTGTTTGAAGATTTCTTAGTTTGATGTACACATCAAGAAAAGCATAATAAAACCTTCATTAAGAAAGAGTAGTTTGTGGCAATATGAATTAGTAAACTAGACTTGTTCTTCCACTTATCTGACTCATAACATAATTTATCGTAATAACCACACAACTTTATCATTGACTACTTTGCATTTTGCTCTCCGCATTATCATAATTTCAGCTTTGCAAGAAACCCAAAAGTATTGTTTTAAAGACATCTCTCTATCAAAACATAATTGACATTCGATAACAAAAGTCAATTCTTTTTAAAACATGGCGAGCTTAAACAAGAACATGTCAATAACTCCCATAAAACACAACAGTGATTCAGATGAGTAAGGCAGACATCATATCCGAAACAGAGAACCACCAGCAGCTTAGAGCTGGGCAGTAATTAGTCTCGTATTTCAGCCATTACAGTCTTCCTCATAATCCCAAATTAAACTAAGTCAATAGTATACACTAAAAACATAAAAGCTTTGAAATGGAATCAAGCAGTAAAATCGTTGCTTAATAGCAGAAGTTTCCTTTCATTTCATATATACCAAGAAACCAACTTTCCTCTCAGAGAGCATTTCTCAAAATCTCACCAGATTCTTCAAATTAACATGACGTCACCAATGTTCCCTTGTGTATCACACACGTGTGTTTCGGGTAACATTTTGTTCCTAGGTAGTTTTGATTACACGTATATGAGAAAAGCACCAAACTTTTTAACACACACAAAGCCTATCCCAAAGATCAACCACACAATCAGAGCGTAACAATAACCAAATCTATATTACTCTGTTATTGGTAACGAAGAAAGAAGTAGCTCTGTTTATACCTACAAAACCGCAATGGCAGTAGCCGGTTTAAGCTTCTTCAAGCTCTCCTTCCTCCTCAGCCTCCTCTCCGGCGGTTCAAACGTACTAGATCCGATATTCAGACCCGTATCCGAATCCGGCCTCGTCGGGAAGTTCCCGCCGTCGTGTAGCCGAATCGAGTGCCCAAAGTACGAGGTTGTTCACGCCGGAAATGGGTACGAGATTCGCCGGTACGATGCCACCGTCTGGATTTCCACTGAACCGATTCAGGACATCTCTCTCGTCGATGCTACGAGAACCGCTTTCTTCCAGTAAGTGCAAAAATGCAATTTTTAATTTCGAAAATTCTGAATTAATTTGAAGAAAGATTGAATTTTTAATTTTTTTTGGGGGTTAGATTGTTCGCTTACATTCAGGGGAAGAACGAGTATCATCAGAAGATTGAGATGACGGCTCCGGTGATCAGTCAAGTCTCACCAAGCGACGGTCCTTTCTGTAAATCTTCATTCACTGTATCCTTCTACGTCCCGGAAAAGAACCAGCCCGATCCAGCTCCGGCGAAAAATCTCCACATCCAGAAATGGACTCCGAGGTACGTGGCGGTGAGGCAATTCAGCGGATTCGTCTCCGATTCTACCGTCGGAAAAGAAGCGGCGGCGCTAGATTCCAGCCTCAAAGGCACCGCCTGGGCAAACGCAATTGAGAAAAGCAAAGAAGACGGTGGTGTTGGGTCTGATTCAGCTTACACGGTGGCTCAGTATAACTCACCGTTCGAGTTCTCGGGTCGGGTCAATGAGATTTGGTTACCATTTCAAATCGACGATTAAGCTCTGTTTTTAGTGAACCCTTCACGTTTTAGTGAGCCCTCCGTTTTTTAATAAATAAAGTTTAAACTTTTGTTCTTTTCAAGATCTCAACTTTGCTGAAACAGAGAGAGAGAAACAGAGGAATTTAATAAGATGAGATTGAACATTTGGCCTTAACGAAATACAGAGAGATGATGAAAGACAAAAAATTTCGGATAGGGCACTCGAGATAAGTATCCCTAAAGAGATCTAAGCATATTTAAAAATCATTGGGAGGTTCAAAACAGAATCCTCTCTAGTCTCTTCTTCTTCTACTACTACTACCAGTTTTGTTCATAACTGTTGTAAGTTTGATCCTGACAGTTAAATCCTGGGTTAGTCTCGTAATTTACATACATACTCGGCTGCTGGTGGTAATAATCGTGGGATGATGATGATGGTGCTGAGTCGTCCATCAAGACCGTGTTGTTGTGGTTCGTCTCTTCCTCGACGAAGTACCGAGTTTCGGGTTTGGTACCTGAGAACATTCTGCAGGCGACCGTGTTGTGCGGCGATGGCTGCGGCTGGTATAAGTTGTTGAAGATGGAGAAGGGAGAAGAAGTCTCCACGACGTCAGTGTAGTCTATGGTGCTGAAGGAGTCTCTGGTTGATTCTGTGGTGAAAGAAGCTTCGTCTGAGCTCGTGAAGAGAGACCACTCGCTTGATGATGACTCTGTGTTGTTGTTGTGTTGAGATCTCGGTTTGAAGCGGTTCACTTGTTGCCTCTGTTCCTTCATCTCGTTTCTTGGTTGCGGCGGATGCGGATGCGGAACCTGAGCTTTTCCATTGTGTTCTCCTCTTTGTGGACGCGGATATGATCTGCAAGAACACATAACTTTCAGAATCCGTGACACACAGATGTAGAGAAAAACCATTACAAGCGTATTTTTTTTACCTCATGTAGAACAACATATAAGCTCCTTCTGACATAACTTGAGTCATTGGCACTCGATAAATCTGCAGAGTTTTTTTTCATAAAAAAAGTTCATAAACCGTTTGGTATGTTGCATCAAGAAGGAAGAAGAGGAGGATGCAGATAAAACTGTTTATACCTCGGAATCATCGATTCGGAACCAGTTGCCTCTCAAATCTTTGACATAGGAAATGTAATGACCCGAGAAAGATGCGTTGAGAGTATCCAAGTGAACTATCACAGCGTAGAGCATGTAAAGAGGAGGAACATCTCCGGTTCTTGTCATGAAAGGATTCATGTCCAGCATTTCAGGAAAGCTAATACATTTGTTTATTTTGCCGTATCTTCCTTCCTGCGTACACAAGTTTTTAAAAGTAAACACAGAGTCACCGAAAAGCAAAATCTGTGGCCATCTTTAAGTATTTGATACCTGGAATCTCTTGAGAACAATTGTGAGAATGTTTGGTGCTTCATGAATGCTCAGCTCTTTCCTTGCTCTTACATATCCAGCGCACCTTTTTGTTCCAATGCTTTAACAGTTTAGTTTCAATACCACAAAAGAAGGAGAAGCAAATTTGGTTTTTGGAGCTAACTTCTAACCTGCTGCATCTATACATATTTTCTCCGTCGAGATCTTCCGGTCTAGTGAACTGAGTCAAGGCATCTTGAAGAGATTCTACCCAACCGTATATCTCCAATGTGAGATCCATGATGTTCTCGTATCTTTCTGATTCGTGATCACACCTCAAGCATTTCACCTTTAGGAAAAGACAGCAGCAGAAACAATGAGAATGTGTGAAGTCAAAGTAAACAACAGATGTCATGAGCCAAGAGATTTAGAGACCTTTGAACGGAGACGTCCACCAAACATATGTTGAACTAAAGTTGTTTCTTGCAGTCTTGGATCCACTTTAGTCTCACCTCCAAGTCTCTCCAAACATATGGATTGCATAGATGCAACCAAAAGCCTACATCCAAGTCACAAGAATATGGTAATTTCAGAACGGTGACATATAATCACATTAAGTAGATATGATCCGAAAGGACTACGAGGAAAAACCTTAAGAACTCATGAGCATCTTCTTGGCTCCCATCACCAATCTGACAATTTATACTTCGCATGTGTGAGAGAATTCTGCTGGCAGAAAGTGGACCTCCAGATTCTCTAAGCATCATTACATGTTGCTCAAGTTCACACATAAGACACCAGTCTTTCCCAGAACCTATTGTGAAAGAGTAACATAAGCTTCGTCAGAAGACAGTAAACTAAATCTGCAACAGTTTATGCTACATGATTGATTGGGAAAAGCATTACATGATCTTGAATGTGATCGTCGAAGCAAATAAGCAACGAGTGGTTTTGTACATGTTAACGACTGCAAGACAGCGTTTGCATAGCAACTGGAGAAGAAAGAGATGATTGTAAATTGAGAAAGCATATAAACAGATCTTTCTCAATTTTGCAGTTAAACAGAAAAAAGTGGTTGAGACAAATACCTGTTTCCACAATTTACAAGGCCCCTAGGTGATAAGTCAAACACTTCACACTGAAAGAATTTAAGAAATTCTTCGTACGGAAAAAGCATCTGAAAAAACATGAAGAGTTATTGACTCAGGATACTAAAGATGCAAATTTGAATTAGCAAAGAGAGAATAATATCACCAGGGAACTAACTTTCAGGTTCTTATGTCGATCATCATGCTTTGTAGAATTTCTTAAACCCATCATTTTCATTATCCCTGAGGAGACGCCATGGCTTTCTTCAGCAATCCCAGTATCTTTGGACCTAACTGTCTCTGGATTACAGATACAAACATGAGACACTCTACAAAACAAAAGAACTATATTAAGCAAAATTTAGAGACACTCACTTGATACTGAAGCGACTTGCCCCTTCTTACTTGTCTCTGCGCTTGATTGTTCTGCAGATTTTGGCAGTGTAGCAGCTCTGGTCCCTGTTTCATTCAGTCCACATTAGAAGATGCAAATCACAAACTGTATCAACCTCAACAAGAGTTACTTTTTAGGGTATTAGGCCTAACCGTTTGGAGGAAATTGTGCGTTTGGACAGCCAAAAGAGCTTCTTGCTCCCAAATTGTTTTCCTGTATACCACTTACAAAAGTTTGTCCATTCATTTGCATACAGGAGTTGTCAAGAGAATGCCTTCTAGAATTTGTTTCCACAGCACCACTGTTGTTGCTTCTCGACTGCAAGCAAAGTCACCAGGTTTAAACTTCAAGCACCATGTCGACTTTTAGCAATAAAGCATAACTGTTTCGACTGACATAGATGTTTAAGAACAGCTTACCTTATGTTTAGTGTGACCCTTCTTGTTATCGCCACCAGCACAAGCAGCTTCACTACCAGATGATTCTCGGTTGGACTTGGAAGAACTTTGTTTCCCTATGCTTTTTCTCCCTTGTGTGTTGACTTGTGGTGTAATATCAATCTGAGAGATACCCAAGCTTGCAAATTCTACAGAGCTTTTTGAAGTCTTTCCCTTTGCATTCTGCTTAGTATTGTTACTATACATTGTAGAATCCATGCCAGAGTCGTGCAACACAGCATCTCCCTCAGATGAAGAAGAGCAAGTCTCCACCGGTACACATTCATCTTTATGAGCCAACCTCCAGTGGATTATCTGGCACTTCCCAGAGCTGCAAATGTTAAAATTGAAAAGCTCAAGTAGATAGAAAGAAAGACAAACGAATCTGAAATCAAAACAATGGTGGAAACATACCAGTATCTAACAGATTTGCATCTCGAGCAACGTGTCTTTGCAGGAGCAAAACACTTTGCACATACATGTAACTCATTATTACTGAAAGGAGCAACAACTGCGACCCCACAATTAGCATCCACAGAGTCATGTCTCTTCTCAGCTACAGTCTCACTCACAGCAGCTACAAACTCAGCTCTTAAACCATCACTCGCAGCAGAAACGGTCTTGGTCTTGTTTCTTACACCCCTATTCTCAGTGGCTACGGTTTCGAATCTTACACCCCTATTCGCATTAACCAAGCTCTCGGCTCTCAAAGCTTCTTCAGCTGCCATCTGAGCCAGCAAGTTAACCCTCCCTCTCTGGTCTCACTCACAGCAGCTACAAACTCAGCTCTTAAACCATCACTCGCAGCAGAAACGGTCTTGGTCTTGTTTCTTACACCCCTATTCTCAGTGGCTACGGTTTCGAATCTTACACCCCTATTCGCATTAACCAAGCTCTCGGCTCTCAAAGCTTCTTCAGCTGCCATCTGAGCCAGCAAGTTAACCCTCCCTCTCTTTTCAGAAGTGTCACTCCATTTCCCAAGTATTATGTAAGCTACCACAGGAAGTACAACCAAAACCAGGAACAATATTGGTATGTCCGCTCCCCTTGGTTCGAGCATGTCCTTAGACACGCATTCATGACCCGATTCACAGCTTTGTTAGAGGTCTCTTTAAACTACTTGAACTCAGATAACCATATATCCTAAAATCACACTCGTAATGTCCACCAAGATCTATATTTCCAGGTTCCGGTTGTCTCAGTCTACTTAATATCCCGGATGATAGATAGCACTGCAATACAAAAGAAAAAGAAAATCAAATGAGTTAAGTTTCTTATATATATCATAATTCCATCAAAGAAAAAACATTTGCCGCATAAGCATTACTCTTGAACTATACAATTAGGGATTTACATATGAAAATCCAAAAAAAACCCCTTATTTTCACATTACATTGGCGGGAAAAAAAGAAAAAAAAAAAACAGTTGACCATTCTGGTGTACAGATTCAATAGAACTCAGACTGTTTCTTCTAGAAAACCCCAAATGAACATACTCTCTGTTCATACATTTATGATTTATACAACGTCTACAAGAAATTACCCCCTTTTCTTTCAGATCGAGCAAACCCCTTTAACAACTCAGGTCTTCTAAATCCCCGATTTAAAGCAAAAGTTGGTAGCAGAAGTAAGAGATGAGTCCGAAAGATCCTAAACTTCAGACACAAAACAAATCCTTCTGTCGAAAAACTTGGGAGAAACACTCGCGATCCAATTAAAGGACCTTAAATCCGTACAGAACCTAACACATTATTCTACGAAGCAGCTCAAAAAAATTAGTCCTAAAAACTCCAAATGGAGACGAATCTAACCATAAAATCTGAAGTTCGTGAAAGCCTCCATTGCTCTCGAATCTAAGATTCCAGTACCCATGAACCCTTTACAATAGCTCAAGAAGAAATTTGACAGCGATTGAAACTGAGACAAAGCCAGAAGAAACAGGAAAGAGACGAGCTTTGTGAGAAATTTGGGCATACCTTATTTCGCGAGATGAATGCAAAAGAAAGGAAACCCTAATTTCACCCCCTTATCTTCAGCCTCTCATCTTCTTTCTGAGCTCGAAAAAAGATGCTTTGATTCCTCGAATGGGTAAGACACAAACAGTCTTCTTTGTCTGTCTCTCTCTCTCTATTTCTAACACTTTCTCTCTCCTCGTCCCGTGTAGTTTATGCTCTTCGTTTTCACACTCTTCGCATACTCTGTCTCTCTCCGTCCTTCAGGATGCTGTTAAAAAAAGGGAAAAAAACTAATCACCGGATTATAAAGCAAACATTTAAGTTAATAATTTAATGTAATAGGATTAATTTGGATACAATAAACCCACAAAAATATAGGCAGACAAATTAATGTCCGAATCTCTATTTTCACTGTCCGAAAATACATGTCACATTAGATTTGCTAACAAGGTGGTTGTCCCGCACCTTGTGCGGGTACAATATTTTTTAAATACAATTATTAATTAAAGATTTAAATAATATAAGTAGTACAACTTTTTATTGTATTCATCGTTTTTGTTTTCGCAAACTTCTTATTTTTGTAATCTTGAGGTGTCTTATTTTTATCTTCTCTTTCTTGTTCTTCTACGTAATATTCTTCATTTGTTTTGGAATTTTCTTCACATTCCATTATTTCTTCTTTCCTTTCTTTTTCCTCATGTTCGACTTTTCTTTTTCTTTTCTAAATTTTTCATCTTCTTTTTCACTGTTTTCTTTTCTTTTACTTATGTATCTATTATGTCTTGTTTGTGTCTTGCATATCACCTACCAATTCATTTCGATAGTTAAAATTTTCAATATTTTTGAAATAGATTCTATCTTTATATAGTTGAGGTCTTTTAAAAATTTATTAGTTTTGTTATCTTTCAATTCTGGATTTTCTTTAGTTGTTTTAGTTTTTTTTTCTATTTGTGAATGTAATTTTGAAAGTAGATATAAATTTCAAATAAATGATTTTTTATTATGAAATTCTTCTGTGATTTTTTATTATGAAGATTTAATCATAGATTTTCATTAAGGGCATCTCAGTAATGATTTTTTATTCCGCGGCTGAGAGTTAACGTGGTGCCTTCATTTGAAACTTGATGCTAGGATCGATACTATCTGCATCATAACTCCTCGGTTTTTCAATCAAAGCCTCTTTCCAAATAGTAGATTCACTTATATTGACAACCTCTCCTATCAAATCTTGTAAGAAAATAAAACAATAAAAGAGGGGTTAGATAATTAAACGGTTTTCGAATATGAGTTTAACTATACTTGAATATAATATACGTACCTACTAAATAATCATCACAGTGTGAACCATCTATGATTTTTTCAAAATCAACGAAATTGAAAAAGTGTCTTACGCTAGCGAAATAGATCTTTGTGATGATTGTTGTTGGCATCAAATATATTCGATTTAGATGCCAAGTAGCTCTACAATGTCCTGTCTGAGTAGTGACATCGAAATTCTTAATGACAATCCAATCTCCCTCGTTGACCTTGCAATCATAAGCCTCATAAACGGAAACATGCACAGTTGCTTGAATCTTCTCTCCCTGAAATATTTATAATACAATAGTTACAAAATCACTAACGTATCAATATTATCTATCAGAGTTTTTGTTTGGCTTTATCCGATACCTCTTCATCAGATAGTATGAGCTCTAATCTTTTAGCAGAAGTTGGGTGATCGTTTAGCCAAAAGCGCAAAACTTTCACCAAAATTTCAGTATCGTGAGTCCTCGGCCCAAGTCGTGAAACTGTATACCTCTTCCTCAAGTCCTTATCATATGTAATAAGCTTCTTGTAGGTGCCTGATTCATTGACGTAACCACTCTAGATCTATTATTATTGAGGAAGCAAATACTATGGATATTAAAAAGAAAAAAAAAATCGTCATAGATTCGCTATTAGTATTAGGGTTTCATGAATAGATGTTAATACCTTCTATTGCTGGAGTTGAATATTTCGCGCTTGAGACCAGATCTGATCCTCTAGATTCCATTAGCTTGGAACTAACTGTACCAAAGTGAGAGAAGAAGAAGATAATCATTATTACAGTAAATAGAACTTAAATCAAAGTAAAACCATAAAGATGCATGAGAAGAAAAAATATGAGACCTAAGAACTAAAATTACGTATAGAAAAAGAGATGCAAATAGTAAAGAGAATTGGGTTGATTATGGTTGTAGCTATCCCTATATATAAGAAAGAATCGGAAAAACAAACCTAGGTTTTCAATTTTTTTATCTTTTACTTTTTTCTTTAATTTTTTCCATAAATGTGACGCGAAATATGTTAGGTATGTGGTATATATCCAAAAATAATTTATGTAAATATCCAAATTGACGTTTTTTATGTCGTATATATCCAAAAATAATTTATGTAAATAACCAAATTGACGTCTTTTTAAAAAATAAAATAAATTCGTTTTTAAATAAGATATTAAGCAAATTGAAAGATTTAATAAAGATTTTCATTAAGGGTAGTTATGTAATTTGTGGCTGAGAGTTAACGTGGTGCCTCCATTCAAAATTCTGACTTTACTAGTATGATATGTTTACTTGCCTTAATACCACTGACAAGAATGAATACGTAAGTTTAAAAAGTATGAAAATGACTTGTTGACAAATCTGAAACCATATCCTATGGTAATAACCTTACCTGTTTCGTATTAAAATGTCACTTAAATAATCGTAAAATAATATATAAGCCCATATGTTACTGTCACTTAAAAATGAATGTTAAAATAATTTTGACGTTGAAAAGGGAATGATAAAATACATCTTTTACAACTCGAACTATAAGTTTTTATTATAGGTGTTCTTATAATATACGTAATTAATTTGTCAATTTGGCTAAATAGCTAGTGGATTTCGTTGATTGAAAGTATATAGATTAGTCAAGCTCAATAGCTCATCCACGAACGTGGCATGATCTCGTAATAGCCATCAGTCACGTGGCGTTTAGCCATTTGTTCTAAACTTGTCAGTCAAGTGGGTCCCTCGTTTCGTACCATTCATCTCAAAAGGTGATATGAGAGTCTCACATCTCGAATCCAGACCGTTGGATATTCTGAAGACGACTTTCAATAAAACTTAGGTAGGCCCCACGTTTTCTATGGTTGTACTGTCACCCTCTTTCAGTGAATGCTGCACGAGTTTAACAGTTTAACTCCAAATTATACCATTATTTACAAACTCAGTCCAAAACTATATTATACTCAAATTAATGATGCTGGAAATTTATATTGTCAATTTTTTCAACTTTACTCTTAGCAGTTAGCACGCTCGCTCTTGCTTCCGATTAAGTCAATGGAAGCTCAGCCGCAGGAATCGAGATCCGACGACCAAATTCACGAGCAGAATCAACAGAGGAGCTACTGGAGATGGAGAAAGCAGGATTTCTTCCCGGAAATCTCTTTCCAGAGCTTCTCTTCCTACAAATCCGCTCTCTCCGCCACTTGTCCCCGCCTCGCTGACCGTCTTCTCTCGCGTTCCTCCGACGCGAACGAGCTCGATGCTGCTCGCCGTGAAAGCGAGAACCCTATGCGTCGTTGTCTCACCTGGTGGGACCTTCTGTGGCTTAGCTTTGGCTCTGTAGTCGGGTCCGGTGTGTTCGTGATCACGGGTCAGGAGGCCCGAATCGGAGCGGGTCCTGCCGTTGTTGTCTCCTACGCTATCTCCGGTATCTCCGCTTTGCTCTCTGTTCTCTGTTATGCTGAATTTGGAGTTGAAATTCCTGTCGCTGGAGGCTCTTTCTCCTATCTTAGGGTTGAATTGGGGGATTTTATTGCGTTTATTGCTGCTGGGAATATTCTGCTTGAGGCTATCGTTGGAGCTGCTGGATTAGGGAGGTCGTGGTCTTCGTATCTAGCTAGCTTGGTTAAGAACGATTCTGATTTTTTCCGGATTAAAGTCGATTCGTTTGCTAAAGGATTTGATCTTCTGGATCCGGTTGCTGTGGCAGTGCTCTTGGTTGCTAATGGCATTGCCATGAGTGGGACAAAGAGGACTTCTTGGTTGAATTTCATAACTTCCATTGTCACCGTTTGCGTTATTGTGTTTATCATCGTTGTGGGGTTTACTCATTCGAAAAGCTCCAATCTGGTTCCATTTTTCCCTTATGGTGCGAAAGGTGTGGTCCAATCAGCTGCGGTTGTGTACTGGTCATACACTGGGTTCGATATGGTGGCGAACATGGCTGAGGAAACCGAGAAACCATCGAGGGATATACCGATTGGTTTGGTTGGTTCGATGTCTATGATCACCGTGGTTTACTGTTTGATGGCTTTGGCATTGACTATGATGGTGAAATACACTGAAATCGATGTGAATGCAGCTTACTCGGTTGCTTTTACTCAGATTGGGATGAAATGGGCTACGTACTTGGTTGGTATATGTGCTTTAAAGGGTATGACCACAAGCCTGCTTGTTGGATCTATGGGTCAAGCTCGGTACACCACTCAGATTGCTCGGTCTCATATGATTCCTCCATGGTTTGCTTTGGTTCATCCCAAAACAGGAACCCCTATTTATGCTACTCTCCTTGTAACCATACTCAGCGCAATAATCTCGTTTTTCACCAGCTTGGATGTTCTGTCAAGCGTTTTCTCCTTCGCTACCCTCTTCATTTTCATGCTCGTGGCTATAGCATTGCTCGTGAGACGTTACTACGTGAAGAATGTAACTCCTGAGACCGGTTTGGTAAAGTTTCTCGGTTTGCTGTTTCTGATAATTGCTTCTTCCATCGGATTATCAGCGCTGTGGAACGCAGGCGTTAGTGGATGGATCGGTTACGCAGTGACTGGAGGCATTTGGTTCGTAGGGACTTTGGGATTGGCGTTGCTTCCGAAGTACCGTGTTCCTAAGGTTTGGGGAGTCCCGCTTGTTCCGTGGTTGCCGTCGTTTTCAATCGCCATGAATCTCTTCCTTATCGGTTCACTTGGTTATGTAGCATTCTTGAGATTCGTCATCTGTACCGCGGTGATGCTTCTGTACTATATATTCGTTGGTCTTCACGCAACTTATGATGTAGCTCATCGTCCAATGGATGAAGCAAAGTTTTAGCTAGAGAGATTAAAGAATCGATCACAACACTATGGTTGGTAAATTGTATAAATGCCCATGTATTCTTGTGTAATTTCAATATTCTTGTATCTAAGGTACAATACTATCGATCTCAAAATATTTCGATATTCTTTTCATTTTTCAGTGTTGGACCGTGTTGTATTACTTGTATATTTTGGTTCCCTCACTATCTTGGAATTAAATATCGTGTTCTCATAAATTTTTATAATTATATAGTTTGCTGTTTTGTGATTATGGTATGATCAAGCTTCTCACTTCTCAGCATATGTCAGTCAAATCAGTGAATCACACACTATTGGAAACATAAACCATTGTAAAGTTGTAACCCGAAGGCATGACCCGGTAAGTGGCACAACCCGGTTATCGGTTATCTTAGCCCAAAATCGAGCCCAAAACTCGGGCCCATGACCCGTTTCCAGTAGCGGTGAGAAGTTCAGATTATATTAGGAGAGAAGCGAGGAAGAGGAAAGGAAGTTCGAAAATTTTCGGTGCTTTTTCCTGTGATTTTGTTTAGAAGCAGAAGCAGCAGCTTGAGGAGGAAGAAGAGCGAGGAGACATGGGAGAGCGTAAGGTGCTGAACAAGTATTATCCGCCGGACTTCGATCCTGCGAAGCTTCCCCGGCTCAGGCGACCGAAGAACCAGCAGATCAAGGTTCGTATGATGCTTCCGATGAGTGTCCGATGCGGTACCTGCGGGAATTATATCTACAAGGGAACCAAGTTCAATTCCCGTAAAGAAGATGTTATCGGAGAGGTAATTGATTTCAATTGTTCTGGTTTTTGATTTCCCAATAACGTAATCGTTAGCTTTTGATACTTTTTTTCGTGATTGGTGTTCCTCTTAGCGTTTAGTGTTGATGCGGATGATTCGTAGTGTCATCTGAGTATACTAGAGTTTCATAGGGAATAAAAACTCTAGATTATTGTCTTCAGTTCGTGAATTGAAACTTATATCGAAACCGATTTCAGATTTGGGGTTTTAGGGTTTGGAGTTTTGGCCGTGTGATAGCTGACTAAAATAACTTGGATGGTTCTAGAATCATAGATATTGCTGATTTCGTTTTTGACTATGAGATGCCATTAACAATAGCAACATAGCTCGAACTGATTGGATAGTAATTCTTGGTGTTGTTTCTGTTGGCTTTTTAACTAATCAAATACTTTCTGGTTTTTATATCGATATGCAGACGTATCTCGGGATTCAAATCTTCAGATTCTACTTCAAGTGCACCAAGTGCTCTGCAGAGCTGACAATGAAGACGGATCCACAGAATTCTGATTACATTGTGGAATCTGGAGCAAGTCGTAATTATGAGCCCTGGCGTGCAGAAGACGAGGTAAGGACCTCAGACGAGGATTGTTTGTTTCTTGATTGATGTTGAGGTACACCTTTCCAAGTTTACTAATGTGACTATATTTTTCTTCTGTACAGGTGGTTGATAAGGATAAACAGAAAAGAGATGCTGAAGAGATGGGGGACGCGATGAAGTCCTTGGAGAACAGAACTTTGGATTCGAAAAGAGAGATGGACATTATAGCTGCGCTTGATGAGATGAAATCAATGAAGGTATGACACCAATGCCTTTTTGTATCCTCTCTCTCTTTTTTTATCTCAATGTTCTACTTAGAGATTTGATTCTGTTTATTACCTCGGTTACATGCTGGAATAAGTCTGCTTTTGGTACTGATTTTCCTTTTATATTTTGTTGGTTATTGCAGTCTAGACACGCTACTGTGAGCGTAGATGCAATGTTGGAGGCCTTGCAAAGAACAGGCGCTGAGAAGGTATGTTCCTGATGCTCTATTTGCTTTGGTTATATACGTAGCGATTTGGTATTGTCTTGCTAACATGGTGTTCTAAGTTAAATAAGAATTTGTGTCTTTGATAGTCGAGTCATCTTATTGCTCTCTACGCACCTTTTATTAAAGCATACCTCTCTCTCTCTCTGATAAAATTCGTTTGTTATGCTGTATTATATCCCTGACAGAGGCAGTAATGGTTTTATATCTTTCTCTTTTGGCAGGTAAAAAGAATAGAAGAAGAAGACGAAGCAGTTATAAAGTCCATATTTGGTGTAAGTGTTCATATGATTCTTGCGGAATTTTTGTGTTTCACCACATCACAAAAAGCATTTTTGCTAATACCGTTTTCATGTTTTATCTAAAATGCAGAAGCAGAAAGAGAAAGAAATTGTTAGGAGAATCGCAGATGAAGAATTTGATGATGATGATGATGATGATGATAGCGATGGTTCTCCGAGCCTTCAAAAGGAGAAGAATGGATCATCTTCAGATCTTTCAAAGGTTTGCTTCATCAGAACCTATTTCTTTAAGCGTTTTCAGATACTTCTACCTAACACCATATGTTGATTTGATTGGAATCAAGTCTAACTGTTTATTCTTTTAATGTTGAAACAGAAGAGAAAGGCATCAGAAGAAAGTCCAAGCAACCCCACAGATGTTTTGACTAGTTCTTCTGCAGGTACATTTTCATCTTTTCTTCTCAAGTCTGTTTGTTCACTATTTTCAATTGAATTTACTTTTAACTGGTTCCTCCATTTTTTTTATCAGAAGATCCGAAAGAGTCCAAGAAACGAGCTACCAAACAACCCTTCAAAGGCGTTCAGATAAGAGTCATCAAGAAGCAACCTCAACCAACTTCTTCGACGATTCCAGCTCCTGCAAAACCAGAGGATAAGAAGGATGGTGTGGCGGCGAACAATGGATTAGCGTCTTTATTCCAGAACTATGGCAGCGATGAAGACGAGGATTGATTTCTTCTCTCTTTTTATTTCAACAGGTTTCACACCTTCATAGATCTTATATCACTGTTTTAGAATTGGAACCGGTCTCCCATGTTAGAACCAAGCATCCGTGTACTGTGTTCAGAAAATTTTAGTTGATATTACAGTGCATATTTCCAGAAATTTGTTCAAGAAGTTATTTTGCAGATAAAAAGCAAGCGAATCTGCAATTGATTTGGATTTTTGATTGTTAGCTTCTGATGAAGCCGATCAACTTACAAAAATCTCCACATAAATACAGCAAAATGCATCCCCAATGAAAAACCAGAAATGGTAAGAGCAAAACCATTCCTTGAATCACACTCCACATCTCACTTCTGTCCTTTCTTCCTCCACAGCTCACCAAACATCTTCATCCCTGAACTCTTCCTCTTGCCACTTCCGTCATCAGAATCATCAGCCATTCCCGGCGGTTCCATGAACCCAACCACCGCTGTTGGGTCAAACAACCCACCTGCAAAACACTTCTCAGTCGACCCTGATCGATCCCGTCCGTTCATCTCAAACTCTCCAGAAAGAACCGCAGCTGCAGCATCTGCTGCCTTCCTCCACTGCTCCGTCTGAACCCTAAGCTTCTTCATCTCAGCCTCTAAAGCGTCTTTTGCTTCTTCCATGGACTCGAGCTTCTCCTTCAGGTGAGCTGTCTTTGCTCTGCTTTCTTCCAACTCTTCCCCAATCCGACTCACCTTTGAAACCATCTCATCTTCATTAGCTTTCACGTTAGACATCTCTGAAGCCGAATCACTCAGCTGATTCTTCAAGCTCTCGTTCTCTTTGCCTAGTGATTCATGTTCTTTCTCCATATCGTACAGTCTAGCTTTCAACATCTTGATCTCATCTTCCTTAGCAGCTAATTTCTCAGCTTCTTGGTTTCCGCTTCTTGGTTCTTCTTCTTCCACCGCAATCTTCTCAACAGGAACCTCAAACACATCAGTCTCTTTCAGCGCATCACCGGGAGTTTCGTCTCTGTCGATCGTATCAGCCCCAGATGCAGGTCCTTCCACTCGAGCCAGCGGGTTCGGTTTCTTGGATTTGTTACAGTGAAGCTCATCTTGAGCTTGTTTCTTGACAGCTTCAGCATTAGCCAACTGCTCTTTGAGCAATCTCAGTTCCTCTTGAGCTTGTCCTAACTGCGACTCTAGATCTGATATTCGTCCACCAAGCTTCTTCTGACGAAGCGGATCACTGTGAGGTCCACCACTTGTAGGAGATCTACGGTCAGCACCGAGCTTAAAACTCCGGTCAGTAGTGATCAGACGGTTGGCATGATTCGAGATAGAAGTAGATGATGATGTCCTCAGCCTCGGAGCTTGCCTCTGAGACAACTCTGAAACTCTAAAGAAGACGACACCAGAAACCCGTTTTTTAGTCACGAAATTACTCAGATCATACACAAAGCTAGATCAAATGTAGTCAAAATCTTTACCTTGGTCTTGGCATTTTTGATTTTGTGCAGAGGATTTAAGTAAGACGCCCAAGTTGCTGGAAAGCTCGAAGGTTGTGACTTGTGAGGTTCTTATGAAAATCTGAAGGATAAATAAAAGCAGATGTCATTTATTTCTGCAACTACCAGAGCAATGATGAGTCATGTTTTAGATAAGGTAGTAGTAATCTTCAAAGTTTCACCAAAAACCCAGAAACAGAAAACCAAACCATAATCTTCACTGTCTTTAAATTTTAAAACTAAATGACAGGGAATTACCAAAGTTGGAAGAGATTGGAAAACTTTCTTTTTATGTTGGTTTTCACTTTTTAAGCAAGGATCCACCCCCAACAAAAGAACGAAGATTAAAATTTATACCTTAAAAGGAGATGATGTCTTTGCATTTGAAGTCCAGGAGGTGAGTAAGAGAATCTGTAGAAATAGTCAAAGAGGGTAAAATATGAAAAAGATAGATTTTTAAGTGTGAGTGAAGAGAAACAAGGACATAAAACCAGAAGAATACCCAAAATGAGGAGAAAAGAGGAGAGAGAGTTGTAATGTAACGCATGTACCTTTTCGAAACAGACAGCTTTATTTGAAGCCACTCTCTCAGAATTCAAGAAGCCTAGAGAGAGAGAGAGAGAGGAGAGAGAGAAAGAGATGTGTTTTTAAAGATTTGAAATAAAGCTGATGAAAATTGGGCGTAGTGAGATTTTAAAATCGAGGGACCAGTAGGGAGAAGAAGGGCGAAAGTGTAATTTCCAATCAATGAAATAACGTCCACATATACACATAACCATGATGTACATATATTAGTCCGCATGTTTCTAATTCTTTGCTTTTTTGGGTTATTATTGCTTAAGTAGTACATAAACACTTTCTTAATCGCAAACCATCTATGTAAAAAACTTTAAACAAGAGTGAATTAATGTTTACGTGGGAGGTCAGGTGGGATATTCGATTTCATGTGTATATGCATTTCGTGGTAAGTATATATCTACGCAACACAGGAGCATATAAATATGAATTATGTGACCAAATAAATGTCCATACCAAAATGCACACACATGTGTTTACCTAAGCATAAATATTTCTGACACGCTTGTTTCTTTTTGTCGGTTTTCAACTTACAAGCCCCCGTTTTATTACGCTTCTCTAATTTCGACGTTTCCTTTTTGTGATCTCCAACACGTCGAGAAACCAATTTGATGTTTCTTATTGATAAAAAAATCAAGACTAAATTACAAACAATACTTTAGTTTTATAGCGAGCATTGAATTGCCGTTAAATATATTGATGGCATGTGTGTCCATATCAATTAATGCTGGTGTATTATACTTGTACCTGAATATTTGATTTGATATTGTCACACTAAATAATTTGGATTTCCCTTTTTTGAATGTCACTAGTAGTTGTTCAAATAATATTTTACGAAATCATTTCACCTTACTATCCAGTCTCACGTGCTTGAAATTAGAGAAAAAAAATTAGTATAATAACAACAGTAAACGTTTTAAAATGTATTTTGGAATATTTCTCTTGAATTTGTGAGTTAATAATATTCCTGTTTGGAACATAAGCCAATAGGATTTGAAAATAACATAGGTTGCTCAATCATTAGGAATGTGACAATGATAAATAATGTAGTCCTTGCATTTACATTTAGAGAAAACAGGTAGATTTATATAAGTGGCGGTCCAAAGTGAGAAAAAGGTGAAGTGTACTTAATATAGAAGAATCAAAGACAAAGGCATGTGAGGACGAACACTAAGTAAAAACTCTAAAACCCTAAAAACCCAAAGATGACCACCACATTTCAGCTTATGCTACCTTCTCATTTAATATCAAAGAGACCAAAGCATGTGAATCTTCATTTTCTCGTCCTTTTCAACATTTTCTCAACAACTAACTAACTATTCTTTTACTCGGTCCCTTAACATCCCCCAATAATCGATTTCATCACAAACTCTTCTAGTCATGCAATACTAGTTATAAGATCACAAATTTTATTCCATTAATCTGTAATTCCAGAAACTTTTATTGATTTGTTAATTAAATAAAGTTGATCTTCGGCCACATTTGGTTTGACCGGCCCAGTTGACATGCCAACCATATTCTTCATTTCATTTTCGGCAAGTAAATGTTAACCCAACAACCCATCTTTTTGTATTAGACAATCATTGTCTTTTCCCTATTGACACAAGTATGAAGCAAGCGATCGACAAAAAAACCTTGAAAACTAACTAACAAACTAAAATCACCCATTCAAAAGCGCTAGACTCTAACAACTTTAGCTTTCATTTTAAAATTTGGGAACACTATTGCCATGCAACTCCCCTGGAAACCTCAATGTCACACTACCCACTATCATCACTCATATCAGGTCTCGTGTAGCTAATACCTGCTCCTTGAAGGTAATGGTTCCTATTTTGTTCACTCGCATTGTAGTGGCTGTTGTGGCAATCGTATGATGAAACGTCAACGTTTTGATTGGAGGAAGATTCACCAACCATTTGCTGGCGTTCAGCAAGAACCGCGATTGCACAAGCTAGCCCACCGGATGGAGAAGATGATGATGCTAAAGACGACATTGATGTTTCTACATGATGATCTTCTTCTGAATTTTCATCAGGAGATGTAGTTCTCTGAGTGCCAGGTTCCTGATAAGAAATAAAGAAGTTATAAAGGCTTATTTTGTTGAAAAGATTGATATATACTTAAAAGTTTATCAACCAATACAACAAACTATACCTGAATCGAGAGCCATATTGCTTCCATGACCATTACATCCTCAAGATAAAAGTCCAATTCACCATCCCTACAGAGTTTTCTTTTTTCACATAATCAGTCACTTGATATGGAAAATTCAGGTTCAAAAGTTCTAAACATGTTTTACAAAGTAAAAAAACAGTGTAAAAACAAATGTAAAACCATAACTGATTGTTTTTTCATAAATGCAAGCTAAATAGAATCGGTGCACCAAAATAACAGACACTGAAGAAAGAAGACAAGACCTGTTACCCGGGTTGTAATGTAACACATGAGTCCTGAGATGTAACAATTTCCTCATCCTCTGCGTAAAAAGTAAAAACACAATGTGATTGAGATTGTGAACCAAGAGAAAAGACAAAACGAAAAGGAAATTAAAAAAAACTACTGATACATTATACATACGCCTGAGAAAAAGATTTAACACAACCTGCAGCAGAACCATATTCTGTATCAGCAGTCACTGCACTTGTGCTAGAAGAAGAGAATGATTCCATACGTCTCTGCATTCTTTCTTCTTCTTCTTCTTCAACTTCCTTCTGCCTTATCCTTATTTTGGCTTCAATAACTCGCTGCTCTTCCTTCACAACACACACAAAACAACATGGGCAGAATCAGCCATATGATCATAAGGAAAAGTTCCTTTTTTAGAAAGATTTAATCCTAGCTTTACATACAATTTGTTCAATGCTCTTCTCCTCTTTACTCTTCAAATAACAGAGAGTTGGTCAATTTATGAGACACTATCAAGAAAGGAATGACGTTTTTCTGTAATCCAATAAAAACCAGAAAGCAAACTGGACATTCTTCAAGATCATGAGAAGAGCTTTCATCATCATCACCAGGATAGCAAGGAGCGAGCTTAGAGTCTAAGATGAGTTTCTTAAGCTTTTTAATGTCAACACTTGTGCTCATGTATAGACCCTGTTGTGGCTTTGTGTATCTTTCTTCCACAACTTGTCTCTTCCTCCCTAGCTTATTACCCATCTAAACTGTCTCTTTAAGTTAAAAACAGAGAGAGAGAGAGACAGAGACATAAAGAGAAACATATTCACAACGAGAATTTAATCCAAAAATCTATCATTTTCAAACGCGATTTAAGAGCTCACACCAAAACTAACGAAGATAGAAACACTAATTTCCAACAGTTCATAAGAATTTGACACGACAAATCTCTTCAGTTAAGAGGTTACAGGACAAATGTTCAAAACCCGGAGAAAAAAAAAATGAGTAAGAGAATTAAGAGTCGGAGAGGAAACCTTGATAACGATAAGAGAGACAAAGATCAGATCTTTTTCCTCTGTGAGAGAAATGACAGAGAGAGGAGGAGAGAGCAAGGTACAGTGGAGTCAGTGTGTGTGTGTGCGTAAAGTATGTATATTCACACACAGCAGAAACAAAATAAGAGAATTTCGTATCTGGAATATTTGTATTTGTCTGTTTAATTGCCTTTGAGCGATTCTTTTGACGGAAAATGGAGAGAGAGACGATGAAGAAGAAACGGTGGAAGCGAAGAAAAGAATCGTCATCTCTTCCTCTTCATCATCCTCCTTCCTCACGCGCCACTCCCTCGCGTGTATTCTCTCCGCGCTATAATTTTGTATATATCGGCATATCGGTCGTGTTTTTTATTGGCCTCTTAATTTGGTAAATTAAGGCTTAGAGATACTAAGATTAGGCCCAATGGGCCTTAAACAACCACTAGAAAACAATCCAGATTGTAAGAAACAAAACTGAATAATATTCCACTAATTTTCTGACCATAAATTATACAACTCGCCGACCGGAGGCATCATCTCTCTAAAAAAACTATCAAACTCCGTCGTCCCTACTCCACCTTCTCCTACTCTTCCGCCGCCGCTAGACTGCCGTGATGAATCTTTTCCACCGCCGGAGAATTCGTAAGGGCCGTCTGCGACTACGGCGTTTTTACCTGTGAGTTCTTGAACAACATTCTTGAAGCTCCGAGCATCTGTCTGGACGTACTGTGTGTTGATGAAAACAACCTTCATCGGCTCAGATCTCACTCTAGACATACTTTTGATGATTTGGTTTTCGTAGTTAACAAACTTGTAGTCTGATTTTTCTTTTCTTTTGGTTTTTCTCTCTGAGTATTTTGCCTTTTGAATCTCTGGAGTCCAGATGTTTGTTGTATTTATATGTGTAGAAAAATATATTGGGATATATTGTATTATATTGCTTAAAAAAAACTGTATTTGTCACTTTACATATTTTAAAGAGTATATTCTTAGAGAAACATTTATTGTTGTGGTTGCTTAATGAACTGTATGGATAAGAGCAATTGTTTATTTGCATATGAGAGAAACTATTTTATAGGTCCAATGATATTTTGATTCTAGAAATGCTTACGTATGGAGTTACGATCACATGCTTTCATGACTATAACGACTTTTTATATACGGATCTAAGAAGTGGCACAAATTTTCCACTTTACTAGAGAAATTTGACTCAATTAATTGACGTTCATTATGATAAATCTTTATTAATAGTTTAATTTTGTAACCGAGTGATCAAATGAAACTCGAGTTTGTTACATATTGTAAGAATTTGTGTGCACATGTGAGGTTTATTTTGCTGCCTTTCGTCAATATTCTCCATTGGGTAAGAAAAAGATTTGATAGAGCTTTTTTTTTTTTACACAAACATGAATACATGATAGAGGTTTAGCAGTTTAGCACCTCCTACAATTCGAACAAAAATTATTCATGGTCTTTGACGGAAAAAAACAAAAAAGAGAACTATATGGTCAATTAATGTATTATATATATGCGGTCTTTGACGTGATTCTTGTACGGGTGAAACGGGTTTGACCGTTAAGCATTCAAGCAGCCTTGACGGACCAAATAATAAATGGACTTTGTTATTATTATCTGAAGATTATTGATGTAGAAATTAAAGACTATTGTTTAATTTAATGGGTCAAAGCACGCCTTATTTGATGGAATATGGAATCACATCACATCACGTGAAAACCAACCTAGAACAATTTTATGTTCTTGTTTTATATGCAGACTAATTTTGATATCTATGTAGAATCCTATACGAAATGAAAAAAAAAAAGACTAGAGAGGGAATTAAAAAAAAGGATTTCTGACATATCTGTGTATTAAGAACATATATTGGTAAATTTCGTATTATTGACAAAATGGAATATCATAAAGACCGTTGAGGGTTCTGAGTTTAAATTGAGTATTCCGAATTTTGCTAAGTTGCTCGATCAATATTCTCCTCCAACGTGTAAACTTTATCTTGCAAAACATTCTTCTTTTTTGGTCGAAACTTTTTATAATCATCCGTGTATTTTTTAATTATATGCAAAAAGTAATCGTTGTCAGGTTTGAGTAGTCAGTTTTACTGTAATATAATGAACTTTCATCAAACATACCTCAATGGTGAATAATTTGTCTTGCTGTGAATCCTCAAATGGTTAAGAATATCAAAACAACTAATATCACAAGATTCAGGATCTTAAGAAAATATCATATATACATGAATTATTCTTAAGTAGTAATAAGAATGATATATTTCTTCTTTAGTAGATTTTTTTTTTTTTTTGATAAAGAAGGGTTTTTGTTGTTGATTCGAGTTTGCTTAAGGCTTAAGAGTTTTATCGAAACGACAGATTGATTCTAGATTTCTTATCATAGATTCATAGTTAAACTTTTAAACTTCTCATATTCCTTTGAGAAATGTATTTGAGAAAATAACACATTCTTTCTTATTTCAAATATCAAATAGAAGTATGGCTAGCTAGCTTTTACCTAGAGAACAAGATGGTTTGCATTATTTTTGGGTTTAAAGCTTTGTATATGTCTCTCTTGTTCGTCGCCGTCACAAGTCGTTCGGCCACGAGACCAAAAGTCTTCGACGTCCGAAGCTATGGTGCTAAAGGAGACGGTAAAACGAATAATATCAATGTACACGCCATTCTCTTTTCTCTCTCTAAACTCTATTAGTTACGGTTTTATTTTCAGTTCTCTTCGTCTATTTCCATATTAGACATTATAAAGAACAGAGTGTTGTTTGATAATCGATCTACTTTGTTCTTTATAATGTCTAATTAATATTAGGCGTTCGCAAAGGCGTGGAAAGATGCATGCGCATGGAATGGACGTAGCAGAGTGTACATACCGAGAGGAAAGTTCTATCTCGGTGGTGTAACGTTCAAAGGACCATGCAGTGGTAAGATTTCGTTTTTCATCGATGGAACCTTATTGGCTCCATCGAACAATGACGACATTAAAAAGGACACGTGGATCAACTTCCAGTACATCGACTATCTCACCATCTCCGGCAGCGGCATTGTCGACGGTCAAGGAAAAGAGTCTTGGCCACACAATAACTGCTATAAGAATGATAAATGTCCTAATCTTGCCATCGTACGGTTTCTTACATAAATCATTTCTCTGTTTTTTTTTTTAAATGTTTTTGAAGTTATATTACCCCCTTTAGGCCTTTACCAACATATGTGGTTATTGGAGTCTAGTAAAATATTATTTAAATGTGTTTTACAGAACATGGGATTCGATTTCGTGAACAATTCACGAATCGAAGGGATAACTTCACGAAACAGCAAAGCAGGACACTTTAATTTATTCAAGGTCGACCATTTCAACGTTACAGGCGTCAAAATAACAGCTCCCGGCGATAGCCCCAACACTGATGGGATCAAAATAGCCTTTTCAAGCAACATTCAAATCTCCAACACTCACATCGGCACCGGAGATGACTGTATCGCCATCCTCTCCCGTAACACTAAGTTTGACATCTATAACGTCACTTGCGGTCCCGGACATGGGATCAGTGTTGGAAGCTTGGGAAAGAACAAAGACGAGAAGAACGTTAAGGACTTAACGGTTAGGGATACGGTCTTTACCGGCACGAGAAACGGTATACGGATCAAGACGTGGGAATCTTCGGCTTCCACGATCGCCATTTCGAACCTCGTGTATGAGAATATACACATGATCGATGTCGAAAACCCTATCAACATCGATCAGAAGTATTGCCCTTATCCGCCATGCCAAAAAATGGTAACTTGCTGCACAAGAAACAAGCTTTACTCTTTCTTAATTTTAATTTTTAGCTCCTCATGATTTTTTATGCACAGGGAGATTCTCAGATTCATATCCAAAACGTGACATTAAAAAACATTTGGGGAACGTCAAGGAGCAAAATGGCTGTGAGACTTCAATGTAGCAGAAGCTTTCCTTGCAAAGATATTCAGTTAATTGACATCAACTTAAAGCACAATGGAATCGACGGTCCAGCCATCGCATTGTGTGAGAACGTTAAAGGTTCTGCTACTGTCCAGATGGCTCCTCCCCATTGTCTGCATTGAGCCCGTCGTTTGTTGTATTTGATATATATCTTCATTATTTGAGAACGATGTAATTAATCTAGTTGCAAAATTTCAGACAAGCTAAAAAAAGTGATGTTCAATATGTTCTAAACACATTAATTTCAATTTCATTAGTAGCTATAATTTTTTATAAGCTTTTAAATTTTACCATGTATAAAATTTTATATAGCTAATAATATATGTTTTATTATGATATCCAAAAGACTTGATCATAATTTCAATTTTATGTATGTCATATTAACAAATAAATTATTTTAAATTCTTATTATATTATCATATGGAAAATATTTTTCTAAAATTATGAATTAAGAAAAAAAAATATTGAATTTATTCATAAAGTAATAGCTCTATAAAATAATAATTTTTCAAAGTTCTAACATTATTACTTTGTAGAGTTTTTACTGTACAACTAATATCACAAGATTCAGGATCTTAAGAAATTAAAATAACATATATACATGAATTATTCTTAAGTAGTAATAAGAAAGAAATATTTATTTTTACGTAGATTTCTTATCATAGTTAAACTTAAACTTCTCATATATGTATTTGAGAAAATAACACACTCTTTCTTATTTCAAATATCAAATAGAAGCATGGCTAGCTTCTACCTAGAGAACATGATGGTTTGCATCATTTTGGGGTTTAAAGCTTTGTATATGTCTCTCTTGTTCGTCGCCGTCACAAGTAGTTCGGCCACGATACCAAAAGTCTTCGACGTCCAAAGCTATGGTGCTAAAGGAGACGGTAAAACGGATAATACCAATGTACACGCCTCTCTTTTCTCTCTCTAAACTCTATATTAGTTACGGTTTTATTTTCTCTTCATCTCTCTAAACATTATAGAGCACAGAGTGTTGTTTGATAATCGATCTACTTTGATCTTTATAATGTCTACTATTAGGCGTTTACAAATGCGTGGAAAGATGCATGCGCATATAATGGACGTAGCAGAGTTTACATACCAAGAGGAACGTTCTATCTCGGTGGTGTAACGTTCAAAGGACCATGCAGTGGTAAGATTTCGTTTTTCATCGATGGAACCTTATTGGCTCCATCGAACAATGACGACATTAAAAGTGACACGTGGATCAGCTTCCAGTACATCGACTATCTCACCATCACCGGCAGCGGCATTATCGACGGTCAAGGAAAAGAGTCTTGGCCACACGATGAGTGCTATAAACATGATAAATGTCCTCTTCTTGCCATGGTACGGTTTCTTGAACATCTCTCTACATAAATCATTTCTGTGTTTTTGTTTTTGTTTTTGTTTCTGAAGTTATATTACCCACTTTTCAAACATAATGTATGTAGTTAATGGAGTCTAGTAAAATATCATTTAAAATGGTTTTGCAGAACATGGGATTCGATTTCGTGAACAATTCAAGAATCAAATGGATAACTTCACGAAACAGCAAAGCAGGACACTTTAATTTTTTCAACGTCGACCATTTCAACGTCACCGACGTCACCATAACAGCTCCCGGCGATAGCCCCAACACTGACGGGATCAAAATAGCCTTTTCAAGCAACGTTCAAATCTCCAACACTCACATCGGCACCGGAGATGACTGTATCGCCATCCTCTCCGGTAACACTAATTTTGACATCTATAACGTCACTTGCGGTCCCGGACATGGGATCAGTGTTGGAAGCTTAGGAAAGAGCAAAGAAGAGAAGAACGTTGAGGGCATAACGGTTAGGGATTCGGTCTTTACCGGCACGATCGCCGCCGTACGGATCAAGACGTGGGAATCTTCGGCTTCTACGATCGCCATTTCCAAGATCGTGTATGAGAATATACAGATGGTCGATGTCGAAAGCCCTATCATCATCGATCAGACGTATTGCCCTTTTCCGCCTTGCGAAAAAGCGGTAACTTGCTGCACAAGAAACAAGCTTTACTCTTTCTTAATTTTAACTTTTGAACTCCTCTCTAATTAACAGGTGAGATCATGATTTTTTATGCACAGGGAGATTCTCATATTCAAGTCCAAGACGTGACACTGAAGAACATTTGGGGAACTTCAAGGAGTAAAGTGGCTGTGAATCTGGAATGTAGCAAAAGCTTCCCGTGCAAAGATATTCAGTTAATTGACATCAACTTAAAGAACAATGGACCCGGCGGTCCAGCCACCGCATTGTGTGAGAACGTTAAAGGCTCAGCTCGAGGCACGATGGTTCCTCCGAGTTGCCTCAATTGATCCAGTCGGTTGATGTATTTATGATATAAATATGTAACTGGTATACTTGCAAAATTTCAGACAAGCTAAAATAAAGTGATGTTCAAAGAGACAGAGACTACAATTTACAAAGTCGTTGATTTGTTGTAGCTAATGCAACCAATCTGAAGAGCTTTTATTGATAACGAGAGCTAAAAAACTATCTGTTTTTAGATACTGGATTGAAGAAGTTTCAAGACAGATGTTCGATCGGGCATGCTCGGTATTGCACCCTTTACTTGGACACACAGAGACGCAGCTGCAGCTGTAGGAACCAAAAAAAACGAAAGTGAGACAAAACTAAATCTGAATCAATGGTTCGGAAGCTAGGTTTCTTGAAATTTGTAAGTAATCATTACCAGCAAATCTCAAGCATTCCTCATTAGACTTTCCCTCAACCATGGCCACTGCAAACGCTGCTGTGAAAGTATCGCCAGCTCCGGTAGTATCAACGACTTGTTCAGCCGCTATTATCGACTGTTGGATCGGCTTTTCACCTTCTATGAATAGTGCAGATCCTTTAGACCCGAGTTTCACTAGGACTTTCTTAACTCCCTGAGAAAATTACAGAGCATAACCCACTAAACCATCACAGTGATCAATTGCAACAATAATTAATGTACCAAAGCGAAACATACCAACTTATGGCATTTTGCAACAGCCTCACTAATCTGTTCAAAAGTCTCCGTCGGCATTCCCGTCAAGCGACTGAGCTCGGTTTCGTTCGGGCTCAAGATGTCAATGGAATCCAATAGCTCCTTAGGGATTGGCGTATCCATTCCTCCCACATCAAGAATCACCGGAACACCTGCTTTCTTCACAGCCTGCACAATTTCACAATATGATCAAAATCTCACCTTTTTTTCAAGAACACCATTGCATTATCAAAACCTAAAGCTGCATCCATTCAACAGAACATCCCAAGACTAACAATTCTCACTGAAGTAAATTTGAGAGTTTATCAAAAGCTGGAATTGAAGAAGTCAAAATTGAGAATAACAGTTTTGATCAAGTTTATCTGACCTTAGCAACTTGAATATTGATGGAATCTGGGATCTCTCTTTGGAGCAGCACAATACCAGCATTCCTCACGATCTCAAGGTCATCATCGCTCATCTTCTCAGGCCAAGCTTTCATATTAGCACCACCAACGATGATGATCGAGTTCTGGCCGTCCGATTGCAGCATCACCACCGCGTGTCCCGTCGGCTGATCAGTCACCGATCTCACGTAATCCAAGTGGACTCCGCATCCATCGGATCCATCGCCCAACGCTTCCGCGATCAGCTTCCCGTGCGCGTCGTCTCCCAGGCGACCGACGAAGTAAGTCGGATAAAGCAGCTTGGCTCCGCACGCCGCCTGATTCGCGCCTTTTCCTCCGGCGAGCGTTTGCCCTGTCCTGGCCGAAATCGTTTCGCCTTCCTTGGGCAATCGATCGATCTCCACATAGATGTCGGCGTTCGCGGATCCGACTACTACGAGCGGCGGCGATTGGGCGTCAGCGGTTAGTTTAGCGTTCCGATTCGCCGATGGATCGACGGAGAGAGAGAGAACACGGAGGGGTCTTCTGGAAACAGGGCGGGAAAATCGAGACGGGGTTGGATTCACAATGTTGATCGGGAGATTTGGTCGATTGAATTCGAGATTTGGATTGAAATGATTCGATTGAGAAAGTGAAATCCCTTTCATCATCATCGTGCGTACACTTTTTTGGCAGAGTCAACGCAGATAATTTTAACTTTCAAATTATCTTTGAGATTTTAAGATTCTCAGACACGATGTGAGTCGAAGTAAGAACAAAGAGTCTTTGTAGCACACGCGCGTTTGTGTACGTGAATGTCACGCTCTGATACTAATGGATAGTAGTATTAGTTACCGCCTTGCTGGTTACAAAACTTTATATGTTAAGTTAATCATCATTTTAATGCAATGGCTTGTAATTAAGTGTTGACATTATCATTTATCTTGAATCAATGCAATCAGTAAAATGTTGACATAGAGTATATGGAACAAATAAAGTTTGTTAGACTTTATGAGAATCAACTTAGATGTTTTAAAAGAGAAAAATGAAATTATAGAGTTTGGAGATGGTCTTTAGAAAATAGAAAAATTAAACTATACGGTTATGTTGTATGAGAGGTAAAGAAACAGATTCTTCAAAGCCGTCTCTTCGTGTCTGTTGTTTAAAATCAAGAACTTGAGCGTACACAAATTAAAGAGATTCGGCAAAATGTGCTTACATCTTCATATATACATTCACTATAATTTTTTTTTACGTTTTCATACATCCACTATAAATCATTGAGACGATCTTAGAGTAAGACCATTTCTAGTGATTGTATGAAATTGCTGAGCAATTAAGCTAAGGAGTGTAACGATCTCACAATGATGTGTTGTGGATGTATGAAAACGGAAACAATTTATAGTGAATGTATATATGATGACACAATGATGGTTAGTGTAAAACAATTGATACGATCAATGATGACACATCTAGTTAAAATTGCTCAGCATTAAAACATTCCTTAGTTTAACACTAACCAATCTCTAGCACTCGAGTAGACACACAAATTCTGGTTCACCGGTTCTTTTGATTAAACTATCCTTAAAGTAACTATAAATTATTTAAGAAAGGAAAGAAGAAAACCAATTTGAATTCCACCGCCAAAAGTGCGATGACGTAAGCAGTGGCATAATCAACTATTCAACTCTGAGAATCATGTGGACCAATAGCTTAGCATTAGTAATTCATATTAAAATGAAGTCTAATGGGAAATTTCCAAAGGGTACAAAGAAGATGATGATTCACCAAGAACCCTGTCGGAGTAAGGAAACATGTGGTAGTAAGTGGACAGGTGCCATCCTTTTTCTTTCCTTCAGCACACTCTTTTGGTATTTCCCAGAGGCCTATGATAGATTGGAATCCCGGATCTCCCTTTAGTGGCTACATCGGTCAGCTGTTAATGCATTTCTGACTTTACCGGCAAGCAAAACGATTTCCGTTTGTCTATAAATTACTAATTCTTGGTTCTCTCAACCATACACTTAACACAAAACAAAAATCACTGAACATAATCAAGAGCAAGAATGGCGGACGAGGTGATTCTTCTGGATTTCTGGCCGAGTATGTTCGGAATGAGGACGAGGATTGCTCTGGAGGAGAAAAACATCAAATTCGATTACAGAGAGCAAGATCTTTTTAATAAAGACTCGTTTCTCCTCGAGATGAATCCGGTTCACAAGAAAATCCCGGTTCTCATCCACAATGGTAAACCGGTTCTTGAATCTCTCATCCAGATCGAGTACATCGACGAGGTTTGGCCCGGACAAAACCCACTCCTTCCTTCTGATCCTTACCAAAGAGCTCAGGCCAAATTCTGGGGAGACTTCATAGACAAAAAGGTAAAACAGAAACCCTATAAAAATCAATATAAATGTATCATACTTTGGTTTTGATATGATTAAAAATGTGAATTAATTAGGTGTATGGTCCAACGAGGTTGATATGGGGAGCGAAAGGTGAAGAGCAAGAGAAGGGAAAGACGCTAGAGTCTGAGCTTGGAGACAAGATCTACTTTGGAGGCAAAACGTTTGGATATGTTGATATAGCTCTCATTGGATTCTATAGCTGGTTTGAAGCGTATGAGAAGTTTGGAAGTTTCAGCATCGAAGCAGAGTGTCCGAAACTGATTGCTTGGGCTAAAAGGTGTGTCAAGAGGGAGAGTGTCGCCAAGTCTCTTCCTGATTCGGAGAAGGTCACTAAGTTCGCTCCTGAGCTAAAGAAGAAACTTGGGATTGAGTAGATCTGTTGTTATAACTCTGTTGTCTGTTTTCAAGTCTCCACAATAATTACAAATGATCCTGCGAGGTGGTTTGGTTGTTAGAGCATGTGTGATCTGTTTCTAATATCACAAGTAATGTTTTAATGGTTTTTATTTTTCAAGATCTTGATCGTGGTGGGAATAAGATTCTGATACGTTGAGAAAGTCTATTACTTGGGTTTCAGGGTATCCAATCATATTCAACCAACCCAACTCGGATTTTTTTTATTCAACTATATATCCGTTAATCTAGCCAAGAGGGAGAGTGTACTCTGATGAGTGATGACAAAGTGGGTTTTGATTCTACTTCCAACCCATAATGGTCCGGCTGGGTTCATATTTCGAGCCCAATATTCAGTCAGATACAACTTGGCTTTGTATTGCTCTCATCTGTTCTGTTAGGTTTTAAGTGTGTTTGTGATACGAAATAACTCTGAAGTTAACTTAAACGTGCTTCTAAAATGGCGTAATCTTCAAAATGAAATTGATTTAATTTGCTAATTTTATTTTGAGGTAAACAGCGAAGTAATAATGGGTTAGTCTCTGTGTTGGGGTTAGACGCATTATGTGTTTTTTGGTTGATTTAATACTTAACAAGAACTTTAATATACGTTGCTATCGCTATCAAATCCATCACTCAGATTTTTGAATTCCTCAATTATTTATCCACAAGGGTAGAGTAGGAAAAGGCTAGGCCATTATTTGATGATCCACCAAAACAACAAATCAGAGTGGTTTATAATTTAGAATTAGTTGTTTTCATACTGTTATGGGAAAACGTAGCCAGACTATTTACGCTATCATTTATATCAACGAAGAAACAAGTTTTTCTGGATCTTTTCACGTTCACGAGATTGGATTAGCTCAAAAATTTAATATCCTATCAATAGCCAATAGGGTTTGCTTTTAAAAAAAAAAGTATACTAGCAACGAAGAAATCTTGCAGTTTGGTTGCTTCAGAGTTCAAACCTAGGCTTCTTTATTATGGGGATGCTAACCGGTTTTTGACTTTGAGCCCATAGTAAGAATATTATATGGTTCTTCTATTTATCTTTTGACAATTATAATCATCTTTTATTTATTTCATTAGTACAATGTTGTTAAGATTGCAGTGACTGAGAAATGAAAGACGTAAAAAAAAAAGGGTTAAAAGTTACACGCAAATAAGATCAGTCTTTTGGACACTGATCATCTGGATATCCAATAGTGAACACTTAAATCAAATTTTGGTAAAAAGTTAGAAAATGTGCTTATTTTTTGTTTGACCTTAGTAGACAAATTGGTTTTAGAGAGATGCCAAAAAAAGAAAATGAGAAAAAACTCAACCAGTGATACAAACAAAGGGTCTATGATCTCTATGTATTGGACAATAATTCACTAGTAGCTTACATGGTTAACAAAAGAACAAAGAACAAAAAAAAATGAACGACGGATAATTAATTCTAGAGATTCGTAGTACTATATTGTAATGAATTACTTTAGTAGAGCATAGTTGTAGTGGAGTATTCAATTTGTAAATTCTTATAAATGTTTGTTATAGGGAAGTGTGAGGAGTGTCATGAATATCGAAATTAAATGCAATCACCAACCCTATCGATCCAACACTTCCCTTTATTTAATTTCACACATTAAAATCATCTCCACTTGTTTATAACCACATTTTCTCCTCAGCAACCATAACAAGAGAGAGAGAGAGAAAAAAAAGAAAACTGAAGAAGAAAATGGAGAAGAGTAGTGATCATCACAAGGCTAGCCAAGGAGGCTCCGTTGTTGGTTCGACGGAGAAGTGGGAGGAGGTTAGTCCCGGAATCCGAACCGTCGAGACGATGCTCCGGTTAGCTCCGGTGGGGCTTTGTGTTGCGGCGCTTGTTTTCATGCTTAAGGACTCGGAGGATAATGAGTTCGGCTCAATTTCTTACTCCAATCTCACAGCTTTCAGGTATCTTATTACTCCCCATGCGTTGATACATAACTATATCAATTATTATCTGCAAGGTTTAGAGTTACATCTCCTCCTGAAGTTTAGTTTTGCCCCAATAAAAACGAGAGTTACATCTCCTTTCATAGTATTTTATATTAGGGTGTGTGAAAAGTGAAATGGTATACCGAATTTTACTTGAAACACGAAAGAAGTTTGTAGTTTCAAGAATCTGGCAGTAATTATGTGTACACATGTGTATATTATATCTAGATATTTACATGTGTTCATATCTTTTGTCAGAGTTTGTACCCCAACATTTACAGATTCATATTGATTAATTTGGACCGCTAAACCTAAACACAATGTGCTGTACTTTATAGAGTAGTTTATCTACTGTATACTGTATAATATACCACCATATCATGAAGACACGTATTGGTCGAGCTACATTTTCTGATTTTATATAGGATTTGATTAAGAACGATTAAATGGTTATGTGATATGTATGAACAATCAATTGGTAATAATGTAATTTACAATTAGGTACTTGGTGCATGCGAATGGAATATGTGCAGGCTACTCACTTCTCTCAGCAGCCATTGCAGCTATGCCTGGTTCTTCTTCCACAATGCCTCGTGTTTGGACCTTCTTCTGTCTCGACCAGGTCTAATATTTAGATCTCGTAACATTTGGTTATTCATTATCAGATGATCCGTTGTATTAGTAATAGTACTAATTTATTTCAGAATATGGTTTGTCTCAGATTCTGACCTACGTGGTTCTTGCTGCTGGAGCTGTGTCAACAGAAGTTCTTTACTTGGCTTACAATGGAGACGACCCCATTACTTGGAGCGATGCGTGTAGTTCCTTTGGCGGTTTCTGCCATAGAGCTACTGTTTCGGTCATAATCACATTCGTCGTGGTTTGCTTCTATGTCGTTCTCTCTCTCATCTCCTCTTATAAGCTCTTTACTCGCTTTGACCCACCAGCCATCGTTGAATCAACCAAGAACGTCGAAGTTGCTGTATTTGGAAGTTGATCCGTGGCACTTCAAGTACATCGTCTAGTTTGTCATTTATTACATGTTTCTCTATTGTTGTCCTTTTTAACTTTGATCAAGAGAAATAATGCTTTTTAATTCTGTTATTACTACTAATGGGTATGGTTTCAAGTAGGTGTATAAATAAACATGAGATTCATACAAAATTACCGGAGAAATGAGCAGGGCATATAAACTTTCGCATAACTTTTCAAGGCTTGGCACCCATTTATCCAGTAAATCGATACAAATCAAACAAAAGTTGTTGATTCAGAATGATATCAAATAGGATAAAGGAGGAAGAAACATCTTTAGAAGCAACAGCTGAATATAAGATTATTATTATTGGATTAGATTACTAGAGTTTAGTCCCTCTCACCTCTCTTTAGGTGGTCTTTTAACTTTACTACTACACAAAGTTTTACTTTAAATTCAAATTACAAAGAAAAAACACAAAGGTTGTGTATATCCGAGAGATTATGCATTGTACTGCTAGAGAGAAACCCAAGCTAATGAACCTAACCAGTACCATACTGGTTATATATATAAGAGCGGTTTTTGTCTGAAATCAATAAAACTTTGGAATTGTTACCTTGTTTTTCTTTTTTTTTTGTATTCGATTTTTGCAAATAAATATCCTATTTTTTCCCATGGCTGCTGATAAAAGAGTGGCGTTTTAAGAGCTTCTGGGACGGAGTTCGGTGATCATCCTACAAACAAAGAGTTGAAAACCAAGAAGTGTCAGTGTCAATATCATCTTTGGAGAAGAAATTTAAAAGGAAAGGCCATGCAAGTCGGTGCAAACCTTGCACAGAGATGCAGCTGATTCTGATTCCATCGGCTGGATTTGAGCGTTTTCGAGCGACTGGAACGAATCAAGGGCATCAAGAGTTAGTTGCCATCCACAAACCGCCTCAGCGAAACTTGACGAGCTCGAGCTGTTGCTGCTGCATCCAGCGGCAGCCACATTCTCATTAACCCAAGGGCAGTAACAGTTGTGATACTTTATTGGATCAAACTCCACAATTTCATCATTGCTGTCTCCGTTTGGAGGCCCTGAAAACGAATCAACATATGTAGTCCACCATCACATTACACTCTTTCAAAGTGATGAAGTTTGGATCAGTAAGGCTCATAATAAAGTAAAAGGAAGAAAATCTCTACAGACCTTGGCCGTTAGCAGTGTAACTTGATCCTGGGAGTGCAAAGCCAGCGTTGAGCGGAGACTCGTTCCAAGTCTGGGTCACTTCTTCTTTAGATGCTTCGTAACCAGAACACACGATTGCATTGCAAGACAGTGATGGATGAACACTGTCATCGTTCCTCAACACATTTATGTTGCTCATCTTTTCACCGCTTTCAACAGATTCAGCCTTCAACGAATCAACGATTTTAGAGCCACTGTCCGCCCTTGCAACAGATTGTGACACCCTGTCTTGACTATCCCCAGGCCTACCTTCTTGGTCCATTTCTTCTGGAACAAAATCATCAGTAAGGCCTTGGTCTGGTACAAATTCCCCGCTTTGTCCCAGATTCTCTATAACTTCCGCAACTGGCTCCATATCTCCAACAACGCTATCTCCCCTATGGACTGAAACGTCAGCTCCGTGGATCTCTGCCTCGTGACTTGCACCCATTCCCACACTACCCCCACTGACACCTAAACTCGGTCCATCTCTTCCTTGAGCTGTGACAGTCTCTGTGTTCAGCACTTCCTCACCGTCATTTATGCTGCTAATGCCTGGTTCAGCATTAAACCGAACAGGAGCTGGTTGGAAGCATGCACTCTGCTGAGCTTGATTACTGAAATTCAATTCTGAAGGATCTTGGAAGTCGGCACTTTGAGCTGTTGCCACAGAGGGGTAATTGATGTCATCAAAATCGCCTGGATGGTTTTCCACACTTTCCATAGAATCATCATTGCCACTGTGGCAAATTGTATCCATTGCAATGACAGAGGAAGCACGAGTTGAGTCTCTGGCACCTGGGAAAGCCATTGTTTGTTCATTTCCTTCACTAAACGGGTCACTTCTGTTTACTTCCCTCTCGTTTTCAGCATTCACTGAGTGACTTGGCCCACCCACTGATAGATCTCGCCCATAAAAGGGAAGATAAGTTTCATGCACTTCAGAGCCTCGGGTACGCTTTGAAGGCCCTGCTGAATCGTCATTAACCTCATCACCATCGCGGTCAACAACAGTACCTTCAACACTGTCTGCATGTTGTATCCGTATATTAGGCCTATCAGCCGTGCTTCCACCATCTTCCAGGCTCCTTTTACGAGTACTAGGACCTCGTGATTCATATGAAGCAGCACGATCACCAACCTCACTTCCCGAAGGCTGCCTTCGAAGCACTTCCTTTCCTCTATCACTAAACTGGTAATTATCACGTGTCACAGACATGTTCAGCTGTGCAGAGGATGATGCATTAGCTGCAGTTTGATATAAGCTTAGACCTACATTTGATACTAATCTCCTCTTAACTGATGTTTCAGCCTCGTCGACATCTTCATTTTGCTGCTGTTCCATGCCTTCATTAGCAAACCATCCATTGATTCCACTTGTTGCACTAGTGCCACGTGTCACTCCCACTTTCTTGCTTGTTTCGGGAAGATTGGCATTGATAGGCGCAAATGGCACCGGCCGAGAAGCGGTCATGAAATCCCAAATTCTGACAGTTACACCACATAAACTACAATCCAGTAAGGGTGATCTGGATTCTGATTTATATTCTGGACCCAAAACTTCATAATTCCCAGAGCCTTTTCGGGATGAAGCCGAGAACTGTTTCCTGCTTGAACCAGGATCTTGTAGACGACTTTGATTTCTGGCTGGGCCGGTAGGGCACCCGTTTCTAGCTGATTGGGCAGAATGTTCTTCACAATCTTGGATATTTGGAAGCCATCTAGGCTCCCATCCACATAAGCTTATCAGCTTTTGAGCCTACAAGATAAAACTCAAATAAGAAACAATAGCAGTTTATGGCTAGTAAGCTTAAATTTTCTCGAATACAACAGCACATATCCCTGAGTTCTTACCCGAGAGTAATTACTGAGAGCCTCTTCTTTGGACATTTCTGCAGCTGATATATTATCCATTCTGAAACTGAGATCCTCATTGGCATAGACTTGGGGCTGTGCCAAAAGACGGTCAATTTGCCGTCGTCTTGAAGCACGCATCTGGTCAATTGCAGATACTGAAAAAATTGGTAGAGAATAGAACTGTAGGAGCCCATCGCAACGATCCTTGTAGCCTCCAATCAAGGCTGATGGAGGAGTTGGAGGGAACTGAACTAAGCTTTCTGGACAACAGTTTCCTACCCATGGACAAGAGCTCTCATGTGCGTCATCAAGCTGCTTGGAGAATACTTCTCTGATGCTATCAGCTGTTATCAAAGATGGATAAGGAATATCAAACGTAAGCAGCATAATTAATGCCTAGTCTTTCTTGCTTAGGAGAAAGAAATGACAGCACAAAAGACAGAGACTACGACCCAAAACAAAAAATCTTTTCATTGGTAGAAGTTAGTTACTGATTAAAACTCATGGCTCCAAAGCTGCTCAGAAAGACTGAGAAATTAACGTTCCGTTGGTACAGTACAAGAGAGAGAAATGAACACTTAAACTGTCTCTTCTGATGCTAATAGTTAGAAAGAAAAGAAAATGCCTAGTTACAGTGACAAGAAATGACCTTCGGGTTGATTCAACGAATTTTGTGGAGAAGAGTAATGTAGATTGGATCCACAGTTCTCGCATTGAATCTTGTCAAGGTCAACACTAACCCAGCCTTTCTGAGCACAAGCCAAAGAACTAGCTGTCTGTAAACAAAAATATACCATGAACAAGACACACCATTAATCAAACAACATTTCTTTCAACTAGTTCCAACTTGCAAAGAAATCTAGTTTGCCGAGTATGGTGAAATGAAGTTTTTTTTTTTGGTAAAAATGGTCAAATGAAGTTGCATGTGATATAGTGCATATAATGAGAGAACAAGACACATACTTTGGGCTTCCCAAGCCAATTTGAAGGCTTGAAAGTGGCAAGGCGTCTAAGTAAATCTCCTCTATCCCAAGGTCTGCACGAACGCCCTGATGATCCCAGTCCGTGACCTGTCCAGTCCACACTGCCAGCGTTTACCAGCACAGCAGGAGATGATGCCCCTACAGAGCTGTTAATCATTGAACTCAAATCAATAGTCGAGCTCCCGAAGAACAAACTTACAGAAATTATAAGCATTGGTATCGAATTAAGATGCAAATCGTCGTAAGGAAACAAATCTCAAAACCCTAGATATGTCTCGTCTCGTCTAGACTCTAATTCTACAAATGAATCGAATTCCATCGAAAATCACCCACAATTTCCCACTTCTGAAACTCGATCTGGGTGAGGAGTTACCTGGCAGCAGCAGTTTGTGGAGGAGAAGGCGATCTAGCGCGTCGCCGGAATCTGTCAACGGGAGTAGCCGAGGCGGAAGCAGAAGCCGAAGCTACACTGTTCCGATTGCTGATAGGGTTTACGTTCTGCGAGCTCACATCCTCTTCCTTCATCTTCCTTCGTCAACGAGTCTCTCTCTAAATCGGGCTTCACTTTCAACAGAGTAGGCAAGAGAGAGAAAACCTCGGAGTCTCGAGTGACAAATCCTCTCTCCTCTCTCTTGGCGTTATTTATTGTATTAATCGAATTTATATTTTATTTAATGCTCTGTTTCTTATCGATAATGTTATTATTTAATTTGTTTATCTCCGGCTGCTTCGGTGGACGAAGTTGCCCTCAGAGTACTTACGGCTAATATGTAGCCACGTGTGTCAATTACCGGGTCGATTTATAAGTGGGCTTTAATACTGAGCCCAATAGCGCGTCACTTTGTCTTCGACTACACGCACACTGAGAGAAAATCTAGACTCTAGAGGACCAAACATTTCCAGACAAAAAATGAGAGAAAAAAAAAGTTTTATACGTTAGCTTAAAAAAGATTTATGGCTTTTAATTGTTTTTGTAAAATGGCCTTATCGGAAATCCGCGAAAATTTCCAGGCATAGAAGCAGCCACACCCACACAAGCTCAAGTTCAAAGTTATCCCTGCACTTCTTCTTCCTTCACTTATCTTCTTCCTCTCTTCAACTCTCTTTCGCTCTCTCTTTTTTCTCCAAATTGCTCATCGATTCTCAAATCAGCTTTGATGATATCGATTTGTTTCGTTGATAACCCCAATTTCTTTTGAATTTCGTAGCTGTTTCGGTCGTTTCTGGGTTGAAATTCGTTGGAATTTCATCTCTGAGGAAAATTGGAATGAGATAAAGCCTGTGATGCTGTGCTGAAGTTGTTATCGCTTTGTGTTGTTCGTTTTCTGGGTCGATTGAGATGCCGTCGATGCTGGTTCTCGTCGGCACAATGCCGTCGTTGGCTTCTCTGGTTAGTCTAGGAGGAGCTGGAGCAAGTGTATCCGGAACGAGTTCGTCGGATGCGTCGTATGCATTAGTAAAGAGGGTGTCTTTGTCAAGGAGAAGCGTTAGGGGGACTAAGAAATGGTTGTGTAGATATTCTGTTTCGTCTTCGACTACTACTAGCACTACTGACTTCATCGCTGAGCAAAGCAGCAGCTCGGTTTCTATAGATTCTAACTCGTTTAGAGGGAGTAGTAAAGAAGGGGACGATAGAGAGATCGTGCTGAAGCAGGCTCCTAAACCTGTGTTGAAACCCCCTGTGGCAAGGGTAGAAAGGGGTTTGGGGGTAAATTCTGCTCCTTGGAGTAAGGAACTATCGAATGGGGGTAAGTTCGATGGAGAAGAAGAGAGGAATAAGGTGATTGAGTCTCTTGGCGAAGTGTTGGACAAAGCTGAGAAGTTGGAAATTCCGAAACCGGGTGAGAAAGAGGGTGGTGAGGCTGCTAAACCGTCACAGCCTAGTGCCAACAGTAGTGATTCAAAAAATGGTAGCTTTGCGAGTGCTGCTGGAGGTACAAGGAAGACGAAAACTATGAAGAGTGTGTGGCGTAAGGGCGATGCTGTTGCAGCTGTGCAGAAAGTTGTTAAGCAATCACCTAAAGTTGATAACAAGGGAATGCAGATTGAGGACGAGGTTAATGCCAAAGCCGGCACTCAAATGGCACCACCGCAGCCACCTTTAAGACCTCAGCCACCTGTGAGACCCCAACCGATGTTACAAGGGAGGCCTATGGTTGCTCAGCCACCTGTAAAGAAACCCATCTTAAAAGATGTTCGTATGGCATCAAAACCTTCAGGTCCCATCTTGAAAGATGTTGGTATGGCATCAAAATCTTCAAGTCCAATCTTGAAAGATGTTGGTATGGCATCAAAACCACCTTCAGTTTCTGAAGAGGTTGTTGATTCTAGCATAAAAAGTAAAGAAAGAAAGCCTATTTTGGTTGATAAATTTGCTTCCAAGAAAAAAGCTTCTGATCCTGCGGCTTCTCAGACTGTGTTAGCTCCTACCAAGCCTGGAAAGGGTCCTCCGTCTAACAAGTTCAGAGTCGAGCACCGTAATAAGAAAAATGCATCAAGTAGTCCAAGACGAAGAATGGTTGCTGAAGACGATGGCGACGAAGATTTAGTCTCCCTTCCTGGATCAGGTAGAAAAGGGAGAAAATGGAGTAAAGCTAGTAGGAAGGCTGCAAGACTCCAGGCTGCCAAAGACGCAGCACCTGTTAAAGCTGAAATCTTAGAGGTAGAGGAAGAAGGCATGTCCATTGAGGATTTGGCTTACAACCTAGCCATCGGCGAAGGGGACATCCTTGGCTATCTATATTCAAAGGGGATTAGACCTGATGGTGTTCAGACCTTGGACAGAGAGATGGTGAGGATGATTTGTAAAGATTACGATGTTGAGGTCCTTGATGCTGAATCAGTTAAAGTTGAAGAAATGGCAAAGAAAAAGGAAATTTTTGATGAAGAAGATTTGGACAAGTTAGAAGACAGGCCCCCTGTCATCACGATAATGGGTCATGTGGACCATGGAAAGGTAGGTACAGTTTGCTCTAACATTTTTTTTTTTCAACTCCTACTCGGATATGCAGAGGCCTTTCCTTTAGCAGCAGGTCTTTCCTAATGAGTTTCCTAAATTTATCTATTTTGCAGACCACTCTTCTGGACTATATCAGAAAAAGCAAGGTACGAAACTTAAATTATCTAGTTTATATCTCTGCTTTGTTTTCTGGTGTTTGTTCATTTGCTTATTGCCAATATTATAACTAGATAGCGGTTTCAGCTAATCTCTCTTCTCTGGGTATCTGCCAGGTTGCTGCTTCAGAAGCAGGGGGAATTACACAGGGGATTGGTGCATATAAGGTGTCAGTGCCTGTTGATGGGAAGTTGCAGTCCTGCGTTTTTCTTGATACTCCTGGACATGAGGTAGATTCTTTCTCTTGGAAATTGAATCTTCACATGTTCGTTTCTGATGGTGAATTTTCATTGATCATACTTCCTTACATTTTTTCTTGACTATTTCACTTAATTGATTGGTATACCATACTTTTGCTTATCTGACTTTCAAGTGCTTATCTAGGCATTTGGTGCAATGAGAGCTCGCGGAGCACGGGTGACTGACATTGCAATCATTGTGGTTGCTGCTGATGATGGAATTCGTCCTCAAACAAATGAAGCAATAGCTCACGCAAAGGCTGCTGATGTCCCTATAGTCATAGCTATAAATAAGGTATAGGTCCATGTAGAGCCTGGGTTCGTCTATCTAGGATTTGGGAACGATTGTTACTCAGAGCACTGTTTAGTTATTCGTCTTTACCATGTGTACATGTAATTTCTCTCATTCTGATTCCTTTCCTGTTCCAGATAGATAAAGACGGAGCTAGTCCAGAGAGAGTGATGCAAGAGCTTTCTTCAATTGGCTTGATGCCTGAAGATTGGGGTGGTGATGTTCCAATGGTTCAGGTTGGAAAACATACTCTCGTCACATATGTTTCAGGCTCCATATGTTCCATGGGGTCTCATATCATGCTCTATATTTGCCTTTGACAGATCAGTGCTTTGAAAGGGGAGAATATCGATGATCTGTTGGAAACTGTCATGCTTGTTGCAGAGGTTAGTTTGTTATTCATCCCATGGTAACAGGTTTACTTGATATTTGTTTCTTTGTTTGTCTAGATGCATAATGAAGCTTAAGTTGGCAAATTGTCCAATTTATGTGATCAGTTTGCTTAGAGTTGTTTCCTCCTAAGTTTGTTTTCTTCTTGTAAGTATTACGTAGTGGCTACGGAATGACTTACATACTTGCTCCAAAGTGGACCCAAAATCTTGCTTTAAGGAAGGCTATAGACAGAAATACGCTTATGTCTAGGCTTCCATGCATATTTTTTCTCCCTCTTTCTGCTTTTGCGTCTCGTTAGCTTTTGTTTGTGGGCTGACTGTATCTTGATTGTTTCAGCTGCAAGAATTGAAAGCAAATCCACACAGAAATGCCAAGGGCATTGTTATTGAGGCTGGTCTTGATAAAGCGAAAGGACCATTTGCGACATTCATTGTTCAAAAGGGCACTTTGAAAAAAGGGGATGTTGTTGTTTGTGGAGAAGCTTTCGGAAAGGTCTGTCCAACAATGAGTTTTCTACTCCAGCCACATTGTTCAGATGATTTAAAATGGCTTGGAATTTACCTACCTTGCTCTTGCTCCGTGTCTCTGTTTAGGTACGAGCTTTATTTGATCACAGCGGGGAACGAGTTGATGAAGCTGGACCCTCCATACCTGTACAGGTTTGTAGTTTAAAAGTCGTTTCGCAGAAATACTCGACGTAGCAAATGTTTATTTTCTTGCCCTTTGTTCTCATGGATGGATTATCTAAACGGATCTAAATTGCATTCACAGGTGATTGGTTTAAATAATGTACCCATTGCTGGTGACGAGTTTGAGATTGTCTCTTCCCTTGATGTGGCGCGTGAGATGGCAGAGGCACGTGCAATATCACTACGAGATGAAAGAATTTCTGCAAAGGCTGGGGATGGAAAGGTCACGCTTTCCTCCTTAGCTTCTGCTGTATCAGCGAAGAAGATGTCAGGCTTAGATTTGCATCAGCTTAATATCATCCTGAAGGTCGATGTACAGGTAAAGAGCCAATTTGAGCAGTAGGTTCCATGAGCTCGTCACCGTAAACATTTTCTTATTATTTATGCTCATGATGCGAATCACCAATGTGACTACTAGGGATCCATTGAAGCTGTCAGACAAGCCCTGCAAGGCCTCCCTCAGGAGAATGTCACCTTGAAGTTCTTGCTACAAGCGACAGGGGATGTAAGCAACAGTGATGTTGATCTAGCATCAGCGAGTGAAGCCATCATTTTTGGATTCAATGTCAAAGCATCTGGTTCTGTCAAGAAAGCTGCAGAAAACAAAGGTGTTGAAATCCGACTGTACAGAATTATCTATGATCTTATTGATGATGTGCGAAACGCAATGGAAGGACTTCTTGAGTCTGTTGAGGTTAGCATCGGAATCTTAAGCAATTCTTAAACGTTTTTGCTATCTAATCTGATCAACATTCCCCTCTAGAGTTACACTTGATGAGATCTCTGTTGTTGTTTTTTGGAATTTTGAAAACTGAAGATTCATGTGGCTATTGATAGGAACAAATCCCAATTGGCTCAGCAGAGGTTCGAGCTACTTTCAGCAGTGGAAGCGGTCGTGTGGCTGGATGCATGGTGAATGAAGGCAAGTTTGTCAAAGATTGTGGCATCAGGGTGATCCGGAAGGGTAAAACTGTCCACGTTGGTGTCCTTGATTCTCTTAAGCGAGTTAAAGAAAATGTGAAAGAGGTATAAAAACTCCTAAACTACATTCCAAATTCGGACTTTTGCTGACTTCGTCAATGTGAAACCAAACCTCTCTCGCTCTGTTTATACTGTGTTGTAGGTGAGTGCTGGATTAGAATGTGGTATCGGTATGGATGACTACGACGATTGGATTGAAGGAGACACCATCGAGGCTTTTAACGCGGTTCAAAAGAGGCGAACTCTTGAAGAAGCATCGGCTTCAATGTCCGCTGCGATTGAAGAGGCTGGAGTTGAAGTGTAATGCTAAACTCAAGCAAACTAAAAAAACAGATCTCATTTTGTATATGACAAATGTTTCTACATTTGGCTGAATCATTTTAGGGGAAAAAAAATATCCAAATGTAAGAAATCGTGAAAAAAAATATCACAATCTTTATCTATACTATTAAAGTAGAGGCACAACAAAAGAAAGTGCACTAACAAAGCGCCTATCCCTGTAGCCAAACAGGATTTAACCAGTAATTAACCTCTAAACTTAAATCATACCGGGAATCTAATCAATTTAATCTTCTACACTACAAAACCGAAACTGGAAATGTTTGAATAAGATACACGTAGAGATCACATTTCAAATCTCCTCCAGCTCGGATTGACGGAAAATCTGCGATACATTCCCATAAATATATGTGATATTAGAATATATTTAACTGCAATATCTACTAATAAATCCATTCCAAGAACTATCTATGGACACTTTCCACACAAATCTCGCTAATTAACAGTTCAGAATCATAATTTGTGTGAACAATAATTCTTCTATTCAAAAGTTTCCTAAATTTCGGTAAAATTTGCTTAACCTATGAATAGAAGAATTATTGATTAAACTATGATCAAATCAAATCTTTAACCTAATCGTTTTAGTATAAATAGTCCTCCACCTCTAGCCTACCAAAGACAAAATAAGCAGAGCTTGAAACAATTTCAGTGTTTTGGTTTAACATACCTTAATCCCTTTTCAACAGGTTGGTGAATTCCAAGTCAAGCTTCTTCATGTTTGGAAGCAATACACAACAGCTGCTGGACATACGATGAAGATTATTCTGGCGGACCAAGATGTAAGGTTAATTATCAGAAAATAAATGAATACATGCTAAATCTCTTTATAAACTGTATCAAGTTAAATATTTTATTGTGGTTTCCAAACTATTTACTCACAACGTGTTTTTTGTTTCATCTTTTTCAGAGAGAAAGAAAGAGCTGAAGAAATATGAGGCTTAACTGGATGAATCAAGTTGAAATGCGGATCCAAACTACTTACTAACAGGTATATGTCCGGATATCACATTTTTTATATCACATCCTCGATCTGTTCTAAATTTGTTTTTATCTCTTTCATATGTAAAAGATGCATGCCAATGTGAAGAGAGAACAAAAAACCATTTGATATTCAATTGTCTCAAAGAGATTGGAGATTTATTATGCAGTAATGCAGGTTGTTTTAAGTCATGCAATGGGTCGATACATCACGTTTACTGGTTTGTACCTTTTTTTCTGAAGCTGTTAATTGTCTTATAAAAGAAAGATAGAGGAGATTGGTTTACTGGGTTGTACCTTATTGTAGAGAACAAACATTCTAACTGATTCTTTTATGCTTCAAACTTTCAGGATGGGATGGTTGCTTTCTGAACCAACAAGATATAAGCAAAAGCTATATAAGTAGAAGTCTAGAACCAGCAAATAGAAGATCAATATTTCCAAAAGACATTGGAAGCGAAGCCAAAACAAGCTCCTAATTTTCAAATCACCCTAAAGAGTAGCTTATTGTGTAATGTAAATCTCTGGTATGTCAAACATTTGTAACAACGGTACTAACTCCAAATTCATCTGCAAAATGAAATTTGTTCAATATAATATCGAGTTGGATGCTATCACAGTTCTATAACACATACTATAGTGGCTAAGTCGAATAGCAATAAGCTTTCTACGAATGTAATACTTTCTTTAACAGGAATGAAAAAGTATCAAAGCATGCACGGAATGTATCGGAAAAAAAAACTGAAGCCAGACTTCAGCTGCATAAGCCATCTATGATGAGTAGAAACGAAAAGTAATATAGCTGAAGTATTCACTTAACAAATTCTCCCGGAATTCAAACCCGTAAGAAGCAAACGCACAAAAATAATCAGACCAAAGCCTAACCAAACAATTTTTCAGCAATTTCTCAAAAGTCGCAAAGGCAGAAGAAATAACACAATACACACGATTTAAAAAATTCTTAACTTCATATATATATCGAGGTCAGCTGATGAGAGTTCTTGTGAGAAGAATCACTCCGAACAAAGAGAAAAGAGATGAGAACGGTTTAGATGAACAGAGTGTGAAGAATGGGTGTGAAATGATGGACGAACTCGAGTTAATTTTGAGATGGTATCGATTTCCCCTTGCTTGATTTCGAAATAGGGTTTGCTCTTGGCAAGAAAAATCCCCAAATTGGAATGTCGTGAAAGATGAATCACAAGATAAGCGATATTGGGCTGGCCCAAGACGAATTTCACCAATGAATACTTAAGTAATCGTGTATACTTACCCAAGTAATTGTTTTACAAAATGTATACTTACCCAGTTAAGTAATTGTTTCATCAATTTATACTTACTAATTTTGTATATTTTAGTCCTAAACAAGTTAACAACTAATTCTAACCCAATTAATATGTTTATAATCACATGCAAAAACAAAAATCCGGTATAAAAATGTATACATAAACTAAATTTTGTTTTAGATAATCTACAAACAAACTAACACACTTTATCAACATACTCTATCTGTCTCATATTATAAGCAGTTTGCCAAAATGTATCTGCAAAAAAGTGGACGTATTTGGATGCAGTAATGTCCAGATACATCCACTTTTTTACAGATACAATTTGGCAAACTGCTTATAATATGGGACAGGAAGTATTATTTTATGTTTATGTAGGTGGAGGAGAGCATGGGCTCGAAGAAAAAAAAAGAAGCTAAGAAGAAGAGACAAAAAGTATCACTGAAGAGAAGGAAGAATTGGAGAAGAAGAAACGAAGAAGAGAAAGAAGACAATAGCAGCGACATGTCTAATAGATTTAGAGTTTTTTAGATTAATCGGTTCACATAAACCAAACCATAAATACATTGTTCACATGGTGATTAGTACATACCGAGTTATTGCATATATTTAGGATTTTTTTAGATTAACTGGTTCACATAAACCAAACCATAAATACATTGTTCACATGGTAAACCAAACCATACTAGCGTTCCTCTTTCTCACACCTTCTTCTTTTCGTAGTTAAGAAACTATAAATACATTGTTCACATGGTGATTAGTACACACCGGGTTATTGCATAGATGTTTTCCTTCTTAAAAAAAAAAACTTACTCTAGAAAATAAGTAAAATAAAATTACCGGTTTAGACCGCAAAGCGTTCCTCTTTCTCACACTTTCTTCTTTTTAGAGTTAATAAACTATAATACATTTTTCACATGGTGATTAGTACACACCGGGTTATTGCATAGATGTTTTCCTTCTTAACAAAAAAAAATTACTCTAGAAAATAAGTAAAATAAAATTACCGGTTTAGACCGCAAAGCGTTCCTCTTTCTCACACCTTCTTCTTTTCAGGGTTAAGAAACTATAAATACATTATTCACATGGTGATTAGTACACAAAGGGTTATTGCATAGATGTTTTCCTTCTTAACGAAAAAAAAATTACTCTAGAAAATAAGTAAAATAAAACTACCGGTTTAGACCGCAAAGCGTTCCTCTTTCTCACACCTTCTTCTTTTCAGAGTTAAGAAACTATAAATACATTTTTCACATGGTGATTAGTACACAAAGGGTTATTGCATAGATGTTTTCCTTCTTAACGAAAAAAAAATTACTCTAGAAAATAAGTAAAATAAAATTACCGGTTTAGACCGCAAAGCGTTCCTCTTTCTCACACCTTCTTCTTTTCAGAGTTAAGAAACTATAAATACATTTTTCCTGTGGGGATTAGTACACAACGGGTTATTGCATGGATGTTTTCCTTCTTAACGAAAAAAAAATACTCTAGAAAATAAGTAAAATAAAATTACCGGTTTAGACCGCAAAGCGTTCCTCTTTCTCACACCTTCTTATTTTCAGAGTTAAGAAACTATAATACATTTTCACATGGTGATTAGTACACACCGGGTTATTGCACAGATGTTTTCCTTCTTAACAAAAAAAAATACTCTAGAAAATAAGTAAAATAAATTACCGGTTTAGACCGCAAAGCTCCATATTGAACAATGACGAGATAAACAACCGAAGATCAAAGAAGGAATTCGACTAGCCGTTCTGATCGGAGAGATCGAGGTAACTCGATTTTGAGTAACGCAAAATGAAATAAAAGAAAAACATAACGGAAAAAAATTACTCTAAAAAAATTTACTCTAGAAAAACATAACAAATTTAATAACATCACGGGTGAGAACCAACATTTGTCAATTGACTAAAGTTCACAAATTTAGTTAACACAACGTTAACAACATCAAGGGTCAGAACCAATATTTGTTTGATTGACTCAAGTTCACAACTTACTGTGTTATAGTTACATTTGTTCAATTGACTAAAGTTCACAAATTTAATTAACCCAAGGTTAACAACATCACGGGTGAGAACCAACATTTGTTCAATTGATTAAAGTTCACAAATTTAGTTAACCCAAGGTTAACAACATCACAGATCAGAACCAAAATTTGTTTAATTGACTAAAGTTCACAACTTCATGTGTTATAGTTACATTTTTTCAATTGACTAAAGTTCACAAATTAATTAACCCAAGGTTAACAACATCACGGGTGAGAACCAACATTTGTTCAATTGACTAAAGTTCACAAATTAATTAACCCAAGGTTAACAACATCACGGGTGAGAACCAACATTTGTTCAATTGACTAAAGTTCACAAATTTATTTAACCCAATGTTAACAACATCACGGGCCAGAACCAACATTCTTTCAAATTTGGGTTAAAAAAAACAAAAAAACGAACATATGTGGTCAAATGTAAAATATTGTACAACATTGTAACTCACCAAATCAAACCGAGCGAACCCAAAAAATGATCACATATTTACTTTATATTATTCAGACTTTGGTTTCAATTAGATTTGGTTCGTTCGGGGTCAGAATCTAGCATTAAGTCATGAAATTATAACAATTTGTAACTCACCAAAAAGCATAATTAATGATCACATATTTATTTTATCTCATACTAAGATAAACGAATAATGTTGATTCATCATTACATATCACAAATATATATACTATTATTTACATAATTACAATGTCAATAGTTAAAGTTTTCTTATCAAAAATTACACATCCGTGATTATTTCTGATCGTAAAGTTTAAGATTTGGTGAATTAACTTTCCGAAGAAACGGAAATAACGAATACGGTTGTCAAATTTGAAATATTATATAACATTATAACTCACCAAATCAAACTAAGCAAACCCATAAAACGACACATATTTATGTTATATTATTCCGACTTCGATTTTGGTTTGATTTTTTTCTCTCGGGATCAGAATCTAGCTTCAAATAGTAACAATTTGTAACTCACCCAAAAATAACATTAATGATCGCATAATTATTTCATTCTCATCTTTAGATACTCAAAATAACACTAATTCATCATTATATATCACAAACATATATATATATATATACTTATAAAAATTACAACATCCCGTGCTTCCCAAGCATGGGTCAAGACCTAGTTATATTATTAATTGAGAAGTACATTCTAATGTTTGGATACAAGAATTAGAGAAACATCTATTTGGATAGAAGAATAAATGGAAACAAAAGTTGTTTGGATATAAGAATAAGAGAAAAATCTATTTGGATAGAAGAATAAATGGAAAAAATTGTTTGGATACAAGAATAATAACTTAAAATAAACCGATGGTTTAGAAAACTTCCGTTTTCCATCTCTTAAAAATCTGCAAAAAAAAAACTTAACATAATCTAACGATAATTCCAAATCAATAGAATATGCTTTTTGGATTTTCGGGTTTTTATAGACAAGTTCGGGTTTGGGTGAAAATCTGAGACATAATTTTATAGAGATATATATAGAGATATAGAAATTGTTCGGGTTTCTTTGAAAATTTCTGTTCGGGTTAGGTTCAATTTTTTTTTTCAGTTTAGGGTTTTCCGGATTTTTTAGATTTCTGGTTTTCGGGTTTAGATATATTAAAAAAATTGAGTATTTTAAAATTTTGATTAGGTATTGGGGTCGGGTTCCGGGTGAAAAAGTTTCCAGATTTTTTTTGTTCAGTCAGGGTTTTCGGGATTTTTTTGATTTCGGATTTTCATGTTTAGACCTATTAAAAAAGTTTGGGTTTTTAAATTTTTTGATTAGGGTTTTTTGTCGGGTTCGGATTTAGGGTTTAAATTTTCTACACAAAACAACAACGTCACACCGCACAAACGTGCGGGTACTCTACTAGTAAATTCCAAGCCATTATATATGTAAACTCTTGGAATAGTCTTAATCTTTCTGGCTTGCAAGAGTTTGATCTTGTCTCGCAGATTAATGTGCTCATCGATGGAAAACTTCACTTCTTTTGCGGAAAAGGGCAGACGCAGACAGATCTGCAGGCGATAGGTTCCATTACCATAGATATTGAAGAGCCATCGCTAAGTGTTATAAGCTTGCCAGCGAAACTTGAGAAAAGTTTAAAGGTTCTAGGAGAACTTTACGGAGTTTTATGTGTTTGCGCTATACACGGTGGAAAGCTCAGAGTGTGGAAGCGAGACGAAGCTGGTGAAAAGTGGAGATTGTTTCTAGATCAAGCTTGTCCAGATGCAAATTCCTGGGATTGCATCTCTGTGGCCTTGGATACCATTGTGTTGACTAAGGAAAGTTGTGTGTGTCTCTATAAGTTCGATACAGGTTTTCACCAGTGCAATATCCCAGGGTGTAGAGACGTCTTCTCATACCCCCAGAGTCTCTTCCTCAGCCGTGAAGAAGGCTGCTGTGACCAAGTGAGTACTGTTTGAATTGTCCAAAGATGGAGATTGTCACGGTTTTTTGTATTCGCTTACCCCTAGAGAGAAGATAGAGACTATCACGGCGGTTTTCTGTATCACATTATAACGCTCCCAGATTTAGAGCTACATATTCACTTTAGGTTTTTTGTATGACACTACATCGCTCTCAGATTTAGAGCTACATATTCACTTTAGGGTTTTTTGTATGACATTTTAACGCTCCCAGATTTAGAGCTGCATATTCACTTCTTTTGTATTGACACTTTGTTTCTTTTTTTGCAAACTTGTAATATCATATAAAATGAAAGTGGGGTTATTACAAAAGCAAAGCTCCTATACATGAAACCTTGGCAAAAAAAAGATGGTAAAATACAAGAGAGTCCAAAAAGAGTTACTGGAGCCATCGTTGCATTAAGTTTCCAAAATGCTTCCCTTTCCTTCTTGTTGTGACTGTGTTCTTCTTGATCAGTCTATTAATCTCCTTAAAAAGTGCAGTGGAGCTGATTGAATGGCTTGTGAATAACCTGTTACTTGTCTGTATCCAGACGGCGTAGCAGATAGCTTGAGCCACCAATTTACGCAGAATCAGAGGCGCTTGGTCCGTCTTGCTCTTCATCCAAAGATGTAGAGAATCCCAGTTGTGAAACCTCAGCCTTGGCAGATTTAGTCTTCTCTTTGCAGCACACCAAATATCATAAGTATAAAATCACAATGCAGCAAAATCTGGTCTCTAGTTTCGTCCACATTTAGGCACAAACAACAAGTAGTAGATAGATATAGGCATACCCCATGATGCTAAGCGAGTCTTTTTGTTGGTAATCTGTCCAATTGTGCAATCCACATGATAAACCACATTTTTGGAGTTGAACCTTTGAACCAAATGGAACTATGCCACTCTTTTAAGCTTTCCTTTGGTCTGATCTCCTTGCACGTTATACTTTAGATGAGAGAATTCTTTGTAATCTGATCCATCAGCAACCCAAGTGTAAGAGTCTTCTCGCTTTGAAGTGCCAGGAAGTTGGACCGTTGTTAGATGGACATGTAAAGCCAGCGCTTCCCCTGATCTAGGTGCCGCCAGTTTCCAACCTTGCTCACCAAATGGCGTCCATGAATCGAACCAAAACTTAGCAGAGTGGCCATTTCCCACTGAGCAACTGATGAATTGAATTTCTCTGCTAAATGCCGCAGCTTGGGAAGTGATTTCCAGTTCCAAGAATCTCGCTGATGCTCATCAGTAGACCAGAAACTCTTGTTTTAATATGGTGAAACTTGTGCCAAGCAACCAAAGCGAACGGAGAAGCTTCCAAGTCCTAAACCTCCCTCCTGCTTCGGTAAACAAACTGTTTTCCTTGCCAAATATCGTGCTTGAGTTCCACCCGACCACAGAAAACGAGAAGACATTGCTTCAATCTTTTTGATACCGACAAACAGAAACTGACGACTGTACCAGTAATGACAGAGTTGATCAACTGAGCTCCTTTACAGCCCAAGATTTGAATCTTGCTGATAATTTCTCAAGCAACGGTCCATACTCTGATAATCTCAGCTTCCTACACATGAGAGCCAATCCCAAATACCAACAGGGAAACCATATTTTGCCACTGCAAGTGGATTCACTTTGATTTACAAGAGCCGAGTCTTGTCTCTACTCATCTGCAAACCAGACCAGCCAGAAAAATCATCTAGTCTCGTTTATAACATCATCGGCAAACATCAGGTAGATATCCCTAAACTGCTTGCTCCATATACCCTTCACTATATTGTGAACAGTTACTTGTCAGAGTAGAATTGGCCAAGTATGAAACTTTCCCTTTCTTCTCCAATTTCTTCATCTTTATTTTTTCCTGAGGAAGAGAGGAATGCTACCGCTGGAGTCCCTGTAAAAACAAGTAAAGCTGGGTCCATTAGTCGCAACAGTTTCCGCAGATGGTGGGGACAAACCGGAGTTCGTCTTCGAATTCGAGTGATCCAAAATACCAGACTGACTTAATTTTGAATCTAACGATTTACTCACAGGGAAAAAGTCTGAGACGGTCGCCGTGGAAACAACTGAGGCGTTAATTACATTCGCTGGGTTCGTAGAAGCCGTCGAATTGACCCGATTGATTTCACCGGAAGCTGCCGGAGGAGAGCTGCTCATCGATCTAGGAGAGATCTTTTGAGGGGGGATTTCTTTTTGGGGGTCTTTTTCTTCGTCATCAAGAGAAGAGGACCTACAAAAAACGAGAGGAATAGGTTGACGGCGGCGAGATTGCCGCCGGAGGATGGCCGCGAACGATATCAGATTGGAAACTTCAACCGCACTTTAGGAGAGAGAAAGCTGATAAAAAGGTAGAAATGAAAAACCAGTGTCGTGTACTAGTGTCGTGGTCAATCAAACCACGAAATCAAGTCCTATGTTATAAATGTTCTTCTATGTTCTCTATTTTTTAATTTAATTTACGAATTCCCAACGACTCTTATCTTATGTTAAATCAGGTCGTGTGCGAAAGAAAGACATCTTAGGACAACCTTGGGGTCAACATAGAAATAACTACAAGTTGAGGACTGGAATAAAAGACGTTTTACGTTACATAAGCTTCTGTAGTTACGTTGGCAACAAAATAAAATAAAGCTTCCGTAGTTACATTTATTAGTGTGCGTTTGGGCCACTTTTGACTTTGTAACATTTTCTTTCTCATGCAAGTAACAGAAATCTTTCCGTGAAAAACACAAAATCACTAGAAAAATAGTAAAAGTAAAAAAAGAAAACTATTCAGAAGGAAAAATCATCAACACAATAAGATGAATGAACGTTCATCAAATAGTAGTTGCAAGAGCATGCACTAAACCATATGGTTCACTGGATATAAAGACTTCGCCATACCACTCCAGCGTTCCCCAAATCTCCCTATTTTGGTGTCTTACAAGCGCAATTTCAGCACACCATATTGCTTTTTGCCGATGGTTCTCAACATGCCCATACTTCTCCCACAGAACCACCATTTTTCCACCATGATTTGCCAATTTAACATCAGCATTACCATAAAAACTAGGTAGTCCCTTCAAATCTTTCAAACCATGCAAAGCTCTCCATAATCTTGCTTTGGGATCATACCAATCAATCGAAAGGACTGTATAACGGTAGAACATGTTGGCTATCACACAAAAAGATATTGACCTCGCCCATCCCATATCCATCGGTAAGTCTACTGCTCTCCATCTACCTTTATACAGCTTGCAAGTCACATTTTTTTCTCTAGACCTCACATGAACGTTTCCTTCATACCCAACACTTTCGTACCTAGAGTCTTGGCATATCTCCTTCTTGTTAGGGATCTGCAAAACTTCCCAAGTTTGGGTATTCGTATCAAAAACCTCTATCCAATTTGTTGAATTAGGCTTGTCGCAACCTCCCATTACATATATCTTTCCATCGAGGACACAAGCAGATGGCAACGATCGGGCCACCCGCATACTTGGGGCCTCACGCCATGTGTGAGAATGACAGTCCATGACCATGACGCTAGTAGATGCATTATTATTTACTAATCCACCAATTGCATAGATATTAGGACCAACCACTACAGCATCCGAGCAAGAATCACAGGGAGATTTGGCAGATGAAACCGGTACCAAAACTTTCGTGAGACTATTTGGTCTTCGAGAGAGAGTGAACCAACGTCGTGGGTTGTTAGAATTGGTACTGGACCGTAAGCATACGTAGAGACAACTTTCGGTGCGGCCTAAGAGGGTTCGAGTCTGGTAAAGCTCCGTAGATGTACAGAGAGAGCGGAATCTTTTGGAGACTAAAGAAAGAGTAGGATAGCACAACCTTGAGATGCGGGCTAAGCAGTTTAGTAACATATCATCAGGAAGCATCATAATACTTTTAACCGGCGGATCTTCTCCATTCATGGCCGTAGAATCGCACACTCGCGCTAGTCCTCGATTGCTTTTTCTCTTAGGGCTCAAGGTTGCTTTTCGAGCAAGAAACATGCTTTTACTCAGAATACTTTTAACCGGCGGATCTTCTCCATTCATGGCCGTAGAATCACACACTAGCGCTAGTCCTGGATAGCTTTTTCTCTCATAGTTCAAGGTTGCTTTTCGAGCAAGAAACATGTTTTTGCTTTATGTTTATTTTTGTGTGCTTGTTTCTCTCCCGTAAGGGGTTTTCTCTCTGTTTCGTCAATTCTTTATATAGAGAATTATCATTCTTAATTAATCTCGTTCGGAAATCTCACGTAATTATCGGGTGGGATTCAAAAAGGAAATATATTTCTCTGGAGAAAATTTCGTTGTTTTGATTATTTTGTTTCAGCGTAAAAGGGAAATACTTATAAACTAGACCTTATATCATTAAAAAGGAAATAATTATGCAAAAATATAATTTTGAGGAATACCATAATATAGCACATTTTAAAAATTGGGAGTTTTTAGTTTTAACATCCATAACACAAAAATTGAAAAGTTTCAATGATAGCATTATTCGTAATCTAAAAAGATAATTTTATCATTATTTCGTTTCTAATTAGATAAATATATTAACTTCTAATCGATATTATTTATTAAGAAAATACAAATTTTCCTTTTCCATATATTTTTATTTCCAAAAAATAAATTTGAATATTTTCCTCTGGCAATTTTTTTATTTCACCTTCTTAGGTAGGGTCTACGAATTTTTTTTAAAATCGAAGTTTCAAATTTTTATGATTAAAAAATTCATTTTTAAGTAAAATTATAAAAGTTTACTAAACATTGAAAATTAGCTTCTACATTTGAAAAATAATTTAAACATCTTGAAAAGTGATTCTAAATATGTTTGAATAATATACTAAATATTTATAAATTGTTTTTAGATATGGAAGAAGGTGTTTGTTTTTAACTTAGGAAAAGTAAACTAATTTTTATTATCAAATATTAGAGTTATTAGTGTCTTGTGGTGCATATTAGTGTTATTAGTGTTTTTATTGTCAGTGCCTGTTGATGGGAAGTTGCAGTCCTGCGTTTTCCTTGATACTCCTGGACATGAGGTAGATCCTTTTTCTTGCAAATTGAATCTTCACATGTTCATTTCTGATCATGAATTTTCTCTCATATAGCATGTTTCTTGACTATTTCACTTAATTGATTGGCATACCATAGTTTTGCTTATCTGACTTTCAAGTGCTCATCTAGGCATTTGGTGCAATGAGAGCTCGCGGAGCACGGGTCACTGACATCGCAATCATTGTGGTTGCTGCTGATGATGGAATTCGTCCTCAAACAAATGAAGCAATAGCTCACGCAAAGGCTGCTGATGTCCCTATAGTCATAGCTATAAATAAGGTATAGGTTTATGTAGCACCTGTGTTTGTCTATCTAGGATTTGGGAAAGATTGTTAATCAGAGTACTGCTTAGTTATTCGTCTTCACCATATGTACATGTAATTTCTCTCATTCTGATTCCTTTCCTGTTCCAGATAGATAAAGACGGAGCTAGTCCAGAGAGAGTGATGCAAGAGCTTTCTTCAATTGGCTTGATGCCTGAAGATTGGGGTGGTGATGTTCCAATGGTTCAGGTTCGAATACACACTCTCATCACATATGTTTCAGGCTCCATATGTTCCATGAGGTCTCATATAATGCTATATATTTTCCTTTGACAGATCAGTGCTCTGAAAGGGGAGAATATCGATGATCTGTTGGAAACTGTCATGCTTGTTGCAGAGGTTAGTTTGTTATTTATCCTATGATCTCTTAACACTCGCAACATGTTTCCACATATAGATTTACTTGTGTTCTCCTTTTCACGATTTTTCTTCATTTTACGGTAATATTATTCATTGAGCAAATCCTTAGACGTGTTTCTCATTTTGTTGTTTTTCAGTCCTTGTGGCCTATTTTAATGTCTCTAATTCTTTTTGAACAACAATTTTATGAGACAAAAACGCCCTCTACCCATACGGGAAAGACGTTTTCTCCTAATCAATAAAATAGTTCACTTTTTGTACGAGAAGTAATTGTTCTTCGTTTTTACTACAGTCGGTTCGCTGTACCTGCTGTTTTTTTTTGTCGTGTGGGTGGTCATCGTTCTCTATTTTCCATTATTGTCTCTACTAAGATAATATCGTAAGCATTTTTCACAAAAAATTCCAGTTTGTTGTATTTTCTCAATTCACTTAGATTTAGTAATTACAAATGTAGTAATATTGTTTATGACGTCCACAATTGGTGTCCCTTCATTAACAAACTTGTCCTTAGTTTTTTCACACAGTTTCTTTCATTCCTCGATGGGTACTATTAGAAGAATTCAAAGAAATGGTTTGTCTAAGTATTTTTGTTTTCTAAACCAAAAAATAGTGACCTTTTGAATATTTTTGAACAACTGAAATGAGTTCTTCAGTATTTCGGTTGGAAGGGTACTTTCCATTAAGATCACGTGTCTTTTTCATTGAATATGATATGATCCTATTCCATTGCTCGCATCGGATCCAATAAAACTTCGGTCTGTGTAAACTAATCATTTCCATTCACACCATGTACATTTTTGCCTCGATCAGTTGTAGTAAGTTCAAAGGTAAAATAGGTTTCTTCAGGCGCAAGAAACCTCTTGAGGTTGAGGATCTGGATAACTTCGTTGGTTTAATGGTGAACAGTAACAATATACTTTTTATTTAAATCACAAAGAGATCAACTTTTTTACTTAAAAAAAAAAACAATTTCATAACAAGTATTAATCAGATTCCACTTTGATTGATTTATATGATAATAAATCAAGACTTACAATGGCAAAACAGAAGTACAAACGAGGACAAGAACCGTACTGTCACACTTTTGCTCCACCTAACAATCTCACTCTAGTCTACTAAGTACTAAGTACTAACATACTCAAGCTGGTGCATAAAGGAGACTGTGGGCGTATCGTCGCAATCCATCTGGAATCTCTGCAAGAAGTTGAACAGAAACAGAATAAGATGGGCGTATGAAGCTCCAACGCAGATCCCTGAGGAGCTCCAAGCCGAGATTCTTGCGAGAATGGAAGCGAAGGTGTTAAATCTGAAGTTGGTATCTAAACGATGGGGATCAACAGTGGATACAGATCTCATGTTCTTGGAGAATCAGATCTACTAGAGTAAAGCGAATTGTAAGAAATTTTTACTCCGTAGGTTCAGTTTGGAGGAAGACCGTATGTTTTGCAATCTTTACAGTACACAAGATGTTGAAAATATCAACAAATCTTGTGAGCTCATGGAGTTGGAAGACCACGCCTGCTTCATGACGTTTATGGGAAGCAAGCTTGGTGTGCTTCTTTAGCCATGAAGGGTATATGTGGACTACTATGGGTGTATGAAGCGACGCCTTTTGTGCCTATGGAATTTCAAGCTGCTATATTGTCAAAATCTAAAGCTAAGAAAGTGATGAAATTGAAACATGTCAGCAAACCTTGGATACCCATGGATAATGTATCCCGACTGTCCAAATGCTAACTTGTGGAAATGCATCTCTATGACAACATTGAGCATCCTTGTGCCAATTTTGAGCAAAAACATGTTTCTTTTTAGAAACATTAGACTTGATTGTTTGGAATATGAAATATAATGTTTCTTGGTCGAGAAATTGACACATTAAAAAATTATAAAAAAATAATTATGAGGCATAGCATAATATTGAACATTTTTTTTGTTTTTAACATCAATAACACAGAAAATGAAAAGTTCCAATAATAGCATTATTCATAAACTAAAAAGACTATTTTATCAGTATTTAGTTTATAATTAAAAATATATTATTTTCAGAAATTGATATTATTTATTAAGAAATACAGTATTTTCCTTTTCCAAAAAAAATGAAATCCAATTTATATTCCACCTTTTTAGGTAGGGTTTCCGAATTGTTTAAAAATATTTTAAATATTTATGATTGATTTATTAATTTTCACGTAAAATTTGAATTTTTCTCTACCAATGGTTTCAACATTTGGAAAATAATTTAAAACATCTTGAAAAATGAAAAGTGATTCTATACTAAATAATCAAGATCCTAATTTTTCGGAAAACTGAACTAATTTTCTTAACTAGAAAATATTATAGTTATTATTATTTTGTAATACTTTGAGAATTCCAATTGAAAGACCACTTTGTCCAAGGGATGATTAAATGAGATAAGGGTAAAAGCGGAAGAGAACATCGTTTTAGTAGACAAGATGGGCGCGAAAAAGACAGCAATCACTTCCACTTGTGCGTGGCTTTAACGGTCAACGATAAAAATCATGAGCTCACAGACCCCAACGCGCCTCTCACCACCCATCACCAAGAAATTAAAACCCAAAAAGCAAACAGATACACTTAAAGATCATTGTCCTGAGTCATCCTTTTTCACGTGTCGTCTTCATCAAATCCTCACCGTCCCAATAATCAAGATCCTCTGTTTTTTTTCCTTCTTCTACTGACAACCCAAAGAAACACTTAAAAGATCCAATTTTTTAAAAATTCAATGGATCTGTACAAACCCAGATCACCATCACGTGATTTGAAACCACTTTCAGCTGAAAACTATAGCAAACGAAATCGGAGAAAAGAGAAGATGTCGTCGACAGAGAGGATTAAAACAGAGTTGACTTTTAGAGACAAAAACAGAGAGACATTTCCAAGTGTTTCCGTAGATAGTCTTTTCTTCATCAGTCAAGGTCAGTCCTTTTTTTCTCCATCACTCTAATCTTTTTACCTTTTACCCATTCCGTGAATTCCCAAAATTGACGTTCCGTCATTCTTTTCGTTTCCTCAAAGAATTTTCCAGATGAGAAGAAGCTAAATTCAGAGACCGCTCTGTTTTCTTAACCAAAAAGCCAACTAGTAAAAATGAGTGGTACCGTCAGAGAGAAGATATGTTTCTTGGCGATATCGATTCTCTGTTCTTTCTCCTTCATCCCAGTGAGATCACTAAACGAAGAAGGACGCGTTCTTCTGGAGTTTAAAGCTTTCCTTAACGACTCCAATGGCTACCTCAAAAGCTGGAATCTTTCAGATTCAGATCCCTGCAACTGGACCGGAATCGCATGCACACATCTCAGAACCGTAACTTCTGTCGATCTCAGTAAGATGAATCTATCAGGTACTCTGTCTCCTCTCATATGCAAGCTTCATGGTTTAACGAAACTGAACGTCTCCACCAACTTCATCTCCGGTCCAATCCCTAGAGATTTATCTCTCTGTCGAAGCCTAGAGGTTCTTGCTCTCTGCACAAACCGGTTCCATGGAGTGATTCCTATTCAGCTTACCATGATCACCACTCTTCAGAAGCTTTACCTTTGCGAGAATTATCTCTTCGGCTCAATCCCTAGATTTATGGGTAGCTTGAGTTATCTCCAAGAGCTTGTCATCTACAGCAACAATCTCACAGGTGTGATCCCTTCTTCCATAGGGCAACTGAGACAGCTCAGGATCATTAGGGCAGGACGGAACGCTTTCTCCGGTGTGATTCCGTCTGAAATCAGCGGATGCGTGAGCCTTAAGGTACTTGGGTTAGCAGAGAATCTTCTTGAAGGCTCTCTCCCAAAACAGCTTGAGAAGCTTAGAAACCTCACCGATTTGATACTCTGGCAAAACCGTTTGTCCGGAGAGATACCTTCTTCAGTAGGTAACATCACCAGTCTCGAGGTGCTTGCGCTGCACGAAAACTACTTCACTGGATTGATTCCAAGAGAGATCGGAAACCTAGCAAAGATGAAAAGGCTGTACCTTTACACGAACCAGTTAACCGGAGAGATACCTCAAGAAATCGGAAACTTGACAGATGCAATGGAGATAGACTTTTCAGAAAACCAGTTAACCGGTTTCATCCCTAGAGAGTTTGGTCAGATTCTTAACCTAAAATTACTTCATCTCTTTGAGAACAATCTCCAAGGTCCAATACCTAGAGAGCTTGGTGAATTGGCAATGCTGCAGAAGCTAGACTTGTCTATCAATAGACTAACCGGTACCATACCAAGAGAGCTTCAGTTCTTGACTTACCTTGTAGACTTGCAGCTCTTTGACAACCATCTTGAAGGGACAATCCCTCCTCTCATCGGTTGCTACAGCAACTTCTCTGCTCTTGACATGTCTGCAAATTACCTCTCTGGCTCAGTTCCTTCTCACTTGTGCAGATTCCAGAAGCTGATGCTTCTGAGTCTTGGCTCAAACAAGTTATCAGGAAACATCCCTGACGATCTCAAAACTTGCAAGTCTCTTACAAAGCTAATGTTAGGAGATAACAAGCTAACAGGAAGCCTTCCATTTGAGTTATTCAATCTTCAGAACCTCTCTGCTTTAGAGCTTCACCAAAACATGTTATCAGGGAACATATCCGCTGATCTTGGCAAGCTCAAGAATTTAGAAAGACTTCGTCTAGCTAACAACAATTTCACCGGTGAGATCCCTCGTGAGATTGGGAATCTCACAAAGATTGTTGGCTTCAACATCTCCTCCAATCAGCTCACAGGTCACATTCCTAAAGAGTTGGGGAGTTGTGTCACTATCCAGAGGCTTGACCTTAGTGGCAACAAGTTCTCCGGGAACATAGCTCAAGAGCTTGGTCAGTTGGTGAATCTAGAGATCTTGAAGCTGTCTGATAACAGGTTAACCGGAGAGATTCCACATAGCTTTGGAGATCTTACTAGGCTCATGGAGTTACAACTAGGAGGCAATCTCTTGTCTGAAACCATCCCTGTGGAGCTTGGTAAGTTAACTTCTCTGCAAATCTCTCTCAACATGAGTCACAACAATCTCTCCGGCAAGATTCCAGACAGTTTAGGAAACCTTCAAATGTTGGAGATACTTTACCTCAACGACAACAAGCTCTCAGGTGAGATCCCTGCATCGATTGGAAACCTCATGAGCCTCCTCATCTGCAACATCTCAAACAACAACTTAGCAGGAACAGTACCAGACACACCAGTCTTCCAGCGGATGGATTCATCTAACTTCGCCGGAAACCACAATCTGTGTAACCCTCAGAGAAGCCACTGCGAGTCACTTGTCCCACGTTCTGATTCAAAGCTGAGTTGGTTCAAGAACGGTTCACAGAGGCAAAAGATCTTCACAATCGCTTGTATAGTGATCGGCTCTGTTTCTCTCCTCACTCTTCTTGCTATCTGTTGGGCGATGAAGCGAAGAAAGACAGAGTTTGTTACTCTTGAGGATGAGACAAAACCAGATGTCATGGACAGCTACTACTTCCCTAAAGAAGGTTTCACATATCAGGGACTTGTGGATGCAACTAGAAACTTCTCTGAAGACATGGTTTTAGGGAAAGGAGCTTGTGGAACAGTATACAAGGCTGAAATGTCAGACGGTGAAGTGATAGCCGTCAAGAAGCTGAACTCTCGCGGCGAAGGAGCTAGCTCTGATAATAGCTTCAGAGCTGAGATATCAACGCTTGGGAAGATCAGGCACAGGAATATAGTGAAGCTGTATGGTTTCTGCTATCACCAGAACTCGAATCTTCTCTTGTATGAGTACATGTCAAAGGGAAGTCTCGGAGAACAGCTTCAGCGAGGTGAGAAAACTTGCTTGTTGGATTGGAATGCAAGGTATAGAATCGCTCTCGGTGCTGCAGAGGGTCTTTGTTACCTCCATCATGATTGCAGACCTCAGATAGTTCACCGTGATATCAAATCCAACAACATTCTTCTTGATGAGCTCTTCCAAGCTCACGTGGGAGATTTTGGACTAGCTAAGTTGATTGATCTTTCTTACTCAAAGTCCATGTCAGCTGTTGCTGGCTCTTACGGCTACATCGCTCCAGGTGAGTCAAAACATTCACATGACAAGAGCTCTTTGCTTATGTGACATTAATCTGATTCTCTGTGTTTCTACAGAATATGCTTACACGATGAAGGTGACAGAGAAATGTGACATATATAGCTTTGGAGTTGTGCTTTTGGAGCTGATAACAGGGAAGCCTCCTGTGCAACCGTTGGAGCAAGGAGGGGATTTAGTGACTTGGGTTAGAAGATCAATACGTAACATGGTTCCAAGCATTGAAATGTTTGATGTGAGGCTTGATACGAGTGATAAGAGAACGGTTCATGAGATGTCACTTGTTCTAAAGATTGCTTTGTTCTGCACAAGCAACTCTCCAGCTAGTAGACCAACCATGAGAGAAGTTGTGGCTATGATCTTCGAAGCTCGGGAATCAACTAGTCTCTCTTCCTCTTCCATTACTTCAGAAACTCCTCTTGAAGTAGATAACTCCTCCAAAGGTCTGTAATCACACACACACACACGTATATACTTCTACATTCATTTACTTATTATGATTCTCATATGAACATTTCTTGCTATTCTGCAGAAATCGACTTTGTTGCATCACCTTGAAGTCAGCAGATAAATCCGGTTTAGTCTGGTTCGATATAGATATATAGAGTTCAAAGTAGAATTGTTGTTGATTCTGTGTGGTTCACTTTAGTCTCTGGAGTTATTACATAAGCAACACATTGTTAAGAAATATTTTGCAAAAGAACAAAACAGAGAGCCTAGCTAGGAAGTAGAGATAACAGCTAAGATCTTTCTTTCTCTTGAAAGAAAATAAGATCACTTGTGTGACAAATCTATGGATATTTTGTTTTGATTTAGAGGAAATCCACAAACGTATCTTCCTGGAAACTTCTTGGCTCTGGTAAACTGGTTGACATTCATTGAACATAAACAGGATTACTTTTCCAATAAAATAGAAGTACACAAGAAACGAGAAAAATATAAACTTGAAACCCACGTTAAGTGTTGATTTTTTTTTTTTTCTTAGACAAATCTTCCGTATCGATAGAATAAAGCTGAGAAAGTGTGTTTGATACTCCATCGTTGTACTTGTACGGCGAGATTAACCTTGACGCGCAAAATCCTAGATCTTTTAGAGTCCAAAACAAGACCAAGTTCAGGATTTTCATCAAATTTTAAGAAAAGACTTAATATTAAATTGGTGTCTGAGAATCCAGTTCATATAAATAGAACAGTTGATTCATGAAATTTCCTTCATCCGAACTGAAATCAATTCCATTTCCCAACATGGCTGGCTTTTTGACAAAGAAAAACAGGAACAGCTTCACGTCCAAATGCTCTTCTATGATTAAACAACAACATGCTCGTCTCTGTATCATTCGACTCTGCGCCACAATGCTCCTCCGCTCGTACATCGATCAAGACGATCACTAATCAGTTTTATTCAGAAGATTAAACTTAGTTATGCTTATGTAGTATTTTTCGTCCATCTCTGATTCGTTGGAGTCTGTTTCGGGACTCTTTTCCCTGTTTAACGTACAAGGGTTTTTAGCTACAGCTACTCGTTAGGGTTTTTTTATCAATGTTACCGCCGGTGAGGAATCCCACGGCGTCAGTTCCTACCTTTTTTCCGGCATGTCCGGACTGGTTTAAGGTTATTTATAATTTAGCAATAATGTAATAAGAAAGTGTAATTCTGTGTGATTGTATTAAATTTAATCCAATGTTTGCGAATGGAAAAACATTGAGGCCCTCAAATTGCAAATATCTAAAATATGAAACTGAGCCAACAATCAGCTAGTGCGCGGCCGAGCTCACTTCTCTCTCCGGGAATACGATTCTCTTCCCGATCGGTGTTAACACTAAATCCAATTTGTTCACCAGCGAGAAGAAATCTAGTACTATGAATTTCACCGTCCCGATTTCGACTCTCATCTCCAGATATGCCTCCAGGTTCTTCTCTTTTTGCTGTTTCGCGAAATTGTGTCATCTGATTCTAGTGGAATACGTTGGGGTCTGTCCTCCACTTTCAATTTCAGTGTCATTGGAACTTTTGGCGATTTCTGTTGAAATTCTTGGTTTAACTTGTTTATGATTAAGCTGGTCTTGAATTTGCCGCCTTTCCTTAAGATTTTTCTGTGATTAGCTCTTGACTCCAAGTCAACAAACACACTAGATTCCTTGGTCATCAAATCAGCTATTATGATACGATCAAACTGTAGAATCTGTAGTTACTGAAATACAAAGAAATTTAGGATCTTGATCAAGGAAATCCAGAACTTAGATTAAGTCCCTGGAGCATAGCCAACCATTAAACCACTTTTATTTTTTGTACTTGGGACTGACTCTTTACTAGTAAAAGCATTGAATCTTTATGCCCATCGCATAACAAAAAAGTACCAGTAAGAAGAGTAGGAAAGAAAAAATCCAATAGCAACCCCTATGATAAACGTTCTTCTTAACTCCTCTGTATCCTCTTTATCCGTTGTTGTAGCAGGCGGCTGAGCTGGAGCGGTGCAGGAGGTCAGAAGTACACCACCGCACAACAAAGGGTTTCCTTCAAAATATGATTTTGGAAAAGTATCAAACTGACTTCCTGTGGGTATTGGCCCTTCAAGACTGTTGTTCGCCACATTGAAGTAGGACATGAAGTGGAGGCTTGTTAGTGACCAAGGGATTCTACCAGATAAACTATTGCTGGAGAGGTCTAGCCTCTCTAAGCTGGTAAGATTCGACAACTCATGTGGGATGCTGCCAGATAAAAAGTTCTGAGAAAGATTGAGGTCATGAAGAGCCTTTAAGTGGCCAACCTCAACTGGTATACTTCCAGTCAAGTTATTCCTTTTCATGTAAATCGCAGGTGGAAGGCTGGACAGCTGATTGTATTGCTGATTGGTGGTAACGTTATTGGGATTGACGAAAACAGGCAGCTCTAGATACTTCTTATCGGTTGCGTCGTAGGCCTTTCGAGACATCAGAGCCCTCAGGTGAAAGATTTCCTTTGGCAGCTCTCCTGATAGTAGGTTATCTGAGAGATCCATGTAGAAAAGGTTTGGGAGAGTTCCCAGCCATCCAGGGATTGAACCTTCAAGCTTGTTGTGTGACAAGTCTATGACTTCTAATCTCTTCAGTTTGACCAGCCAAGCTGGTATTTCACCTTTCAGTCTACATCCACCGATGCCAAATATCTGGAGTTTAGGGAATCCATCCGGCGTTATTAAATCTTCGTTGGTTGGAATTGTTTCGTTGTAAAAATTCTTTGCCATGACGAGAGTGGACAACTTCCTGCACCCCTGCAGAATGCTGAGAGCGCCGGTAATGTTCTTTAGTCTATTGTCTGAAATAGACAGGAACGATAGGGACTCAAGTTCCATTACTTGAGGAGATATCTGTCCCGTTAACTTGTTTCCTGCAAACCTGATCGCTGTTAGAGACTTGCAGGAGAAAACCTTATGAGGGATATCACCGGTGAAACTATTATTTCCGAGATCTAGAATCCTAAGGCTCTGAAACCGGGAAAAGTCAAGCTCCGTTAAGCTTCCTCCCAGCTGATTGACTCTCAGATTCAACTTGAGGAGATTGGTGCAGTTTGCGAGAGAAAGCGGGACCGAACCAGTGAGGTTATTTATATGGAGCTGTAAGCTGCGAAGGCTGGAGAGTTTGCCTATGTCCGCTGGTATTTCTCCTTCGAGGTGATTGGAGTAAAGCTCAAGGGACGTTAGTTTCCTGAGCCGGGTTATATCTTCATCAATCTTTCCAGAAAGATGATTGACTGGCAGAAAGAGTTGTTCGAGCTCGGAAAGATTGTAGATTTCACTTGGGATGTCACCAGAGAGTCCATTGAAGCCTGCTCGTAGAACAATTAGCCTCAAGCATCTGCCTAGTCCTTGGGAGATAACGCCGGTGAAATCGTTATAGGAGAAATCCAGTTTGCTGAGCTGCGGTGAACTCGTGCACATGAAAGAAGGGAGTGGACCTGTGAAGCTGTTGTTGCTGACATTGAAACTGATTAAACTGAAAGCTCCCTGTAAAGATACAGAGCTTCCTAGGATTTCTCCTTGGAGAAGATTGCTTGACAGATCAAGGGCCTGAATTGAGAAGATCCTGTTGCTTCCGTTTCCAAATGCTTGGTCAAGTGGCAGCTCGCCACTGAAGCTGTTGTAACTAAGATCAAGAACTATGAGCTGATCAAGGGATGAGAGAAAATCTGGCGGGAGAGGACCCCATAAATGGTTGTGAGAAAGATTGAGTTGAGAGAGATGGCGGAGATGCAGAAGAGACAGAGGGAGGTGTCCAGAGAGTCCTTTAGATGGTAAGGAGATCGCAGTCACGTGGCTATCCAATGAGTCATCGCAGGTTATTCCCTCCCAGGAGCAACAATCAATGGATGGATTCCAATTAAGAGGAGAAACTGGAGAAGTAATGTTGCTGGAGAACCACAGTAGAGATGCTCGGTCTTGTGGGTTGCAGACAGCTTCTGAAACTGTAAGAAAGAGGGCAGGGAGGAAAAGAAGACAGAGGAGGAAGAGAATCAAGTGAGAACTCAGAGGTTGTCCAGGTTTTGTAGTTAATAACAGAGGTCGTCAAACAGAAGAAAACTTCTTGTGATCTTGTCAATACCATCTCGTTGACCAAGGCAAATAGTCAAGTACAATGCCTTCTTTTTATTAATCTTTTGATTAAGTTATACAATACCTTTAGTTTTATTTAAAACAAATAATATTGCGATCTTGTGATTTGTTTAGTCCTTCAATACATTGCCCTTTTCCATGGTGAGAATTTATTCTGTTTGACGGTGAAACAGAGCATATAACAAACATTACCGAATCAGTTGACGGAGAGATCAGACTCAGCCAACAAGAACTTTGACTCGAGTCTCTTATTCGAATCCGGCCCTAAAAAAAATATAGGCCCAAACCAATGGGATCGTCGTTAGTCCCGGACAAAGAATGAGAGCTAGTGAGTGGGAGAGTGACCGTTAGTTAGACAAAGTGAAGTTTAACCACACTTCTTACTCTCTGCTTCCTCTTCGTCTTTCTCATCTACTCTTCGCAAACTATGATGCTTCCGCTAATGGTGATACCAATTGCGACGTACAGGAGAATCTCCTCTTCCCCTAACTTCACCAACTGGTCAACCATGGAATGGTGGTTTCAACACTCGCAGACTTTTTTTAAGGGTTCCTGTTTCTTCTCTGTTCCTGGAGTATTCTTCTCCTCAGAGACTACGAAATCGGTGGATTCTTGCCATCATATCGTATACATTGTATTTTGAAGCCTTGAGCATGGCCGAAGAATTAGACAAACCATTACTGGATCCTGATACTTTCAACAGAGAAGGAATTGACTTGGTACATGATGTGTGTTGTTTTACTTTATTGTTATTTCTTTAGTTTCAAAACATGGTTCTAACGCTTGAGCTTGGCAGGGTCTATTGCCACTGGAAGAGGTTTTTGAATACCTAAGAACAACGCCTCGGGGGCTTCTATCTGGAGATGCTGAAGAAAGATTGATGATATTTGGTCCTAACAGACTTGAAGAGAAACGGGTAACAAACAACACTCTTTATCTTTTTCAAATATGAACACTGGTGATATATATTTTTTTTATTCATAATGTCATGAATTATCTTTAGGAGATTTAATGTTGCTGTGGTTTTTTCACATTGACTCTTGGATAATACTGTATGCGAGTGTTTTGCTAATACAGTTTTTTTTTTAAAATGATCATGTAGGAGAACAAATTTCTGAAGTTCCTAGGTTTTATGTGGAATCCATTGTCATGGGTTATGGAAGCTGCAGCATTGATGGCCATCGCACTCGCATATAGTGAAGTAAGAGATCAGTCAGAGTTTTGCTACCATTTATTAGTCCACGCATGAGAGTTTATGAAATCGTTTTCTCTTCTTGAAAGTTATTCATTGTGAAAAAATGGGTATTATACAGAACCGGGTTCCTGATTGGGAAGACTTTGTTGGAATCGTTTGCCTTTTAGTGATCAACGCAACAATCAGCTTCTTTGAAGAAAACAATGCTGGGAATGCTGCTGCTGCTCTTATGGCTCGTTTGGCTCCTAAAACTAGAGTCTGCTTCTTCAATCTTCACCTTTTCGATTTTCATTCCAAACGCCAACCCTAACGTGCAGTGTACGTTTTCTTACTACCTTAAATCTGACAAGATCCCCTCTATATATATATAGGTTCTTAGAGATGGACAGTGGAACGAGCAAGATGCGTCCATCTTGGTACCTGGTGACATAATTAGCATAAAGCTTGGTGATATCATTCCTGCAGATGCTCGCCTTCTTGAAGGAGACCCCTTGAAAATTGATCAGGCACGTCAAGAACATTTTAGCACTTAGTTTCACTATTCCATAGAGTGTCTCTGACATGTATTCCTGCAGTCGGTGCTGACCGGAGAATCGCTACCTGTGACAAAGAAGAAAGGAGATCAAGTCTTTGCTGGTTCTACATGTAAGCAAGGTGAAATAGAAGCTCTTGTGATAGCCACTGGTTCAAGCACTTTCTTTGGTAAAACAGCTTCCTTGGTGGACAACACTCATGTCACTGGACATTTTCAGCAGGTTCTCTTTTTCCCTTTTGGTTGATAGAAATCTGATTTGGTAAAGATGTAATCTTAAAGTGGTGAAAATACAGTCTGCATCTTGCAAGAACATGACAATATGTTTTCCTTTGACATAGGTTCTTACATCAATTGGTAACTTCTGCATATGCTCAATCGCTGTTGGAATGGTTGTTGAAATCATAGTCATGTTCCCTGTACAACATCGGTCCTACAGAAGTGGGATCAATAACCTTCTTGTACTACTGATTGGAGGGATACCAATTGCCATGCCCACTGTACTATCTGTCACTCTTGCCATTGGATCTCACCGGCTCTCTCAACAGGTACAAAATCTTGTTGTCATTTCTCATTCAAAACTGTCTGTTAGCAATAATGTGCATCTTGTTTGTAAAAGGGTGCTATTACGAAAAGGATGACGGCAATAGAGGAAATGGCTGGGATGGACGTGCTCTGCTCTGATAAAACTGGAACTCTTACTCTGAACAGTCTTACCGTTGATAGAAATCTTATTGAGGTACCAAATACTTCTCATATGACTTGCATTTCAAGTTAAGAACGGCTTGCTCCATGTTCCTTGCCTCCTTCTCTGTGTTTCCCTCTTCTAATTGTCATAAACGTCCAAATCCATATGTATGCACAGGTATTCAATGACTACATGGACAAGGACACAGTGTTGTTGCTTGCAGGGAGAGCTTCACGACTAGAGAATCAGGATGCCATAGATGCAGCTATTGTTAGCATGCTTGCTGATCCCAGAGAGGTAGAGAGATGTTTCTTTTACAAGAAAACTCTCTCTCTTTATTGTCATCTTTTTAGAAGTTTTTTACTCATACAAAAGGTTGTTGTTTATTTTGTAGGCGCGTGCAAACATTAAAGAAGTTCATTTCTTGCCATTCAATCCTGTGGACAAACGTACTGCAATCACATATATTGACTCCGATGGGAAATGGTATCGCGCTACCAAAGGAGCTCCTGAACAGGTATCAAATAATCACTCTATACTTGGAACTTCTAAAATGTCTCTGGATGGTAACTGAATCTATAAATATATAGGTTCTAAGCTTGTGTGAACAGAAATATGAGATTGCACAAAGAGTTTATGCCATCATTGATAGATTTGCGGAAAAAGGTTTGAGGTCACTTGCTGTTGCTTATCAGGTAACATCTTTGTCCTCTCCCTTCATCTCTTGATCTGGTTTTATCAAAGGTGCACTTTAGTTCTCCAATTCATAGCATCATTCTAATTATTGTCTCTAGGAAGTTCCAGAGAAAAGCAGCAATAGTCCTGGAGGACCATGGAGGTTCTGTGGTCTGTTGCCACTGTTTGATCCTCCAAGGCATGACAGTGGTGAAACCATTGTTAGAGCTCTTGACCTTGGAGTTTGTGTTAAGATGATCACCGGTAACTCTCAATGAAATTGCATTCTTTTATGAGCCCACAGAGAAAACAGAGACGCTGATAATAAGTTTTGGAAACAAAATGTAGGTGATCAGTTGGCGATTGCAAAGGAGACAGGAAGACGTCTTGGGATGGGAACCAATATGTATCCTTCTTCCTCTTTGTTAGGACACAACAACAATGACCATGAAGCCATTCCATTAGATGAGCTCATTGAAATGGCTGATGGATTTGCTGGAGTATTCCCTGGTCATTATCACAACTCTAATATCTAGATTTGTTACAGATATGCTCTCTCATTTCTGATCCCGATTATTTTTTTCTTACTCATGTTATACAGAACACAAGTATGAGATTGTAAAGATTTTACAAGAAAAGAAGCATGTGGTTGGAATGACTGGAGATGGTGTGAATGATGCTCCTGCTCTAAAAAAAGCTGACATCGGAATAGCTGTGGCGGATGCAACAGATGCCGCAAGAAGTTCTGCTGACATTGTACTAACTGAGCCTGGCTTAAGTGTAATTATCAGTGCTGTCTTGACCAGCAGAGCCATTTTCCAGCGGATGAGGAACTATACAGTTAAGTTGGTTACAAACCATCATCTGATTTCACAATAGCTAAAGATAATCAAAATTCATTTAATATAGCATACAAATTTCAAGTAGTTTGATGAAACACTGAATTACCGAGACTAATCAGTACAAATCTACAGGTATATGCAGTCTCTCTCACCATACGAATAGTGGTAATTAAGGAGCTTCATCATACATAATCTAACTCATGTTTGTTGAGTTACATCTCTTTTAATCATTGTCTCATTCATGTAGCTTGGTTTTACACTTTTAGCGTTGGTATGGGAATACGACTTTCCACCTTTCATGGTTCTCATCATCGCTATACTCAATGACGGTAACATTTCCATCCTCTCAATAGCTTCATGTTGATGTAAAAAGATAAAGCATGATTCTTAACTCTTTCAAGTGTTCTTGTTGATCTCATACGCATCCAGGGACCATCATGACTATATCTAAAGATAGAGTGAGGCCATCTCTTACACCGGAAAGTTGGAAGCTCAACCAGATATTTGCGACTGGAATTGTCATTGGAACATACCTAGCTTTGGTCACTGTCCTGTTCTACTGGATCATTGTCTTTACCACCTTCTTCGAGGTATAGTATCTTCCCCATCGCTCAAAGTAAGTTTGGTTTTGCTTACCAAGAAGAATGCAAGAACAACATGACCATCACTGGATCTTTAATCAATGGCTGCAGAAACACTTCCATGTAAAATCAATAGCAAACAACAGTGAACAAGTCTCATCCGCTGTGTATCTCCAAGTGAGCATCATCAGTCAAGCACTCATATTTGTAACACGTAGTCGAAGCTGGTCGTTTCTTGAACGTCCTGGAACTCTATTGATCTTCGCTTTCATTGTTGCTCAACTTGTAAGGAACATTTCATCACAGAATGATATATTTGTATAGCATACATTTAGGTCTTGATTATGACTTGTCCGTTTCATGTGCACAGGTAGCTACATTAATTGCTGTCTACGCCAATATCAGCTTTGCTGACATCAAAGGCATCGGTTGGGGATGGGCTGGTGTTATATGGTTATACAGTCTGATATTTTACATACCTCTAGATATCATAAAGTTTGTCTTTCACTACGCGTTGAGTGGAGAAGCTTGGAAACTCGTATTGGACCGTAAGGTAGATTGCATGTCTTGTCTTGTTACTCATTCTCAGACTTGAACTCTGTTTTTCTTAAAGACAAATGAAGAATGATGGTTTTTGTCTTGCAGACAGCTTTTACTTGTAAGAAAAATTATGGGAAAGATGATGTAACGTCCAATGTAACCATCTCTCAGAGAAGCCATTCTGCAGAAGAACTCAGTGGAAGTCGTTCTCGCGCTTCTTGGATCGCTGGACAGACCAGAAGGCGTGCAGAAATCGCCAGGTTCTCTTTTTGTCTATACTCTATACTACCAGAACCATCTCTGATCCATCAAACTGAAGATAACAACACTTATCTTTGTTCCTCTGATAGGCTCGTAGAGGGACACTCGGTGTCAAGGCATTTACAATCAGTGATGAAGCTCAAACAAATTCACCCAAAGATGATCCGTGAAGCTCATACCGTCTGAAATCCTCTCTTGAGTTTTCCCCTCAAAATTCGCATCAAGAGTAGAAGAACAAAAATAAGAGCATTCATATGATCCTTAGTTGTTGTAATGTAGTGTTCAGTCAACATTTTGGTTACTTGTTTCACAAACAAGCAAGCAGTTTCGACAGAAGAGATAATTCTCTCAATGAAGAAAACTCTATTTCGCTATTACAAAATCGTCGAAAAAGAATCAAAAGAATTTGACACTAAAGGCACTATTATAATACAGGTAACAAAAAATAACAATGGATTCAGAACAGAGACGATAATAAGTTAACGAATGTGTTTTACTCATCCTCTGCTATGAAGTTTGGTTCTTCGCCACGACAGAGATACTCATCGCACGTCGACGAAGTTCCCCAGTCTTTCCTCAGCCGCAAGATATCCTCTGTAAAAGTAGAACCCGACGCTCCGATAAAGACACTTGACATTGCACATATTGTCTTATCCAACATAGCATCCACCTACACATCCCAAAAAAAACAAAAGCAAGTCAAACGCGAGAGAGAGAAAAGAACAAAGGAGTCTCTAAAGTGATTACAGCAATAGCGTTTCGTTACCTGAGAGTCATCCTCTATCCCATGTCTATACAACAACGAGTCCCACTTCTCTGCTGAGTTGCGAGGTGGACGTTTGACAAGTGGAACAACTTTTCCATCAACGATTACTAGTGACTGAAGCAACCCGGTCTCACTCTCTGCAGCATCCGTCGAAAGATAGATCACTGGAGCATTAGCCTTTTCCACTATCCGCGTCATGCACTCTGCAGCTTGCGGTAACGGATAAAAGCAACTCGGCGATTTTGCATTGCTGGCCACACAATTCATTTCATTAGACTTTAGACAGAGCCATCTACAAATGACACACCGTCTTCTCAAAACCCTAACCTAGTCCCTAACTCAAAACATCATCAGCACAGTATGTAATTGCTACACAGAAGTGCCTAAGTTAAAGCACAGATAAATTGAGTGTGAGCTACGCTATCAAGATACATAACACAGCGACAATGACAAGATTACGTAACCTAAAAAAGATTAAGAGAAGCAAAGAAACCTCACCAGAACTTCAAGAACCCATGTCTACGGAGATGAAGCGCCACGAAATTCTTTCCCAAGAACGTCTGAATAAACCGCTGAGCTGTCAAGGAAATGAGCCTACTAGGTTCGATCAGCGTCTTGCAATTATGCTTGATAGGTCCACCAGGCTGCATAACCCAATCTTGCTCCATATCAGCATAAAACACATCCCCTATAGCGATCACACCATCATCACACTCAAACTTCTCCTTCACCTCTCCAAAACTCCGTTTACTCGGCTTCTTTATATCTTCACTCCAAGGAGCCTCAAGCTTCCCGCCAATAGAAACCCCCAACCCTTTCAGCTTCTTGATATGCTCGTCGTCCACATAACAAGGCTGCGGCGACGAGAAGTAACAGATGAACCTATCAATGCGAGCATCGCTCTTCTTCTTATCCTTCTCCTTGAACTGATCAAACGAAACGACAACGTTTCTTCCCAAGCAAGTGTTGATCCGGTCTATATCTATCACTCTGTCGTACTGGTAATCAAACTTAGGGCTCGGGATCACCAGGACTCGATCCAGCAACGCGGCGAAGAACATGTGTTTCTCTAAGCAGATCAAGTGGTTGCTCATTTGGCCTGAGAGACAGATGGCGAAGAGGAATTTGTCTGCTCTAGGCTTCCACTCAATCGTCTTCCTCTCCAGCAACTTCTGATCTACTTTTCTACATATGTCGAAGTTGTAAGAGCCAGTGATGATATCGGAATCAGGACCGGAGACGGAGTAGTTCCCGGTCTTGTGAGGTGATAAGAGCACATCTTCGATTTCTTTACTCAGTGAGATCTGCTTCGCTAGAGAAGAGCCAATTGCATTCGAGGAATTGAAGGTACGGTTCAAGAGGGAGACGAGGGCGAGCTGTTGCTGCCTCACGAGATACAGAGCGCGGAGCTCAGATTCCTTGACCCGATTCGACAGTGAATCGAGCTTAAGGCGACGAGTATCAGTGAATAAGAAGAAGAAAACGATGAGCAGTGTTAGGGAGACGGCAGCAACGACGTAAAGCTTGTTGGGTGAGATTTTCCAGCGGTTTGGGGATCGTGAGACGGTTTCGTCGATCTGGAACGCCGATCTCGGGCTCCTTCCGCCGCCGTTTGCCCTATTTGTGGTGGCCCTGGCGGTGGTGACGGAGCGAATCTCATCTTCACGGCGGCGGTTGAGATCGTTGTTCCTGATGTCGTTCTGTGGGATTAGATTCCGGTGGTCCTCTTCGTCATCCGACGAGTTGTGTTCCATCGCCGAGAGAGAGAGTAGCTAAAAATCACTGAGCTGCAAATTCCCGGAAAAATGAAATTTTTGGAAGTACCCGAATTTTATAAAGTCAAAATCCGATTGAAATAGAAAAAGATGAGAAATTTTTGAAGAATTTACAAACTTTCAAGTAAACCATACTCACACTAGTCTGAATCAAGACAGGTTTACGCAAACAAGTGCGTTGCGTAATAAATTGGAATAATGATGAGCAATCACCATCTTCTCAAAAGCAATAACAAATTAACAACGATCGCAGTTATTTACCGTCGTCGTTTTTGGACGAGATGTGGTGTCTCCTTGGCTGAGTACTGTCAACAGAAAGCTGCTTGCACTGTGCAGCCACCGTTTCCATGTGGTTGAAGCCAACTTGTCATGCTTGCAGAATCTCAGTTTATATGGTTCTGAACAAGCCCATTCATAAATCTCGTTGAGCCAAGATCAGGCCATTAAGCAGCTGATGACATTCGAAGTCCATTACCATAACGCTAAGTTTCATATCTCTTCTAGAGATTCCATTGACGAACCAACATATGAGCTCTTGGAAGATGTATACAATTGAAAACGATAGGGTTCTATTTATCAAATGCAAACCAAACCATTGGCCACATATATACAAAGTAGTTTCAACAAAGCTAAAATATATATGTATGTAAATGTGAGAACAAACTTATGTTATCTGCTTTTAAAAGCACAAACCACGAGGAGGGGCTAAATCGAGTAAATTCAGGTGAAGATGAAGAGCACTAGACAAATCAAGACTACTCTTGATACTCAAAAGGGAGAGAGAGAAGGAGATATTTTTTATCGGAGCAAGAGTCGTCCAGTTGTCCCTGTCTTGTTGGCAGAGAAAATCACAGCTGAAGCAACGGCAACGCCATTACAACCCCGAAAACCGACACTAGCAACAGTATAATCCACGCTGGCAATCCCTGTTTCTTGTTCTTCCTCCTCCCCTTCAAGCCACCCTCTGAGTGCTCCTTTGTTGGGTCGACAGCTTTCTCTGACTCGGCTTTGGTGTTGTTACTTTGAGGAGACTCTGGAGTCGTCTGTTGCGTGGCAGCTTGCTCAGCTAGTTGCTGTTCGTTGTACTTCTCTACATACTCTGGAAATAGCTTCCGGAATGCTGGGCTGTAAACGAGTAAGAACATCAGATTTCAGGTGAAAAACTGACAACGTGTAAGCAAATGTGAATATATTGTTCTCTAATCAGCTTTTGGAGACTATCCTAAACATAAATAACCAAAGCTAGCTTCTATACGAATCCAGAATTCTGCAAAATTTTCGATGGTGGGATGATCTTACGTTTTACAATTGAAAGCGAGAGATGACTTAGCCAACCGTTGTTTCTCCTCTACAGTAGTGTTCACACTTCCGGTTGTTGGACTGTTATCCATCTGCAGCACAAGGAAAACATTTGGAGAAAGCTCAATAACAGAAATAAAGGATATTTTACCAGGCTAAATAATCAGAAGGTAGCCTAATAGACACCACTACAATATAACAATGTGACAATTTTCAAACAAATTGTCTATATATCTGAAACTCCCTTCAAATGAAAGATAAAGAAAACATGTAGAGCCTACAATGAGCTTACCATAAATGAGAGAAGTCCTGTAAGAATGCTGCATTCACCAGAAAGATTGGTTAACTACATGTATATAGGTCTTACTCTTTGGATATTAAATATGAGCATTATGAAAGTCGATCATTGTATACGTCAAAAGGAGAACGTTATACCTTGACACAGACCACATAGGATTCCAGCTTTCTGGATGAACTGAAAATGTCATGTAAAGTTATTCAGATATCGAAACACATAAGTGAAACGAAACAACAAACAGAAAGTGAACCATTGAGCTTACAATCACTCATAGATAAACAGATTTTCTTTTGTGTCATGAATCGGCCATTGGGTGTAGTCATTCTGAGGCAAAAAAAAAAGATGTGGTTCATTAAAAACTGGACAATACAAACTCAAATAAGATTAATGTTAAGACCAAATTCTGAAGAAACAAAAGAACATACGTAATTCCGGGAGGCTTGTAAGGATACTCTGGAGGGAACTTGATCTTTCCATAGTAATATCCACCTGTTAAAAGGAATTCGAGTATCGAAATCAGATACCCCAAAGGAACGCATAAGACAAAACGAACAAGAAACTCCAGAAAGAAGATTTCACCTGCAAAAGGTGTTCCTTCACTACCTTCCAGCACATAATCTGTAAGGTTAAGGCCAATAGTTCAAATCTTTGTTAGTAACAGCTCAAGCTAGCTTTATTTAAATGCTACAATAACACTGGTGGCTTTACGCTATTGAGACGAAAACATATCAATTCGTTGTGTTTACTCTTAAAGCTTATATAAACCTTTGACTTCACCATTCTATCAAAGTAACCAGAAAAATGTGGGACCTGTTCTGTCTAGCCTCATCATAACAACAATAGTTTCATAGTTTCTTTTATATTCCCAAGTACAAAAATAAGTCCATCAAATATACATCATCCTAACACCTTTAAAGAAAAACTTGCAACAGAATTACAAGAAATCCAATAGGAGAAAGACAGACAAAAAAATGAAGTAAGAAGATAGAAAAGGCTTACGCCACTCGAGAATGTCATTTGGCGAAGGACGAGCGACAACATGGGAGACTGGTTCCTAAAGGACCAAAGCAGAACATATCATAAATATGAAACTTACTCTAGAACAAAAACCATGAAAACATTCACATACAGGTACAGAAACATTTGAAAAAGTTGAGAAATCAAATCACGTTACAAAATTAAAGAGTCCTGAAAGAGATTGTACCTTGGTAAGTGCTCTAAATTCCTTTTGAAGACGTTTAATACAAGCCTTTTCTGCCATCTATGAGCTACGGAGTAAGTGAATAGCTGCAGCTGTTATTATTAAACACGTTTAACAGAGTCAAGAAATCGAATTATATATAACGATACTTCAAGATATTGTGCAATACTATCAAAGCATAATTGAAGAGACAAGTCAAACGAATCACACACAAGATCAGATGAAACTTGAATCAACAACAAATGGATAATGACACCTTTTTATTATGAATCTCCAAAATCTAAGAGCTTGGGGAAATACTTTTACGGAAATTCGATCGATTCAGATTCAAGTGAAGAAAAATGATCTGGAAATCCCTAGAAAATATCTTAACCCAGAAATTCCATTTGATCCAACAATTATAGGCAAAAAAACAGCTCGCAGCAGCTGAAATTTCTTCGATCAATATCTAAGAACCCCAGATACTTCCTCAAAGAAACTGCTTAAATTTGATAAGAGGATCCAATTGCAATCCAACCTTCGCTCTTACCAAGAGAAGAGACGACGTAGTACAGATCAAAATGAAATGCAGAGAGGAAATTCCTAAGTAGATAACATCAGATCCAAGAGAAAAAAAAAGGAAACTATGATAGAAATTCAGTACCTGAATCGAATTTTCTCGAGGAGGATTTTCGATTTGGGGTTTCTCGTTATTTACTTTCTCTTTCTCGTCGGGTAGAGAGAGAGAGAGTAGCATAACTTGGGATGGTTTAGATAAACCGAACAGAATTCAACAATCATCCCACGCGTTTTAGCCGGTATTGTTTAATCATTCATCCCGGTTCGTTATTCGTGTGCCAGTTCACAACCACAAAATGAAACCCCTTTATGTTCTTTTTGACATAACATTAACAAGCCCCTTTCTAATTGAGGATTATAATTTCAAAACTGTTTAATGCACTTTTCCCTATTTCATTATTCTCCACTTGATGATATCTACTCATCAAGAATCTGTGCCGGTTCTTGGAATCAATTTTTTCTTCTCTTCATGTATAAAATAATGTCTTAAAACATAAATAACCATATAAGAAAAATACAGTTTTTTGCAGAGGGAAAAAGTAGTGATTAGTAGAGAGACAAAACGTCAAAACAGCTGTTTACCTGCAACATTTTTATTTCTGAAAATTGGACTTACACTAATACTCTCCAAGTTCCAACGTTATGTCTTTATAAGTTGATTAAACAAAGTTTAAGTTTTCAGGCTCTTTTGAGTTCCCCAATAACAGTAGGCAGAAAAACACGTGCTGCAATCACATGACCACCATCTCTAAGTTTCAAAGCATTTACGTGAGTTAGGTAATGTGGTTTATGTGGGTCTCTGTCTCTGCATATCAGCATATGAATTGTATATATGCGAAAATATAGATGCTGAGGAATATCATCATCAGTAAATGATTAAAATTAAGATAAGTATCTCACCATTTGATTAAACAACATCAGTCAACAAAGTACGATCACGTGATCAGATCCCCAAAACTATGTGTTCCAACGCAAATAATATTTATTCTATAAAGCAACAAAGCTTTAGAACTCTCTCGTCTCTCTCTCTTTCTCTAACTCACATCTCCATCCAAAATTTTCTCAGTAGTTACAGTCTCAAAAACAGAACAAGAACAAACCTAAAAGGATTACAAGAAGAAAACTCGCAATGAAGAGATGCTGTTCAGTGGCTTTGGTTCTGCTACTTGTAGCTTTCTTTAGCAGCAAGTACAGCGTGGAGGGACGTTCTCTGTTGAGGATGACACATTCTAGTCAAGCTGTGAATGATTTGCAGATAGGTAAGGAGATGAAGGAAGAAAAGCCGCTTAAAGGAGAAAATGAAAGCTTTCGGAGAATCCCAAGGAGTGGCTCAAACCCTATACAGAACAAGTAAAGAACCTACAAAAGACATATTAAAGTTTTTGATTTTTATGAATCCCAAATATAATTGACAGCAAGATAAGTGTTTCTTTTTGTATCAGGTGTAATCCACCGATATTTGTTGAAGGTAGTAGAAAACAGAAGGTCACAACAGCAAGAAAACCTTAAATTTTTGTCTTTTATTGTTCCTCTTAGATCTTCTACGTTTCTTTTTATCTTTTTTCTTTTTTGTAGAATAGGTAATTAGACTTGTTTCTTAATGTGTAACCTACTTGAAATATCTCATCTCTTAATTTCGGAGTATTCAATCTTATGAATCAAGAAAGGAGAAATTAAAAAAGCCTTACTCGTGTAGTCTTACCTTCAAACTCTCAAATCTTTGTGTTCTGCGTCTTCCCGGTAATATTAGTGAGAAAGAAATGCATCATATTCTTCTCGGTAATCTTTTTCCTTGTGTTCTTTCGTTCTTCTACTTGAAATGCATCTTAAGATGTGTTATTTGGGAAATTTGACTTTCTCGAACCAAAAGCAGAACAAAACTCATTATATGCTGACTCATCAGCTGCATGTATGGATTTCCACTGATTAGTTCTCACTGCAAAACTGCAACAATGAATCAGTTTTGTAGTATTTGAAAATGGATGAACAAAAAATCACAGTTGATTCAACGCCATTTATGAGCATATAAAAGTGCACTTCTCCTAAATCGCCGATCCAGATTGTTTACAATAATTTTTGGACCAAAAGAAACAAAGTGGAAGTTTTGTGGCATCCAACAAAATACATTTGTAGATTCTGCTAATGATTTGATACCAAGATACTGTAGTAGCTTGAATATATCTATCAACAAGAGCCTTATCATTAGCAAAATACATGTGCTAAAAACATTTGTAAAGCGTTACCAAAAAGCTATATCCTACAATATAAAATACATTATTCAGAATTCAACAATACTAACTCTAAGGATGTTATATCTTTTGTGAAAATATTTTTTCCTTGCGTGGTGTGCATATTTTTTCTGATGTTTTGTATTGAAAACGAGCAGTCCTCTTATGATTTGTCTATTTTACAGCTGCACATATGAGTGTTAAGTATTCAATCAAGAAAACCGTTTAGACATTATACAAAGAAAGTTACTCTAATATGTACGTAGCATATCGCAAAAGTGTTGTTTTCGTATCCTCTTCATTAGTTAATATAGTAAGCTTTCGCTCTTCTTCCAGTTAAGGTAGTGAGTTCATGTCACTTAGCTTAGTCTAGAAATTGTGAGAGTGGATTTATTCTTCGGATAATCTTCTGCCACTTTCATTTTCATCAGTTTGCAGAATTATCATTTTAGCTATTTCGTATTTTTAATTGATTCAAAAAAAGTCTAATTACTTATCACAAATGTTAATGTGCAAAAAAGTCAAACTATATCTTAACATCCGGTCGATAAGATTAAGTGGCCCAGAGGCTAGCACCTAATTTAGAGAACGAGATTTGTCCAAATTCTAAGTTCTAATAACAGCGTTTCAGTCGCTGACTTACAGCACATGGTTTTGTCTGAATCCTTGATCCAGAAGGAGATAATTACATACATAGGCACTTTTGGAGATTGATATTACAGCTTAAGGCACCTTCCGTGAATAGGTGACTTCCCTTTGATTTGCGACCAAAAGTAGAGAAAAGTAAGGGTAGCAAATTCCACTTTTGTCCCTTCAATCTTTTTATTAATTTAGCTGCTATTCACGGTTTCGAATATTTTAACTTTTCACCGCACCGATGAAAAGTTCGTTTACAACAGCGGAGGAAAACACGCCGCCGTGTAGTTTAAAGCTTCGAAGATTCTGAAAAATGTTCTATCTGAACTATCGGCAAGAACTTGAATCTCCAAAACTAATCGATTAACAGAACCGACTGCCTGAAAAAGACTATTGCAATTCATCACACGTGTACAGTGGTTAATAAACAGCCGATCTATGTCGTCGGAGGGGAATAGGCGTTCCGAAATTAGAAGAAAAGCCAGCCAGACGGCCATTAGAGCGTACACATTATTTATTTATCAACAATATTGTACACGCTCCAGAGTCCAAAGCGGCCCATCCATACATTTCATCGACAATATAGAGTGGACGAAATGGCTGCAGTGGACGACTTGGCGAATGTTACTCAGTCCCGCCTATCGTACACATCGCATTTTAGATATGGACGATATGGCGTGGACATGTGGGAACTTTATCGCCATGTTATCCATTTAACCTTTGGTTTAAGAGCGTCAACCACTTTACGGTAAAAAGTTGTAATCCAAATTGGATATATTCTATTGACAGCAATTTATGGACGACATGTCTGCCCAGCACTACCTGGCGACGCCCACATTCCAAATGACCCTGTTCGTAGTCACGCGTCACGTACACATCGAATTGTATATATGGACGTTGTAGCTTGGACATAACATGAACTGATGGGCCATGTGTTCCATTTAACCTTTGGTTTAAGAGTCTCAACCACTTTACATGAGAAAGTGTAGTTCAAAATTGACCCTTCGATTGTTCCTATTATTAATTGCGCCTTCATCCTGCAGCCATAAGAGCGTACACATCATTTTTATTGGTAGGAAAAGGCTACTCATACTGTCAGAGGTTCATTAGAGGATAAGTTTGGTTGGCACAAGTTTTTCTTCACATACAAACTATCGTAGCTTTCTTGTTCTTAGCCTATCGTAGAACAAGATCCACAGTTTCTAATGGGTCAACATTGTATGGTTATCAGCGGTGAATGGAGGTGTTCTCCAGATGTCAAATGGGGATTCCTTATCGACAAGCAACGCATGTCCCGCGTCGTCACGTTTCAAGACGGGATGAGTATCGAGGAGCTGAAGAACAACGTTTTCCGAGAATTCTTTCCCGACGGCGTCTGTGCGATGTCTGTCGATATAAGCTACTGGCCACCTAACACGAACGAGCTTGCAACTGGGATTACCACCCCTCCGGTAATGGTAACAAGCGCGCCTTCCATATCATATTTCTGCCAGCACCATAGTGTCAAGTGTTCGATGAACTTGTTCGCTACCTTTGTCAACCGACCCACGTCCACCCCATTTCCCGATGTTGGTCTTCCTCCCGATGCTTACACAACCCCTAAGCCGTCAATGAAAAGAAGCCGCTTCAGTGATGACATCGGCGGTGAGGGTAGGTTCGGCGTGGGCATTGCGAATTCAGCTGACAATGGGTCCTCGGTCGGTTCGCGGAAACCTCCTGCCGATTTCGACGATGAAGTTCTCGTCAGACACATGGAGAGAGTAGAAAACGTTCTGGGCAGCGGAAGCCATACGAAGAAAGATCTCTACGACCTGAACACATATTCCGAGCAGAGTGTTCAAGAAAGCATGGACGATATCAGCAGCGGCATTGGGGCGAGGGACGACAGATTCAACAACCCAAACACCAGTTTAGGGGGTAGTGTTCTCAACGACGTGGATAAGATGGCATCCGGTCCTGCTGGAAAAGATTTTCCATTCGAACCCCCGAACACGCGACCGGGGACACGTGTTCAGGATACTCTCGACGATATCATGGGCCATGGCAAGGAACACGGCTACAACTCTGCTAACCTCCAGACAAGGTCTGGAAATCCTGTTCAAGACGCCATGGACGAACTGATTCAAGAACTCAGTGGGAATGACTACAACTCAGACGACCTGAACACAGACGACGAAGACAATGGAGAACAGGACTGGGAGAGCTTCGATGTTCGTCCCTTAGGCATTGATGAGGAATTTTGGGAACCGCTTGTTGACGAGGTATACGGAGGATCCGACGCTCCCGATTTCATGTGCGATCAGGACGGTCCACCAATTGATGTCCCACCAACGGTTTACAGATGTTCAACCAACAATGCATTCGACCATACTGTCGTAGCTGGCGGAGACGGCGGCGTTTGGAAAACCGAAAGCATGCCTGGGGCTTCCACGTCCTCCGCGCCAGGCGGGACTCACCACGATGGTACCAACAGTTCCAAAGAAACGTCAGACAGTCAATTCACAATGGACGGCGGCAACGCGGGTTTTCCCGGTAACTGTGGACACACCCGAGCGTCTGCTCAGACCAACACGCCTGGGAAAGGCATGAACACACCAAACGGAGGACGAACCTCCAATACCTCGGGAAACACTGCCTATCCACATGGACCACAAGGTATGGATAGCGGAAATGATGACCCAACCAGGAGTCATCGTACATGTGGACCGGAAAATACATTGCCAGCCAGGACCACCCTCGGAGAGATAGACGACGAGGAGTTTGACATTCCTCCCCTGTTTGACGATACGCAGTACGAGAACGCCGAAATCCCCGACCTAGAGATCGATGAATTGGGTGGGGAAGTTGTTGTTGGGAAAGTCTACTCTAGTAAGAAAGACTGCCAAGTAGCGCTTGCTATTTATGCAATCAAAGGCATGTTCAATTTCCGCCAGACGACGACAAAGAGCAACTACTTTGTTCTGAATTGCACCGACCAACGCTGCGACTGGAGAATATTAGCGGTACAGGTAAAGAATTGCGGCTACTATGAGATTAAGAAAGCTAACCTACACCACACTTGCTGCATTGAGACTAGGAGTTTGTTCAAGAAAAAAGCCTCATCCCGCTTTATTGCCGATGTCTTCAAAGCCAAATATGGGGATCCAGTCAAAGGACCACGAGCGGCTGATTTACAACAACTTGTTCTCGAGGAGCTTCGTGTTGCGGCCTCCTATATGCAGTGTTACAGGGCAAGAGAGGAGGCTATCACTTTTGTTAGAGGGACGGACGACGATTCTTATCCTGGACTGCCTGAGTATCTTTACATGCTCAAACTTGCCAACCCTGGGACCGTAACCAATTTGGTCACGGAGAAAGATGTTTTTGGCGTTGATCGGTTTCTGTACTTCTTCCTCTCGTTTGGTGCATCGATTAGGGGTTTTAGGCGTCTTAGACACGTTATCGTCATCGATGGAACTCATCTCGGTGGTAAATTCATGGGCACTCTCCTGACAGCTAGCGGCCAGGACGCAAATTTCCAAGTCTTCCCGCTTGCTTACGCCGTTGTCGATAGTGAGAACAACGACTCGTGGACATGGTTTATGGAAAAACTGGAGAGGATTCTGGCAGATAGCTCCTCCCTAACAATTATCTCAGATAGGTGCCCTTCGATCAAGGTTGCTAAGGCGAAGATATATCCAAAAGCCCATCATGCTGCTTGCATAGTCCATTTAGCCAGGAACGTTACTGCACGCTACAAGAGTAAGGGCCTAGCAAAGATGGTCGTAAGCGCAGCTTTTCAATACCAGGTCGGAGGTTTCCGGAAAATATACCATGATATTAGGGCCGCGAGCCCAGATTGTGCTAGGTATTTGCATAAAATGGGGATTGCGCATTGGTCTAGGGCTCACTTCCCTGGTGAGCGTTATAACTTGATGACCAGCAACGCCGCTGAGCAGCTTAACAAGGTACTGAGGGGTGGTAGGAACTCACCGATACTCGAGCTCCTCAAGTTCATCCAAGATATGATGACTAGGTGGTTCAACGCTAGGAGAAAGAAGTCGCTGAAACACACGGGTATGTGTACGCCTGCGGTGGATAAGGTTTTGACAGCAAATATGGAGGCTTGTAAGGGAAGTAAGATAAACATGGTATCCAGCTGGGCCGTCCAGATTGTTGGTCGTTTTGGCGAAAAACACCAAGTTTCTTTAAGAGAAAGGATTTGCCTGCAGATTTGTTCAAAGTCAGTGTCATGCCTCCTAACACCCACAGGCCGTCAGGGAGGCCTAAAGAAACAAGAATTCCATCCACCGGAGAAGTCCCAGTAAGTCAAATTACATGACCATCCCCATTACTTTTATATTATCAAACCTGCTCCATCTTGACTCACTGTTTTCCGATTGAAGTTGCCAAAACCGAAGAAGGTAGTTCCAAACAAGTGTTCACGTTGCCAGGGCGTGGGCCACAACAGGACCAGCTGCAAAAACCCCATCTAACACTAGTTTACTACTGCGTTTTTCATTTATATATGGTTGCAACACTCTCGGCTTAGAATCAACCTCTGCTTCTTATCTATCTTTGGCTTTTTGGTTACAGGTTTTTTAATTTCACTTGTTTTAGTAAACTCACCGCTTTTGTAAACCCTAGTTGAGTTTTTAACTCTCGGCCATCGAGATTTGTTTTGTAACCACGTTTTGTAAACACGCTTTGTAATCTCATGGTTATCTTCGGCTTTCTTCCTCATCATATATCTCCAACTGATGGATACCAATACATAACTCATTGAATGAGGATGATAGATACGTAGCCCCTGCCCTATGCTTAAAAGCGTGTCATCAATAATATATTACATCAACTATCACCACCTGAATACATAATCGAATATGTGTGTACGCGATACGGTGGACGACAACTGCAGGGAGGGGCGATACAAAATAGGCAACCCAATCACAAGTACAAGGCCGGTTGTTTATTATACGATGGACGCCCTCTGCGTTGACATCGTTGGCAAATTTGGCGGTTTGGAACATACTATTGCAAGGGCTGCAATTATATTACATCAACCCTAATGAAGTGAACATATAATCAATTACGGGTCTTCATATACGATGGACGACATATGCAGTTACATCGTAGAAGAATTTCGCCCATTGATGCAAACGATGTACACATGTTCGTGCAACCGTGGACGGAAACATGTTCAGTCAAACCTACAAGATTTGCTAAGTTTCACCGTTTCTTAAGCTACAAAGCCGTTTACAAAGGGTCCACCATTCAAAGGAAAATTAATCGACCCCAACCCATCCACACCTATCTAGTTGAATAACGCGGTAAGAGCAACAACGCTAGCGATTATACCAAACGCAATAGCAACCTTGAACTCGTACCCTACTCTGTCATCACGTTTTTTAATTAACCCCTTCAGCACCTCGATCTCGTTAACAATCCCCTCCAAGCATCCACAATCCACGCTGAGATTCTGCACCTGCGTATCTACGCCGGCCAAACCGTCCTTCAACTCACCCAACTCCTCTAGAATTGCTTCATCCAACCACATTCTCAGGTGCGGCTCTCCATCCTTGAGTGACCAGCATTATTTTCAGTGAGACATGGAATATTTCTTATACGAAGGTACAACAATTATTTTACACTTACCATGGTATTCCCCTTGCATAAGTAGAACCTTTTCCCATTATCACATGTGCGAAGAGCAACATCCAGACCACATCTACACTTACTCGGAATCCCCACTCGTCCATGACCAAGATAGCTTCTGTAGCTGCCCGAGTATGATATGGAGGTCTCGCTGTTGCAACTGAATGTCATATTAGCCCTGCAACATGATTTTGGACACCAATTAAGATCGTAATCACAACCGGAACAACTACACGAATCCTTCAACATATATCTTGGACAGGAGGTAAAGGGAGTAGAAAGCTTCTCACCGGGTGAACAAGACACTGAGAGTCTGATTACGATTGTCAGATTCCGCCTCCCAGTTCACCTCTTCGCCGTTCCCTGAACACTTTAGCAGAAAACAAGACTTTTACAAATTATTGGCCCACACCCATGCCCTATACGATAAGGGAAACTAGTGGCCAGGATTTCATGCTACACACGTTGGGGCGAGGACCGAGATATTTAATGTGAGCATTGTTGTATTCTCGATGGGCATCATCAGTCCTCAAACGAGAAATCTCATCGATCGGTGTACAGATTCGCCAGTAAGAAGATTACGAAACATAGTTCTGTACACACACTCCGATCTCGAAATTATGTCCACGACAATAGCGCGCATAACTCTTTAAGACCATATATTACTCTACAACTGGTTTCATATACAGAGTGCAGAAATTATCAATTTTAGTCATTCTCCATGCCCCCACGAACATATAAATGCTTGTCCACACATGGGTGCATGAGTGCACAACCTAAAAATTAACATGCAAGCCAATATTGAATTGTAGTCCACAACAGTTGCTCTCAGACAGAGTCATCCATACACAGCTGTCAATATGTACCAAGAGTACATCTTCATATCGTCATCATTTGGGTATTTTAGTCCACGCAAGTCTATCCACTCATGTTTCCACACACATGAGTTGCCAAAACAGATTTGAATCCAATATTACGTATTCTTCACCATATATTACGGACGGACGGACAGGACCATAACCGTTGGCAGATACAGAGTGCAGATTCCGTCATATAAGCCAATATGAAATTGTAGTCCACAAAAGTTTGCCCACACACAGAGTCGTCCATACAAATCTGTCCATATGTACCAATAATATATCTTCATCTCGTCATCATTTGGGTATTTTGGTCCACTCAAGTCTATCCACTCATGTTTCCACATACATGAGTTGCCAAAACGGATTCGCATCCAATATTACGGTCCTTTTTAACCATATACTCCCTCCGTTTCAAATTAGTTGTCGTTTTGGCAAAATGTATCTGCAAATATTTGGACGTATCTGCAATGCAAAACACGTCCAGATACGTCCAAATATTTGCAGATACATTTTGCCAAAACGACAACTAATTTGAAATGGAGGGAGTATTACATACGGAGGGATAAGACCATAACTGTTGGCATATACAGACTGCAGATTCGGTCACTTTTTTCATTCTCCTTGTTCTCACGAACATAGAAATGCTTATATTTAGATACGACCTAAAAATTGCCTTACATGAGTGCACAACCTTAAAAAGGCCATACACGGCGATATATTACTGAAGTCCACATACAGGGGTACACACATGGCGTCGTCCATTTATGATTGTCCACCTCGTGAAGTGGTTCCATATATACCAATACACATCTTGCTTTCGTCATCAATTAGGAATCGATCCATTCATGTTTCCACACGCATGCCTTGCCAAAACGATTTCGAAACAAATATAACGTATATTTAAACATATATTACATAAACATACTTGGTCTAAACGAACCTCACCATCCATGGGTCTCCACAAACACTTAAACGTTTAAACATATACTACATAAATATGCGTCGCAACGTTTGCCCAAGGGTCATTACGAATATTACAAGAGTTGAATATCCTGGAGATTGCGGAACCCGCTTCCAGCTTACTGAAAAAGAACAATTGCAAAAGCAATCATAAGCACCACCGAAAAGCACACCACAACAATCTTCAACTCCTTCGCCGATTTTCGATCGTGTTTCATCACACTCTCCTTCAGCAAGTTTATCTCGTCCGCCAGTTTGTCGGAACGACCACAGTCCATCGTGATGCAAGTTATATGCCTGTTGATGTCGTCGATTTCATCATAGAGCTCATCAAACTGTTCCGTTATAGCTTCCTCCCACCATGTTTTAAGGTGTGCTTGTCCATCCTGCAATGTACATAACCCTCATTTATGACCACCTACAGTATATTTGAACATCCTTTATGACCACCTACTTCAAAATAACACAAGGATGCTCACTATTGTGTCCTCCGTGCACTCGAAGAACCTCCTGCCGTCATGATTCTCACGAAGAGCTACGTCGCCACCACATCGGCACCTCTTCGGTATTCCCAAGCCTCTCTTACCTGGGTATGTTCTTAGGATGCCCTCATACGAATTCGAAACCACACTATTCCGATTGAAAGACATTTCCGGAGTTCTTCCTGTCAAAGACAAATGACGACAATTCTACAATTATTATTATACCAAATAATCGCAAAACCAATTATCGCGCATGAACACTACGCCGAATTAAACTACTCTATCTACCTACTGTATACGAATCATCCTTCAGATTAATTTGCCAGGTTTGCAACATAATCTTACCGTCTAGTAGAGAAAGAGACAATGTCGGGTGCTCCTCCAGATCCGCAAACCCCCAACTTCGTTTTCTCATAAAACCTAAGTTTTCACTGTCTTTATATAATATTTTTACCTCCGCTTCACAAATTGCAACACCCATATTCACTTGTGCTATCCACGCCCGTACACATGTGTTATCCGGTACAAATCCGTCCACAATCTGGAGTCCACACACAAAGCCTCCCAAGTGCGAGGATGGGATCAATATTACATAATCACATTTACACACATCCCGTCCACGGCCACAGAAATCGGCCTTCTCGCCCGGACACATGTGTTCTCCGGCAAAATACATTCCCATTCAATAGGGTAGGGACGTCCACAATCTTCTGTACACACATAAAGAGAGAGTGCACAACCTATAAAAGACATTACCTATGAAAGGCCTTACAAGGAGATATGGTTTTTACGTCCACTTCCGGATGCCCACAAGGCGTCGTCCATTTATGTGATAACATCTGTATAGGGTTCCATATATATGTGTTTATCCGTGTCATCCATTCATCCGTTTTTACACCTTCCTCTCCTCATCCATTACTAATTATTATCCACGCATGTCTATCCACTCCACTTGCCAAACACATGCCTTGCCAAAACGAATTCGATTCAAATATTGGCGCAATGTGGAAACTTATATTAAATCAACATACTTAGTTCATCGATCATCTGTGACTGAATATTTAATACCTCGGTTATTTAATACGCTGTTTTATGTTCATCGATCATCTGTGACGGACATTCCTGTTATAAGAAAGACGTAAAACTTTTCCTTGTTCTTGGGAATAAAAAGTAAAACATCCTGTTTGAATTGGAAACATGTGCTTTCAGGCCACGTCGTACACGACAACACATGCCAACAGTTTCAAGTAAATTTATTATCCACCAAACAGTACCACCATACTGTCTTCTCACAAAACATAACTAGCTCTAACTAGCTCTAACTAGCTCATGTTTCTAAGTAAATTGGAAACTGACTGTCTTCTTACAAAACATAACTAGCTCTAAAGATGGATAGGATAACGAAACCTATACTACTTAAACTCACCAGCTTACTTGACAAGTTCAATAAACTATCCTAACGAAACCTATCCTAACGAAATCTGTTCTCATAGTTATCAGCTTACTTGACAAGAACAATAATCAAACCCATAATAACCACCAATACACCGCACACCACTGCAAACTTCCGCTCCCTCCCCGATTCCCCAAAAAAAAAAAAAAAGAAAAAAAAAAAAAAAAAAAAACGAAACCTATACTACTTAAACTCACCAGCTTACTTGACAAGTTCAATAAACTATCCTAACGAAACCTATCCTAACGAAATCTGTTCTCATAGTTATCAGCTTACTTGACAAGAACAATAATCAAACCCATAATAACCACCAATACACCGCACACCACTGCAAACTTCCGCTCCCTCCCCGATTTTTGCTCGCGCTTTGTAACATTTTCTTTAAGCCCTTCTACCTCTTCAACAAGTGTCTTGAATAGACCGCAGTCCATCGCCATGTAAGTGAGTTGTGTGTTGATGTCGTCCAGTTCATCATAGAGCTCACCAAACTGTTCCGTAATTGCTTCCTCCCACCAAGTCTTAACGTGTGCTTGCCCATCCTGCAAAAACATTTATATTTCTCCAAGTTAGGGGTTCTTTCCTTGAACTATCTTACTCTACTCCTAAACAATTTACACTGACCATTGTGTTCCCAGTGCACTCAAAGAATCTTCTACCATCATGATTCGTGTGAAGAGCTACGTCACAACCACATCGACATCGTTTCGGAATCCCAACACCTCCCTTTCCGGGGTATGTTCTAAGGATGCCCTGATACCAATCCTGGCAAACCCTTTTGCCATGGGTTGCCATCTCCTTGCACTTTGTTCTGTTAAACAATTTACGATATATGCCTAATTAATATATCCCCAATTGATAATACGATACAATTGACGATATATCGCCAATGTACAATAGGCTCATTGCAATCAAACGAGGACCTTACCAGTTTGCAGGCAGATCTATTTCACTCCAAAAACCACCGACTTGATTTTCGTCCCAGCCCTAAGCTTCGCCGCCACAGTTTTTCTTTGTTCCCTCAATTGAAGACGTTTGGGCCTCTTATACAGAATAAAACGACGCAAATAAAAAACCTACAGTCTAGAATGTACCCTCCTATGATACACACCTAACAATATTTAAGTTCCCTCGTACACTCTCTCGGGTCCACAACTCTCATTGTGTACGGTTATCATTGCAAACCGACATTATACACGTCTAACACCAATCATTTATGTAGACACAAATAATGCCAATCCACAAATGTCAATCCACGTACGTCGTTCATGCGGAGTAATATTTAAGTTTCCTCGTACAATCTATCGGGTCCACAACTCTCATTGTGTACGGTTATCATTGCTCATCGACATTATACACGTCTACACAATAAGTGGCCACATTTACTCGTAAAAGGTCACAACCAATCATTTATGTAGACACAACTAATGCGCATCCACAAATGTCAATCCACGTGTCTTGTCCACTGCGAGTTTCGTTGCTGCTTCGTACACAACCCTTTCCATTCAAAAAAAAAAACATACATTTAATGTACCCTCCTACGATACACACCTAAAATCCTCAAGTTTCCTCGTCCACTCTATCTGGTCCAGAACTGCTACTTACCAAATAAACCTTTCCCCATTATACTGATGCTGTCCATTTTCCCTTGTCCACCTGTTTGTTTTCCACACAATCTCTTTGCCTAACACATAAGGAATCAAATGTTTAAACAGCTTTACCCCGCCATCTAGGTGTGCACACTTAAACGTTTAATCAAATTTTACATAAACATACTTAGCGTAAAATTCAAACTTCCAACAAGGTTCAACCAAAACACACATAATACTTATCAAAATAAAAAAACTCCGACCAAGATTCAAAGACAGCACCCTCAAAAACATTCTCCATTGGGTGCTCGTTCCGATATGTTATAAATAGTTGCTTAGGGAGACGATGGTGGGAAGTATAAAGGGACTACCAATTCCCTGTACAGCTCCACTGCATAGCTCTTCCGGAATTCATCCACCATTATGTCAGTAATCCCGGCTAGGTGAGGCGCTGGATCGTTGTACGCATGCATTTCCAGGAACTTTACTGCCACCGGTCCACAGTCACCTGCACGTGTATTCTCGTAAATATCACGTAACCGAGAATAGGTGAAAGGCTTCTTTTTTTGGGTTGGCGATGGGCACATATTGCTGAGGATGTGAGGAAGCATGTCCACAACTGGTCCCATGAATTTATCCACCTTCCGATCGGCGTACAGTGAAGGGAATGGGTCCAACACCTCCACAAAACGCGTACCAAGATGAATTGCCAATCCAACCCAATGCCTATCCTCCCATATCATTGGAGCGTATATTGTGTGCACCTCTTGAAGCCACGTCTGCCCTGGGACCAGCACAAATTTCCTGAGATTTTCATTCCATCTGACCTTCTCCTTGTTGATAGCGGCCTTGAACTTTCTATACTTCCCTTGAAGGTGGCTAATAAGCCAAGGCGAAGCAAACGACGACTGCTCTTTCATCAAAACGTCGGAGTGCTTTGCTCCAAGGTAAGACATCAATATTTCCATATGCTGCAGCGGTACACGGAAGGAACATATATAAGTGATGCACTAAAGTTTATAAAACTCAGAAAGAAACATTCATGCTCATACTACCTTCGTCGATATCCACTTCTGGCTCTCAGAGAGATCAAGGAAAAACGTGTTATCCAGATCATACTTATCCTCAGAAATGTGTAAACTGCATAGGAAGAGGACTCTCACATCATTGAGTGAACGAAATAAACATAAATATACCCGTTTTAGATACTTACAAGTCTTTGTCAGCTGAAAGTGTTTTCCTGAAGAGTGCGAAGATTTGAGACTCTGTTTCCGGGAACAGACGTCCTGGTTCACTGGTGTCTTTTGTCGCCGCACGGAGGGCATTAGCAAGCTCAGTCTCCATTTTAGAAGGACAGTGCGCTGCTCGTTGGGGTGGTGGCGAAGAGTCACCAACAGAGATATAAGGAACACCAATTTCCCCGTCCTTAGCCTTCCCAGTGTCCTAATTAACCAACACAGCCAATTATTTGTTAATCAAAACGAAAAAACTGTTAAATTACGCGATCTAAATGGAAACACTTTGAAGTCACTAAATCGGACCTCAACGGCCCCAAAGAACGTGGACGCTGCGACTGTATCGGATTCAACATACACCGCTTCAGACTCCTTGTGGACAGCTTCCTCTGTACCAACTTCATCCATCTTATCGTCATCAGATGTCTTTTGGACAGCTTCCACCTCATCAGTTGTCTTCTGGACAGCTTCCTCTGTGCCAGTGTCAAGGTCCATACCATCCCCACGATCATCTCCAATACTAGCGACATCCTTGCTTAAACCCGGCTCAAATACCTTGTTCAAATTGGACCGTCGGACAAAGTCAGTAAAATTAAATACTATATTGGAAAACTACTAATTAACTAAGAATAGCCTGCCCCTACCTTTGGTGGATCACGGAAAAGATAAGCATGAGAAACTATTTCCCAAGCACCGTCTCCATGATTCCGTGAAGAGACCATCAACGAGGCAGACTGCATAGGCCAAACGTAATACATAGACGGGACTCCAAAAGATTGAGTCATATTACTAGTGCTGCAAACCTGAGCGGTTTGCACTTTCGCTGGAAGAGCCATTGTACTGCTAATAGAATCCAGAGTTTGCACATGCAACTGAGGTGTCCTGCCCTCGCTAACGATGTTGTCAATAAGCGACTGCAGATGACTATCACCAAAGTCTCCTTCCCCCACCTGAACATAATAAGAAACCACCTCAGGCACAATTGGTAAAGAAACAGTACACGTTAAGGGAACATAACTTACTTCTTCATGTCTCACCAACTCATCCTCTCCCATTAAACCAGCTGTTCCTCCTAATTGTGGTTCAACCACTTCCTCTGGTCCTACCATTCCAGTCACTGCTGCTGCTTCCTCAACAGGTTGTTCAACAGATGGACGGATGTTAAAAGCCACGACGCCAGTCTCATCCATACCATCCTGTACATCGTTCAATTTTTCCTCGTCCAAACCTACCCGTCCATCATCCCTATCCATCTTGTCCGATGCGTCGCCGTTAACCACACTCTCAAACAACGGGGCCGCCTTCTCTGCCTCATCAGTACATTCCATACTGTCCACGCCTGCTTCCCTAGGGACATCCTTCTCCACATTTTCTCCCCCCTCATTATCCCTTTGTTCACCAACAACTGGACAACTCGTTTCCTCATCATCATGTACCTGCTTCTTTGTACATAGTCCACGCGTAAATATGTTTACAAAGCCAAAAATTATAGTACATTTCGAGATGTCCAAGAACCATACCTCTTTCCCATCATCACCCTCCCCAAAACTCCTCACCAAATCAAGTACTACACCCGAAGTAGATGCTCGGCTGCCTCTTGAGGCGGCTTGGTTGAGAGCTGGTGACTGCACAAGGAAACAAATAAATTCCACATTATGGTCCCCCAAGTAAAACCATTAAAAATTGCGATATAAATACAATATAACAGAACACTCACAAATTCAGGAGGCTCCATTAATTCCTGACTTCCACCAAACACCATATGGTTAGACGGAGGAGACCTCATATCTGACTCGTCAACTAAGTTCCGTTCCATCCACCGCCGTGGCATTATTTCTCCTTCTTTAAGGCTTATTATACTATCAGCTGCCAAATCGTCAGAACCTGATACATCCCTCTCGCTTGTGTTAGGTGTCTTTAGCTTGGGGCGAGGAACACGGCGTTGCGTTGAGAGCTTCCTCAATGGACGTGATGCCTGGAATTGCACTTTTCTCTCCAATTTTGTGGTCCGTGCTGCAAGCTTAAAATGTTCCTCCCTCAAATATTTAACCTCAGCTAACAGCCAATTGTTTTGCTCGGCCAAATCCTCAGGCGGTCCAGAATTGCTTGACTCACCAACCTTCCGCCGAGATGATTTCCGTGTTGTAGGAGGAGATTTACGGACACCAAGAGGACGCTTCTCCTTTTTACGGTTGAAAACATGTTTCTCGTGAGCAACTCTAGGCGGTTTGTACACATGCACAATTGCCTCGTAAATATCAGCACCACCAGGCCATTCAGCTTTTACAAAGCGGTGGTTGTTTGCAATGAGCTCCTCTAAGTAGGAAACCTTCCTGTCTTGAACCTCTTGCTCTGCAAACTCTCCCCAACCAATAAACCCTGGTGGCGCGACCACCGGTATTAATGGTTTCACACAGAGCTGCAATATAAGTGAACGTTAGTTTGTGAATAAAAAAAAGCCATTCTCGGCGTTAACACATTAAAATAATGTTCTTACATTAGGATGACTCTCGGCGTTAAGCACATCCTCATACGACAGCGATGGATTCGTTGGAAAGTGCTCGTCCTGCAAGTTCAGGAGGATGTCATCTTCCGAGGTTGTGGGGAGATACTCCAGGAGAACTGGAATGACCTGGAAGGCGAGGAGCTGCAAAGCCAGTGGGAAACCAAGTAGCCTAAACGATGGCTGGCCAACGTTCTTCACTAAAGTGGCCACAGGGTCTTCGTCTTTCACCGCTGGATTTCGCAAAAGACGCATTGTCGATATTGTCTTCATGAATGATTCCCGGCCCCACGGAAAGTTCAGAAACGCCTCTATGTCCCTCAACATTGACACATATTTTGGAGTTGGCTTGTGGGTTTGGCTGTTCACTACTATAACCCCATCAACAAGAAGAATGAGGCAAAGTCGCAGCTTCCTCTCACCGTCCATATCTGGTTCTTTTCTCAGTGTTTTAGCAATGTCGCCTAATGTTGTTCGCGAGTCATTTCCGATTATTTCCCGCCACCACTTATCGGGACCCTTTCGCGTTGGTGGTTGCCATTCCGGGTCGTATCCTTCGGGGAACTCACCGCAATGAAGACCTGTGACGCTTGTAAATTCGGACAAGGAAAAACGCAAAGGCTGTCCACCAAATACTGGATGAGCTTGCAGGAATCAGGGCACCTAACGGCGGGAAAATCCCACAGTTTTCCAAAACGAGAGCTCCTAATCCTCTCAAACTCACCCGGATTATTCCTCAGGATGTGCTTCACAAAAGCAATTGTATCAGGCTTCGAATAAACGTTCAGCCTCCGGTTAGGAAAGTGGTCTATTTTCAAGAGCCTCATCGGAAGTCTTATGTCGGGTTCTGCGTTTGTCTCCGTCCCTGGAAAACAAAAACGGTTCCAAGCCAGAGACATACAACTTCAATGTTTGAATACCAAATAATCATAGATACAAAGACCAATATTAAGCTATTCAAACCAAATCTGCGAGCAAAACAGTAAACTACAGCAACTCCTAAGAATCAGAGGGATTGAAAAGAGAATCGTCTCACCTTCCATCGATTACTCTATTCCTCCGGTAGAATCCTAAGTGTATACGATTACTGTATCTCCAAGACGAATATCGTCGCAAAATATGGTGGTTTCTAGCCGGCCTCCCAATTCCTGCGACTGCTTCGGATTCAGGCGGTGGTCAATGCGGTGCCGTTAGGGTTTTTACAGTAAGCCGTCTTTTCAGTTTCTAGTAAAAAAGGAGAGTGAGTATAATTAAAAGTGAATCGGTGGTTTTTGGGTAAAAGGCGAGAAATAAGGGAAATCTTAGAAACAGGGCCTTTTAGTCTTTTCGGCATCCCAAAGTCACCTATACGCCAAAGGTGCCTTTCTTGTTACTTTATAACTCCAATGTGCCTTTACATGTAAATAACTCATCCAGAAGTTATGTTGAATTATGTTCATTAATGATTTAATAAACTGGACCATTAAAAGATAAACTCTAAAATATATGCATGTCAACCGAAAAATATATGCATTGTTTAGTTACCTATAACAATTTATTCGTGTTGTAGTAATACATACGTGTTGAATAAGAGTGATTTACACTCATAGGCACTTATGAGTTTCAATCTTACAATAAAGGCACTTTGTGCTCCAAGGTGACTTTGGGTAATGGAAAAGACCAAAAACTCCTTCTCATTATTTCTTACTTGAATCTCACAGTTTCACCTCTTCCACATTTTACTTTTTTACAACACAAAAACTTAAACGGTGAAAACATAAAAAATCCTAAAATTCACAGCCGTGATTTCTCCGCCGTTTCCGCTGCCGATATCACTGTAATATCAATTAACGAGTTTTCAGCCGCTCTAATCAGCGATTTCTTCTGACAAGATTTCTCTGTCTAAAGGATAGCTATCCTATAAGAATTTCATCATCTCCAAGTGCGTTTGAAAGAGAGATACATAAAAAACCATGAAAGGTGATTCTAATCTCTCACTCCACTTACTGTTGAAATAAGCATAACTTTAGAAAGAAAAATAGTGTAGATATCTTTTAATTTTCTGATTTCTCAGAGGAAGCAAAGTTTCTGTCGAAGATTCGATAATCGATAAGCTGACGGAGAAAGATGAGTGGAAGACTATTTTATCCACATTCAGCTGTCCATATAATGTTAGCCACATGTGGTTAGCCATCTATCGAGTGCAAAATGTGATGGCAATATATGTTGTAATGGTTATCAATTGTATCAATATATAACATGTATATCCATGACATACATTCGGATATCCACACTTAAATCGCTTAGTGGATTAAAGCAATGTATTATACTAAGAAATGAATAACTATCACATAGATGCGGTTGCATGGATGAAACTAGCATAAATATATACGTTTATGAAGGAATTAGTTGATGGAACCAATATAGCAAACTAGCAAAAATATACTAATTGTTGGATAAGTAAGCATGATCAAACAATAGTTGGTATCCAAGAACACTATAGATATAAGACATGGACAAAAAGAACTCTTCAAAACTATCTACAAATATATTTGTATTGACAGATAACTTGTCTATGATATTTGAGAAATGGATGCAATGTCGTGGATGACATTAACATGGACATATAAGTTTATTAAAGAATAGATAGATGATAGTTGTGATATAGTTAGCTATGTGGCTGTACTTTCTAACTATCCGCCTATAGTGTTATGATTTAATGGGAAACAGTAAAGTATTATGTAGTGCAAATGGTGAATATAAATTTATTACATTTACAACTGTCAACACAACCCCATCCAGATTTGTCCATCCAAGGAGGAGAAGAAGTGGGAGGCATACATGCTGCAATGCCGACATTAGATAGTGTCGTATCTGACAGCTATGAAATGAACATGGTCATTGGTGGACAGGATGATGTGGATGGCCCTGATGGACAGTTGTCTATGGATGGCAAACTTCAACTGCCTAAGGTTGATGTCATTGGTACCTAATTGTCATTGGTGGACAGGATGATGTGGATGGCCTGATGGACAGTAGTCCATGGATGGCGAACTCCAACTGCCTAAGGTTGATGTCATTGGTATCTAATTGTACAAAAATTTTCAATCTTCTTTCTTTTAAATGACAAAGCCAGCATTTTCTGTTTTAGTAGACGACACTAGCATGAACATATATGTTTTTATTAAATAATAAATAGATGATAATTTTGACATAGAACACATGATTAAATACAGTTATACAAGAATCAGTGGATTAAAGCAATGTATTATACTAAGAAATGAATAACTATCCATATGGATGCGGTTGCATGGATGAAACTAGCATAAATATATACGTTTATGAAGAAATTAGTTTATGGAATCAATATAGCAAACTAGCAAAAATATACTAATTGTTGGATAAATAAGCATGATCAAACAATAGTTGGTATCCAAGAACACTATAGATATAAGACATGGACAAAAAAAACTCTTCAAAACTATCTACAAATATATTATTTGTCTTTGAACCCCCCCCCTCCAAAGAAACCTAATATTTATCGTGAATATTATTCGTATTTACCAATGAAATTTTTTTTCTATCTTCTTATAAATGACATAAAACACATGAATAGATGCAGTTATGCAAGAATCAGTGGATGAAAGCAGTGTATTATAGTAAGAAATGAACAGTATCCACATGGATGCAGTTGCGTGGACACAACTAGTATAAACAATACGTTTATGAAGGAATTACTTGATGGAACCAAGATAGCAAACTAGCAAACAAATGTTTAAATTTTTGTATCTTTAATGAGATGTGTATGTGGACATGTCTGCGTGTACATGACTGTGTGGACATAAATATTAGTAGTTTTAATGAATCTCATAGACCTATTGCATTAAGATTAGTTGATTGTTTTCTATATTCAAACGGATTCGTCCATATGGCTCTGTCCAATTGTTGTGTATGTACATGCATTCATTTTTAGGTCATTTTAGATGTTCAATATGGCTCTGTCCAATTTGTTGTTCTTATTGTATTCATGGTTTTATGTCCACATGAAGTCTAAGAAATTCGCTAAAAAGATCAAGATAATATGTATATGTTATCGTATGGACATTGATTAGGATATGATCGTATAGACATTGATTATATAAGACTCTCAAAGCTTGCCACACATACCAATTCGATGTGAAGTTTATGTCATGCCATATCCATTCACATCCCAAAACAATTATCCAAATAAAGACGTCCATATGGGCGCATCGTGACATGTACACGACTGGGTGGACATGTAGATGTGGACAAAACTGAAATTTCTCAGATCCATCTTCTCCAAATTTCTCAGATTCATCTTCTGCAAGTTAACGTATATTCATTTTTCTCCAAATTTCAAAGAAACTGAAAATTTTCCAGATCCAATAGCTCTTCTTTTAATAACATCATAAAGTTTTTCAGATCTAGAGTTAATCCAAATTCATCTAATAACAATATAAATTCTTCCAGATCTAACATAAGTTCTTCTTAGTCTCGCTATGGTCTTCTTCCTCCGACGTACGACAGAGTTATTCCGGCGAGTTCATCTAGCTTCAGATTAGACAAAGTTATTGCGGTACTTACAGTAAAAAAATGTCTTCGATTGTAAACGGGGAATGAAGCAAACTTAACAAAAGAGCATCTCTGGAATTTTGCTCTCTTGTTTTTTGGCCAAAATCACCTTTGTAGCACAAAGTGTTTTTAAATATAATAAGAAAATAGAAAAGTGCCTTTTGAATTTAATTTTCTCGTTGAATAAACAGATATGTAAATTAAGGAAAAGGAAAAGAGATAAAATATTCGTTGAAAAGGGGTTTTAAGAAAGAAATCTGTTGAAAATAAAGGCAAATTCCAGAAATTCCAAATCGGTGGACGCCAAAGAGAAATGTCAACATCCGTGTGAAAGGAGAAAGGAAGAGGGAAGAATTGGAATTGGGAAGTTTCGTGTTTGAGCAAAACTTAGCGAAATCTAATTTTAGATTGATAACCATACTGCTAGTATAAAGCTAAAAGCTTGATCACACAAATGCGGAGATTCGTGATTGGCCAAGCCAAAAATCTCATAGATCAGAGTCGTCGTCAACATCTTCATCCTCTCAAAAACCTTCGCCTTCTCTCTCTCCTTCCTCCTTTTTCTGCTCCTCCTGATTCTTCTCTCCCCGTTTTTTCTTCGCGTCTCTTGTCTTCTTCTTCTTCGGAGATGTCTGCTTCTGATTCTTCTTCCTCTCTTCCCGTTACTCTTGACTCCATCAATCCCAAGGTGGGTTTTTTTTTATTTCTCGCCAATCTCTCTTGTTCAATCAATAATTTGATTTTTTTGGGGGTCGCTGTTTGTTTGTGATTTGCATTCTGAGTTTTTTTTTCTTCTTTTTATAAAAGTTTGATTTTGTTGTAAACTCTGCTGAAAATTTTGGTAAAGTGAAAAGCTTTCTTCTAATGTCTTTGAGATTACTCTGTACTGAATCTAGAGTTTATTGAGCTTCTGCTTGAGATTGTTTCAACAGTCTCTCTTTTCTGCATCACTTGATTCACTTCTCGATTTTATTCATAATATTATTCGTCTTCGTATCTCTGTTTTATATTTTTAAATCCTTTTGTTCTTCTGTTTTTTGAGGATATGAAAAAGTCTGGATTCATGTGTTCTTCTTAGATTCGATCCCTGTGATTATTAAATAAATGTTTGATGCTTCCTCTTTCTCCCCAATTTGTTATAACTATTATGCTTATACTTTTCTATTGAATGGTTTCTCTTGTCAATGAACAGTTTTGCATCTGAATCTAGCAGCTCTAGTTACTGATGCCTTGAAGCTTTAGCTTTTGTTTGGCATCTTTACTCAAACAATTCGTTTGTTATTTTTTGTGGGCTCTCAGGTTCTCAAATGTGAGTATGCCGTCCGTGGAGAAATTGTCAACATTGCTCAAGTAAGCAGCCTTGTCCTAGATTGCATTCTTGTAAATTGGAAACTGCTTTGCTCATTATGCTTTGTGCTTCCATCTCACAGAAATTGCAAGAAGATTTGAAGACTAACAAGGACGCTTATCCCTTTGATGAGGTATGTTATAATCAGTGTCATCCTTTTCCTGTTGTCAAACTTGACCCTTCCTGTTGTCAAACTTGACCCTAACTAACGAAAACTCTCTGCTTTTGACAGATTATTTACTGTAATATTGGGAATCCTCAGTCTCTTGGTCAACAGCCTATAACATTCTTTAGAGAGGTAAACAATTGCACATATTTGGTTCTGGTTTTTTCCCTATGTTAGTCATGAGTTAACTTCTAACATCTACGATGTCTCAGGTTCTTGCTTTGTGTTCCCACACAGCCTTGTTGGACGAGAGTGCAACACACGGTTTGTTCAGGTACCAAAACTGGTTTTCGTGCTTAACTCAGAGAAGTTTTGTTTCTGGTGGTATAAGATTTGTTTGACATTGAATGTTACAATTGTTATCAGTTCTGATTCTATTGAGCGTGCTTGGAAGATTCTGGACCAAATTCCTGGGAAAGCAACCGGTGCTTACAGTCACAGCCAGGTTTGTGGCATTGTAAAATCGTAACAGCGTATCACTCTCCCAGTGAATGATTCCCTCTCTTAACCTTCTGTTGTGTCTCAGGGTATCAAGGGACTGCGTGATGCAATCGCTGCTGGAATCGAAGCTCGTGATGGTTTCCCTGCTGATCCTAATGATATTTTCATGACAGATGGTGCAAGCCCTGGGGTAATGAATCATCAAACTTCCCACTAAACTCATCATAAATTATATAGAAGGAGTTGTTTTTCTTATGGTGACATTAATGTTCCTCCTCTGTGGTCTAGGTTCATATGATGATGCAACTTCTCATTAGCTCAGAGAAAGATGGAATCCTTTGCCCTATTCCTCAGTACCCATTGTACTCAGCTTCAATTGCCCTTCACGGTGGAAGTCTGGTATGTTCGTTATGCCGAAATGAATCAGCTTCCGAGTTTCCTTTTATCTTCTTTCTTGTGATTGTTGTCATTCATCTTCTGGTAGGTTCCATACTACCTTGACGAAGCATCAGGATGGGGTCTTGAAATATCTGAGCTGAAGAAGCAACTGGAGGATGCCAAGTCAAATGGCATCACTGTAAGAGCCTTGGCGGTCATTAACCCTGGTAACCCAACAGGACAGGTAAATTGGATCCTCAAGACTTAAACCATAAATCTGTCCCTGTTCCAAATATCAAAAGTTTGTCTGAATTTTGGCCTGCTATTTTTTTGTGGTTGAAGGTTCTTTCGGAAGAAAACCAGCGAGACATTGTTAATTTCTGTAAGGAAGAGGGCTTAGTTCTTTTAGCGGACGAGGTTTACCAAGAAAATGTTTACGTCCCTGACAAGAAGTTCCATTCCTTCAAGAAAATAGCCCGGTCTATGGGCTACGGTGAGAAGGACGTCTGCTTAGTCTCCTTCCAATCAATCTCCAAAGGTTTTTAAAAATTCTTTGTCTATTGATAAGCTTCTGATCATTGCAATGGGCGATTGGTCTTAAAACTGGATTCATTCTTTTCTTTTATGTAGGGTACTATGGAGAGTGTGGGAAAAGAGGCGGTTACATGGAGATTACCGGATTCACTTCTGATGTCAGAGAGCAGATATACAAAGTGGCCTCTGTCAATCTTTGTTCCAACATCTCTGGTCAAATCCTCGCCAGCCTCGTCATGAGCCCGCCCAAGGTATAAAACATCTGTATTAACTTTAACATGTGGTTGCTCGAACTTGCACATCGATAATAGACTTTTTAACAGCTTTTATGAAATTTTGATCAGCCTGGTGATGACTCTTACGAGTCGTACATAGCAGAGAAAGAGGGGATTCTCTCGTCTTTAGCCAAACGTGCCAAGGTTAGCCTTTCGTAGTTAACTTACTTACTAGCAATCAAGATTAGGAATTTTTTTTTCTGGTGTTAATGCGTTTTGAGCTCAACCGTGCAGACCCTTGAAGAAGCTTTGAACAAGCTAGAGGGTATAACATGCAATAGAGCAGAAGGAGCTATGTATCTATTCCCTTGCATTCACCTTCCTGAAAAGGCGATTGCGGCTGCAGAAGCTGCAAAGACATCACCAGACACTTTCTACTGCAAACGCCTTCTAAACGCTACTGGAATAGTGGTGGTCCCTGGTTCTGGCTTTAGACAGGTTTGAACAAAAGAAAGAAAAAGCTTTTTCCTCCAGAGAATTGAACCAGAAGCTCACTTGCTGTTATCTGATCTTTTTTGTTTGTGTTTGATGTAGGTGCCCGGAACATGGCATTTCAGGTGCACTATACTTCCGCAAGAGGATAAGATTCCAGCGATTGTGAACCGCCTCACTGAGTTCCACAAGAGCTTCATGGACGAGTTCCGCAACTAAACATTCTGTTTTCCAACATCTCTCTATACAAGATCTGATTAATCTTGAGTAATAATAAGAAAAAGGTCTCTCATGTCGTTTCTTTTTCACCGACATTTGTGTTTACAGAAGCTAAGATGTAAGAGCATTAGTTGGTGCTCTTGTCTTCTTCTTGTTCGGCTTTTGTTCTGTTCTTTTATAGAAGAAAACAAACCATGAAGTTTTTATTGAGAGTCTTTATCAGCGATTAGTCAGAATGTAATCCTCAAGAAGATATCACTATATATTAAAACATTGCATGCTTTACTTGATCAAAGTTTCATTTTCACAGAATTGTTTTCTTGCTTAAACAAAGCTGTTTTTAAAACTATCGGTTTTAAATATATCTCATGACATGACATGGCGATTTGAAATATGTTAGAAGTTAGAACTCAGTGGTGGTACTAAACAAAACATTATGGTAGATTGTGACGGTCAGACTTAACGATCCCTCGATCGTTTTCTTTATCAAACAAACTAATATTTTAATATATGCATCTCTATGTATACTTAAGTCTCATTATGTAAATTAAATAATGGATTAAGCATGTAATTCTTTCGTTAATACAGATACCTTACATATATGCAAGTGGAACATAAGGCAAATTTGAAGTTGACAGTAGTTTTGACTTAATTGGAAGCTAAAGATCACGACCTGTGTTTTTCTGTTCTAAAAATCAACATATGCAAACTAACGGATTTGAACATGAGGTATACATACACGACGGAACTAATACAAACCAACTACATATGTTACATGTATACAGTATACTACAAGTTTTCATCTCGTGATCTCGGTTATATTCTCACAGCCTTCTTTTAGTGTGGCTCCATTACAAATTAGCTTGAGATATTATTACATGCATAAGTTTGAAGCAAATTTTCATCGTAATCGATAATATACAAAGACAACAACTAATGTTGAGGAATAAGGAATACGTGTTTTCTTTTTTGGAATTTTAATTATTTAACCATGGACAAATATATATATACGATTTTCTTACATGTGTAGTATAATTAGCTTTAGTTTCAACACGTTAAACCACCCTAAATTACGGATCTAAGATCATTGATTTGCGGTAGGTCAAACTCGACAAGGAAAGAAACATAAAAGTAAGCTGTCTTAATTGATTTTTTTTTTTAAAAAATCTACACGTAGGGAATTAAAAGATTAATAATTCAAACAAATACCTAAAATGGCTTAATATTTCATAGTAATAGTATACAAGAAAACAATATGAATCAAATGAATAACATGATCTCATAACTAAACTCAAGTAAAACTAAAATCAAATACTCTAGAAATTCGTTAGAGGAATACTTGACGAGGGAGTAATCAATCCATCACATGTTTTGACCTACACGGCTTCGACTAATCCCATCCGTCAGATTTTCTAACCTTTGCATATCCACCGTTGGTTTCTAACCAATCATATTGATTGGCCATGCCGGAACAATGTCTACTGTCCGATCATTCATCTCAATGATCCTCTTACCTAAATTTTCTCGCAACACACTCATAGCTGCCACGTACTCTTCCAAATCCTCCTCCGGCACACTCTCCACCGGACGCTCCCACCACGACGTCCCTTCATCCGCCACATCACCACCGGGATATACCTCCAAACTCACCGTATTCTTATTAAGATAGTTGTTGATCAACGTGTCCACGTGGCCAAACCTGTAGATCCTGCCGCATTTTGAGAACGTTATGGCTGCGATTTTTGCGCCGGTGAGAACACTGAGTTCAGCGGATTTCTTGAACAGCCCACGGCGCCGTTTCGAAAACGTTACTTGTCTCTTGCTCTCTTCTTCTATCTTTTTGATCTCTATCTTCTGTCGACCCCGGCTCGTTTTAGGGTTTTGTGTTGTTTTCGGTTGACCAATCAACGGGCTTTGAAATTGATTCTTGGGCGTCAAGAAAGTGATCGATGAAGTTTCTTTTACTTCTTCCATGACCAAACGAGAGGGAGGGATGAAAATATCGCAAGGGTTTTAAGGTTTTTCTAAGAATTGGATTTATATTTTATAGTTGTTCATGGGTTGGTGGTAATAAAGGAATTTTTTTGATAAAGAGGTTGGTAATAAAGGAAAATGATATTCATTTTTGGTATTAGATACACTTCCAATTAACTAAGAGTAACAAGTTTCGGAATGATTCCATAAATCATACCTATCCTTTCGTTAGAATGTAGGACACGTCTTTCTATTGTACACAGTTTATAGAAAGAAATATTAATATTTCCATTTTACTCGTTCATTTGAAGAATCAAATGTGATGCATAAAATATTTGTTTATACAATTTATTGTCCACCTTAATAAGCGAACCGCGTTTTACATAGGACACGTACACAGGCTGCCATGCCGTCATAGAAAAATCTCGTTTGTGACCAATAGCAATAGGCCTGGGCAAATTATCCGCTATATCCGATTCGATCCGTTATCCGCTTCGATTCGATCCGAAAAATCCGGATAACCGTAACGATACAAATCAAAGCAAATACTAAAATTCAATATCCGTTAAAAACGGAGCAAATAGCAAATATTGTTTCTGAAAAACCGAATATCCGATCCGATCCGTATATTATAAAAATTACATATATATACATATATACTAAGAAATTTGTTCATTTTGTCTTTAGAAACATACAAATCAACAAAAGTATTGTTTTCACAAATATAATCCATTCATTTATATAGTAAAAAGGTTTAATAACGTAGCAATAGCTTACTTAAAACTTTAAAATTATTTTTGCAGTATGTTTATTGTTAACGATGATGTGTTTAGTGGTACCTTTATGATTAATTAATTTACGTTTTTAGAACTTATTTTTAAAGGCATATTATAAATTATGAAACAATAATATATTTAGGGATGTTTCTATCTAATTTTCAATTATTTATAATTAATATATTTTTTTTTGTTTTTTTAAATATATTTTACGGATCGGATCGGATATCCGCGGATATTTTAATTTTTGACGGATATCCGGAATCCGGATATCCGGAAATTTTCGGATCGGAGCGGATCGCAAAATCAACTATCCGGATCACACGGAGCGGATCACGGATCACGGATATTTTCCGGATATCCGCTCCGTGCCCAGGCCTAAATAGCAATAAGTGATTGTTGACTTCCTTGTTCCTTTTCTAATTGATTGATTGCAATCTATTAATTGATCTAGATTTGAAATTTTGAATAGTGGCAAAATGGATGGTTAGGGCATCCAGAAAATAAAAGTAATAATAATATGGATGGTTTTATTTCAAAACCAGAAAGAAGTTTTGAAGATGTATACATTGTATTTTTAATATAGCTAAGTTTTATTTGTATATTTGTATAGTGGGTACTTTTAAGTTTTTAATTGTGATGTTGGGTGGGTCTAAGTTTTATTTAGGAAAGTAGGTAAGAGAAACTTGTGTGAATCGGACGGTTTTAGCCCTCTATCTTAGAGAGAGATAGAGTAACACGAGTGTATCCTCTTAGAGAGAGACAGAGACAGAAACATATGCGTGTCACACGTGTAATAGAATGTGGGGGTTTTACACGCGGGCGAATATAAAAACATTAAAACTGGCTACTAATTTAAATCGTACAGATGGACTATTATGAAGTTTTCATTTCCTGGAGTGAATAAAACATTAAAAAATGTTCAAAATGAACTCTACAAACTAAAACCCACACAAAAATTCTTAAAGATAACATAAAAATTTCCAGAGAATTTTTTTAAAAAGTTACAAACAGACTTTAAATCTATGAATCTAATTTTTCTTTAACTTTTTAGTGATGAATTACACATAAGATTTTCCATAACACTAAATTTAAAAACAATATTTAGTTGAATAACATGATTATGATTGGATTTAACTTCATTTTATATACAACATCTAATAATACCTTCTAACTTCTAAGACTCAAATTAATAAAATTTTGGATTAGATTTATGAATTCATATTAGTATCCAGCATCTAGTATCTAAATACTAAACCCTAGTCAAGGATTGATGAACCCATAGGAAAAAACATAAATCATAAACCCTAAATACTAAACCCTAGTCAAGGATTGATGAATTCATGGAAAAAGTCGTAAATCCTAAACCCTAAATATTAAACCATAGTCAAGGATTAATGAACCCATGAAAAAAATCATAAATCTTAAACCCTATATCTGTATATTAATATTAACCATATGTAAAACAAATATAAATCTTAAATTTCAAACTCTGAATCTTATATTTTAAATCGTAACACAAAATTCTAAACCCTAAACCCTAAACATAAACCAATAAAATCTAACAATTTAGGAGAAAGTCTCAAATTACACCTTTTAAAGTATTAGTTTTACAAAATGGTGGACAAAATTGTGTATGCATATCTATATATATATATATATGTATTTAGATGTATACCATAATGGTGTATAAAATACGGTGTACAAAGATAGTATATATACATAATATATGGTGTACGCAAAAATAGCGTACACGATAATATATAGTGTACGCGTTAATATATAGTGTATACCGTGATGGTATATAAAATTAGGTGTACAATGGTGTACGTAAAAGTAGTGTACACAATAATATATGGTATATGTACCAATATATGGTATACACAAAAATAGTATATACGATAATATATGATGTACGCGTCAATATATGATCCTAACATTTTTAGCTTATTATTAACATTAGTGCACACCAATAATAATGTACTCATACCTTATTAGTGTATACATCAGGAATGAATCTGTAATGTACACATTAGTAATGTACGCATGAGTAGTATACACATCAGTAATGTACGCATCTGTAAACCAAAAATCTAAACTATAGAGAATAATATATATGTAATTTTGTGTTTAAGTAAATGTAAAAAAAATAAATGACTTAATAAAAAATATTATGGTTGTCTATTTAAAAAACAAATCTATGAAAAAAAATGGTTTTAATGGTATTTCAAGATATGTATTTAGATTCACTGATTTCTAATTAAAATAAATATTTTAGGATTAAAATATTTTTAAACAAATTCATTTTTGGGGATATTAACTGAAATTAGACTATAAGATTTAGATTATATTGTAACTTTTATTACAAAGTAATTTTGTTTGAATAAAAAAAATATAAAAAATTTCTTTTTTTGTTAGTTAGTAATATTCCAGCCATTAAGCAATTGAAAAAAAAGTCTGAATTGCATTTGATAAAAACTGATCTCTTTGACATACCTACATGGCTAAATTAAGTGCATAGAAAGCTATAGTCCAACGCTCACAGATAACTTAAAACATTAAAAACGAAAAAAAATTATTGTAAGAAAATCACTTTTGAGTAGTATTGAAAACGAATGTTTTTTTTTTTTTTTTTGAAAACGAATGTTTTTAACTTATTTTCTACAAAACAAATATATTAATTTGAAATTGAGTTAAAATGGCAATGTGCAATTTTTAAAACTAGGTTTGATGACCTCCTCTAACGTACCTGGTTTATCTTGGTTCATCGGGTCACAGAACATGAAATTTTCGTATCCAAAAATCAGAATGAAACGACAATGTCTCTTTGTTCTGGTAATGGATGTGTTGTCCAAACTTCTGGACGAAGCTGTGAGATTGGAGAAAATAAAGCCGCACCCTAAATGTAAGGATCCTCTTGTAACGCATCTCAGTTTTGCCGACGATTTGCTAATCTTTTTTGATGGATCGGCTCAATCCCTTCAAGCGATTCTAGAGGTGCTTTCGACTTTTAAGAGTGCCTCAGGTTTGGCGTTAAGTTCTGGAAAAACGTTTCTCTTCCTTGATGGGAACGATTCTGTGTTCACTGCAAACATGGCGGCTAGATTTGGTTTGGCTCATGGATCTCTTCCTGTAAGGTACCTAGGGTTACCATTGATGCCTCACAAAATGAGAATGAATCCAAGACTATCAGCCGTTGATTGACAGAGTGAGGTCTAGGATTTCTTCTTGGACAGTTAGGCCTTTGTCCTTTGCCGGGAGACTCCAATTAATTCAATCAGTCCTCTTTAGTATGGTTCACTTTTGGGCTGCTGTCTTCCCCTTGCCTATGAGCTGCATTGATTGCTTGGAAAAAATGTGTAAGGCATTTTTATGGTCTGGAGCTCCAAACTCGGCAAAGAATGCAAAGGTCTCTTGGGAATCGGTCTGTACCCCAAAAGAAGCAGGAGGATTGGGGCTTAAAAGATTAGCAGATTCAAATCAGGTCTTTGGACTCAAATTAATTTGGCTTATGTTTGCGGGTGAGGGTTCTTTATGGGTGGCATGGGTCAGGAAAAATCTTATTGGGAGGAGATCTTTTTGGAGCTCGGAGTTAGATAACTCTGGATCGTGGATTTGGAGAAAGCTACTGAAGCTTCGTCCTTTGGCTCGACCCTTCCTCGCTTGTCAGATCAGATCTGGGACCTCTGCTCTGTTTTGGCATGATGATTGGACAGGTTTAGGTCCTTTACTAGATATCTCTGGTGCGAATGGTCCTCGAGTTTGGGTATACATTCTATGGCAGTTGTATCTCAGGCGGTATCTCGAGGGTCTTGGAAACTACCACGTGGGAGGCACCCAATTTTAATCCTCCTCCGAGCTTGTTTACCAAACTCGGTTCCGGATATGAGTTCTCATTTGTCGGATTCCTTTCTTTGGAGAAACTCGAGTGGGTCTGCTCCGGGAGTATTCTCAGCGTCTGAAACTTGGCTTTCCTTGCACCCCTTATCCACTACTCTTCCCTGGACTAAAACAGTTTGGTTTAAACATGGAATTCCAAAACATGCTTTCATTATGTGGGTTATCATGCGAGATCGGTTAGTAACGAGAGACAGACTGTTAAGCTGGGGTCTTGCTGTTCCACCGGTTTGTCTCCTATGTGGAGTCGATGCAGAAACAAAAACCCATCTTTTCTTCGAGTGTCCTTTTTCTGCAGAGGTTTGGAATTTCTTTTTTACTCATCGATGCATCTCTGATCTCCTCCTGCCTCTTTTCAGCAAATTGTTGTTTGGGTTTCATCTTCATCTGCGAACAGTAAAGTTAGGACGATTACAAATCTGATTTTCCAAGCTACTGTTTATTCTTTATGGAAAGAGAGGAACTCTAGACTGCATACTTCAGAACTTAAGCCGCCCTATGTTGTCGTTAAGGAGATTCAGGTCAACTTAAGAGCTAAACTATTTGCCATGGATCGGAAAGACTTGGCAAATAGATCGATTACTCCCTCATCCAATCATTGTGCTTCTCGGAACTCTGAAGAATCCTTCCTCTATAATTGGTTCAAAAGTTCTTCCATCGGTAAAATTGGGTTGGTCATATTTGAGTGCTTCACGGTTGCTTCTCGTTGTAATTTCTTTGTCAAAATTTGTACTCTGTAATCGGTATCTCTTTTTCTAAGCAATAAAATATGGAACTTACAAAAAAAAAAAAAAAAAAAAAAAAAAAAAAAAAATGATGATGAAGTATCTTTATTATATTATTAATTGATAAGTAGATACAAGAATAAGAGAAAAAATTATTTGGATAGAATAATAAATGGAAAAAAATTGTTTGGATACAAGAATAATAACTTAAAACAAACCGATGGTTTAGAAAACTTCCGTTTTCCAACTCTTATAAAATCTGCAAAAAAAAGAAAAATTAACATAATCTATCGATAATACTAAATCAATAGAATATGATGAAATGATATTTGTAAAATTTCCAATAGTAAAATAGAAATACGTCTAATTTAACTCAATTTCTGTTTGATTTTTCTTTTTCAAAAATTTCTGATCAGTTTGGGTTTAGTTTAGGGTTTTCTGAATTTTTTGGATTTCGGGTTTTCGGGTTTAGACATATTAAAAAAGTTGGGGTATTTTTAAAAAAGATTATTTGGGTTTTTAGTTCGGGTTTCGGGTGAAAAACTTTCGAGTTTTTTTTTTATTCGGTTCAGGGTTTTCGGGATTTTTTGGATTTAGGGTTTTCGGGTTTATACATATTAAAAAAGTTTGGGTTTTGAAAAATTTTGATGAAAGTTTTTGGGTCAGACTCGGATTTAGGATTTAGATTTTCTTTACAAAACCGCAACGTCACACCACGGGTTTCCGCGGGTTCTCTACTAGTGTAATACATGTCGAAGTGCACACCTGTTTTTGTTGCATGTAGTCAACGTAAGCTTTGGCTGCTGGCATTTGCACATTTTTTTTTTTTTTTTAAATCTGTCGGTTTTGCCTCTTTCTATTTAGATGGCAAATACACATTAATTTGTGAAAGAACAAAAAATCGCATGAATATACAATGCACATACTTTGATCATTATATTGATGCATATATTACTATTAAATGGTTGTCCAGTGCCACGACCTTGGAATGGTGAATTTATTCGGGTGTCGATATATGTTAGAGAGTCTTAGAGATCGAGGCTTGCCAATCATATCACACAATTTTCACTATTGATCTCTTACTTGACTAGAGTAAAAGATAAATCCAGAATTTTTATTGGTGTCAGACATTAGTCTGGACTCTTGATCATGTGATGCATACGTTTTTAGAGGAAATTACTTGGACTAGAGGCGGACTATCATCGTCTTGTCTATTTCTTTCTTTTTTTGTCAACAGGGTGGACTATCGTCTCAAAAATAAACTTCCCAGGAAACAGGGAAGTTTTATAAAAGTAAAAGGGTCAATTGACAAATACTTTTAAGTAAAAGGTAACCGGTTCGATTTCCATTCCGTAAAATTGTTTCTCTCGATAATAGTGGTAATTGTAAAGGTAAAAAGGTAAAAATGTAAAACCGGTAAACACAAATGTCAAATCTTACTTTCCCGATTTTCTTCGGCTCCGGTGGTCATCGTCGTCGAACAAGTGGCCAGCTTGAATCCAGTTTTAGAACAGAGCTTCGACGTATTAGTGTGAGCCCGAAATCGAAAATCAAATTCTCTCCCACTTCAGAAACCGAGCGGTTGATAAAGAGAGAAATGGCGGCGGCGGAGACGACGAGGAGGAAGGCGGAGGAGCTGGTGGAGAAGGCGATGAAGGGAAACGACTCTTCTCATGACGCCTCGCACGTGTGGAGGGTCCGAGACCTTGCTCTCTCGCTTGCTCGCGAGGAAGGTCTCTCTTCCAACTCGGACTCCATGGAAGTTGTGAGTTGAAAATCCCCCAAATCCCACAATCCCCTAATTTGTTCCCTTGTTTTAGTTCAGTGAGGCTGAGAATGTGGTCATTAGTAATTTGGTGGAGAATCTTCTTATAGTAAGCTCTAGTAGTGATATAGAATGTGAAAATGCTTCTTTTGAATTGGTTGCTTGAACCATTTCTGTTGATCTTTTCAGGTGGAGCTTGCAGCTCTTCTCCATGATATAGGTACAGTACTTCGCTTTGGAACAATTTTGTTTCTTTTTCTATATTAAGTCATGTGGTGATACTCCACAGATTAACAAGTGTGTATCTTTTGCTCTCTCTTATCAGGTGATTACAAGTACATAAGGTTTGTTTCCTTAACTCTTCACTATCATCTCTAGTGCTAGATTCCATTTGTCTGCAAATGGTATATTGGATGCCATTAGTTTAGGCCTGTGAGATATTTCTTGCCTGGTTTGTTCATCCTATGAGTAGATAGGCTCTACTAAGTGGAACTTGGTGTTGATAGAAAAAAATTAAAACTTTAGAACTATGAATGATGAATGATGAAGACCGATTTTCTGCCCTTGTCAAGTTGCTTCATGGCAAAATAATAATAATATTATGACTGGGATTCAGAGACCCTTCAGAAGCAAAAATTGTTGAGAATTTTCTGGATGAGGAGGGTGTAGATGAGGCCAAGAAGATGAAGATACTAAAGATCATCAATGGAATGGGTCAGTTTCCACTTCCAGTTCCAACTTTTACTTAACATATCCAAAGTACTAACTTGCATGAGTTTTCACTAAGTAAGAGTCTGACAATAAGCATTTTGTTCTATCCAAATTTTGTGAACTGAACCACGTAATGTTTCCAGGTTTCAAAGACGAATTAGCAGGATTAACCCTCTGCCAATCTCTTCCGGAATTTGGGGTCGTTCAAGATGCTGACCGCCTTGATGCAATTGGCGCCATTGGTAATAATGATTTTCTTGTTTCTAGTTTGCTTCTTGACAGTTTAAGAGCTTTTGATATTTCATTGCCAAAAATCTACTCTGATGTCATCTGGATGTTCTCTATGTTAGGAACAAATTTCTCGTAGTTGTTGACATGTTGTTGATCTCTTTTTGGTTTTAGGAATTGCTCGTTGCTTTACATTTGGTGGAAGCAGGAACAGAGTGCTTCATGATCCCGAGATCAAGCCCCGGACAGAGTTGACGAAAGAGCAGTACATGAAGAGAGAGGAGCAAACGACTATTAATCACTTTCATGAGAAACTCCTCAAGCTGAAGTTGCTCATGAAAACCGAGGTAAGATTAACCGGAAAACAGTTGTTCTATACAAGGTGAAAATTTGTTTTGATTTGAGACTGAAACAAATTATCAGGCGGGTAGAAGAAGGGCAGAGAAAAGGCACGAGTTCATGGAAGATTATCTTAAGGAGTTCTATGAAGAGTGGGATGGCAGAGCTTGAAAAGTTAAGAATGATGATGCATGGTGAAGAAAAGCAGCGGATGTGCTCAATCAAACCGTTACTTAACCGGACCGAAATGTGTTTTTTGGCGTACCAATGTGGTTTAGTTTTTGAGACAGAGTGAAACCTTTATATATACCGCGGGATTAATTTAAATTTTGCTAATAGTTGGGATTTTCGTTTACAATGACTCAATGCCAATGATTGTGGAATGAATCTATGGTTTACAATTAGATAGTCTTTTCTTCCGTTTTCATTTTGCTGATGACAGAGTCGGTCTTATTTTTTTCTGAAAATAAAACGTCAGTTATAGATTGACTTTCTGTTTTCGTTTATAAGTCTTCGTTAATATTTCATTTTCATTTACATGGTTTATGAAGATTTTAAGCTGATTGAGTCATTGCGAAGTTATCATTGGTCGGCCATCATATAACATTACATAGTTTCAATTTATATATCTTAATTTTATACTCAGCTGACGTGGTTTTGAGTTTTATAAATGGAAACTGTAAATTAATAGCATTTGCAGTTATACTTACCTATACAATAGTTTAGCTGGTTGATCTTATCTATATTGACAATCATGGATTCATGGTGTACGCACAAAAAAATAATTTATTGAAAAGATTTACATTTGTACCAGTCTATATATGCCTATATGGTATCACTCACCCAAAAGATTTCGCATGACAATTATCGATGAAGTTACTTTATAAGTTAAAAGATCATTTTGTTAAAAGATATCTCTTCAACCATTAAACCTCTTATATAGTTTTAACCATTTGAGTTGGTTTTTGCGTACACTTGCCCCCAAGGTATTTCTTTTTTTTTGGGATTTTTCTTGACAATAACATTTGGAAATAATTTTTACTTCTTGCACAAGAAACTTGATGAACACTCTTAAATATCTAGCATCTAAAGAAATAGATAAGCATCGAATAACTTGTTCACATTTAGCTAAGTCGTTTGGTTAGTAGATTAAACGAAAACAATAAAAGCAGAAGACTAATCGCCAATACATATCACATGTCAATCGTTAACAAGACTTTTTTTCGGTAAGACGACTTGGTTATTCTAAACAACGAACGGAAGGTCGGCCATTGCGCGTTCAGATTGTGTTTTGATAAAGAAAAATAATTTGTAATTAAACAAGATATCAAAACCGTTTTTAGTATGCAGTTTCAGTTCTTTATATGTAACCAAAAATCATAACTAAGTTGATGTTATGGTGGGTGTTTCGAACTTTCGATAATCAAAGGTTTCGGTTGTTCATCATACATTCATACTGAAAGAACATTCTACAACTTTCATTTATTTGATATTAGTTGCATGAAATCTATATATAGAAGGTCAAACAAATTAAACAATACTCCGTAAAATCCACATAAACAGTTTCATAAACATAAAATGAATTAAGGTAAAAAAACTTTTCACCACGTAATATACTTCTCAACAAGCCTGCTTCTCAAAGTAATTTATGGTGTACGTTATTATTTTGAGATAGTTTTTTGCAATGTCGATGTGGTTTAATGGCTAATAGGGTTGACGATTAATTTTGTTTTTCGAATTCGATTGAAAATTATTCCTTTTTTGTTCTTGCTAAAAGACTCTTTCATTGCACTCTTAACATAAAAGCAGCCAGCTAATACACCGATTGAGATAGGGGCATTGATTTACCAATTATTAAGTAGTCCAATTTTTATCGCAGGCTGGATCAGATCATTTATAAACATGGAATAATGTACATGTCATTTGCAAAACTTTCATCGTAAGATAAAGAAAAAATCATCATCGTGGACTTTATTTTATGGAAGTTATGTGGACCCAATCTCTCCCTCCATGTGTTTTGCGTGCATCTCTACGACAGACATTCCATGGTTAAAAAAGTGGCATGGGTAAATTTATTGAGAATCTGATATGTATAGTTTTACGATCTTTTCATTCGGTTCATATATAGAATTTTATCCCGTTTTACAATTTGATAAAACAAAAATATAACTTTGGAATTTTGAGAAAAAAGAGAGAGTAAAATATACTCAAACAGACCACTGAAGATAAAACAAAAAAGGACAAAAATATTTAAACTATAATTTTATTAAATTTCAAACTATATTATATTCATATATTATGTTTATATATAAATGCATTGCATAATTGTTGTTACTTTAAAAATATATAAAATATATTTATAGGGAATTAATAACAAAAATTTACAAAAAACACATTTTTTTATTTGTTTACTTTGATTAGTTAGCTACCACATTCAGGTAATTGATTTAGAAGATCTCAAAGGATATATTCCAAAGGAGAAACAACACATTCTTTGTTTCATTTCTGACCAAAACTTGCTTAAATAATGCTAGTTTTTTGCTTTATTTGTACTTTTTTTTTTCACCAGGTTTTTGACTAGTTTTTTTAAAACAAAAAACAAAATATCTAACTGATCTTAGGCTTTATTTAACAAACGATTGTTTTTTTTCATGTTCCAGTTGTTGTCCTTAGATTCTAAATGTGAAACTTTTATTATTACAGAAATTACAAATGTATAAATAAATAAAAAATCTAGTTGGAGCTGTTTTTGCTTATGTTGGTGGGATCCAGACATTGTTGTGGAGTAGTTGTGAGACTCATGGTCTGGCTTCTCCATGTGCTGTTTCCAAGGCTTACCGTTTTCTGTACGTGGTGTACAAGACTCAGCAACAAATCAAATGGAGCATGATGGCATGGATGTTTGTATTGGCTTGGCAGCTTGTCTTTGCAGAGCTAGAGGTCCTCTCCGATAGTCATGTGATGAAAGTAAAACAAAACATGCTAACTCATAGATTCCTAGCTTATAGTTTTGTTAATTTACAAGACCATTTAAGCAAACTAACTAACAACCAAAGTAAAACAAAACTAGAAAGATATAAGAAGGAAAAAAAAGATATCCCAAGCAACTGAATCTAAAGTTATAAATTAAAAGTTCAAGAGATCCAACTAGATACTATGAACCATTTCAAAGTATTTTTCATTATTTAGTACGAAATTATTACCAAATTTTATTTCTGACCAAAACTTGCTTAAATAATGCTAATTTTTTTCTTTATTTGTGCTTTTATTTTTCCAAAAAATTGTTTATTTTTGACAATTTTTTCAAAAACAAAATATATAATTGATCTTAAGCTTTATTTAAATCGTTTGATATTGAAACTAGAAATATATGAGTTAATATGTTTTATGATGTTGAAAATAGTGTTTTTTTATTATACAGTTTCAGTATAAATATGTTTTTTACTTTCTTATATTTCCCTAGTAATAATTTTACCTTTTTGTTAATTAGTTTTTAACTTTACTCAATGATCCATTAAACATTTCATAACCACAAACATATTTCTACATTTGTTATGTTAAGATTGTAAATTAAAATATAAAAAAAAACTAAAAACTGTGAAATTTATGAGTTAATATGTTTATGATTTACCACCAAATTATCTTTTATCGATTTGCGTAAAATAATACTTTAATTTTATTATTCGGAATGAAACAATATAGTATTAGCCGATATTAGAATGTTGATAGAAATGTGTGAAATATATCGCTATTAATTCGAATGGTTACTTTTTATTGTTATAATTGTTTAAATAAGAATTTAAATTTCAATCTTTGGAAGTTATGAACCTATATGAACGTAATTAATTAGAACGATTGTTTTTTCATATTCCAATTGTTTTCCTTAAAAATGTAAAAATAAATGAAAAATCTAGTAAATAAATAAATATGTGGTCTAGTAATGGATAAATTGTCCGATCCGTTCCGTTTCCTTTCTAAAATTTAAAATATTTGACAAAGAAAAGGAAACCTTTTAATCTAATTGGAGAAAAATAGAATACGCAAAAGGTCGACACTTTCAGAACAAGCTAACTCGAGAAACGGCCGCGTATCGAAAAGGCTATAAATACAGTCGATTTAGCGCCGAAAAGGTTAACAAAATAAAAAATAAGTTTTTTTACCATTTTAACAGGTCTCCTCTTCCTCCGACCTGGTCACATCCTCGACGGCTCCACTCTTCTATTCTTCTATCCTCTTCATCGAATCGTCTCCGTCGTCCTTATCTTCTTCTCAGATTCACAGAACTTTCCGGGAAACTCGATCTCATTTCCAGTCCTTTCACGCTCTCTTTTAATCTCGTCTCGTCGTCTGTTTCTCTGTATCGTCCGATTCGAAATCGGAGTCAAACCGGCTCCGAGATTTCTCCAGTCGTCGGAATTTCAGATTTATCTGGTCTGATGGGATCGGAGCCTCGGGTTGACCCGAGGCCGAAACTCACTGACTTGCCCGTTCTTCACAAATTCAAGCTCTACAAAACCCCCTCGGTAATTCCCATTTCTCTTAATTTCCGTACATTGATGTTCTTCGATAATGCGAATCTTATTCTTCTTCTTAGTCCGCTTCTAAATTAGTACTGATTCGCACCAATGTGATCTTTTTTTATCTGCAACTAATTTGCCAATGATTGCGTTGATACTGTTGTGGTTAGTGGATTTCGATTTTGATTGATATGATTGCATAACGACAAAATCATTTCCGGTTTTTGGATTCAAATTCTGTAAAATTTGTTCTATTATTCGGTTTGCTTGGTGGTTTCGTATTGTGTGTAGTGTAAGGCATGAGCCTTTAGCTTGACATCATCTACAGTCTTTGGCTCTAAGTTTTCTACAATGCAGAGTTAGTTAATTTGGTTGTTTGTTGCAGAATTTTTATTTGATTGGAAGAGATGAGAGCAAAAGCTTTCGGAGGATTCTTAAGATTGATCGAACAGAACGAAGCGAGCTGAATCTATATGAAGATCCAACGAGGTATACAAATGCACAGATGCGTGACCTCAAAAGATGGATAAGCCGAGGGAACGCGAAGCATGGTGGGCTTAAAGCAGTCACAACTTGCTATGGAATCATTGGTACGTCTCTTCTCTTTTACCACCACCAATGTCTGTTTTGTGTGACTCATGGAGCAATGTTGATTCTTCCGGTTGCAGGGTTTGTGAGATTCTTGGAGCCATATTACATGCTTGTGATAACGAAAAGAAAGAAAGTGGGTGAGATCTGTGGCCATACGATTTACGGTATAGCAGAGAGTATGATGATTGTGATACCAAATCCTTCCGTTACGACGGGAGTGGCTGATTGTTTAGACGAGCGAAGGTAACTTAAATCGAGACTTCTTGTAACGGTTATGTTATTATCCATGTAGACAAATCTTTTATATATCCGCTCTTTGTATCATATAGGTACAGGAAGCTGCTAAGCATGATGGATCTTACCAAAAACTTCTACTTCAGTTACACATATCACCTCATGTACTGCCTCCAGAAGAACATACGCAACACTATGAGAGGAGAAACTCACGACAACACCATGTTCGTCTGGAACGCTCATCTGACACGCGTCATCAGAAGGGTTCTGCAGAATACCATCTGGACAGTTGCACTGATCTACGGATTCTTTCAACAGGTATCACTCAAATGCATGCATATATGAATGTTTTAGACTTTAGATTAGCAAATTTTAATGTCTACTTTTTACTTTGCTTTTGTCCAGACTAAATGTTCAGTATCCGGTGAAGAGTTTGTATTGACTGTCATTGCTCGGCGTTCACGGCATTATGCTGGTACTAGGTACTTGTTCATCTTCTTCTTTTAAGAATGTATATTTCAACACTCCCTCTCAAAGATATGGTTGAATGAAATCATCTATGTGTATGTGCAGATATCTAAGGCGTGGTGTAAATAATTTAGGCAGAGTAGCCAATGACGTTGAGACAGAGCAGATTGTTTCCAGAGAGGTTCCGGAGGGTCAACCAATCCCGATAACATCAGTTGTGCAGAACCGAGGCTCCATACCCTTGTTCTGGTCACAGGCGACATCTCTCTTCACCCCACAACCTGAGATTAAAAGTAGGCCACTAAAATGCATTAGCAAAACGGATCCCTTAAGTTTTCTCTTGTCTTAATTAACACTCTTCTTTCTGTCTTCTTTGTGTCACAGTATACAAGAAACAAGAGAACTATGAAGCTACACGAAAGCATTTTGAGCATCATAGAAAAAGATATGGGAAGCATATAACCATTCTTAATCTTCTTAAGGTAGGCTTTCCCATTTTCTTGAACAAATCAAAATTGCTTCTCCGTTTCTTGGATATTGAAAGACTGAGTGTATCTTTCCTGTTTTCTTTGTTTATCAGTCAGGTGAGAAAATGCGTCGAGAAACCATTTTACGGGCAGAGTTTGCACAGGCAATCCTACATATTAACAAAGACAAGACAAACGAGGACCGTTTAAATGCGATTCATTTTGATCTGAGCAAACACTACAGAAGGTACTGCATTTATGCACCGTACCCACTCAGCAGCGATTTATATAATAACTGTTGCATCCTAAAACTGATACCCGTTCTTCCCCTTTGAATTTTGCAGTGGAGTAGATGATGCGTTCAGACACTTATGCATCTTTGCAAAGAAATCACTTGGATTAACGGACTTGTTTTACTGTGAAGCTCCTTCAGGTGTAGGAGCTGAAGGAGTGATCCATGAGTCTTTTTACCCGTAAGTTTCGTATATTATGTATCCTGCAAATACACATGTCTAGTTTTGAGTGTTTGGTAAGTCCTAATACTAATGCAACCATGATCCAGTGACCATTTTCCGAGTGAAGAGGAGGAGGCAAGTAGTCAAGATATTGAAGCTTTGAAGGTTCAAAATGGGGTCTTAAGGACCAACTGCATCGACTGCTTGGACCGCACCAACTTTGCTCAGTTCGCCTTTGGATTGGTAGCTCTTGAGCACCAGTTGCAAACATTGGGTATTGAAGGGCCACCTATCGTTGATGTCAACAATCCTTTGGCATTAAGCTTGATGAACACTTACCAAAACATGGGCGACACAATTGCGCAGCAGTATGGTGGCTCTGAAGCACACAGCAAGGTGATTTGATTCCCCAACACATCTTTCCTAGTAGATCTTTGAATCATGAGTATCAACTTTAGAGAGTTTATGGTGGTTTACAGATGTTTAGTGACCTGAGAGGTGATCGGAACGTGGTGGATAGGCCTCGTGAGTTCTTGATAGCTTTGACTCGTTACTACAATAACTCTTACCAGGACAGCCATAAGCAGAACGCCATCAATCTGTAAGCTCCCATTTCAAAAAAAAAATCTTGATTTTTGTCCGAGTGTTGGATTAGTAAGCTAAAAATTGTTTCTTTTGACAGGTTCTTGGGGCATTTCCGGCCTGAACTGGGGGCACCAGCGATATGGGAGTTAGATCCTGACCAGCACAACATCGGAAGAACTAGTTCTAACTTAGATATGGAAAATATCAGGTACCAATGCATCCCCAAGAACACAAACTCAGTCTGATTAAGTTAACTTATGTTTGACGTATATGATATAACGGCAACATTTCAATACATATCTTCCAACCACTGCAGGCCACCGCTAATTAGGAGATCCTTTTCCGATAACATACTCATGGGCATCGATTTGAATGTGGAGGAGCCGGCGAAAGAAGTTCCTCCGCCTGCACGTGAAACTTTAAACGGTGGCATCTCGGAAACCAACTTACAGTTCTCATTCTATGAAAATGGCGCAGCTTCTTCAAGGTACGAATCATCAGTCTCTTTTTGAAACTTGTTGCACGCAGTGATTGTTACTTCTTTTGTGATTCATTCTTACTCTCTGATTACATCTTCCGCTTTCAGCTCTGTTTTGCGCGTTGAAGATATTTCGCTAGGAACAAGACCAAGCCAGGTGTTTCCAGGCAGTAGCTCTAATTCTGATTCTCAGAGGCCCCACGATGATATACCTGGTTTTGGACACTCTTACAAAACTCAATTCACTCCGGCAGAAGAAATATTTGAACGTTACAAGTAAAAATATTCATCCTTACTTTGCAAACCCATTTACAGTACTCAGACATATATAAGCCATGGCTAATATTTGCTTTAAATGTTTCTTCAGCTCATTCTCGTCAGACATCTTCACCGACCTGGAGGATTCAGTCACTTCTAGAACTAATACGAACATAAGTTCTCCGGTAATTTCCTTCATCACTCTTATTCAAGTTTACTCGTAATCTTTCTCGCAAACAAAGACACTAGTAGTAACTCGGTCGGATTTTCCCATCTTTACAGTCTCCTCGAAGAGATAACAAAGAAAAAGTACCTGGCTACTCAAATATTTTCACTCGGTGGGTTTTCTCCGGAAGAGCATTGTAAAAGGGTTTGGAGAAGAAACTGTGCCTTGCCAAAGAAGGTAACGCTGGTTACTTGTCTCGTACGGCAGGGCTTTTCAGACATGATAAACAGCAGTAACAGCCGCAACTTGTATATCCCCGACTCAACTTTGTAAAGGTCCCCGTTTCTTGTTTTTGTTTGTTTGTTCCTTTCTGTTTTTCTCCTCACTCATACACTCACCCACAAAATTTGATATCTGTATTTTTGTTTTTTTTTGTTTTGCTTTTTTCGTGTATAGAGGGTTTGGTTTTGTTTGTAATTTTTTTCCGTAATTTATTACGGCTCATTTCTTGAACCGCAATAAATTGTGTTGTGATTAGAAGTTGGAACACACCATGCCGCATTGTATTGAACATTTACCAACAAAATAAACGTTTAATGAGGAGTTGGAACACACCATACAGCTCAATGTTTTTATCTCCATATCGCACGGACCCACGCCTTATTTGTATGCTTATGAAGCAACCGTATATATGCTTCCTAATATTCCTCCTTACCTGATAAAAAAAGTAGACCTGCTTTTCGAAACCGGACGATTTGTGACAAAAAAAAATACTTGGACTAATATAGCATCATAAATTATTATTTTTGTATTTTACATACGGATATCATGTAAAAGGTTCGACATTCATGGATGTTGGATTATTTTGGTTAATGTATTTTAAATTAACGACGAAGGGAAAAGTCAAATAACGCAAGTGTAACGCACTCTCTAAGAACAACAGTAATATCTCAACTGGCTTGGTTGCTCTTGCAACTAACTTGTTTGTTCAGAGTATTTTAATTATTTATCTTAATTTAAAATACTTTGATTTTGTTGGCTGTTGGCTGGCATTTGTTTGCCCACCACAAATAGCTGTCCCATCTTTATAAGATAAATTTAAAATACGGTTATATTCTTCGTATTATAAAACTCAGTTCGACGAGGCTGGATTCAACAAAACAATAAAAGCTCAATCAATAGAGTTGGTATCTTAGATACGACGACATTGTCTAGGACCAATGCAACTATTAGTATTAGTAATAAACCAATAGTAACCATTGAACATTTCAAATCTGTTACATTAAAACCAAAAAAAAAAACATTTCAAATCTGGTGTTACTCAATCAAGTAATCCAAAATAGCCTATTAGTGTTACTGAAAACAAAATAGTTTGATTTTTTTTGTATAATAGTAAATAATTTCAAAAATATTAATTATTACTGTCGACACATGTTGTGTAGTTCAGGGTTATGTATTTTTGCTCTAGTTGATAGATAATAGATTAATAACCAAAATCATAGTATTCTTATAAAAAATAGTATCATCATTCATCACTACAAGATATATATTATTTCAACATTGTGGACATGATCTAATCATTATCTAATATTCCATCGATCATACAACAACACACAACAGAAGATTGTCCGTCCAGCCCACGCACACGCGTATCTATCACCTATCAACATGCATTCATCCACATACATATAATAATATATAGATTATATATAAAGCAAAGTAGACATGCACTAGATTACGGACTCTGTACCCTTATCTCTTACTTCCTCTATCTATCTCTCAGTATAAATACAAATGAACCTAACGCTTCGTTCTTACTTCCCAAAAACGTAAGTTTATCATCTTCGAGACATATTCTTGTTACACACACGAAAAAACACCATAATCCAAATTTCAAGAAAACATCCAGTATATTTCTTTTGGCTTAAAAACCCTTCAATATCGTTCAAAATTAAAGATTCACTTTTCACTAATGGCTAAACTCGGAAAGCTAACAAAGCTCAAGTCGGTCATGAAGAAATGGCCTTCTTTCACCAAGAACTACCACTCAACCACCGTGTCCACCGCCTCAACTGCCGTCTCCGATGTCTCAAAATGCGACGATCTTCAACTTGTTTACGTCGGGAAGTCTCGAAGACCTTACATGCTTAATTCACACGTCGTCGACCATCCGCTTTTCCAAGAACTTCTTGGTCGATCTTCGAGATTCATCGAAGAACGTCACGATCAAAAGACAGTCTTAGTAGCTTGTGAAGTCGTATTGTTCGAGCACTTGTTATGGATGCTCAAAAACAGTTGCTCCGATCAGGGCGATGATCGCGAAAGAAGATCCGTCATGGAGCTGGCTGAGTTCTACACATATTGACGGCGATATATACTTATTTCTCTTATAATATTTCATATATATAAGAAAAATATTTATATATATATTTATTCTACTGATTTTAAATTTTGATTTGATTCTATACATGATCCAATGCGACCATAAGACATTTCGTTTGCTTTCGTTTTTCCTAGAGCATTTTTTTGAGTTTTGGTAGTCCTGATTAACAAGTACATTTTCCCTTAATAAGCACAAATTGTAATTCCTTCAATGATAAAACTGATGTTCCAATAATTGTTGGTCCTTATTAGTACTACATTCTACATATATATTACTTTAGTTTTCGAAAAAATAGTACATATTAATTTTGGAAAGAATACTGTGCAGGGACATCCAATTGCACGCACGGTCCTACTTGCCTTTCTAGTGGCAGAGGTTGTTGTCAGGGAATACGTAATTAAAATAAATAAATTAACCATCTTATTATATGCCCGAGTTTCACAGTCTCTATATTGTATGCACTAGAAAAATCATGGTGTCAATTGTCAAATGTATTTAGGTAAAGTCGAAGCGTTTTGTCGTTTTGAGCTCAATTCTTGCTACGAATCATGCTTTGTTTAGACCATTTAAATCATAGTAATGACCAATGACTAATAAGTTTAACATGAAAACTATGGACAAGGCTGTATTTAAGAATTTGGCCCAAATAAGCCCATTATAGAAGCTTGGTGCCATGAAACGCAGCGTATGATAGAACGACGACGTGCGTCTTGGTGGTTTGACTGCCTTCGGTGACCGACGCTGATTGTTCCACTGTCGCGACGGTGACGGAAAAATCGAGTGAGTGGGTTTCTATAGTACTCGCTGCGTCTTTTAGCGAGAATAGAGATAACTAATTTTTTCATTTCTGAGCATTCCGCTCGATCCTAATGATCAGATCTTCACGTTTTGAGTTTTCTTTCTCTTGTTCCTGGGAATTTCGGAGTAGCAAATGATTTAAAATGAGAATCCTTTTATAGCGTCTGTGATATGTGTCGGGTTTTTTCTGAAGAATGTGACGGCAAGTTGTATTGTTTTTCCCTCTACGCTTCTAGCTAATGACTTTGTCGAATTTTTGGCTTACAAGCTGTTTGCTGAAATGCGTCAGTGGGTAACAGTCTTGTTCACTGACGCATTAGAATCCGTAGACTTGTCATTATTTTTGCATTCGTTTGGGTCAAAGAGTAAAAGGTCTTGGCTTAGCTCCTAGTTTCGGCTCCTAATGGTACTAGAATCACATAGCTATCGATTTAGGCCTCTCCATTGTATGCAATAGTATTTTTCTGTCTATTTATGTTATAGCTAACCTTGACAAGAAATTATCCTTTATACCTGTTGGACTGTCGTTATGGTGATAGAGTCTTCGTGTGCGTAATTTGGTGATTGACACTGAAAATAGGAGCTTTAGTTCGTAACAATCAGTGTCTTATATTTATACAAGCTTTCTTCATTTTCACATGGGAAAGCAGCTTCAGAGACATGTCAAGGTTTCGATCATTGTTGCAAGCCTCAGTAAATGCAACAAAGAAGGGTATTCACCTGTCACTGCTTAATTTTTTCATTTACTGGTTTCCTGTTTGTGTGTTGATGCTTGTGCTTAAACTTAGACAGTGACTCTTAGCAAGTGATGTTTGGGGAAGAATGACGTTGGTTTTCTGTTGCAAGACAAATGACTTTTTGGGATTGCCTTTATATTTCTCTGCTAGCCTTTTATGCTTTTGAATGTAGCAGGGAGTGCTAGTTTCTGACATATTTTCACCACTCTTTAATCTGTTAGCTCTTACATGGAACGTTGAAGAATGGGTACCACCTGCAGAGAAGACTATATTTAAGTTCCGTTCGAAAGAAGACTTGAAGAAATGGCATCTCTATTCTGATTCTGAATATGGAGGTACTTAAGTAGACAGGTTTAAGCATTTTCTCAGTAAAGAGCGTCTGATATTGTTTTCTGTTGCATTTTACCTTTCATTTCCATGCTTTCTTGATTCATATGAACAACTACTGAGACAAAATAAGATTTCAGAAGATTTGCATCCCATGGAATTTAACTGATATTGGTAACATTGTCAAATAAGATATCTGAAGATTTTATACTTGTTTTACAGGGTTATCTTCGGCTTCCTTGGAGATCCCAGATGGAGGAAATGGATCAGATGGCACTGGTTAGCAACTGAGTAATTTCTTTTGATTTATCTGCCTTTTATCATGTCGCTGTTATGAAGTTCATCAATAAAAATATGAGACTTTTTCTATGGTGTAATCCGTTGTTTCTCTTCATATTGTGTTTCCTACACTGCTCCACTTAGTGATGCATTTCCTCCCAAATATATTTTATAGGAATTTTCTCGGGGAATCTTTCCGTAGACCTTAGTGAGGGAGCAAAGTTGAACATCAGTAGGAGTGGCTTCTGTGGAATGCGCTCAAAAAAGGTTTAAAAACACACAGCTTTCATTTTCTTACGAAGCATTCTTAATCAAAATAAAACTTTTGCATACAATTATTGTTGAAGACTAAGATCAAGAACAAATTACTATATTGTCTTCTTCATTTGTAACTAGAAGACTCTGCGAGTCAATTTAGCATACTATTTTTAACTAACTCTGTCTTACTTTTTAATGTGCAGTTTGATGGCTTCATTGATCTCGACGGGTATGATGCAATAGCCCTAAGGCTCAGAGGAGATGGAAGGTGTTATATCTCTACCGTAAGTTTCATGCTGATTCTCTCACCTTTCCTTTTACTCCAGATGAAACAACAATTGTTGTAGGAGCAAAAGGGTTGGTTGTTATACTAAACCTTGATTTTTGATTCAGATCTATACCGAAAACTGGGTGAACTCACCGGGACAATCAGAAGATAACTCGTGGCAAGCTTTTGTTTTTGCTCCAAAGGACAGTTGGTATACTGCTAAGGCAAGTCTTACTTCAATAGATGTTACCATTGAAGCATCTTTTACACGTCCTTTTCTCTTGCTTCACTTCTAAGATAATAGAATGAAAACATAACCAAAAAGACAGATATCGGTTATGAGTTCACTTGAATGTCTAATGCCATTAGTAACCGGAGTTTGAAAATCTATCAGATCCCTCTAGCTCGATACTTGCCAACATGGAGAGGGAATGTCATCGATGTGGAAATGGAGATGAATCAAGGCCGTGTTCTTGGTATGTCACTATCGGTAAATGCAGAAGGTGGTGCGGTTGGAGCTAAATCAGGAGCAGGTGATTTCCGAGTTGAAATTGACTGGATCAAAGCCTTGAGATTGCCTTGAGATTGTGAACATTGAGATTGTGAACATTGTGGCAGTGTATGATGTTTTTGTTTGTTCTTGGTTTTAGCTTGTAAAATCCAGTCCTGAGTTGATAACTTGATGGCCAGACGATTGTTAAAATTGTAGTTGGTAACATCACTTTCAGCAATGTTTTAGCTGTGTCATCGAATAAAAAAATCGACACAAATCAGAAGATGTGATATCTTTTGTTTTACAGTTTATCCTTTATGGTCGTGAACTCGTGATTGAATGAGAGAGTATGGTAAATTTAGATTGCTGGAAAGCGAAGAAATTGATAGAATTGTATAACGTGCTTCTATCATAAACTTGCAAACTAAATGGCAAATGAGAATAAAAGGATGTTGATAGTTAATGACTGACTATTAGTTTTCACTTTATGTAAATAACAATGTACACATTAGATAAGAGAATAATATGGTAATAAACTAATAATACCTAGTTGGACCCTAACGTACAGCGGTACAGACTGACAATTATGCACATATTTTCCTTCACTCGACAGAGACACACGTGTAGGCACCGGCTCGTGAGATGGTAGGTCCCGCACTGTACAGCTGTTTTTCTAATTTGTCCAATCTGCACCGTTGGATCTTACTCATTGATTTTTTTTCGACTTTTTTCTGTACATAGTCGCTTGATGATGCGGTTGTTTCAGTGGATAGCGGGACCTACTAAACCACCACGGCTTTCGTATATGGGGTCCACTGAGAAGGGAAAAAAGCTACAATTTGTTTTGGTTTGGGAACCATTATAATTTTCACTTTCGGTTTTCAGAGAGGTTAATCAGCTAATAAATTAGAGATTAAAGGGAAATTTTCAGATGCATTTGACGACTACAACTCTATGCTGTGACAGGATTTAATCTCTGTGTATACTTCCGAGTGTTCTCCTGTGGATAAGTGAAGGTTTAAACATCAACCGGTTTACTTTTTTTTTAACACTTACATAAGTATCACGCTTTATATGTAAATTCCCTTGACATAAAATACTGCATATTTGTTGTACGTAATCAGCTAAGTTGATTTGTTTAATCATTCGTCAAAGAGGAACAAAATCAATATATTGATTTTCGCATGGAGATTAATAAAGAGAGATTAATAATTTTTTTTTTTTTTTTTTGAGAAAAGGCTAGAGAGATTAATAATTGACGTGAAGACACATGGGACAAAAGGAAAAAGAAAGGAAAGAGAATGAGAAGAACATGTCGCATGTGCTGAAGCTTATGTCATACCGACAATCTAGAAGTATCGTGAATTCGTGATCACTAGGGGCTGCTCTTTTGTAGTAAATGAAAAGAAGAAGATTTTATTGCTTCAAATTAAATGACGATAACTGGTTGCCTTAAAGTACTTCATGTAGGGTAAAATGTTATAGGGTTTAGACGTTAATTAGGGATTCTGTCACATTTGATTCAAATGTTTGTAAATACAAGCATTAAACTTGGCAATGAACGATTTCTGGACCTCTGATATTGCATCATGTGAAGAATAAAACTTTATTTCTTTGTTGAAAGTGAAGAATAATATTATGCGTTTGCATCACGATTCACGTGTTTTGTTAATTATTTATTCCATGAAAATTCATAAAATATCAGAAAATCGTATAGCCAAAACCGTACGATTTCTATGAAAATGAAAAAAAAAAAAACTATTTTTTATTGATTGTAGTAAGAAGACATTGTGTTGTTTGTTACCTATACAACTTTTTGAATACATTTTACTATTTCAGAACTACAAATACTCAAAACGATACTTATGATACTCTTGTAGGCTTAATGAGACGACGGATTTTTTCACCATACATTGAGAATGAAAAATCACAAAGAAGTGGATGAAAATTAAGAGAGTTTGGACTCGTTTATAGTCTACAAGGATTTTTTTCACGAAAAACAGAAAATATAACTTAGTTTTCTCGGGAAGAAAACAAAAAAGATATGAGGTTGACAAAATTAAACAAAAATAAATATGCGACTCGTTGTCCCTCTCAACGTATTTATAATTTTGTTTCCCGAAATAATATAATTACCGTTAAAAATCGATCATTGGATGTTTGGTCCACAAAGTACATAGCAGAGCCTTGACCACATCTCTCCAACTAAGCCAATATTACAAGATTACCCCCAACTAATTAACCACTTCCAAATACCAAATCTTTAATTCCTTCAGCAGATGCGCTAAGAGAATTCCACTGGCCCACCAAATTACTAATACTATAAATCTCTCTAGTAAGCTTAATGTATTTACTTACTGATATAAAACAGAATTAATTATTGATATTATGGAATATTTTGAGACAAAATGGTCCAAACCGGGTTTGTTGTTGTTTGTTTACTAAGAGGGTAATTTGGTAAAATTATACTGGATTGGTATCTTCTTCTTGACTCTTGTGTCTTTCGTATTTTCTCATTACAGACTGTTACGCGAAGGGAGAAAAAAAAAGAGAGGTAAAAGTTGTCCGAAGGAAGCTCTCTCTCTTTCTCTCTCTCTCTAGAGCTTCACATTCTATATCTACTAGATCGGTTACATTTAGCTAGCTATAGAGAAAAAGGAAAGTTCTTCTTCATTTTGGGAAAAAAGAGAGATTGCATTTTTATAGCAAAAACCATTGTAGTAAACGACAGGTCTTCAGATTTCAGACACTGTTACGGCCTCTTGTGCTTATAGAACTAAAGTAAACAAAATTTTGGAGACTGATCGGAAGCAATCGAGAGTGTTCGAGTTCGGTTCAATGCTGGATCGGCTTTGGCGTAAGTTCGTCGACTTTCGATTCTCTTTTCTTCTTTAATTGCTTTGATTTCGTGTCTAGTCTTTGGATTCTGCAATTTCGGCATAAACCAGTGTGTTCCTAGGATGGATTTTGGAATCTGAATTCTGGGTTTTAGTGTTTGGGTCAGATCTGGGAAGCATCGGTTACAATTTCGAGCGATTTATTTATGGAGCTGCGTTTCATCTTATTATTGTTGGATTGAAGTTTGTTTTGTTTTTTCTTTGGGGCAATTTTTGATTTAAAATGTTAAGCTGGGTAAATCTTTATTGCTACATTTATTTACTTGCTAGTGGCCAAATTCATTGATTATTTATTTAATAACAATCCATTTCTGGCTATGGATTTGAGATTCTTTTGTTGAAACTATAGCAATCTCAATGATATTAATCTGTTGAATGATTTTCATTTTGGTCTAGGAAAATGAAGGCTGATACAATTCTTGACTATGCTCTGTTTGAGCTTTCCCAAAAACACTCCCGGTGAGTAAATTTTATTTTCTCCGAGTGAAATGTTCTTTACGAATGATTTATGCTGCTATGTTGTAAATTTTATTCGCGGTCGGTCTGTTACAGATGCGAACTGTTTGTGTCGAGTAATGGAGAAACAGAGAAACTGGCTTCAGGATTGATCGAACCATTTGTGAATCATCTCAGTGTTCTTGAAGCACAATCCTATTTTAGAGCGGAACTAGAGGAAAGAAATGACAAATCTTGGTTCACAAGAACACTCGAGAGGTTTCAAACAACATTTGCTTTTCCTTTTCAACACAAATTTTTAAAGTAGCTTAATAATCTTTTCCTCTTTCCTTTCAGATTTGTTCAGTTTGTTAATAGCCCAGAAGTTTTGGAAAGAGTCAATACATATGATTTGGAGATGTCACAGTTGAAAGCAGCTCGGACATTATATTCTCAGGGTCTGTTAAATTTCTTCCTTATTTCAATCAAATTCTTAAGTTTAAGACTAAACTTGATCCATTTTTTTTTTTTGTTCTTTCAGGCGATGGAGGTGTAACGGATGCAACAAAGTAAGTAAAGCTCTCTCTGCTTTTATCTTTGTGTCAAAGACTCAAAGTGTTTTGCTGATTGCTTTTCTTTGTCTATATATTCAGGAAGGAGCTCTCAAGAGCTATAGATTTAAGACTTGATGCAATTTAGAAGGACTTAACCACAGCGATTGCTCACGCATCGGCTAATGGTTTTGATCCTCATTCTGTTTCTGATCTTCAACATTTTGCTGATAGATTCGGCGCACCTCATTTGAAGTAAGCACTTCTTTTTCATGGTGTTGTTTCACTTTCTTGCAACTTTGTTTTTTTTTTATCCGAAATCTCTCTTTACCAGCGAAGCATGCAGAAAATATATCTCATTATGGCAAAGAAGACCAGACCTGATCACGGAGAAAGACCGTCGATGAAACAAACATCAGTCAACATCAAAGTGCTAAGAGCAACAAGAAGGATGAAGAGGAGTTAAATGAGAGTTTGGATGAATCTTCTTCTACGGTTAAGGCAAGTCAACTTACAAGGAGACTCAGCGTGCAAGATCGGATTAATCTCTTTGAGAGCAAACAGAAGGAGAATTCAAACTCTGCTGCAGGAAACAAACCTGTGGTTGCTGTTGCTGTTGCTAAATCCACAGAGTTGAGGAGACTTTCTTCTGATGTCTCATCAGATGCTCCTGCATTCCCTGAGAAGTCTGTTTTGAGGAGATGGAGTGTTGTTAGTGACATGAGCTTTGATTTCACATCGGATAATAATAAGAAGTTTGATAATAGTAGCACCGACGAAGGTCCCTCAGGTGCACCACCATCATCTGTTAATCTTGATGCCACAGTGCAAGAAGAGTCTAAAGAGATTAGTCAAAAGGGTGATGACGATGATGATGATGATGTGTGTTCTACTAAATGTGATGATTCTCAAAACCAGACTGATGGTGGTGATTTCAAGCAGAGAGAAGAGGAAAGCTATGTATCCAAGTCTCAGAATGTGCCTCAATCATCAGTCGTGTTTCCTTATCGACACTCCCGATCTCGATCAGCTCATATACCAACCGGACTTGATATCAAAAGTGATGATCTTCATTCAAAAGGCGGGAAGAAAGAGATGTTTCCAACAGCCTTAACAACCTCTCCAAAACCAGCTTCTGCAGGGCCTGAACAGAGACAAAAGCCATCTGGTGTAGAGGATGATCTTGTGAATGCAGATTCAGCTGTTAAAATCAACAGTAACAGAGTTCGTGCAACATCTGTGGATCAAATGCAGAGGACAAGAATGTCAAGGGAAAGACCTCAAGGAGCTAACGACGAGTTGAAAATCAAGGCAAATGATCTTGAGAAGATTTTCGCTGAGCATAAACGACGAGTTTCTCGGGAAGATCACTCAGCTGGGGATGATGATGAGAAAGACAACGGCAACGTTGCAATGCGTCGGAATCTATCTGATTTAAGTTATTCAGATGGCTCTAAAGGGAAGTTGTACGAGACGTACATGAAGAAAAGAGACGCAAAACTGAGAGAAGAATGGAGTTCGAAAGAAACCAAGTTGAAGTCAATGCAAGAAGCGCTTGAGAGAAGCAGAACCGAGATGAAAGCTAAGTTCTCTGCTGCTTCCGAGAAGAAGCAAGATTCCATATCAAGCACACGGCAACGAGCAGAGAAATTCAGATCTTTTAACGCTCGGTCAAGTTTGAAAAAGTATCAGGTACCAAAAGCATTTTAGCTCCTATGATATGATGAATTGAAGATAGCATGCAGTTTGGTTTGGCTGACTCTTCTTGATCTTTGACAGAGCGAAGAAGAAGACGTGAAAGAGAAGCCACAATCTGTTGGAAAGAGTGCTTCAAGAAGCTCCTCCCAAGTCAAAAAGGCTCCATCACCAAACCGGAGCTCCAGAGTCTCGAAACCATCAGGTAAAGTTTCAAACACTAACATTACTTCTTCCGGGAGAGGGAGAAGAACAACAGAGATGATGATAACTCCGGTTGCACAATCTTCTGTTCCTAGTTTCTCTGATCTTAAGAAAGAAAACACAAAACCATCTTCTTTAGCTGTCAGAAATGCTCCTATGATGCGAACACAGGTGAGAGGTAGTGGTAACAAGAAGACCACAAAGGAAGACACACCGTCTCCTGCTAAGCCTCGAAGGCCAAGATCGTTAAGGAAAAGCTTCTCCGCGAGCATTGAATTCACAGAGTTGACACCTCTCTACTCTGATGATATGATGAACAAGGAGAGGAATCAGAAACAGAACTCAGACGTTGATGATGTGCCAGAGAACTTGAGGAATGAGGAGTTTGAAGAAACTGACTCTGAAGCAGAAGAAGAAGAAGTAGAAGAGAAAGAAGTTGTGGAGAGTCCTGTCAAAGAAGAAGAGGAAGCTAGAGAAATTGAGACTTTAGTTGTTGAGGACGAGAAGCCTTCACTTGAGAACTCCTCAGAGGATGAAAATGTGACTTCTCAGGTAGACTTACCGGCGAGAGCTCTACCTTCAGCGTTTCAGCATAATGTTGGCTCTTTGATGGACTCACCAAGTGAGAGTCCTCTCTCTTGGAACTCGAACTTGCAGCACGCATTCTCTTATCCGCACGAGCATTCGGATGCTGATGCTTCAATGGATTATTCTCCCATGGGAAGTCCTGCTTCTTGGAGCTCAAGAATGAGGAAGAAATGGGGAACAACAGCTCAGAGTCCTGTTCTTGTTTCCAACTCTTCTTCTCCGCTCCATTCTCGGAAGGATCTAACGAAAGGGATCAAACGTTTGCTGAAGTTTGGAAAGAAAACTCGTGCTGCAGATAGTCTGATGGATTGGGTCTCTGTAACGACATCTGAAGGCGATGATGACTCTGCTTATCGATCATCTGATGAGTTGAGGAAGTCAAGAATGGCATCGTCTCAGAGTCAGCTTTCTGAGGATGAACAAGGTATAACATCTTTGTCTTCTTATTCTTCATTTTTGTTGTCTTAAATGGTTTCATGAAAGTCAATCTGATCGTAACTTTGTGTGTTTTTGTGTGTTTGAAGCTTCAAACAACTCGATGCATCAAGGGAGCTTTAAAGTGAAAGATGGTGAATTTAAGCGATCATTCTTCTCACTTTCCACATTTCTTAGCAAAGGAAACGACTCCAAGCCAAGATAACATTCAAAAGAACAAAAGCCAAACTCTTGTGTTTTCGTTTAAGTACAAAGTTTGTAGTGTTTGAAGGAGATAACTTGATTCGATTTAAGTACATTGTTGTTGATTTCTTCAATATTTAAATGAGATAAAACATAATTTTGATCACAAAGCTCCCGATTGCTAAAACTGATAGCTTTTCGATTATATCACACAGAGTTTGATCATATTAAGTAGATGAAACTGAAGCTACATATTAGAGAGTTTTGCTTCATAGATTAAATAACAACGAAATACATAAAAAAAAAAGGGTTGTTAAAGAAAGTCTACTGCAATCAACCTTTTATCCTAATCTTCAAAAGACTTCGAGCTTCTGAGTTAAGCAATTGCTGTTGTTTTTACCTTGAAAAGAGACGAAAATGAAAGAACTTTGTGTCATATTCTCTTGAAACATCAAGAACAAGCATATTAGATTAGCTAGCAAGTAATGTAAACAAAGTTTACCTAAGAATCAGCTCCATCTTCTCCAACCGAGAACTATCTCCAAAGGTTGCAAAGTTCTTGTGCATTAGAGCAGCATTGCTGAATCGAACGTTACCTTTATCATCGGGTCTTACGAAGATCGTTGAGAAGAAGTTGATTTTCTGCACCACGAACTGCATTTCCACCAACATCAAAAACAGAAAACAAATGATCACTTGTCTCATAAAAATAGAAACAAAGGGTTTTGGAAGTGATTACATACCTCATCCCCCTGGATTTCACATCTTTCCCCAACATGAAACGGCAAGAGAAACAAAACAAACTGCATCGAATCATTGAAGAAATGCAGTTTTTGATGTCTTGCTAAAACCATAGCTAGACACGGCATGAGAACCATGCATCCGTATCCGCATCCGCATCCGCGTAGAACTAGTGCAACAAGCAGTGAAATGGCTAGTCCAATCCCAGCAAAGAGGTATACTATGAGCCTCAAATGGCTGATTATATAATCGGTGTCTGTCATTGACAAGACAAGTGACTTTTCTAGTCTGAAAGCATAAACCTATCAAATACAGATCAACCAGAACTAATCCTTGTTCAGAAACCTCATTAATTATATCATCAAAAACCTTTAGAGAAAACGTTTTTGAGTTTTTACCATCAAGTGTTGCAGAGCTATGCGGCTGATTGGAGTTGTCTCACCCTCTATAACTCCGTCGAAGATGCCCAAAGTCGCCAAAGCATCATTTTCCGGAAGGAATCCAGCTAAATCCGACAGCTCAATGTACCTGAAAACAACACAAGTTCGACCAAGATTTTGTTATAACCTGCACGATGTTCTCACAAGGGAAAGAAACAAATTACTCTATCAATGGTATCACTTACTCTGATCCAGGCCTGGCAACGTTCAGGAAGAGCTTCTTCCCTAAAATTCTTGCCTCTGATTCACTTTGTAGCTTCAAAGCTAAACCCTTTTGAAGCATTTTCTTCATACTCCAAGCTGAGGCTTTCTCTGGATCTACCAGGTGCTGGATTTCGATCCAAGGACGGCCTGAGAGGGCTTCAGTGATGTACCAGAAGAAGAGAGAATCCTGGATCTTCTCGTGGTATTTCGTCATATGGAAGTCCAAAGTGACATTCTTGAAAACCCAGGCACAAAGGAGCCACAACATGATGCAGAGAACAGCAGCGCCTGTTGCATCACTCAGAAGCGAAATCGTCATTGCCACAAAACCTGTGAATTGAATCTTGGGTTTTCTTTCTTTGTTCTTGAGAGAGAGCTTGAGAGGAGTGTGAGTGGTGGTAAGTTTGACATGAATAGGCATCAATAAATGAAAACAATTTTAAAAAATAATAAACTTTAACGGACATTAATGACACATCTTCGTGCTGTTTGACCACCGTTAGTTACGTTTTTTTTTTAAGAATTGAGAATTCATTCATATTCATGATAACAACAAAAGTGTCTGTATTTACAAAAGCTAATCGCGATTACATGGGTGTTTACAGTTTTGGAAGTACATAATTATGAGGTCATCATCATATTGCGCCATTTAAATGGCTAATTGAGAAAGAAAAATAATAATTTTATTGACTCTTCCTCTGAAAAAGAAAAAACCACAAAGCGACACAGCTACATGATGACATTACAACAAGGACCCTTTTTAACAAGAAAATAAGTTAGAACTTAGAAGAAAAGAAGAAGAGATCATAAAGACGTTACATAAACATATAGAAAAAAAAGACTCCTCGCTCAAATCACGGCTTCAATGACGAACTCACTGGTCGTACATGAGCTGCTGCGCGTTCTGGAAACCAGCGTCATAGATAGCCTGGCTTGAACCAGTGGCTCCCATCGCAGCTTGCTTCAGAGCGTGTTGTCCCTGCGGGTGATGATGCATCATCGGATTCATTCCCGCCATTTTTGTTGCCACTTAGCCGAGCTCTGTTTCTTCCAACAGTCGGCTTCCATGGGGTTGTTTCTCTTGCAATCCCTCATCACCTTTTGCCATCTTCTGATTTGTTATCAGAACTTTCTCCTGCCCGAGCATGAAACGCAGCTTTACACGTGTCTTCATTCTGTGAAGAGACACATCTTATGCAATATAAGAGTTTTCAATAACTCTGTTACAGGCAGTAAACTCAGATCCTCTGTTTGCTCCAACACAGCCACAATGCTGTCAAATCTCGTTTGGTGTCTTCCTTGGATCACCATCAAAGACGTCTACTTTACGTCACAATGCGTGAGTATTCTTCTCCACGTCTTCTGGTTAACTCTGTAACCAATTTGTTTTCCTCCATTTTTCACAGAGGTAAGCATCCTCCTATGGGAAGTCCTGCTTCTTGGAGCTCAAGAATGAGAAAGAAATGGGGAACAACAGCTCAGAGTCCTGTTCTTGTTTCCAACTCCTCTCCACTCCACTCTCGGAAAGATCTAACGAAAGGGATCAAACGTTTGCTGAAGTTTGGAAAGAAAACTCGTGCTGCGGATAGTCTGATGGATTGGGTCTCTGTAACGACATCCGAAGGCGACGATGATTCTGCTTATCGATCATCTGATGAGTTGAGGAAATCAAGAATGGCATCGTCTCAGAGTCAGCTTTCTGAGGATGAACAAGGTATAACATCTTTGTCTTCTTATTCTTCATTTTTGTTGTCTTATATGGTTTCATGAAAGTCAATTTGATCGTAACTTTGTGTCTTGTGTGTTTGAAGCTTCAAACAATTCGATTCATCAAGGGAGCTTTAAAGTGAAAGATGGTGAATTTAAGCGATCATTCTTCTCACTTTCCACATTTCGTAGCAAAGGAAATGACTCCAACTCAAAGCCTCTTGTGTTTTTGTTATTTAAGTACATTATTGTTGATTTCTTTAATATTTTAATGAGATAAAACATAATTTTGATTACTAAGAACGTCTAATTAAGTAAGCATACTTTTTGTTTTCTAAGGTATCCGAAAGCTTTGAGTAAATTAAAAGGAACATTTAAAGATCACTGAAAAAGTTGTTTTTGTTATAATGCTCACTATATAGTTCACTTCGATCAGTGAATAATGTGAAAGCATCAATAGTTAAATACAGTTTGAAATTGATATCAAGTTATCAACTATTCCAATTAATGGCATAAATAAGAGATAATTGATATCAACTATATAACTCCATCATTCTCTTTTTCAACTACTTAATGATCAAACTATGTCTTTCTTTTGTGCAACAATCCAAATGTGTGTTTTTTTGGGCAACAATCAAACTATGTGTTATATCATCAAAAGATATCAGTGAACAAGTACAGTGTCACAGAAATACATGTCATAGAACCACTAATCCCCCAAATCACTTTGTAAGAAACCGATTGCTTTAATAAACCAAATCACTTTGTAAGTAGAGCAGAGTACTTACCACACTATGGTGCAACGACTCCATTGTGCGTTAAGGTTTTATGTTCATTAATTGTTTTGCAAACCAACCTAGGATGGTAGTCGGCTTCATTCATTAATCGATTGATTTTAGGGATATATAATTCATTTTTTTCTTTTTTGAACATCAAATTGCATTAAATAAAAGATAGTCACGTTTACACCAATCTAATTCATTTTCTTTATATAAAAAAACAACAATCGAAAAAGTTTTTCTTCTTTTTCTGCTAAAGAGGCTTTCTTTAACTATTTTCTCTTGAGTTTCTTTTATTGAATCTTATATATAATAGGAGAGTTGCTCTCTCCATCTAGGCTATCCACATCAGCAAAAAAAATCATTAAATTGTTTTTAAGATACTTAATATATGACTACTAGTAGAGTACCCGCACGTTTGTGCGGTGTGACGTTGTTGTTTTGTGTAGAAAATTTAAACCCTAAATCCGAACCCGACAAAAAACCCTAATCAAAAAATTTAAAAACCCAAACTTTTTTAATAGGTCTAAACATGAAAATCCGAAATCAAAAAAATCCCGAAAACCCTGACTGAACAAAAAAAATCTGGAAACTTTTTCACCCGGAACCCGACCCCAATACCTAATCAAAATTTTAAAATACTCAATTTTTTTAATATATCTAAACCCGAAAACCAGAAATCTAAAAAATCCGGAAAACCCTAAACTGAAAAAAAAATTGAACCTAACCCGAACAGAAATTTTCAAAGAAACCCGAACAATTTCTATATCTCTATATATATCTCTATAAAATTATGTCTCAGATTTTCACCCAAACCCGAACTTGTCTATAAAAACCCGAAAATCCAAAAAGCATATTCTATTGATTTGGAATTATCGTTAGATTATGTTAAGTTTTCTTTTTTGCAGATTTTTAAGAGATGGAAAAACGGAAGTGCGATGTGCGATGTGCGATGTGAGATAAAGTATAAATAAAACTAACAGAAAACTATTGCAAACAACCCCGCGCTTGCGCGGGGCTTCAAACCTAGTGAAATTAGATCAGACGTTTAGAAAGAAGAAGAAAAAGACAACATTATAATATAACCGGAATATTAGTTAGAAAAATAAAAACAGAGAGAAAACAATGACATCACATACACAAAAAGAGAAAAAAAAAACTTCTCAGATCACGCCTTCAAGGACGACCTCAGTGGTAGTACATGAGCTGCTGCACGTTCTGAAAACCACCGTCATAGATAGCCTGGCTTGAACCAGTGGCTCCCATCGCAGCTTGCTTGAGAGCGTGTTGTCCACCGTTAGTTACGTTTTTTTTCCAAAGAACTGAGAATTCATTCATATTCATGATAACAACAAAAGTGTCTGTATTTACAAGCTAATCGCCATTATTTCGGTGTTTACAGTTTTGGAAGCGCATGCACATGATTATGAGGTCATCATCATATTGCGCCATTTAAATGGCTAATAGAGGAAGAAAAATAATAATATTATTGACTCTTCCTCTGAAAAGGAAAAAACCACAAAGCGACAGCTACATGATAACATTATAACAAGGACCCTTCTAACAAGAACATAAGTTAGAACAAAAGAAGAAGAGATCATAAAGACATTACATAAACATAAAGAAAAACGGAAAACTCTTCATTCAAATCACGGCTTCAATGACGAACTCAGTGGTAATACATGAGCTGCTGCGCGTTCTGGAAACCACCGTCATAGATTGCCTGGCTTGAACCAGTGGCTCCCATTGCAGCTTGCTTGAGAGCGTGTTGTCCCTGCGGGTGATGATGCATCATCGGATTCATTCCCGCCATTTTGCTCATCGCTAGTTGCCTCTCGTAAGCCAAGAGATCGCTCGCTGAGAATCCAGGGACTGGTGCGGGAGCTGGTGGAGGAAGCGGGTTTGATGCTGTTCCTGATGGAGTTGGCTTGCTTCCCCAAGAACACTGTTTTTGGGACCAACAAAAACACAAGGTTAAGAATGTGTGTTTGTTACTTCACTGCATTCTTTTTCAGGTTAAGTAGCATTTCTTTTTAGTTTTTACCTTCATTGGCCTGCCACTGAGGTAGGAATGTGTGTTTCCCATCTGGATAGCGAGGGCGGCCTCTACATGAGTAGAGTATCTCACAAATCCAAAACCTTTGTCTCTTTGAACACGGACCTCTTCCATAACCCCAGCACCAAGGGCATGGAAGTGGCGGTGAAGATCAGCCTGCGAAACCTGGTAAATCCATATTTGATGAGGGTTGTGTTAAGTCAAACAAAATGCATATAACCAAAATAGCTTATTCTTTACCTCTGGAGCAAGATTCCCAACGTAAACAGTTGTGTACTGAGCATTGGTCTCGGGAGCATCCCCGCTACTTGTATCTTTACCATCCTCTGCAGGAAACACATAAGCCAATGTTTTCAGAGTCGAGAGCTAAGAATTAAAATCGTTATTGTCTCTGTTTCCACTTAATTCTCTCTATGTTATGACTTATATGAGTAGTAAAATTTAAGACAAGACAAAACAACATACCCGAGACACCACTGGTTAGTTCCACAACACTTTTGGAATCAGAGCTCTGCTTGTCCTCACCAGAAGTGGCTCCCTTTGTTGCCCAGTTGCAGCGAATCTGCCTCGAACCAAGCCATTTCCCTGAACAGCAACCAAAACAAAAAATCTCAATCATAATCCAACAAATGCAAATGGCACTATATATCTCTATAAGCGCAAAGTCTTAACAGGTGATACAAACTTCATCATAGACTCAACTCCATGCGTTTTAATGTGACAAACCAATATATATATATATATACAACCTCCTCATATTCAAAGTATTGACATTTTCAACTATTTGTAAGAGGGCTGGCTTCTAACTTCTAGCATCAAAAATCTTTCATGATAAGGAAAGTTGGAGATCACCAAATAAAAAGAAGTGCCATACTCACCGGTTATCTCATCAATTGCAGTCTGGGCATCCTGCACAAGGAAATAAGATTGGCAGCAATCAATAAATGGCTAAAGGTAAAACCGGTTCACAGATTAGGAGGACTGAATGAAGAAGTTCTAAGTACCTGCTGGTTACGGAACGCAACAAATCCAAATCCTCTTGACCGCCCAGTTTTCTGATCCCACATAACCCTCGCATCCCTACATACAAGAGCTAAAAAGTCAGACTGCAAATCATAACCTTCCATGTCCAATACAAGAATGTTCAGACGGCATCAACAGTATGCATCTAAAAAACTTACGAGCAGCTCGGGTAGACAGAGAAGCAATTAAATAGCATTGCATCGGTTACCTCAGGGCTCAAATCCCCGACAAATATATTAAAGTGAGCTGCATATGAAAAGATTGTACAAGGTGTCACATAAGTTTGTAACCCACAGAATACATAAAGCCCTGATAACAAAAGGAGTAAGAACCAACCTGATGTATCCTCCCTCTGGCCACTAGCATAAGCCCAGTTAACCTTCATAGGTTGCCCAAACCTGCACATTGCATTATCCAATGAAATCAAGTCCAAAACCTTTGGAAACAGAGTATATTGTTCATGCTAACAGATTAATAACAATCAAGAAATAATGAACTTACAAATGCCTTCCATTGAGAGAAAGAATTGCCAGACCAGCCGATCGTCGATCAAAGTAGTGGACAAAACCATAAGAAGACTGCTCATTTCAAATCAAAACATCAGAAAAAATTCAAAAATATGACTATGACAGGCTTAGACTATAACTTGATATTACTTAAAACCACTAACCTTTTCCTTCCTAATAAGTTTGCAGCTTTCGACGGGACCAGTGCTAGCACAAACCTCTTGAAGCAGAGGTTCCGTCACCTGAGTATGGATGTTTCCGACGTACCTGCAATTTATCAAAATAGACAAACTAAAAATCTAAACAAGAAAAACAGAACAAAGAAAGAAACAAAAAACAGCAAGTTACTACTCATTTTTTAAGAAAACCACCCAATGAGGAGATAAATTACAACGAATCACATTTTCCAGACAGTTAGAATAAGGAATTTAGAGAAATGTTGTCAAATTTTCAAGACTTTTGACAAAATTATTCAACTTCACAATTATTAACAATATATCTACGTCCATAACTACAATGCCTTATAGTCTTTCCTAACTCATTTCAGAGGACAATCACAAACTGGGAAGCTTGAGACAGTAATAAGCCAAAAACACGGAACATTTATAGAAGTGAAGCAAAAAATCCTAACACTCACACACTGCGGCAAGTACTTGGATCAAAACCAGGGGGAAGATTTCCACTTGGGATTGGTTCTATCTGCAAAAGGGAACAAGGAAGAGGAAAACAAAATGAAAAAGAAAGAAAACAAAGGGAAAAAAACAGCTTGCTTCTTCCTAAATCAGACTTGACTATATCACTCTTCACAATTTCTCAGCGACTAAGCTACCATTTTCATGGAGTTGTTAAACCAAATATCAAACAACAAGACACCAAGTACTTAAACAACTAGAAGCAAGACTTATAGTTATGAACAAAGGAGAAACAAGCATCATCAATCACAGAAATTAAAAGCCAAGAGAAATACGACACCACGAAGAATATCTCTGCAAATGAATCTCAAAACAACAAAAAAAAAATGAAACCAGAAATCTGCCGTATAGAAGAAAAGGGTGTGTACAAGTAATAAAACTAGCGAAAATACAGTAAAATCGAAACTTCGAGAAAGCCCTAAATAAGCAAATCGACCATCGAAATGGAAAGAAAAAAACAGAGAGAAAGCGGAAACCTGAGGAGCTGCGAGGAGTCCGGGATGGTAGAGAGACTGCTGCTGCATAAGAGCTTGCTGCATCATCACTTGTTGCTGCTGCTGCTGCTGCTTCAACCTCTGCATTTTCTCCGAGAGAAAACTATTCTTGTCTTTGAGCTCTTACTTTTGGTTCCCAGGAAATGAAATTGAGACCGTGCTCTGTATTTTAGGGTTCGAAAGTGTTTTTTTGGTTTCCGAGAAAAATAGAATAAGAAAAATGAAAAAGAAACCTCCAAAAATAAACGAAGAACAAGAAAAATCGAAGTCTCTTGATAGAAAGCGAAGGGAGCAATTGAGTGGCTCTTACGAATTTATTGGACTGAATCTATTTTTTAGTAATTCCATCGATTCGCTAAAGTCACTGGCTGTAAGAAATTTAAAAACTCACAGCCAATGAGAGATCAGCACGTTTAATGATGGCTCAGCCCAATCACTGTCTCGAACGAAGCAGACATTCAATGAAAAGGCAACCTGACAACTAATCACAAACATACCCCGTATTTTAGTGCAAAATAAAGATACACCCCTATAAATTTACTCCCTCCGTTTCAAAATAGTTGTCGTTTTGGGAAAATGTATCTGCAATTATTTGGATGTATTTGCTATGCAAAACACGTCCAGATACGTCCAAATATTTGCAGATACATTTTGCCAGAACGACAACTAATTTGAAACGGAGGGAGTATATTTTTTCTTTAAATACACCCTAAACAAATTATAAAAAATGCTCTTTACCACATGTTACGTTTACAATTGACCTAGATTGCGAGGCACTACTTGGGCCCTAGCTTCTCGCCCAAAGCAGATTCATAGACTTTGGCGACTTCCTGATCGGCAATGACAACATCATCACCGAGTACCGCGTACGATGTAAAGCGTACACCAGGCCCGTGTTGATGCACATCTACTGAGGGTAGAACGAGTGAGCGGCTAGAGGGGGAAGGTGAATCTCTTATCTTATCTTATATATGATGCAGAGGCAGAGTTTGATCTATGGAGAGATACTCGAGTTCACCTTTTTATGATATGCCTAAATCTGTAATCCAATTCTTAGTTAGAAAGATTTTAAGTTTCTCTGTGTTTGATATCTTACAACCATATGAAATTTGGATAACTAAAAAACTATAAGCAAATACTAGTAAGGATTTTTTTAGCAAAAATGGCTGACATGTCTTAATCGGAAATTTCACCAACTTTTGTTCATGTTTTTCATTCAACCCACTCTTTTCTATTAAACGTCTTGTTATTTCTGGATTTCTCTAGATTAATTTGGCAGCGGTTTTACACTCTTGAAGATGTTCTTCATGCAACTCTCTATGTCTCTATAAATGCGGTGTAATAGGTATTCTTGGTTTTTGTAATTTAATTCCTAAAATTTATTATTGCAATTTATAAGTATTGAAGTCAGGTTGTGATTACATATCCTTTAATACAAAGCAAAAAATAAAACAACTTAATTAAGTCAAGGGACCAACATTCATACCAACCAAAAAAAAGTCAGAGGACCAAAACGTTAATCTAAAAGCTACGTTCCTGAAAAATATCAAGGAAACTTTACCATAGCCTAAGGTCGAGATCTTTCGAACACTGGCCTTCTTCTTCAACTTCCATCAAGAAATCTTCATCACCTTCTGGTTTAGGATGGGACACGGTTTGAGCAACAGCATTGTCCGGTTGTTGTGACGACTGTCCCGGCTCTAGTGGTTGACCGGGTACAGTCTCTGGCTTGGGAGGATAATGATGACGACCCATGTTTTGGTTAAATTGGTATGGAGCTCTAGCCACAGCTCTGTAATGGAGAAAAAAGCAAAAAATGTAAATTACACGGCTTGTGACTTGTGAGAGTAACTAATTTTTTGAACTAGCTAGAGTAATTTAACATAAAAAGTATGGTCAAGTTGGTTTACCTGTCTTTTCGTTTAGCAAAGAATCGATGAAGCGAAGCTCTACGTGCTATACGTTCCACAAGCTGATTCTGTTGTTGTTGATTGATATCCGCAGAATTTGTGGGCTCGTTTAGATCAGGAAGAACAGAGTTGCTTTTGTTGTTGTTGTCTTCGACATTGAGTTGTGTCTGAATGTTAATCTCACTCACAGGTTTGGCTTGTTTTGCTACTTCCATTATCTCTTTAGCTTTGTCTTCAGGGAACTCATTGTATACCAAAACTTTTCCTCCAAAGAATATTGTCAGCTGGGAACTTCCTGCCTCTGCTTCACTGCAAACCAAAAACCCAATTTCAGAACTAAACCATTTTACAAACCGGTAATAATAGAAACCAAACCAAACCCTCTCTCTCTCCCAAGGATCAAAAGAGTATAATTATGTACCTGCTGGTAATTTTGGCTTTGCTTCCGGATGAGGTAAAGGGTTCGCCTTTCGAAATTGTCTGAAAGAAATCGAGGGATTTGATGTCCGAATCTGCGTTTGTGTTCCCTGAATAAAAGAGAATAAAAGCTCCGGTCAGCTTTTATCTTAACGAAACGAATCAACTCTATATAATATATATTTTGGTAGGGAGATACAAGACCTTGTGTTGATATTCATGAACCGTATTTCAATCAATCTCTAATTCAACTAATTTCTCTATTTTTTGTTACTTTGTCTTTATAGTTACAACTTACAAAGGGAAATTTAATTTCTAATTTTAAGGAACTGACTTACAAATGAGAAAACCAAAAACAGAATTTTAATTCAGATTATTACCAGTGGCGACCTGTGAGAGAGGAGTAGAGAAAGTATTTGGTAGATCGGAGTTTCCGGGCAACCCGAGATTGGAATCGGGCATTCGGACCAACCCAAGCTCAATATTCCCAAAACTACCCTTCTCCTTCAAGTAACGGCTGAGCAAGGTACATCTCCGGGTAAAATTGGACTTCTCCGGCGCTTGTGCCTTTCTATTTTCATTTCTCGACATCTTGTAAACGATAAGGAGAAAATCTCCCAAGTCTTTTTTGTATATTTGTATTGATTATCTTCTTCTTCTTTTTTTGGTGCGTGGATTACGCGTAAAGTTGGAAGAGTACAAGAGAGATGTGTTGAGCTCGCTCATGTGTTTATACTAAACTCGTAACACCCATTTCTGTGGCTTTAATAGCATCAGCAGAAATAAGAAAAACTTTTCTATTTTTGTTAATTTTTTCATTTTCTTATTACCAACAAAAGAAAAACAAAAATATTGAATACAATACAAATTTTTAAATATACTGTTTATATTAGTACTCTATGATATTTTATTCTTGATTGATTAAAAATCTTTGGTATAAGTATAACTCATCATCAATAACAAAAAGTGTTGGAAAGAATATACAAAACATATCGCATACAACCATTAGGTACTCTGGTGTGAAAGAGAAAATTTTCTTATGTGATTAATGATTATTAATAGGAAGATTAATGTTCATAATTCATCTTTAATCAAGTAGTTTTTTAAAAATTGTTTTCTAAGTTGATAATACAAATTTATTTGCCTGTCTAATCATAAAAACATGCCCACCTTTTTTTGTTTAGTTTGGTACAGTTTATCTATCTATCGACGGCCAGATTTTAAACTTGAATCAAACAACTCTTTCCTTCTTTTCCGGTTAGAATTTCCCGCACGTTTTCCTTACGCACAAAGATTGACAAGAATAAAGAGCTCAGAACGGACGGCAACGTTAGTAAACGCCGTTAACGATTCTATTAAAGGCCCAAAAGTTGGTCGTATCTACAAAATTGCCCCTTCTGTAAGAGCTCACTCGGAATTCTCGTGGTGGTATAATCGTAATTAGAACAAACATTCATGACTTTACAGACATTATCTGAGAGCGGATTTACTCGCGTTTGTTAACGACTTAACGGAAATTCTAATTGAAGAGAATGTGGGGTCACGTAGGTCCCACCCTGTAACCCCTAGCTTAGAAATTTCGTGTGAAAAAAATTCAAAATATACACACTTGTCGCAGACCCGACAGAATATTACAACACGTGATCGAAATAGAGTCAACCGTCAAGATTACGACACGTTGCGCAATCTGTACGGCGCACTCGCAACAGTATTGTGTGATTCGCGTTTTTCCCACTTACTATAGAAAGAGAAAGGGGCAAATCTTTTGATCACCTAATAAGATTGGTCAAAAAAATTAATTGATGGCTCAAATGATGAATTGACCTAACCGCCCCTTTCACGGATGCAACAATCAAATATTCAATACGTTGCTTCGCAATTACGACTCGTTCTAAAAACGTGCTCGGGAAAATGATAAATGAATATTAAGACAGAGTACTCTATATAAAGTACTTTATTTTAAAAAAAATTGTAAAAATATTAAAGAGTGTTGTTGCTGGGGAGCTTGGGAGTTGGGACTAAATGGAGTCTGGAGCAAACCAAGCCGATCGGCCGATTAATTGAAATCAAACCAACAATTGCTAAACCGGTTTGGTAACTCGTTATCCATACCATACGCCAAGTCAATGATTTTATTTAAAACAAACATCTGTGAAATTTGGGGTAACGAATGGGTCCTTTTGAAAGAGACAAATGCTATTGGGAACAAATTTTAAAAACGAAATTTCCTCACACCTAATTGAGCCGCTTCCGCTTGGGGTTTCTTAATCACAAAAATTACGCCAATTTGACCCGTTTTAGCTTTGACTAAGGTCATTAAGCTTTTACCTCATTAGAAAACAGTATGGCAATGTTCAACTATGGGGACTCCAAAGCTATGATATAAACTTGTATAAGTCTCTAGATGTAACTTTTCCTTCATGTACGTTCAAAGGGAAGCAAACAGTGTAGTGTAATACTGTAATGTAATGTGACTGATGATATATCCAAAAGAAGCTCGTGTCAATGTTGTATGATATTTTAATTCTAAGATCAGTTAGATATTTTAATTTTTTTTAAACTTGTCAAAAATAAACAACTTTGGTGAAAAGTAAAATCATAAATAAAGAAAAAGTTTAGCGTTATTTAAGCAAATTTTGTGCAGAAATGAAACAAAGAATGTTTTGGTCAAAACATTTATTAATCTGGTATGTTAATTCAAGCAACTACTAGTGTTATGCGTAATAAACTAGGAAATAATGGTAGAATAATGTCACATCACCAAAACAGACTTCCCAATCCACAGAGTAAGCAGAATCTCAATGGTTATGAAGCCCTTATCGATGAGTTTCATCGCGTCCTTGTTTCGGTTAACTTCATACTCCGCAAAAACGATTTGCCACGCTACTACAAAGACCCAAGCCATGAAGCATCTTCTCACACTGCCTTGAGTGTTGTAGGCGACATAGATAAACATTTTGTGTCCTCGAAACAACACGTGAATCACACAGTACATGAGTCTGACCAAACCTCCACAAGCTATTCGTGATCCAAAAATCATCACCACGTAAATCTCAAGCTGCAAGACATATATCCCCCATCAATTTCTTCTCGTGCAGAGGATTAATAGTCATTGTTAAAACTATCGCCACACAAATTAATGTTAAGATAAGCAATTCCAAAAGCTTCCATACAGATAGTTTCAGCTTCTTTTCTTCAGCACTTTCAGCTTCATCACTTTCAACAGGCTGCTGTTTCCACGATGGAACTTTTCCCGGTAAGCGGGAACGATTCCTAAGACTAAGGAAACTACACGATTCCATCTAGTTTCCAAAATTAAGAGACACCTGAAAATTGCAAAACGAATCCCAAATTATCTTTCTTTCACCAAAAAACCCAACAAACGATATGTGATTTATAATTAATTAGTACCAATTAAACCCTAGAGCTAAACCCCTTAAACAATGTATGTCCAAAAACCAAAATGAAATCCAATAATTAGGATCTGTACATATAAAAGCTATAGACGACAAAGGATTTAGCATGAAAAATACGGTAACAAATTCAAATAATTTAAAACCAAAATGATCTTTTAACTTAGAAAGTAACTTCATATAATTGTCATGCTAAACCCCTTAAACAATGTGTCCAAATAATAACAAGCAAAGTTTACCTGAGATCCAATAATGAGAATCTTTTTTTTTGAAAATCCAAGACCAAAAAATATTATGGTTTTCTTCTCATCCTATGAGAATCTTTTTTTTGAAAGTGCACGAAGATTATACAAAAATTATCATGGTTTTCTTCTAGAAGTATGATAATACATGAAAGATAAACTAGAAGAAGTATCATTTATTTCAAGAGTTGACATGTCTGTTACAAAATAACTGAACCAAATACACAAAGAATGTAATAAAAAAGACGAGTTGAGGTTATCCACCTTAAAATTACCCAAATGATGATATACACACATATACGTATACATAATAATACACATGTATGTATGTTTCAAGAACATGTTTGGTTCTATGGACCCAAATGCCCACATATCCAATCATGCAAAAATAAAAGGTTAAAACATTTAACTCCATGTCTTTATTCCATGTCTTTATCTGCGGATGCACCAAAACTTTCCTCAGAAATAAGAGTCACATTTCATTATTTCTTTTGAATTTTCTCCAGAAGTGTTTGAATCTGCATATATGAAAGGAAAAACACATAAGTTTTAGGAGAGAAACGGAGACAAACTTAAGATATATTCTTGTTATGTCTTAATTACCTGTACTCTGAAAAGGTGCGTGCAAGGGCTTGAAAGACGAATGTTGGATCAGATCTCAAGTACGATGACTGTAATCAAAAGAAGATCAAATCAGCTCTCGTTTGTTTCTGAGTTTTACTAAGAATTAATGAGGATCTGATTATAAACTCACAATCAGAATCTGTTTTGACCCATTTATGTCCGTCGCTACTACTTCTTCTTTCGTTGGTTTCTTCTTGTTCTTCTCCACTCTTCAAAGAGAGCTGCTTCTTGTCTTTCAAGTATTTCTTTGGTGTCGATGATGTTGGTTTTGAGGAGGCTTGGGCATTAATCTTCTTATGTAACATCATCTTCAACAACTGTAAATTGATTTTGATCAGATACTGAGATTATACAAAAGATTAAATCGTTGAATCAAAATTGTACCTTCTCCATTCTTGAAACTTGAAGCGTGTCTCTCAAGCTAGGGCTCGGGGTTGTAGAAAACCCATCAGCGCAAACAAAGATCTTCTTGAAAAGATATGAGACAGATGTCTTGCTTATGTCACTCTTCTCCTTATTCTTCTTACTTTCTGTAGATATCGCTTTGCATCTACCTAGAATAACATTGATCGTTCGCTCCATATCTTCATCCTTAGTCTCCTCATACGAATCCACAACAGCGCATAGCGCATTACTGATTCGCCTCTCGACCTCTAAACTTGATGGACAATTCAAGAATCTATCCAAAGGAAGATTTTTCATGAGCTCTCTGTTCACATCAGACTTCCTTTTCTTGGTTTTTGACAAGAGCTTCATCAACTCCTTTTGCAACTTCCCAACTTCCTCGGGAGTAAAATCCTCAATATCATCAGAGGAAGAAGGCTCTTCTTCTTGCTCGGTAGACTTAATCTCTGCTTCGATCTCTTCACGAACATTGTTGCTCTTGTTTTCGCTCGCACCATTGCTTGTGGTACCGAATGTTCCAATAGCGAGGAGCGCGTGAGGCCAGTCGCTAAACTCCTCTCTTGGCTCTTGCTTCACATGATCTAAAAAACAATATTCAAGACAGCAACAAAAGTTTCAGAGGACCAATCAAAACTGGCGAAACTTATTAAAACAAGATTTAAGACAGCAAATTCTAAAGGGACAAGAATCTTGGGGCATTGCTTGCACATATCCCTAGTAGACAATAGAATTTTATGAAAGTTAAAACTTACGAGAAGAAGCAGAGGAAGTGCTTGTTCTGTTTTGGTCTTGTTTCGCATTTTGCTTGTTCTGCATCCAGCCGAAGAACTGAATAGAAAAAGAAAACAATTCAGAAACCATATGAGAACACAAAATCAGGTTTTATAACCCAACCAAACAAAAAAAATCAGTGAAACCCATTTCATGCATATGATCATACTAAACACAAAGGATCCTGAAACTAACCTTCATGTTTTTTTTGTTGTTGTTGGTTTGACGATCTTCTGTAACAGAGAACTTAAGATGCTATATATGAGTTAGAGTTGTTGGTGAATCAAGATAGGTTATTATAGAGATAGAAAACAAAAAAAAAAGATAAGGATTTTGAAGACAAGTTGGAGTAATATTGATGAATTTGATGGTGTTCAAGTTCCAAACTTTGACTACTTAAAAGAGAATTATTAGTGAAAAAACTTTTAAACAGCTTTTTGTAATCTTGTGTTCAGATGTTATCTCGCAGATGCTTCTTTATACAACTCACAAACTCATATCAATGCACACATCCCCACGTAACCAACGAGTCCACCAACATTCTTCTATGGCCCATAGATTATTTGTACTATTAACATTAAAAAAAATAACCCCCAAAAAACTTAGTTAACTATTAATTAACCCGTGTATCGGAGAGAACGTCGCGGCTTTAATCTCGGTTCATACACCGTGGAGCCACCTTAACGATGTATAGACTGAATTTCCATCAGTAATTTTACCAGTCGAAGTTCTAAGAACGAGAAAAAATTGAATCCCTAGAAATGCATAACATTGAATGGTTACTATAGTGACACGGAGAGGGTACTCGTAAATTTTGTTACTTACATTTATAAACTTGTGTCAAGCTACATAGTTACATATGAATATAATTTTGTTGTTGTGATCCGATAGAGGTTGGTTTCTGGCCACATTCATATTTCCAGCGTTAATGTTTTTTTTTTTGGTAAAATGTAATTCAGCGTTACTGTTTGCATATAATTATCGGAGGTGGTATTTCAAAATTAGGAAACTTGTGTCGTATAATTTTTTTATTCATTTGTAATATAGTTTGATATTTTTTTCTTGAAAAACAAAATCATACTTATACCGTTATACGAGCTGTTGTCTTTGCAAAAACGATTTTCGTAAATCCATCACAACTAAAACGTCCAAATCGACACTCCCCATGTTTGCTAAGTGGCTCATAGTCTCATACATGACACTACTGACGAAATGTTTGCACATTTTCAAAACGAATCCTAATAATATAACGAATTTACGTTCGTTACAGAACTGAAACCACTGTACACTATAGCGCACGTTTTTTTTTTTTTAAATATACTCAAGCTATATGAAGATAAATTCATTCTAGACTTTATAATCGACTTTTTCCGAACCAGTGCATATTTTCAAACTATATATATACATCTAGACGATGCATTTCACCTGGACGATGAAATTAATTGGTGTCAATTCAGTGTCGTAGTAACATGTAAATCAAACGTCAAACAATATAGAAATGAGACAAGTCGGTTAAATCCAAGTTTACTGTACACTGAATTATTGATCATCATCAATTATGTATCCACAATAGTCTTGGATAATATGGGGAAATTATTAAAAGAATTGTAAATATTATTAAAGCGCATAAGTTATTTCCCAAAAAGATCATAAAAATCTAAAGGAAAAGAGTCAGAAAGAAAGAGCAAAAGAAATGACGAAAATCCACCAAAAGTGCTCGTGCCGATGTCCCCTTGAGTCTTTAACCCTTTGGTATATATAAGGGCAAGTGTCTAATATTTTTTTGGGAATTTTGTCCTATATATTAAAACTCTTGTACTTACACATATTGAATATATCCATTACTAGCTACTCACTACATTTTAACTATATTGAGTTGAGTTCTCTTTGGTAACTCTCGAAATATCGAGTTTATGATATCTGAATATATATACGTACTAGTAGAGTACCCGCACGTTTGTGCGGTGTGACGTTGTTGTTTTGTGTAGAAAATTTAAACCCTAAATCCGAACCCGACAAAAAACCCTAATCAAAAAATTTAAAAACCCAAACTTTTTTAATAGGTCTAAACATGAAAATCCGAAATCAAAAAAATCCCGAAAACCCTGACTGAACAAAAAAAATCTGGAAACTTTTTCACCCGGAACCCGACCCCAATACCTAATCAAAATTTTAAAATACTCAATTTTTTTAATATATCTAAACCCGAAAACCAGAAATCTAAAAAATCCGGAAAACCCTAAACTGAAAAAAAAATTGAACCTAACCCGAACAGAAATTTTCAAAGAAACCCGAACAATTTCTATATCTCTATAAAATTATGTCTCAGATTTTCACCCAAACCCGAACTTGTCTATAAAAACCCGAAAATCCAAAAAGCATATTCTATTGATTTGGAATTATCGTTAGATTATGTTAAGTTTTCTTTTTTTTTTGCAGATTTTTAAGAGATGGAAAACGGAAGTTTTCTAAACCATCGGTTTATTTTAAGTTATTATTCTTGTATCCAAACAATTTTTTCCATTTATTCTTCTATCCAAATAGATTTTTCTCTTATTCTTATATCCAAACAACTTTTGTTTCCATTTATTCTTCTATCCAAATAGATGTTTCTCTAATTCCAAACATTAGAATGTTTCTAATTCTTATATCCAAACATGTACTTCTCAATTAATAATATAAAGAAGATTAAAATATACTTTCGTACTGAAAGAGAGTCCGAGAAGCAGTAGACAGTAGACAGATGGAAAGTGTAAATTATAAAGAGCGATGACGCTTTTTTTGCATACAATACTATGAAGGAAACGTTGGTAAAACCCTACCACACCACTCCCAATCACGTTTAGTCATCCAATAAGCATTTGCCACATCAGATTTATTACAAAGAAGATGGAGATGTACACGTGTCTGAGAACAGAGGCTGTCTTGGCGATCGTCTGTCGGTCTAACACCACCCCCCCTTTATTTAACCAAAGAGGTCGGGTTGACTTTCAGGGCCAATTATATATTTTTAGAGGGTAAAAATTCTTTTTAAAATCACATCTAAAAAAAACCGTGTATCTACTAGACAAGAATCACATATCAAATGAAGCAACGAATCCAAGAGATTCACATTTTCTTAGATTTAAGGAGTTTTGGAATTATGGTTTCTTCTACTATAGACTATATCTGCAAATTTGAATATATATAAATAAACGGTAATGAGTTATAAAATATTATTACCCAATACATTATGTTAGTCGAATAGTTAAGGTTTGTACATTTGCTTATGGCTTCAACGGAGTTGTGGCACTTGTATTAAGGCAGCTCGAAAGGTACCTAGCTATATGTTTGTATATATTGACTGTTTCTTGCCCAAATGTTTAAAGTAGACAGAGTTATCTCATGGTCTTTCCTATATATTATATAGATTTCGTGAAATAATTTTATATGTTATTTTTTAATGTGATAGATTTGGTCCCCCCAAAAAAAAAGATCATAAGACTTTCATTTCACTTAGGACCGAAATAGAGTTTTTTGGTTGAACACATATTTAGATATAGTAGATTCTGATGTACCACAATTTATATAATTTGTATATATCTTTGATTCTGTCTTTGTTTGGAGTATATTCATGAATCATCATGAGAATTTCATCCCACCGTTATGGATCAGTCAAAAAGTCTTTCTACTTGCTTACAACTACTACAAGATATGTAAAAGAATCAAATAAAAACGAACATCAGTCTCCAATAGAATTGCATGTTACCGAATGAATAACCATCATCGGATAGCAAACATTTTCTTGGTCTCCATGAAACTTTGTCTTTTACTTCAACTTGCTCTCCCATCTTCTTCTCCTTTCTCTTCCTTAGTACTATCATTTACTTCATATCCCACTGGATAATAACTTGGAGTATCTTTTAACAAAATCGAGATTGACTAAAGATAAAGAAAAGTTAAACATTAATCCGAATGTTTGTAGCGACATAACACTGACACGCACACAAAATTGATTAAAAACGTATAATTAAGACTAACTTGGGACATTGGGACAAGTAAGAGGATTAGGGACCACATCAAACTGTGATTAATATGTGGTTCATACACTTAATACGTTGCCTAAGCTCTTGTAAATTGTGATTTAACACAAAATCTAGGGAGTTCTTAAGATGCCTTTGTGATTTTCAAACAGTACACGTGTTAGGCATCTAAATTCTTTTATTTGACTCTTTTAGAAAGACATTCTTAGGTAGCTGGAATTTATATTGAAATTTATTTTGTTGCTTGAATCCTCAATCGTCACGCAATTCGTCAGCATGCTAATAGACCGAATTAACTTATATCCAAATCGGTGGTTAAGTACCAACAAGAAATAAAGAACTTATTATTTGATTTACGCATTTATTCATTATTATTACTAGGGAATTCTAACGTGGTTTTCGATGTCATTTGGACTTGGATTTTACATGTATTCGGCTCAATTTGATACACTTGTTCTTTTCTTCATCCTTTTCGTAAACATACATTTTCAGTCTATAATTTCTTTAAGCTATTTATTTATCTATTGGTGATTCGGTTTTGAATGAGAAAAAAAAAAAGAACTCTTACGTTTGGTGTCTGAGTTTGTTGTCTTTTAGACTGTTTCAGTTCAACGCATGATATCGGTTTAACTGGATTGGAGACTAATTTTTTCCAAAGTGAAAAACCGGTCCCGAACCGGTTATGAACTGGCAAAATCATATTCGTCACTATAGTCGTCAATTAGATTATTTATTACTTAGAGGCTAAGGGAAATAAAGAAAATCTCGAGATCACAAATTTACTAGAAACGAAGAAAGATGGATGAAGAAAGGAGAAGCACGTGAGGATTGTTGGCAACGAGGCCCTTTTTGTGTGTGTTTGTTACTTGTTCCGTAGCTTACTAATGTTTTCTATTTTGGGACTGAATTTTTCTTTTTTGGGAAAGTTTTCTCTCTACGCTTCTTGTCCTCTTTGAAAAATATCTTTATTTATTGTTCTTATTTACAAATTGTTCATAATCATGAAATGAGCATAAACCACTAGGCCTTTGTTCATCTTCCTCACTTACTTGGGCTAGGCCTGAGTTTTACAGAGCAAAACTAAAGAAAAACAAATATTACATTCATATTCTGATGTCCCTATGAGTAAATTCCTTTCAAAAGTCAAAAATTTCAATCCAAATCATTGCCAATTGTTTATGAAACAATGTATGTGACTATAGATAGACAAACTAACAGTTACAAGATTACAATCCAAACCAAAAGCAATGAATGTTACACAGGTGGTATTGGTGTTCCTTATAGTTCATCATGTTGTGAAGCAATGTCACCTGGCGATTTTAAATGGGTTTGGTTGGTCAATGATAATAACAAAGTGATTACTGAATCGAGGAACTAGTGAAGAATTCAAGAAGCAAAGATGGGTAAAAGAAAGTAAACCTGAAAGCACATCATCGAAGAAAAACTTGATCTCTCTTTCAGCTGACGATGTTGAATCGGAGCCGTGCACACAGTTACTTTGCGAGTCCTTTCCACACAATGCTCTGATGCTACAAGAACATACAAGACAATGTCATGTAGCAACTGATGCATTTTAGGAATATGCTAATCTTAGCCTCACATCGTGTTTGCCAAATCTAGAGATACAAAGAGAATAAAGTCCCACTAAAGCAACGAGTTTGGGAACACAACGAACCTGTGAGGGTGAGAAATCTTAGCCTTTTGCGCATCCGTTGGGCCGATTAAACCACGCCAATCAGAAACAGCGTCTCTCTTCTCCAACACCATCACCAACACTGGACCACTGTGTTTCAACGATATACAGATACATTAGCAAAGGAAGAAGCAGAGACGAGCAAACGTTATGAAGCCAAAACATACTCACCTTGTCATGTATGTAACAAGATCTGGGAAAAAGCTCCTTGACGAGTGCTCGTCGTAAAACGCAGACGCTTTCTCATTGTCAAGCTGAGTAAGCATCTCCCTGACGATACTGAAACTGGACTCAACAATAATCCTTTTGATTTCTTCGGTGTAGTTACCAGAGACTCCATCTGGCTTTATCATAGCCAATGTTCTCTCTTTTCCATTTGCACCATCACCTAAACACCTAACATCGATCACGGAAAAGTTCAATTCGATGAAACAAACACTAATCGGTGAAATCTGGATCGTGAACAGCTACGAGATTCATCCGGCGGAAAATCACGAATTGAGATTTCGAGAGGGAGAGGGTTTTCAAATTGGATTGAAACTAAACTCACAGATTCATTCCATTTGAGTTCACATAAGTTAGGTTTACTAGAATTGACGATAGAAATCCTAGCTTTTCTCGCTCACCTGACCGGCGGCGACAAGGAGACAGACACGAGAAGGAGGATGAACAGTAGTTGATCTGCGAATCCTGACATTAACTTGATCGGAGAGCTGAAACGCAGTTACTTCAGGCGAATTTTGGCGATGAAACTCCGAGAAATGATGGCGGGAAGAAATTTTGGTGAACTGTGCCGGGAAGCTAACGTCGAGTTTTTTTTGCTCCGGCCAGAAAAAAAAAACTCTGAATCAAACCATGTTCCCTAAAAGAGCAAAAACAGGTTTACGTATCTCGCTTTGGGCCCGTTAACATATGTAAATAAGCCCACTAACATTTTAAAACAACGAACTAGGTAATCTTGCATTTTATTTGTTGCTTGTATAATGAAACGGATCGGACAATTTTTCCATTACTAGACCTCACATTTTTTTTTTACTATAATTTTTATTTATTTCTACATTTGTAATTTCTGTAAATAATAAAAGTTTCGCATTTAAAATTTAGAATTTTAGTTAAGGACAACAATTGGAACATGAATAAACAATCGTTCTAATTAATAACGTTCATAGCTCCCAAAGATTAATATTTAAATTCTTACTCAAACAACGATTATAACAAGAAAAAACAATCATTTGAATTAATAGAGACATATTTCACACATTTCTATCAACATTCTAATATGTTTCATTCCGAAAACTAAAATTAAAGTATTATTTTACACAAATAGATAAAAGACCGTTTGGTAGTATACGTAAATCATAAACATATTAATCATAAATTTTACAGTTTTTTTTTTTTTAATTTACAATCTTAACATAACAAATAGAGAAATATGTTTGTGGTTATAAAATGTTTAATGGATCATTTGAGTAAACTTAAACTAATTAACAAGAAAAAGTGAAATGATTACTAGAGAAATATAAGAAAGTAAAAAACATATTTATACTAGAACTATATAATAACAAAACACTATTTTCAACATCATAAAGCATATTAACTCATATGTTTCTAGTTTATATAGCAAACAATTTAAATAAAGCTCAAGATCAATTAAAATTTTTGTTTTATAAAAACTTGTCAAAAACTGTGAAAAGTAAAAGCACAAATTTATTACTAATAAAAGTTGAGCCTATATGCATTAGAGGCTGTCCACCTAGGATTTAAAAGGTTGAATTTGATTGGTCCATGTCATTATTTTTAATTTTTTTTGCTTTTAAATTAATTTATGTAAATTTTCTATTTTACATATTATTTATTAATTAGTTTTCAGTAAAGATAATTTCTCTGATTTTACAATTTTCGAGAACTGAATTATAAGTTTCCTATTCATAGATTATCTAAATTTACATATATTATTAGTATTAGTTTCTTTTTTAGTGGAAAATTTACACATGTTTTAAGTAATTATAGAAATAAATTTCCTATTCAGCCAAAAAGATGCTATGGTGTAGCGGTTATCACAATTGTCCTAAACTCAACAGGTATCGAGTTCGATCCTTTGCAGTCCCCTTTTTTTTTTAAACCGTTTCAAAAATAATTATATGGACATTGCCATTAGGTTACCACAAAAAAAAAAAAAAAAAATCAGACATCGGCATCTCCAAAACGGGATCTGCTACATCTTCTTCCCCTTTTTTCTACAAACCCTAAAACTGCATCTCACAAAACTCTCTCTCTCTCCACCGTCAAACAACAAAAATTCATTCTTCATTTCCCAGATTTCGTAAATCGAATTGGATTTATTTTGCCCTAAACTCCCTATTTCGCATTGTTGCAAGTTTGAAGCTTCAGTACAACTTCAGTTGAGGGAGTATTAGACCAAAAATGGAGAAATTCGGAATCTATTACTAAGATAAGTCTTGTGATTTGACTGTACAATTCGGCTGCTTTAATTTCTGGCGAATATAAGATTGCTTCTTGGCATTTTTTTCTTATTTCTTCTTCCAAATTTATTTCTTGGTTTCATTATTTCGTTTTAGTCTAGAAGATTCTTGAAAAACAAATTGGATATTGTTTGATAAAGATTAGGATTTGGATAGTTCCTATTTTTGTAATTATCACTTCTCTAATTTCCTTATTGTACAATGACATTGATATACATTGATTCCTTTTTCCATTAGGAATAAGATGATCTTAAATCCTATATATATGTGGTCTTATTGCCACATGAAACCAAGTTCAGAATATACATTCACATCTCTCAATCGATTTTTATAAGCCATGGCAAATTCATGCTCTTCTGTTTCTAATCAGTTAAGCCATACTTTGGTTTTCGATGATCTAAAAAAAGGTTTCAAAATAATGATTTGCTTGTCAGAGTCATCCACTTTTGGGAGGCACGAAACGTTAGAAAAGGCGGATTACTCATGGGTGTAGAACTCCTTCTCATGGATCAGAAGGTACTTAATCAAAGGATTTTAAAGAAAAAAATTGAACCTGAAGGCTAAGGACGTTTGATCTCTGTAAAAACAAGAAAACCAAACAAAAAAGGGGTAAAGTCAATGAGAAGAGATTTCAAATATTATTAAAAACGACCAGTGAAAGGAGAAAACGCTCTAAAACTCGACAGCTATAAGTCTCAGGAACTTGCCAAAGCAATTGCCACCACCTAGAGTTATACATTTATCACCAATTCGCATCCGGACAATTAGATTACAAACAAAATACACCATTTGGACATCAGCAAAAAAAGATTGAAAATACGGAAAATCATAACCTTCATCGAAGCCATTAGCTGAGAATCAGGAGAAGAAAGAAGCATCGAAACTCAGGGAAGGGGATGATGAGATGCCAAGAACAGTGATTTCGATGACTTTAAAACGAAGTCGTTGACTAAAGCCATTGAAGAAAAGTTGTGCTCCATATGAACTGAAAACAAAACCAACGAGATATTTCAAATATCAAATTGATAGCTAAACCGAACCGAAACAAACATAGACTGATTAAACATCAACAAAACTAGCAAACACCGAGAAAACCCAAAATTTAACTCGGTGACGTTATCGAAAATCATTTGACCAAAAAATCAAACCATCAATCGGCGATAAAGGGGAAATTCGAGATTGGTACCTAAGTTAATTGAGAAATTCAGAGCGAGAGTCGAAGGAGATCGAAAAGAAGAAGAAGCGTGAGCTCTCCCCTGGTAATAACAAGATTAGCAACAAAGAAGAGGGATCTAGATGATGAGATGGTTCCGGTGGGAATAAGGAAGAAGAAATATTGTTCGATTGTGGTCGGTAAATGAAAGAAAAAGAAACGAAGCATTTCTAATTTCTATGAGATAGGAAAATCGAACCGTAACAAACCAAAAGAATTTAACCGGGAATTGGAAAAACAATTAAAAGATGATGACCACGGGAAGAAGAAGAAGCCATATGATATGGAAAAAGTGGGAATACATTTAACACGATTATATCATATGAAACAATTAAAAAAAATTATTTTTTACTCCTGATCTTTCTGATTCCTTTCTTCCCGTCCTTAATGATCTGTAAAATACATTTATATTTTATTTTATTTTCTAGATATAAGACTTTTAAATACAAAAACAGTGATTTAAAAATAAAGAGATGAATTTATTGAATGGAATTAAATGCAACATAATTAAAATTACAAAAAAAATTAAGTATAAATCATAAATTCATAGCTGGAAAAGCTAAACAAATAAATAAAATTAAAAAATAAATTAAGAACTAAAATATGTATTAGACTAATATTGGATAAGTTTGCCAGATAACCTTTATTGGATATAAAAAAAATTGTCTAATGAATAGTAAAATTAAGGGATTAGTTTAAGAAATTTGAGGATTGGGCTGTTGTATGTTTTTATGACAAAAAATATTTTTAAAAGGTATCTTACTTATTATGACTACTTATAAAAATAATTAAATTGGTTAGGTAAAAAAAATTAAAAGTATATTACAAAAAAAGTTTATTAAAAAAAATTATAAACAAAAATTGAAAAATAGTGAAGCATTTTAAAAACCTTTTTTTAATAAATGAAACTATTATTTTCATCTCTTATCAAAGAAAAAAAAAAATTGATGACTCGAACTTGATATACAAATATTCTTAATTGAATCATACATTTTCTTAATATTATTGAATAAAATTAAAATAAAGAGGACATAAGATTTATTTACAAATATTAAAACGGAACCCGCGCGTGCGCGGGTAAAACACCTAGTAAAGGAAAAGATTCGCATTTTTTAAGCAAATAAAAGCATAAACCACACCATCAGTCTAACTCCAACTCCAACTCCAACTGCACAAGCATGCCTAGATCCCACAACCATAAGCATGAACAACTCCAACTTCCACAAATAGAACCTTGCAACTTGCTTGTGGCGCAAAGAACTTGTAGAAATAGTTTTTTTTTTTTTGGGACCAATATAATCAAGCTTCTTCTGACACCGCCTTGAACCTTGTAGGGAATATATATGAACATGTTGTATGTTGAAACAACATGTGAAGCACCCAGTACATAAATCAACCAAACCTCCGCATACTATTCGTGATCCAAGAAGCATCATCACGTAAATCTCCATATCCCACATATATATCCCCGACAACTTCTTTTCGTGCAGAGGACTGATAGTCAAGGAAGGTTAACATTATCGCCACACTGATTAACCCTGAGAAAATCAATTCCAAAAGCTTCGATAGAGCTAATTTCAGCTTCTTTGTTACTGGTATTATTTTAATTGTTTGTATTTCTACATTAATTTTTTTAGTTAGGTTCTTGATCTTTTTAAAGCCATAATCTTCAAGGACGGTGCAAGTATAAATGAGCTGTGGTCATATAAAGAATTAACTCATTTACTTCGTAATTTCTGTCTTAAAAAGCTACGTTTTTAATTATCTGCCCATCAAGATAGACCTCAACTTTCCATAGATATGTTTTCTCACCGTTTCCATTATGCGATGGAAATAGCACATGAAGAAAAAGTGGAATCAAAGAAGATAGTGGAGATGTGTGGAAACAGAAATAAACAAATTTAGTTATTTTGAAAAATATCTGGATACTATAAGTTAGTGCAAATTGTAAAACAACGCCCAAAAATCTTTGTTTTACCTAAATATCCACAAACTGTATGT